CTTCCGCGGCTAGCTGATATTTTACTGATATCAAACTGAACAAATTTAGGTCCTGCTCGATTGCACTTCAGAGTATGCTCACCATCAATCCGGCATAAGACACCTCATATTTGTGGTAGCAACAGAAGAGTGAAACAAAGGTGTAAGATGCTCTAACCCACAGTTTGAGTTAATAAGCTCTCGAAATCGGCTTTTAAACATCTGGAATGAAAGTTGTAGCGTTGATTTGTTTGTTAAGCGTTCCGAGACAACGAGGGTATAAAAAGCCGGCAAAACAACAACTAGCCAACAGATTAAAGGGTCATTGCTTGGATTATCCGGGTTTATAAGTATTAGAGGCTGGCTTCAGTCACCTATCACACCTCAGTTATCCCTTACAGTCACGTAAACTTAACATCTCAAATCAGTATCATGCCCATATAAGCGTTAACTATCATTGTGCTTCATAGTAGCTAGATGAAATTTTGTTTGTTCTCCACTTGCCCTTTATCTTGATAACTCTCTGACAGTATACTCTTCATGGTTTAATCCGAAGGTTAAGCGGTGCGAAAATTGCTGACTAACAGTGTGAGTTTGTCTATCTTTCTTTTCCGTAAACATTCCAAGATTACGATCTTTGAAAAGACAACGCGCCGCACGTTGTAGCCTCCTTCAGTTTGCTCTTATTTCTTCAGAGATAAGTCAGGCGAAGACTAGAAAACAGCACGAAAATATTAATTGCCACATAAAAAAAAAGGGGAGTGTAGATACACTTAGTCATCCCTACATTACTTACACGAATACTAAACGAACGAACTATCAGAAAAAAGTGCCACTCAGAAGCGGATTAGGTAGAATTTAAAATTCATGTACAACCCTGGAATGTATCAAGGTCTTTTACGGAATGGCTTTGTTTTGATCTGTTGTCTGTGTTGTTTTTTTTCTAAAGAGTTTCCTGTCATTCTTATCGGAGCCATCGTTAGTGAGAACTACTTAAAGTTTGACGGGCGAACAAAAATATATAGGAGATACTTAAATAATTGATCAGACATACTGGGCTTTAAAATTATAGTTGTTGAAAAAGTCTACGTGATATCAAGCGCTTCGGCGTCTGCAGAGTCATTTCTCCAAACTAGAAAACCACACTAACATTTCTGTTCAGCTTCTGCCCATTTGTTGTTTATCTAAAGGAGCTTACATTTTGAAATAAAATCAAGGTGCATCCACGTTCGTTAAAGACCAAGAGCACCCTTTTAGGCCGCGCGAGACACACGCACTATAAACCTTTTACCTGTAATCCGCGATTCGAACCAGTTTTGATGGGACGTTTCTTAAGTCAAGCAAGCTGCTATTTCTACCTAAAAATTTTTTAACACTCTCCACCATTATAACTATTACTTTCAAAAGCAGTCTATTCCGTATCTGGCGTGCGCTAGCGAGAAATTCTCGCTGCACGCGCATGAAAATCACTCATCCCCCGTAGTGACCCGGTCAATTATAATTCCGGAAATTTTTCGCGTTATATTCTCTAGAAGGCCCCCCAGTCATTAATTATCGTGTTTTTGAAGAGTTTCCTAATAACATTAAAGATATAGATAGGTCTTTAAAATCAGTATTACACTGTAAGAACTCCTTACCTCTGTTTTCCTCTTTCCTAAGTCAAGAAAACAAGAACGTTTTCACGTAAAGTTCGTCAAAATTATAGGCGGTCACGACACGCGAACACAAGCGCTGTATTTATCATGTCATGGTCTCAACCTTTAAAACCTTAAATCCGTTGGATTTTTGAGGGCCGCAATAAGTTTACAACATTTTAAGTAAACATTAGATAATAAGTTTTAAAAGGTCGAAGGGAAACCCTTTTTGAAGACTCAATTGAAGGATTACAAATTATGTGCACGAAATCACGAACTATTACAAATTGATATTTACATATTTAACTTCCACATAAAATACGTTTTATCTTGATATTGATTACGCCAACCTACCTGATTTCAAACCTTTTGTTTACCGGTGTGTTCGTGAGGTTTGTTTTCTTTGTAATAGTGCTGCAAGATTTATATCTAAAGGGCACTTGTCGAACTAACTGTTTCAGTACTATGACCTGGCCATGACGTACTTCCAAGTAAAATAAAGCAGAGACGTCAGAGGATCGAAGTTAGCCCTCGAGTTCCGCGTAAACTTTGCCAAATGCAACAGCAAAAGCTTGAGCTGATTCTCCTTGGGTCGGTCCTGCTTCTGTTGTCTGATGCCGAACTATTTGAAATTCTAGGCGCGAATCTGATCGAGACGAAAATGAAATGTTCTATCTGCACCAAAATATCATGTTTCCAGCAGGAAATTTTCCGCGAGCATCTATCACGATTTCAGTTAGAATATTGACCTTCTTGTGCCGATTTCCGTCTACTGGGCTGAAGTCGTTATATTTATTTTTGTTCGGTTTCCGAAAACCACAAATTTTTGAGTACCGATTTACAATTGTTGTCTAAGTCCTCAACTGCACTGGTTAAAGTTTTCAGATATTTTGAAGTTTTCGAAGTCGACAGAAAATTGTGATGAAAAGAAGTAGATAAACAGCCCACCGAGAGAGCGAGGTAATAGTTTCCTCTTGAGGTTTAAAATCACCAAAGCTTACCTCTGACAAAGAAGAAGGAAAAACCGCATCAATCCGCAATCAGTCGCTTTCGGCTACTTGTGATAACTCAGCCGTCTCGGTTCAAACAGTGTGCACCACTAATTTTTTCATGTTGATCTTTCTTTCATTGAACAATATTTGAACAACGTGTCTATCATCTGGGCAAATCACGAAGGTTTGAAAGTAGAGAGACCTGCATACCACCTGACGTCAAAATTTCCACTGGGTCGGGTGGCTGGCGCTTCACTTTATCGCGCAAAAGCTTTCATTAGGATACATGGAGAACAACTGGCAATAATCTAAAAAGTTCTGTTGTAATAATTTTATTTTAGGTTTTCCGTGATAATTGTTACAATTGTTAGTATTGTGCAAGATAGTATATTCAATGGTAAAAATGCTACTATATCAAAGAAGCAGAATTATTAGATCAATTCACATCTTGTGAGTTACATTACACGAAAATGCTTCTTTCAAAGTCCATTGTCCAACACGAAGTCTGGTTTTATCACTGGTTGCGTGGTATTAAATTTTCATGAATCACTAAACGATGCCACTGAGCGAATGGTCTACAAATAGCGCGAATGAAGATCGTGTCACGCAAGAAAGAATAAGACTAACAATGGCCCCTAAGAGCACTTAATCATATTGGCCAATACTTAAAACCACAAGGCAGAATTATTCGGTAGCCTTTAACCTTTATCGAAACTACTAATTCAAAAGTTACCTGGTTTAAAGGTAATCATTATTTGTGCAAATTTCCATAAACATGTGACGTGGCTCTTTACAAACTTCTGCTGATTAGTTATTATTTTGAAGACTTGTGATCATGGTTTGTTTGAACTTTTCATGCTGAAAGAGTGTACATGTAATACGTTTTCACCCTCGAAAGCCTATATGGAATATGTTACCTAAACAGTAAAAAAAAAAACAAACAAAAAAAAAAACAAGATTTCATATTCATCGAAGAAATCACGTTTATACAGGAAAAAAAAAATTTTACTTGGACAGGACTTCCCAGAGTCTAGAGGGTTGATCTTCTTACCATGTTGCATCTCTGCCAGTGGCCAACTAATAATATACTAGCAGTAACCGCACTTTACCAGTCCCCCACAGTCATTGTGAGGTCTCGTCAAGCAAAACATGATGGGGGAAACAACACTCTTCGAGACGAAACCAAACAACGGTTGCTAAGGAGACTAACACCTCATTTCCGTTGCCAGTGTGGAGAAGTAAACATAGAGAAGAGGTTAATACTAGAGTAATTGCATGGAAGGTCCGTTAGAGCGAAAAACAACTGGGCGTAAGTGGAAGTTTGACCCTGCTTTTTTTAGTATTACATATGAACTAACTGCGGGCAAATTGAATCGTAAGCAACCGCAATTAGACTATTGCCCCGTTTGCTTGTGACGACTTCCACTTATGTTTACATGTGAATGAATGTATTTCAAACAACCCTGCGTACATCATTGCAATCTTTCTACAATACAAATGTGCTCGTGAATGAACTCGAGCTTTGCAAACCAAGAACACAGTGATTATAACCTGTCACCATAAATAGACTTTATTTCATGCACCGGAATTTATATAATTAAGTAAAACTAAAAATAACTCTGATTTCATTAATTTAATGCCCAATTATCACAAAAAATAACGTTCTTTAATTGATTTTGAGATTTAATTCATTCTTGTTTTAACGGATAGAAATATTTAGCTTTGTTTACAGCTAAAACCCGCTGCGAAAACTGCAATTTTTATCTGTTTGCAATTTCCTACAAGTCCGGAAACAAAGGTGGTAAAATCTCCAAGATTGATTTAAACAACAACAACAACAATCGTTGAACAATATTTTAAAAGTATTTCATCTAATTATAATAAAATTTTGGAAGTTTACTTGTTGTACCGACTTTCGTAACTCTTTTCTGCTCGTGCCAGGCCCACGATTAAGAGGGTGAAAGAAAGATAGGGCGAGTCAGGAACTAAAAAACCTTTTGTAGGACGACTTGCGCCACTCTCCGCTTGCTCGCGGCTTTTTCTATGGTCTCCACTGACTGAGACTCTGACACGAACTAGAACATACAACTGAGCAGAATGCCGGTTTTACCTCTTAAAATGGAACTTTTAAGCTGTGTGCACAAATATTGATTATGGTCCAAAGTTTTATGCGTACTGGCAGAAAAGAAAATTTACCAAACGTATAGGTAGTTTCAACCTGTTTTAAAATGAAACTACTCTTATTTAGTATTTTCAAAGTTTTCCGATAAAACGTTTTGGTAAAACCCCGCACGACTTGAATTCTCATTAATCTAAAGCGAGGGAAGAGAATATACACTCGTTACATGTACCGGGATCAGAGTTAAGAATAATTTTTTGTTTGTTCAAATTCAGTTCATTTCTGATCGGTTGCTAAATGTCGCAGAGGAAGCGTCTCGTGTATGTGAGCAGCTGACAGAGTGCGCCGTCCCATAATAGGGGTGGTCGTCATGTGCCGAGACATTATAGGCGTGGTCATAGGCGTTGCACGTGTTGCGGGGATTCCCAAATAAGCATCAGAGCGGGTGTTTCCCATACAGCAAAGAACACGGCCAAACTCGCGACGAAAATTCTCAGAAAATATAACATACAAGCAGGGATTTATTGCACTGTTTAAGACCCCAATCCATGGTAGTAATACGTCCACCTCAATTGGAAAGAGGGAGAATGTCTGTGGAAAGTGATGCAGCATAAATTCTCGCGCTTGGAGCGGGAGCCAACAGAGTGCAAATACGACCACCACCGTCACAAGCATCGTTATGGCTTTTTTTGTCGTTTCATGGGCTTTCTTTTGATATTCTAATGTTTGAACACCTGGTAATTCTCGATTGTGAAGTTTTACACCAATGAGTATGTAGGCAATGGTAATAATCAGAAGAGGAGTAAGGTAAGACAAAACTGTGAACGAAGTAGCGTAGTTGTTTTTGTCTTGCGAGGTAGGCCAGTTATATTCGTTACAGCGATATATTCCATTTAAATCTTTCTTTGCCGTGGTCATTATAATCAGGGGTATAGCAAATGCTGTAGAAAAAACCCAGCTTCCTACCAAACACGCCTTCAGGACTTTATTAGTGAAAATTCGCCTTAATGGAAACCATATCACTAAACATCGATCAAGGCTGATGAACACGAGGTTTATAACAGAACACGAGATGGAGAGCACCTGAGCAGAATGGAAAAACTTGCATAGAGCTATCCCCATAAACGTACCAAACCATTCGTCTCCGACATAAAGCCATCTGAGCATGTACGGAAATAAACATGCCATTAAGATGTCTGCGACTGCCATATTGGCTATCAGTATGTTAGTGGAGTTTCTCATGTATTCCCTTGCGCTTACAATGTATATCACCAAGGAGTTTCCAATCACCGCAACCATAAAGACTATAACGGCATAAATTGTTACGAATATGACAAAACTTGAACTAAGTTCAGGTCGTCCAGGGATTTGATCAGAAGATGAATTGGACATCTCTTGCAGTTCTGTCAAGTGATAAACAAAAATGTATCAATCCTTTATACCTTTACATCGGTATGCATATTATATATGTAAAATATTTCAAATAAATTAACAACCGTAAAGCTGACACTTCAAGCGTTAGCTCATAGTCCTTCGCTTTGATGAAGGGCTGACGCTTGAAAAGGCAGCTTTGAAGGTCTTTATGGTAGCTAATTTAAATTACAAACTCAGTTGATAAAACAAAATATTCTAGTTATACTCCCCTACTTAGTAGCACCACAGTTTTTTTTAGAAACCTACTTCCTTTATTATTCTTTATCTTTATCTTTATCTACTGTTCTCTATACATCTCCTAAGCTGCTGACAGGGAGAATCTGGTCAATGATCAAGAGCTTATTTAGTCGTTAATCCTTTCCTTTATTCTCATGACCTAATGGGTGATTCAGGGCTGATGTTGTAAAGAGAAATCAGATGCCTGTCACTCTAAGGGGTCAAAAAACTGTATACAAATATGAAACTATCTGCGCTTTAAAATTCCGAAGAGTAATGAAACTGTTCCAACTTAGGATTCATACAAAAAGAATTCTTGACTACGATAATAAAAGTCCTTTTTCTCGGCGGTAACCAGAGCAAAAAGTGTTGTGAAAAAAGCCCTTTGGATTTGTTTTTGAAACCTGATTACTGATTCGTTTTCATATAGCGACCATTTTGAAGACATTTCTTGGACGATTTCGCCGCTGTACGTATTTTCTGAAATTTCAAACTGTGCTTCGAGATTTTCTCTCCTTTTAATGTGTTGTATAAATTTTACAAAAAAGAAACAAAACAAAAAAGACTTATGAAATTATTCTTTGATTATTGAAAGACGTGCGCTTGAAAATTATTGCCGCGCGAACACTAAAAGCGAGAGTACCGCTCATCTGTCAGTGTTCGTGAAGCTCCACCTATTTTTTTTCACGTATAACATACCTGTGGCCATAGCAGTGGTGTTTAATATTCTTTCTTCACTTTGCATGGTATACTTATTAAAGTATCACCGCAAATTACCTGAAAGTTAAATCAAGGCATGGTCGGAAGGGAAGCTTTCGTTTTTTTGGCATCACTCAGGTCCCCTTATCTAATCATGGACATCCATAAACTGGACCGCTGACTGAGTGAACAATTACAGGCGATAACGTGTTGACACTTTTACATTGACGACCAAAATATAGAAAGTAACAACCAGATAACAATGGTGTACAGTTACAAAATCACTCAGAGGTTCCAGGTATGATCGAGTCTTTGATTTAACGTCAAGACTACTCTATCTCATCCTTCTCATCCTTTGTCAATTTTTTTTGAAAAATACCCTTGACCGTGATCTAGCCAGCAAAATTGAGAGGCCTTGTTTCAGATTAAGGCCTGGAAAAGTAATTATTCAGAATTACTGCTAGCTTGTTCCAAGCCGATATCGGATAAGTAGGTTTCTAAACTGCAGAGGAAACACTGAATAAAATTAGTAATCACTTTTAAGGAACACGCCGGATTCATGCTTAGATCGGCGTTAGTCGATGTACTCGAATAAAATCATTTTTAAACCGGCAGAGGGTCACTGCCCACCATGAACTCGTCATTACACAATTCAATGTTCCACATCTTTGTTCACAATTCCATCACTCCTCGTGTTTTAAACTACCACTGCCTTTTATCTATAGGCAAATCAACATTTTGGTGTTTGACTTACTGTTGGTCTGTTGCTCCTATTCTTGTTGCGGCAGAGTCTTTCCCTCCTTCCCTCTTTCTTTCAGAATGTGATCGAGGTGTTGGCGTGGTATTTGTCTAAGCCTGCTTAACCAGCGGTTTTGTGGGCACTTTACCTAGGTACGTCATGTATGGAGAATTATTATCTACTCAATACTTAATATGTCCTATACTTTAAATACATACAGTGATGTCTATAATAATTCCCCATTTAAAGCTACTCGTTTTCCACTGTTTACCACGGTGGCTCTATCTCGCCATTACCATCGAGCGCCCCCGAAAAACCACCCGCGCGAGACACAGGCAAGGTTTATCGTCATTAACATAGTTAGATTGAATATTTCGAATGATCTTTGAGCAACGCTGTCAGAAGCCCACATGTAAACTGCCGACCAGTTGCCATCAGTCACGCCTTATTCGTTCGCGTGGGTGCTATCTGGACGGTAAATTTAATGAAATTTTTACACCCCATTGAAGACACAAAGTCTCAAAATCCATATTTTGTATGGCGGCAAATTCCCGTTTGGATCAAAGAAAGGGTTTCCTTCCTCCCGGGAGCAGGGCCGTTAGAAAAACTAGAAAAGCTGAAAGTAAGAGATCTATTCAGATTTTTGCGAATGTAAAATTTGGATATCGTGGTGTGTTCGTTTCCTAAGCGCAGTAGAGTGGTTATATCCACCAAATCCACTAAGTTAAAAAAAAGAACAACTGAATATTAAAATATAAGGGTAACTTGTACCAGCTCTCGTGACAGCGTCTGCTGTTTAGTGGTAATACAAAGTTTCATTTATTTACAAGTTAAAGGGACATAAAGCGATTTGCAATTAAAAGCCGAAAATAGTCCAGGATTGCCGTCTTAGTTTTGACGTTGTTTTAGGGAAGCGCTTTAAAAAAATTAAAGTCTATTTTGTATAAGCAAACAATCAGACCGACATTTATGAGATAGGAGGAGTTGCTTTCACTTAAAACTTTACAGTGCATGATATTTGGATGTCCTTTGTCATTATGCTTATTATTTTTTTCATATGATAATTTGTATATCTCGATCACCATTTTTAAGAATGGACCTTTGTTGACCATAGAGCACGGAATATAAAGCTTAAACATTAAACGATGTTGAGAGACGACTCATAGACAGTTGAAGGATTACTCGTCCCTGTTTCGTTGGCGACACTGGTCTGTGAGGTCGCGCCGATTGTTACGTGTGGCCCCAAGGCACCGTCAAACACACAAATGTTAAATCTCTAGCCGAATGAAAACACTTTTAACGTTTGTTTTCCTATCCAATGTTAACAGGTGTATTTATCTTTGCATTTGAAAGAAGTTTTTAGATCTTCTGTCATCTGCCTATCAAACAACATCCACTTGTCCATCGTTTCTTTTGATGGTTCTTAAACGCGTTAGGGATCATGAAAGTCTCTGGCTTAAATGAATTGATGTAACTGACCTCTTGAAGAATTGAAAGCGAGGTTTGCTAAGAAAATATAAAGACCCACAACAGCGAATTGAACGGAATATGATCTTGAGGAAAACTTGACAGGAAAAATGCCTGCCTTCTTTGACTCTGTTTGTTTTGTTTGTGTAATTGTTGACTGCTCTTCTGATTGCTTTTACCTAAAATCAACACAGGTAGGAACCTAAGTGACGAAATACATTCTGGATTTCGAGGTTTCTCTGGCATACAAGCGTTTTCTTAGAGAGTAGAATTCAACTTCGGTTCAAAAAGAAAACCGAATGGACGATTTGCTGGGGATGAGCAAAGGTAGTCAGTGAATAGTAAATATTGGGGCATGGAAAAAGGCCCAAAATTAACACGAAATTATGAAAAGCGCACCCAGACAGAAATCATGCCAATGCGAATTAGGAAGCAACGATGGACACTGAGATTTTATGGAGCTTTGAATCTTAATCTTGATTTAGAATCATGTTTACGCAATGTCCGTAGGATATATGCATACATATTTTTTTCATTTAAGGACGTTACGCGAGAAAGAGCGAAATTAAGATCTAACAACTTAGAATGTCTAACACTTACTATCTGTAGCCTGAATAAAAACAAAATTACAACTTACAGAACCTCACAGCATTCGGCACTTTTAGCCCACTTAAGATACACTTCTCTCGATTCGTTGGACCACTGACTCAGTGAGTGCAGTTACATTTGCTAAGACATGCAAAACGTGTTATGTTTATTTATTAATACGGTTTTGGCTTGCCAATTAACGTACAAAGCGGTTGAGGATGGCATGTGGTTGACATTTGACCCCACAAAATGCAAACAAAAGTAGAGAAAACGTCAAATCTATTTTTAATCCGTGCTCAGTACTATGTATTGCGAAGACATATATCACGCAATTTTTTCAAATAATTTAGAGAAAAAAAAAAGAATAACTCGGCCAATCTGAAATTAATTTCAAGGATATGGTAGATTTTAAACGAGAGATGGATTATAATTTCAACAAAGCGTTAAAATGTCAAGGCGACACAAAGGTTTTTTAAGAATTCGTTTTCGTTAATTTAAATCAAATCTCTAGTAAAGTTTTCGTGCCATTTTATCAAATCAAAATTATAATAACCGGCACTTTGTGAAAGCATAATTACAACTGAAACGGACCTTCGACTACATTTTAACAACACTTGCTACTCCACGAAAAATGTTTGGGGTGTTTTAATTGATTCAACTTCATGCCTTCATTCATTTATCCATTTGTATTAATTTTGCACGACGCTCTAACATAATTGATTGTATTAGCAACCCACGTTACTTTCTGTCCGGTGAAATTTCGTAAGATTTTGGGGTTTCTACGAACTATGCGTGAATGTTTTTTTTTTCTTTGCTATTTGAGATAAATTAATGCAAGAGATTATATACTACACTTTACAATCTTTTGGTTGACCCATAAACTAGAGATGGGAAAAGGCTTATCTTATCACCTCGCCTTTATAAGAGATCGCTGTCGATTCTAATTACTTTCACGGAGAACCGCGGAGAAAAACGAGCGGAAATACTGTGCATAACATTACAGCTACCTTATCTGATAACGTATCGGTAAGATTTATTGGCCGCAAAGAAAGATGATGAAAATTGAACGAAAACACAGCATCAGCAAAGAAGAGATCTTACATCGATGAAAATGATAAATAGAGAATAGTATTTTTAAAGAATCCGCCCTGATTTAGAACTTTTAGTAAAAATCTAACCCCTTTAAGTTAGATTTAAAACACCCAACTTAACTTATCTTAAAAGCATTTGGCGAAATGTTGAACTGATATGTCTTTATTCCCCGCTAATAATGGACAACCTATTTGGGGTGTGTTTATTCAAAGGCAAGAGATGATGTGAGTCGGTTGCGAGCTGTTAAATTAAAGACACATCAGGTAAAGCCTGATATCTGTGCTAAAAAACCAAGATCCTTAACAAGAGCTCTTTAAGCTGATTTGTTTTAATGTAGCAGAAGTTAAAAAGTCTATGACTAATAACGCCTTGAAAATATGTATTATCAGTTTGGTTAAAAATCTGCCATTCATGATTGAGAAAAGTCACTGCGGAATCCGTTATCTTGAACCCGAACATCTTGTTTAAGTTTCACTTTAATTCATTTTTTTTTCCAAGTAATTTCAATGAGTCGTTTACGTTCCTTTAACCCGAGATGAAGAAAGGAGACCTCGTCGATGTCAAAGCATTCGTATGAAACTCAAAGTAAAAAAGTATCTTTCGTCATTTTAACTGATTCATCCTCCAGATGACGCTTTTCATTGTGTCAAGGTTTGCTTAACATTATCTTTTTTATTCATAACAGCTCCCTCTTTGCAAAAAATGTAAATGTTTTCCAAGGGAGGAGGAAGGGTAAGTTTCAGAGTTTTTGCAGCTTTTAATGGAAACCTGTGTGATAATCCGTCCAGTGAAAGCAAATATACCATTATGACAGATCGGGAAAGTATTCGCAAACGGTCGCTTCTGTGGCATTAGCATTCGTAAATGTCACAATGATTCTTGGGTAAAAATATCTAACATGAAGAACGACGGGTTAGTCATTAGTTATATTCCACGTCGTTAGTGACAACTCGCATATTTCTCTCTTGATTTACGACTAGTTTCTGGTTCTTTATTTCACAGTATTTTCCCATCAAGTTTACAGCCATCATTTGACCTTACCCTCTTACTCGACGGTCGGAAAGAAAAAATTTAACCCAAAAGTAAAGTGAGACGGCTAAGACTAGAACCTCGTTCCCAGTAAGATCACCCATTTCCTTGCATTCCGAACGATTCAAGAGTCCAGTCCTTTCTTGATTTGACGGATACATGCTAGTAACTAGTTGTTATAGATATTCAGTTTATACCTCCATTTTTTTCGCACTAACGAGCTTTCACTATGAATTTCAACATAGCCAGGGTTATTCTCATCTCTGCAAGCCATTAGACATCTTGTAAAACATAATTGGAAAGGTTGATGGTTTTAACGAATATGGAAGTGATCCTTGCAGTTATGAACACTACTTAAGTAGTAGTGAAGAAAGGCCTGGAAAAATTCAGGCCTGTACGAGATTTAAACCCATGATCTTTACGATACCGCTTTTGGTTTTAATTAAAACTTTTCTCTTAAAGAAAATGGTTGATAATGAGGCCATATTTGAGGTTAAAGCGAAGAAGTAACAACTGTGAACATATGAAAGTCATATATTTGAACTGCGGATAAAGACGTGAATGTGAAAGCGATCTTCGCAGTAATGAACACTAATTGAACAGCAGTGAAATTAAGGCCTGAAAAAATTTTACGCCTGTACGGGATTTGAACCCATGATCTCTGCGGTACCGGTGCAGCGCTCTACCAACTGAGCAAACAAGCCAACTGGGAGCTGGCCAGTTGGTACGAAATAAACCCGTAAAGTGGCGAATAAATGACTGTGAATATATGAAAGTAATATATTTGAACTGCTAATAAAGACGTGAATATGAACGTTCCGTTTAATCAGTTTCAAAAAGGCGCACCGCTTTAAGTAACGAGCCTGCCGTCTTTGAGAAGTAAAGGTCTTTCGATCTTGAATTAAGGACTGTTGCTCGTAATTTTAATATTTCAGGGAGAATATTCGCCAAGGATGATATGATACCAACACATGATGAACTCACAGATACTAAAAAGTTGGACGGCATGTGCTCATTATTTGCTTGCATAATATTGAGTCGTGTTTTACATCAACTTCCAAAAAAAAAAGGAGGAGGAAAATTTTTTACAAGATGAAGCGCTTTATAAGTCCTTAGTGTTTTTATGAAACATCTGCTGTCTCGTTAATTTCCAAACGAACAAAGACTGAAATGCCCCTCTTTTTCTTTTGTTCCGTTCGACTGATCAGCTGACTCATCTTAATTAAGGTAGTACGGTTCAAATGTCTTTTTTTTTCCAATGTAATTTTTGAAAATAAAAGACAATGTGGTGACCCATCGCAAAGTAACAATTGAGTGTGCCATTACTAGTTCATTGGCAGATTTTAGAACACACTTACAAGGCTTTTAAAAGTGTTAACAAGAATGTCCACTGTACATTGTCCTTGTTAGGACTAATAGTTTGCCGGTCCTTACGAGTTTATTTGACATTTAAAAATGACAAGTTAATCCATTTGAAATAAAGCCGTGAATGCGAGCTCAGCTAGAAATTAAGGCAAAATACTGAAATCGTCGACAACGTCCGCTCGGCTTATTAAAAGGAATTGGAAATCAGTTGTCCTGTCCGACGCTCAAAACAGCATAAACATGTTTCTATACTAAAAGAAAGAGAGCGGTGATTAACGACTCAAAGCTCAATTGTCGCACAGAGGATGTCAGTTCTGTGTCCAAACGTCACTGTAATTTGTTGTTCAAATCGTTCAAACTCTCCATGTATATCAGTATACTTGATAATCTTGTCAATCTTAGAGAGAACACGTCTATCACATATTCATATCGACCTGTACACAAGTCAATAAACCATTTCCTATTACCTATTAGTTTGTCCCCTGTTCCTGCAATAAGTTTTTTTTACCGATTTCCAATAATTCTAAAACAGGATATTTCCTTCCAACTGACTTGTGGTTGAAAATTTCGATGAAAAGTTTCGAAAGAGTTCTGTTAAAAAAAAAAAAAAAAACGAGCATCATTACATATCGATTCTTACTGCGCTTTGATGTTGATTCGCCTGCTGAAGGCGATGACCTTCGAATAATTTATTCCATGACACATCTTGAAGAGAGAAGGCTCTTATGGGCGACAAAACTTCTGTTTTCATGTGACAAGAAAATGTCATGGGAAAAGAAGGAAAAAGAGAGATGAAACAGCTTTGTGATCAAAGTATTTTAGTACTACACAAAAAAACGTTCAAGATACTCAAAGGCAAGGTCTTGATTAGTTTGATGATGACAGGTAGTAACTATCAAAATATTAAGTAAATACAAGAAAACTTCATGCTTAGAAACATGAATTTAACGGTTTAGCAAATTGTTTGAGATCAAATCTATTCTAAAATGAATTCTAAACGAAACGATGAAAATTTGTTGTTGGGTAGTATACTTTCTACTTAGAGTAGAACTTAAAATTGAAATTAGATTAATATCCCTTTTAGAGAGTGAATGCAAACCAGTGAATGAAATACATCATATAAAATGCCCCCCAGCGTTTATCATCCTACTCAAGATATCCACTGTAAGTTTTCCAACTGGTCTACCACCAGAGAAACCAAGAGCATCAGTGTTTTATCAGCTGGAAATAACAAAAACCATCGAAACCAACAATACCTAAAAGCCAAAGGTAAGTTTAAATTAACACCTAAATGCCATCAAAATACATGCGACCTCTGCCTTCACTCAGCTGGAAAATAAACTTCATATCCTCTGACAACACTAACATATTTTAATGCGCTTGCATCATCTAACTCAGAATTGTGGTGCATAAATACGCGGCCAATAATGCATCTTTCCTTCCTTATTTCACCTGAGTTTGATTTCAGAAGATATCGTCTACGTCGAGTTGTAATGACATCGAGTATAGCTTAAATGAAGTCATCTATACGCACTGATAAGGCATTTAAGACTTCTAAGTTTGAAGTTAGAGCTTACCTGCCAAGACAACATGAACACCTCTCTAAAGATGTGCAATGTAATTCTAGAGGTGGTTTCGCTTTTATTCATGAGTTATTGATAAATAATTTAAAGTACTAGCTATCCCCGATGCTAGGAAAATAAGCATCCATAAGCGTTCAAAGTGGAATCAATTTTACCGACAAAACTCATTCGCACGACTCCTTTATCAATCCGATTGTTCCAAAGCCTCGGCATTTATAAGTTCGGCAAACCTTGCTCATTTTGGCTTAAAAACACTTGTGATTCTCACCTTAAAGTCGTTTTCCAAAGAGACCGTAGATTTCTGACAAGTGATACCTGCCGAATCCAAGGAACAGTACTTTTCACTGCCGGACTCCTGACACAAGTCGCTGCTTTTATCAATTATCCGCCTCTCCCATACAAACACCTTTAATTGTGAACTCATCAGTATGCATGTAAACTGTGGTAGTGGAACAATTGAATCATATTTATTCGTGCTCAGCAGGTGTTATCCTTAATGGTTCGGTTCTCAGTTCCCATCTTACTTTTACTGATTCTCTCGTCATGAAATTTCATTACTTGCTGCAGTTTGCGGCAAACTATACATCGTAAAAAGCAGCTTTTTTTTTAAGTTCACGGCCTACGCGCACACCGCTTTACCGAGTTTGACGTCTAAATTTTATTTCCATGCATCTTTTTTATTCTAATTTCTCACAGGAAGACATTGTGAGGACGAATGAAAACTTCGGTTTGTTTATTATCGATGATCAAAAATTCAATAATTCGCAGCTGAGTTTGCGTGTAGAGCAGCATGTTTTCCTTGTGGTACTCTGCTCTTTTCTCTATCACGACTCTTAGCTTATTTTACAGGTTATTATTTTTCACCAAACGAACCGCAAAAGTGCTTCGGTACATTAAGGCATAATTTATCTGAAATAATGAATTTTTCATTTTACCACGTTTAATAACAATTTACAACAGCGACCTCTCGCTAAGTAACAATGGAAGCTATTTATAACACCTCTTCGGCGAGGCAGGAAACGCGCTCTAAATCTTAATATAGCAACTTTTCGGGCGACCGCCGCGGCGAGTAATTTTAAGCAAAGAATATGACTCTATTTACAGAAATGAGAACTATAAACAACAAAGCGGCAAAATAAAATGGCATAACGTAAGAGGATTGGCGTAAAAGTGCAGCAAATATAATTAAATTGTGCTCGTTCCTTGTTCGTCATGAGCTGGGAAACTAACAATGGTCGCTGATTGAAGAGGAAATGAAATAGATTTAAACGCGTCATAAGTACCTTGCGCAGAAGACAGATTCGCCTATGGGGGCGTTTTTTACCTAAAAGGTCAAAAAGTTCACTGAAGTAATATAGATTGATACTCCACAAAAAAAAATTAATCAACATCTCGTGCTCTGTGTCCATTACAACTATACAAAGCGCTATCGTGTTCTGAAATAATGTACCGGTTAACGATACTTGGTTGAAGGATTTCATCCATGATTTCCTTCCATTGTGACAACTGAGAGCGGATGTAATGATTTTTGTGAACATCTATTTTGAATACTGATAAGGGACTCCAAAATAACCCTTAAACGTATGTGCACGCACGCACGCACGTATTCGATGATTATTACATTCATTTGACGTTCGTCATTAATTCTGGTGAGGAATGAGGTTTTCTTTTTAAACGAGCCCAGCCTGATGTCCTTAATGACTGACGCGTTTGCATCGAGGGTAATTTTATGTGTTTAGTAGGCGTGGAAATGAATAAATATCATAGTTAATCATTACCTTGTAAATAATGCGGAAAATATTGCGGAAAATATTGCAGAAAATATTGATACCCGATCAAACACAACGCAAATAAACATTGCTGAAACCGGCTCGACTGAAGGAAAAAAAATGAAACGAGATACTTTCGTCGATCATAATTGTAAGCAAGGGTTTAAGTAAATATACTTGGTTTTCGATTGCGTTTAATCTCTGTATTCAATTATTTATAAAAAGAATGTCTTTGTATAATGAAACTGGAAATTTATTCAGCAAACTATCTACGTCTTAAAAATAAAAAACGTTAACAAGAATATAAGCCCCTAAGATTCTAATGTATAAACTTCACTTAGTTGTATATACTAATTATAAACAAAAATACAATTCTGTATTAAAACTCTAGATGTACAACTCCTACCTTGTGAAAAAGACGTGTGCTCTAAAAACCACACACATCCTGGTTGAATATTACAAGAAGAACAAATAATTTAACTCATAACGTAATGAAAATGACAAAAGCTCTATAACATCCGACGGCCATGAACTAGCCTAGACTTGAACCCAGGTCACCCAGTAACTTTCCCTCAAATTTATGTGCATTAAGGTTTTTCTTTAAACAAGGAGCTGAGTGGGGACACCGTGTAGTTTCACACGCTTTTCGTGCGAAGCGTGCGCAGTTGCACTGTGAAATGCAGAAGAAGGTTAATTACATCACCTAAAAAGATAAATGTTCCTTCCAACCGATGGCCTACTGTTATTATTAGGACAGAACAATAATTAGCAGGTCCCCATTATTTTAAGCTAACTGCCAAATCAAAGAATTATTCGAGAAAGGGCACGCAATATTTTCTGTGATTCCATACTCCTGATTAATGGATCCAAACCGTAATCCAGAATATATCTTACCCTACTATACAAAGATATCTTAAAATAAATTTAAGCTACTTTGTGGCGATATTTTCTAAATCCCTTCATCCTCTCCAGTAAATCGTAAAACTAAGGATCCTAACTTTCCGGCGACTTCCATCTCTCTTGATCGCGCTCAGAAACGCAAACTGTTCGGAGAACTTATATATTTAAAGAGCTAGTGTTAACCGACTGGCCTCCACTTTTGTTATGTAGATGTAAACGTTACGTTTTCATTTCTTGATAGATGGTCGACGCATTTGGCAGAGAAATGACAGCAATGACAAATATTTTCCAGCGGTTTCCTTCCCTCCTTCCATGATAGCTTTGTAGAATCGAAGCACTCCTTGAATGACGTCAGAGACTTTCCAGCCACGTGAATGTAAACAAACGAGTGCCTTGAGGAACTTTGAAAGAAAAATAAAAAAAGAAATGAGTGTCAAACGATAAAAAAGAACTGACAACCGCATTAACCAATTAATCATAGAAAGCAGACATGCACTAAGTTTCCCTAAAAACTAAAAGGAAAGAACGGGAATCAACTTGAAAGAGGCGACCAGGAATAGTCCGAGAGAACGTGACCATAATAATGAACAAATAAAATGTTAAATTTTTGGCTCGGTCGTTGGAAAAAGAAACATCATCAAATCTGTCATCCAGTTTTTCACTAGCGTAGAAGAGAGACAAAAGTCCGAGATTCCAAGAGGAATTCGAACGCCAGGTCTTTCGATCAACCACCTGGCGCGCAACTATGAGTTACCGATAACATACACAAGACAAGATTTATATGTGACGAGCACCGACACTGAAAAACGGAGGAAAATATATGGTTGTTCGGGAAAAAAACATAGTTGTAATGAGGAAACGTTGCGCGGGTAAAGCAGGAAACTTGCTGATGAACAAAAAATCCTTCCTATAATCTGAAGTGATTTAAAAAGAAAAACTAAAATCATTTCAAGTTAACATACCTGTGACATTCTCTGGTCACCGAAAGTATGGTAAACTACCACAGGACACCCAGCTGCTGACGCGGCAGCCCACTGAATAACAGCCTTTAGTTCCGGGTCCCCCTTAAACACCCCACATCCCCAGTTTCCGGTTGCAACGGGGCGTAATCGGGGTTCACCGTCGGACTTCTCTAGAAGTGCCCCAGCAATCTTAACAGCTCCATGTATCGTCATACTGCTCAAATCTTCCACAAATCCATTCAAAGTTTGCTTGTCTGTTCCCTCTTTGTCAAAAGAGGAGAGCGATTCTTCTGTCTTTTTCTCAGGTTCAAGCTCTGTGACTTCCTGGGGAGTTTCCACTTGAACTTCTGTCGTCTGTTCCTTGGATTTTTCTTTCATCACTGCTAATGCTTGCACCACTCCATCGTAACTGATATTCTGGGAAAGTTTCTCGGCTATTTCATACACAGCCTCTGGGATTTCAGAGGCGAGAGCGTTCAAGGAATTTCCTACAGTCAGTTTATCTCCTTCAGGGAAGTCGCCCTGCTCCTCTTCAGAAGATTCCGACGAATTCACATCACTTACATCTGATCTACTGACAGTTCCACTTTCTGTCTCTCCTTGTCCATCTTTGTCTTTCAATGGTTCATGCTCATAATCAACGGGAGAAGAAAACCAATCACAAGCTGTTTTCTCAACACAATATTCTACCGCCTCAGCCAGAGCAGAGTGTATTGTATCTGCCAACAGAGCATCTACGCGACCATTAAGGACGTTAAGAAACTTCTGACTGTCCTTGATATGCACAGCGTCCGATAAGGACTGAGAACCAGTATCGATTTGCCCATTAGATGAATCCGTAGAGTCAGGATCTGTAATGTGCTCGGTGGGAATCTCCAATGCATCTTTCTCAAGTTCGTTCCTTCCAAATTGTGATCCAAATAAAGAAGTGATGGCAATATCAACAATTAAGCTTGATAATTTTGTTGCAAACTGCTCGCACACCTTCGCGTTGGATTCATCCCCAATTTGATTGAATTCCTCCATGAGGTTTTGTCTGGCGCTTAAAGACATCAGGCAGCTATCCGAGTCATCTGCGACCCTAACCCTTTCTAACTTCGACGATTTCACTAATGACGATAAGTCCTCTACAAACGCAGTAAAGTGAAAACCATTAGAGTAAGTATTATTTGGCGAAATTTCCGATTCAGTAACTTTCTGATTCAAAAATGACAAAATACTATCTCCATTCTTTACCGGGGACCTTATTTTCTTGGGGCTTTTGCAGAACGCTTCTTTGGTATCCGATACCACTTGTCCCGGTGAAGTCGCCACGGTTGCTATGGCAGTTGCGAGGGATGACGTCAACTCCACACATGACATTAGAGAGTTGGAGAGTGAGTCAGCAAAGCTTTTCACAGAAAAAGAAAGAGATGAATCTTTACTTGAGCTTCTATTCAAGCTGAGGGAAGTGTTCAATCCTAGTTGAGACTCTAAAGATTTCTGTTCGGATATGTTCGGATCATACATTGCTGGAGAGGACGGAGGTGTACCGGGAACTGTTGGAGAATTTGAACCGCTTACGCTAAGCGACAAGCACTTCGGGAGCAGCAATGGGCTCAGGAGGTTTTCCGAGTATCTCCGTACCTTTTCGGGAGTACTTCCAAAGACTTCGCTCAAAGACTTTTTCATAACATTAGTCACAATATCACCGTCAACAAAGTCTTCTAAGAAATAGTCATTGTTCACTTCATTCATAGCTTGTGATAGCGCTACATTGACGAGGTTAGAGCTAAACTCCTGAATTTCCATAACTTTGACGTCTTCTGGAGAGGGATTTTTTTTAAGAGTTTCAGTTTCCTCCAATGATGCCGCGAGATCTTCCGAAGAAACCATGAGCTCTTCCGATGAAACAAAATCTTCGCTTTCAGCTAAAGACGCGTCACTTTCTTCATCTAAAAAGAAAGGGAAACAGAATTTTATCTACGATTGGGACAAACAGCGAGGAACAAAGAAGTGGAATTATGTAAATAGAAGGGTAGTCGCTTGAATTCGTTTCCTTGGTGAACATCGCGACGAATGAGGATAAATGTCATGAAAGATTTGTAATTTGAGCAGCGCTTAAAACTTCTACAGCAGGCTTCATGAGGAGGAAATTCTTGTCACACAAGGAACGCTGCGAGCTGCTACGAATGCCGAGTGTCGGGAACATGTACAAATATTGTGCAAATTTACTTCGACTTCGGCAAAAATAACCTAGAGAATGATACCCAGAACACTTAATAACGTTGCTCGTTTCGCTCTTTTCAACCAACTGGATGCAAAACTGAAACCAATCAGTACTTGGTAATGTGGGTCTTTCATGCATTTTCCTTCGTTCTGATTGGCTGATTTGATTATATTGAGTTAAGATTAAAATGAGTCGATCCTAAAGCTCCCTAAGTGAAAATGAACAACAGGAGAACATGCGCAGAGATACCAACCTGATTGAGTGCGGAGGATCTGGGTACCGACTTCAGGGTTGTAAAATCCTACCAAAGCCTTGTTTAGTTCTCTTGTCAACGCAGATTCTTCAAACTGAGTCTCTCTTGGCATATCCTTGAACCGTTTTGCGTCAATTGCTACCACTGTGGTCTGAAAATCACCGTCTTTATCCCGCTTTAACAGAAAATGGCACTTCTTTCAGAGCAAAATAAACCCACTGATTTCCGGAATATTATTGCCAAGAACATTTTTGATATTCAAATTATTTCAAGGTTCTAACTTAAGTACAGACAAGTTTTCAAATCCTCGACAGTGGGTAGTTTTGTAAAGTTACAGATTTCTCTTACGGTAAAATGCCTTGGTCTCTGTTAACTCCCCGGAATAATTCAAGAAAGTCAAACGCTGTTTACGCATTCCATTTTTTCTGATCATAATCTATCAAAATGCTCTTTTTTAACTCAAAGACAAGCGTTCAAGCAAATCTAGTTCACCGTTATAATTGCGGCAAAGAGCCAGTATTCACAGTTTTCAGTAAATGGTCTTTATTCTACCCAATCGTTCGCTTAGCAAATGATATTTTCCAAAAATAAGACTGAAAATTTACCTCTGAATCGTCGTTAAAGTCGCCAGTGAAGTTAAAGGTTCTTCCGTATCCCGAATAGGAAGAAAATCTTTCAGCTCCCTGGAACAAATCCATACGCAGAGACAAATTAGCGCACACACTCTTACTATGGTTCTGAATAAATTGATTTTAAACTGACCCTGATCACAATTCCTTCATTATCCTGCATGGCCTCCATAGTCATCAAAGCCACCAGTAATTCAGGGTTGATGCAAAACCTGATCTCCTCCTGGAAAAGAAAAGAAACTTTCTTAAAAATCAATACCTTTTAAAGTAGGGAAACTATCTTTAAGAAACTGTACTGTTTGGGGAAAGGTATTTACCCTCCTTTTTACAGATATCTTTTTTATTTCAAGTACATCACCCCTCCCAAAATACCACAGTTTCTTTCCACAACTTATTCAATTTGTAACAAAACACATTTGATGAGTACATGACTACTGATTTGATTTAAAATTTAAATAAAGGGTAATACCTGGACATGACCTGCACCCAAAACACCTCCTCCAATGAAACGGTTTGCAAAGTCTACCTGAAATATTTTATAAATCAGATGATACTTTCATTGGTCTTTAAGTCCTAACTAAAACTCATTTTACTCTGTTTCCTTTATATATGAGCACTGGTTAATTTGGAGAGGCCACAGGCTTTCTCAAAGTCATAAATGATCATAAATTTTGCATTAATCAACTACCAACTCTACTCTGCTAAAGATGGACTAGCAAGTTTCAAACTTTATTGAAGGATTTCAATTCTTCAAGTGAACATAAGTTGCTGTTTCTGTTACACTGGCTAAGAAATAGGGTTGATAACCAACTTGTGTTTGGAAAAGAAGCCTGCATTCCTCAGGGAAGAAAAAGGCCAACTAAACTCAACAGAGCATCAGAACCATTGTCAAGGTGGGCACACAACAGTTTCAGATTTCAAAACAAACCTGGAGCATATGTTCTCCAGAATTTTCTATTGATGTCTTGTTATCAACAATAACTGGACACAGAGGAAGGTCACATGACATCCAGTCATCAAGTGAAGGAAGAGAGTTACTTGGTATAACCTGGTAAATCAAATGAACAAACACCCTAAAGAAGCAAGTCACTTTAAATAAGGAAGTCTTGAATTGTTGGATTTTTTAATTTTAATTAAATTTCCACATATTTTGGATAATAAATATATCAGAATGATCAAATGGGCTGCTGAGGGAACCTTGATACAGTTGATGACATCCAAATATACTTTCTAAAAGTCTGACAGAAGTTCCACTATGTAACACTTTCCTATCATTGAATATTTTGTAAGCTCAAAATTTCTTTGATTAATTCATTATTTCAAAGTCACCTGTCTGCTGTAGAAAACTCTTCCTGTAACATCTGGCCAGACACTGCTAAGTCTTTCAAAATAGTGAATTAGACATCGCAGCTTTGCTGCCTGAGCATCTTGGATATCCTCTCTTTAGAAAAAAACAGCAAAATTAGGTAGAGAACTGGAATATACATCATCACCTGTTGAAAAATCATGTTTAGATATTCATGTTGTATATTCATGACAGGTGGGAAGATTCAGTGACTTTAAGGTAAACATACTAGACTCTGAGTCAAGAGGTCCAAGCTGTGGCTAGGTCACTGTGTTGGGTTCTTGTACAAGGTTTATATTGTAATGGAGTCTCACTCTACCCAAGAGCAAATTATGAAGTCCTTTCTCCCTCTTTCCAATTATGTTAACTACCAGTGTGTCCATGGCATCTTGCAGACCATATTTTCAGAGGCAAGAGGTGGAGGAAGGGGGTAAATTTCCAAATAAATGTGTATGGGACTGAAGGTACCAATTAACTTTCAGAGAAATGCAATTAATTCCTAAAGGATTAATTATGGTGGACAAACAAGCTGTCTAGGTGGTGTGGTAAAAGTCCCAGTCACTGCTGGTTACAAAAAATGGGATTAGCTTTGGTGGCAATGTATTCTACTTTGGTAAATTTTAACCACATAACCCTTAATTATAAAAGAGGAAAAAAATTAAGGAGGGATAACATAGACAATTCACACAAGCACTCAGCTGCAGCCATCACCTCTTAAAGAAACTATACTTCTACAAAGATAGCCTGCAGAGCAGGTGTAATTCTGGCTAGTGAGTGCTCAGTATTTTCTTAGCAAAAATTAGGGCTGCTATCTTTTATTTTAATGACAGAGGAAGGCTGGAAAGAGAAAGAAATTTGTACCAGGGGGCAGTTGACGGTCAAAAATAAGGAAAGGGGTAGGGGGAAGGAGTGAAGATATTTAACGTTAGCTCGCCCTCATAAGTCACCTGCACTGAAGGTTACTGCAAAGAGAGAGAGAGAGAGAGAGGGAATTGGCACTAAAACACATTTGCAACAGTGATTGTATGTAACTTCAAGTTGCATTACTTAAAAACCCTCCACATTTAAAAAAAACCTACCTGTGAAAACATGTAAACAAATGAACAAAGTTAATGGATCTAACTTGGATGTCATCTGCTGGTGGGGGAAATGCGCAGAGAAATGCTGAGGCCAGAAGGCATGCAATGAATCTTCTGTCAAGGACAATGCCAGACTCTGCAACATAATTATGATTTTACATGTTGAAAAAACCTGAGTTTTTTTATTTTGAAAAAAAATGGGAGATCTAGATGAAAAGAGTAGCTTGATGGTTGGAAACTATGTATCTAAAGAAAAAAAGACGTTTGCGAAAAGAAAAAAAAAGGCAACAACATGATACTGATGTCCATCCGTCCAAACTATCGAGAAGTGATAATCAACACATTTTGTCTATTACTATTACGATGTTAAATTAATCGTGCTTTTACGGATCGGGGTCAATAACTTAAAGATAGTCTTAATCGAACGAGTTATATCTTGTTCAATACAATGCAAAATACCAAACATCAAAGGGAACAGATGCCAAAGTGTTGTTGACAAAAAGATCTGACGGCAAAGATGTCTCACTGCATTTGAAGGTAGCAATCAATACGTCACGTTTGCATAACTGCGCTAAGGACACTCATTACCGCACGATTGCTGTAAAGCCTCATCATTCCGTGATCTTCACAGGAAACTATTACAAATTCTACTTTTCGAACAAGTTTTCGGAAATTATTTTAAACTTTTGCGTAAATAAGTTCTAATAAGAAAAGATGTCCTTAACGATTAAGCCTGTTAGAGATTCTGAAGGACTTTTACAGTAACAAAAGAGATTAGAAGAACTTTTGAATTGTCGTGAGAATTTGTTAACGGTTTTCAACAACAACAGCGGGGCGTACTCGACAAATTATTGTCCACCGCAACAATAATAGAGGCGCTCTCGTGAGATCAAGCTCATTTTGAAACATGTTTCAAATGAAGATTGCCCTTCACAGCTCTGCTGATGGTTGCACATCATTTGTCGAGCTAAATCGCTTAAAAAATAAAATTGTTAAACTATCAATGGCTGTATCCAATATCGGTAATTATAAACAACACTAATACTCACCTCGCTGTTGTGAACACAGGAGAATGCCTTCACTGGGAGCAAACTCTTCGATGCTTGATGCTAAACTCACGATGAATGGAAGAATTGTCTCGAAAAATGTTGCACTTTCTTTTTCTGTTGCAATCTTATCAAAAAACAGCTGTAACCCTTGAAAATGCCAGCTTAGCTTCAAGGAATCGGAAGTTTCTTTCGCGCCTGACCGATCGTTAGGAACTCGGAGTTGTTTGATGTCATTACCAGAAACTTCAAAAATCCTTTGTAGAACTTTAACAAGATCTTCTGTATCCTTCACTCCCTGTAGCTTCGCATAGAGATTTTTCAGCTCTGACCACCTTCCCTGATCACTAAATGGCAGATCAACATGCTGAAAACGTGCATAAACCATGATCCCTTAGATCAATCGATCACGCCGAATGAGAGACGAACTACTTTGAAATGGTTCTGCATGAAACATGATGATAATCATTAATTCCTGTAGTGAAAGACATATAATGCCTGTTTCTTCAGACGGCAAATCGATAGCCTTTCTTTGGAAACAGAAAGTATGATATGATAGCATTGTGCTGTAACACTGAACAGGACAATAACAGTGCCAATTTAATCGGGCGGAACATAATAGACTTGGTAAGATCTTATTTCAGTTTCTCATCACTCAGCTATAATGGACCCTGTAAAAGACGATTAAGAATATCAACATCAATCAACAAAAATTTCCAACATTCTTTAGATAAGCTGTGTTTGTAATCACAATACAAATAACCTTAGCAAAACACACATCTGCTCAAGCATTTTGGGTTTTGTCTTTAACAAATATTTCCACCACCTCTCTTGACACCACGGCAGATCCACTCTGTCATAGAGGTGCCAGATTAAAACTGAAAAAATAAAACACGATAGCAGTTTTTCTACCTCTCTTTTTTTCCATGGAAAGCAAAGAAATAAGTTTGATACTTACCTCTTTGTTACCATTTAAGGAAATGACTTTGTATTAAATAATTGATTCAAGACTTGCTCTGTTCCACCCAAAGGTTTAATTCTCAAATCAAAAACAGGCATTCATCTGTGAGCCAAATTAACTTTCTTTCAGGTTCCCTAACACACATCACAGTCCTATTCGTTAAATTTTGAAATAACTGGACTAAAGGAAATCTTGACATCTTGAATTTTCTTCCACGAACGGCAAACTTTACTCCTTCATAGCGGTTTTTAGAGATAGTCACGCAGTAGGGTGTGCGTTGCGTGACACCTTGAAGGACGACGACAAAGGATGATACCTTCTACTTAGGAGAACACATTTTTGTTTCCCTGGGAAAGAGTGGGCAAGGGGGTTTCATGTGACATATCAGTTCACATCATAACAAGAAAAAATAACCTTCCTCATTACATTGATGATGGCCTTGCTTACCATTTATTTCCCCGTGACTCAGTGATAATGCTGAAAAGTGAAAATCCAAAGATCTGACATTATATTTCTTGGGGAGAGGGGGTGCTCGTATTTTTCTCCATCTCACAAGAGAAATAACATTTTCTTTATTTGACAACCAAGCACCAAGTTATCCATTTTTTGGTTTCAGTCCACTGAGTGTTTACATACTTTGGAAAGTTTAGTCTGTACCCAAACATCATCTGTCTACATGCAGAGGAATAACACTCATTCCCCAACACTTATATAGTGAAGGCCTACTCATGGGCTATGGCAATACTTCTTCAAACCTTTCATTTCACACAATGAATAATTTTAATGCTATTAGAGTAAAAAAGAAAGCCTTAAAAATCATCTCTGAGCATAAACACACTACAAAAAAATACTTTGCTCTTTTCAAACAAAAGTATTATCAATTTCACAATCAACTAAATACACTCCAAATGAAAAAAAACACAAACTAGTCAATATAACATATATTAGCTGGCTCTAACAAAGGCTAAAAAACCTCTGAAGACATGTTTTAGCTACAATAGTCCCCTTTCTGATGATTCAAGCCCAAAAAATCATGTCCAATGACAGTAAAACAATAAAATGTTACATGACTTTTGAGGTGAAGAGCAAACTACAGTTTTTTATTTTTTTCAAAACTTTTTGATTGTTGGATTTCACCCAAAAAATGTTCATAACACTTGACCTTAACTCTAAATTTGGGTCAACTAAGTGGAACAAGATCACAAAAACAAACAGACTGTAACACTGTCTATAATTTTAATATATAAATGAAATTTTAATAAATAAATGAACTCAGAGGAACAGACACTTTTAACAAAATTAAAATACAACAGATGACAACTGTAGTTTGAGAGCTAAAAAATTGTACCAAGAGCCTCAAACCATGCAAGGATAGTATTATCATTTGTTGCCCATGCTTCAAATTCTTCAAAAGAAATCTTGCCATCTTTGTCTTTATCTGCACAATGGAACACATTGTTCACCATTTCATCTATGGCATCTTGTGACATAGCCTCCATTATCGGTGACCTGCCATCAACTCCTTTTGCACTCGTGCTACTCCCTGGGTTGTTCATTAACATCACTGGTTTACCATTTGCTGTGGATGGCCCTGCATCACTAGGAATAGGAGCATTAAATATTGCAGATACTGGCTTGTCACCTGAGTCATCAAAAGATGCCATCATTTCTTCTTCACATGATCTCACAACATCACGAACAAGTTCAAGGCTTATTTCAAAGTATGCTTTGAACATGTTTCTAAGGTTCTCTTTAGAAATGTACTCTTTCTTTTCAATGTCACAGCCAGCAAAAGCATAAGAAATCTTCTCTTTCTCACTTCCTTTCACAAGAATGGACAAACCAATGACAAACTCATCAATGTCAATGATACCATCATCATTTTGATCATAAAATTTAAACATCTGATCCATGACAAGATTCTTGTGTTGTCCCAAGGGTCCTAAACATTTGTCAAACACCTCACGAGTAATTCCCTCTTTCTTAGTGGCCAGAGTTTTGAACTGTTCAACAAGTGCTTCTATCTCTGATTGATCAAAGTAAGTTTGCTCACGGAGACTTTGAATGTCATCCCAAGACAAGTCACAGGGATGATCCTTGATACCTGAAAAGCAAAACAACATTAATTTCAGAATATTTGTAGTTCAGAAAATATTTTCTGTCTGTGACCTACATATTATTTCTTTTCACTAGCTGCCCCATTTGGTTTAAAAACAGGTCTACAACAAATCTCTTGCAGATGAAAAATATAAGAAAATACAATAGCACAATTTAATCAAATTAAATTTTTAGGCACAAAGAAACTTTTTATAGACATAGATCTGCATGACTCAAGCCATCATCAGTTTTTCCTTATACACTTTTAAGTTACTTGAAGAATATCGTTATCACGAAGTTATAGGTAATTGCACAATCAAATTTATTAAAAATATGTCATTCACTATACGTAACTACTTTGACCCTAGTGAAAACACACTTTGAAATAATTCCTGAGTTATTTGTGTTACTCAATTTAAGGCACATTGCTGTTAATTTGCAGGCCAGTGGGATTTTAAGTAGAGCATTGGCAGTCCTCGTGGCTGGAGATTTCGAAAGATCATTGACAGAAAAAATGTAACTAAAGCTCAAAATGTTCCTTGGATACGTTATCAACAAATAAAAGAAAATTTTTTTTTCATATTTAAAAAAATTTTCCAAGAACACTCAAAAAATCATCGATATAAAGGATAGTTATTTTCTTTATTCTTACCTGGGTAGAGAGGTTTAATGCAAGGTGCTCTAGGATTTGTGAGAGGAGGCATTGGAATTCTGATCTTCAGAAACAGATGAGTTTTGTTATGATCATCTCTCGCTTCACAACGCTCGCACACATCATAATCAACACAACTAGAACATTTATATCGTATTCCACAAATCGGACTTGCTTGGCAAGAGTTACAGGTAATTCCACGGTGAATGTACCCTTCTCTTCTGGCCTGATCTTCCGCAATGTTGAACAAAAGGTTCAATAGATGTTGTCCTTCCAGTTTTATTTCTGTATCGTCAATGACAGCATTTCCTTCCGCCTCAGAAGTATCAGATAAATTACGCACCGGGGTCACTGCACTTTGTATCGAATGCATGTGTTCCAAAGATCTTGGCAAAGGATCGTCGGCTGAATTTCTCCTTTCTGTCTGGTTTGTGGTTCTTGGAAGGAAAAAGAACCGTCTAGCTGTGTTCGCTCCCATGAAAAGAGCAACACCGACCGCCGCGCCAAACGCAAACTGTGTGACAGACCCCATGACTGAACGAAATTTGTGAAATCAAATTAAGAACAGCATCTGTTATTAGGATCATGTACATCTCACTGCCAAAATTCTCATTTTAACCCTAAATCACTCCAAATTGGAATAATTTCCGATTCGAAGTGGGCGCTTTTTTTAGATGTACTAGGCCATTACTTGAACCAAAAGTACAGCGGCTAATCGAAGTACACATGCTCAGAGAGATTTGTTATTCAAACTACTTCAAACTCACTAATGGCGGGTGTAGAAACTAGCCGTGGTCAGTTAAAAGATACAAGGAGGGCTTTATTTCGGACCCCAAATCAAGATGACAATAGTAAGGCACCAGGTGAAGAGATTTCATGTTTCCTCTCAGTGCAGGTTTAAATTCTCCGCATTTTCTCGTTTCAAAATTTTTGCCCAACTCTAATCTCTGATTATAATACTTTGCCACAATTTACAGAAGCGTTGGAGGCCTTACTAAACAGAATTCAAGTAGATATTGAAGTGGACTCTAACCTTCAAGGTCTTAGAAAAGGTAGTCTGGAAATCCTCAATAATTTCATCTCTCAGAATTGTTCATTATAGAGCATGAATCAAAATCAGTCAATCAATCGACCAGGTAGAGGGAATTACATGTTTAACAAGTCAAGATATTTCTAATTAGCTTTAGATGAGTGATGCCGAGCTGTTTGTTCATAACTGTGATGCATGTACCTCTCTCACTTTTTGGTGATGTCGCTAATTGTGACCTACTCGTTGAGCATAATGCACCCCTCCCCACACAACCTCCAACCATAGCGAACAATTAGTACACTGTACCTAATACAGATTCGACAGGGATAACGTACAAGTTGCGATTGGTTACACTTTGTTCTCAGCTTGCTCTGTAATTGCCAATCATGAGCGACTAATTTTTTCTTGTGAGTGTACTTCAAGAAGGGATCAGATCTTGCATTTTCACCCAACCTTGTACAGATTTAAGACCCTTTTTTACAATTTTTTCATTTCATTTCAGAGATCCATGAACAGACCCTTAGTAAGTTGAGACAGGAACTGACTCAGATTGGTCAAGATGAATGGATGTACAAACCCATTGATCAGATTATTGGATTTTGAGTTGTTGTTTACATTGCACAATTAGTTGCAATAAGGTCTTCAGAATGAGTCTAAGGCATTGATGATTGATAGACATTTCAAGTCAGAGGTAATTCACAAGACAACGTGGGGCAGGGTATGGCAATGTTGGCCAAACAAGAGACAGTCTCCTTTGGGCTGATATGATGATGCTGTGTTGCTTCAGTTATTTCCACCATGACTGTACCTGAGAGAGAATTTATAAATATATGTTCAGTGCAATGAGTTTGAGATGGGTGAATGAGTGAGACACTGAACCCTTTAACTCTCATGAGTGACCAAGGCAGAAATTCTCCTTACAATATCAATACAATATCAAGCAGAGAAGTGACGAGAATAAAGAAAAATATAAATTAGGGGATAAGTTGATCCAATACCAAATTCTCCAAACAAACATCATGAGAACTGTATGGCAGACAGTAAGGAGAAATACTGATGAGATCTTGGGAGTGAAAGGGTTAAGGCCCTAAAACCACCATCCATATTCTGTACACTCTCATTTGTACTAACAAGAAGAATTTGCTTGACAACCAAAGCTTTTTAAGTTGGTGATCATTTCCTTTATTCTTATGATCTTAGCAAATTATTCAGCAGTATTACTCTTAGGAGAAATAACATTCTGATCACTCCCAGGGTCAAAAGGGTTAAAATCAAGGCTTGCTTTCATGTTTCATTTTGAATTTATTTATTGTTACATTTGTTTCTGTTTTTTGGGCTTTCAAAAATCATAAATATTTGGAAACTTTTGAAAATAATAACTTTTGGTCAGACAAGTCTATGGTAGCTAGAAAAGGAAACACCAATTTTTTGAATCATTCTTTTATCATCAAACATGTAAAAGGATAAAATAAAAATTAATATCTGAGTAGAAGCTTCTTGTTGCAGCTGTATTATATTCTTCCACTTTTCTCATAGGCTTATCATGTTAAGTTAGTTTTGATCCAATTTTCAAAAGTCAAAATGTGCATAGTTATTGCTTATCAGTCTGATAAATAAAAAAGAAAGGGAAGGACAAAACCTGAAAAGACAACTGAAATATCCTTGATTTAATTAACCTTATTTCATAAATTAATTCGTTGCAATGATAATTGTGAAGAAAGATGAGGTAACCAGTGATCATGACTTGCACTGCAATGCATTTAATGAAGTTTTACTCATTAAAGTTCATTAAATTAATGCAATAAATAAACTGAAGAATAATTAAGTTACAACAAACAAAGCTTATAAATATTGATTCTATGTTGATTGTTGTTTTAATTAGTTCATTTTTACACAAAGCTACGCAATGTAATTTCCAGAAAATAATCTTAAAAATAAAGTTTCCTTTAGATTCTATTCACATATTTACACCAAATGAGTTTTACCCATCTTAAGCTCCTATAACACCTATGCTCAATAGCTGCAAGGTTGGATAATACTATGCCTTTCCACACATAAAAATTTTCAGCCCTTGAATATAACAGGCTGGGTATATTATGTACAGTGCATCTACTAAAACCCACCACCTCCCACAGATCATTCATATCTATTGAAACAATAAATTCCAGCATGGTCTGATCATGTCAATTAAATATCAAATACAAAACAATGAAATCTCTAGTTTGTTAGCAGGTGAGGTTTGTGTAACTACAGTGTTCAATAATTATGTGCAGGGCTTAGATCTCCTTTACATGCAAAAAAGCCATTCAAATGGTTGGGGTTCAGTAGATGGAAATACACCTTTTGACATAAAAAAGCTTGTATAACTTTGATTTAAAGTAATACTTGTGACAGACATTCAAGGATACAGTAATTTGTAAGGACTGTCAGCCTTAACACACTATTTACTTCATACATCCCAGCCTATCAACACAAGCTCTTTAAACATAACCCCATTGCCAAGTTAACCCTTTCACTCCCAAAAGTAATACACATGCAACTTCTTACAATTCCATTCAGTTATATCGTAAATAGGGTTTGAGAACAGGCAAGCTCATCAGCTGGAGGGTGATATTGAAACCACATTCTGCAGTCCATTGTACAAGGAAAAGTTTGACACTTAGTAGGGAGAATTAGAATTTGGATCTTGGGAGTTAAATGGTTAAGATGTTGCAGATAATTAAAAACTTTGTATGTTAGTGGATTACCATTGAGATTTTTGGCAGAATGAGTGATCTCTAATAAATATTAACCCTTTAAATTTTTCCCACATTGCATTTATATTCAACTCTACAATTATAATTGAAGATAATAAACAGTTAATGATTTAATTCATAGTACAGACCAGCTATACCTTGATTAAATTTACACAAGCTATATTTACCTATTTGAAACCTAACTACAAACCTCTGCAAGGGTCTAGGTCGGGAGACAAAAAGTTAAAAAGCAGACAGTGAAAAAACAGTGATAACATTTTTCTCTTCCTGCCCCTTTTTGCTCCTTCCCACAAACTTGGATCAGTAACACTATTCTCTATATTTACTACTGGCATATTGATTTTATTGATAACAAAAATAATAATTAAAATACAAATAATAGTCTTCCTGAGTGGAACAGCACTTGTAGGTATATCATATGCTCATCAATCAGCCATCATATCCAAGTAACTTGCTGGAACCCATCCTTCCTCAACAGTTCTTTGGTGTCGTGCAAACCACCACCCTTCCTGTCCAACTCTCAACAGTTCCAGAGTGTCTCCTTCTTGGAAAGATATCTCAGTGCTTTCCACAGCATCATAGCCAGCTACAGCTACATACTTAGTCCCACTGGATGGAAGATCTTTATTGTCATTATCTGTCAAATTCTGTAAAGATTTATTGGAAAAAAATCATCAGCTACAAAAACCACCAGAAATAAAGCATTGCCAATATAGTGTTCATTATGCTCCATCTCTCCAACACTTTGCCACATTGTTTTGGACGTGAGATTTAATTCAGAGGGCAGGCAGTTTATGTTTAAAAACTCTTGTTTTCAACTACAACAATTTCTAGTAATGGTAAATGCAATTCCATATGTTCTTCCCATTAGTCATAATACAGAGTAGTTATAAAAACTTGAGATGGTAATTGGGCAATGAGATGTAATATAATTAGTGTATTTACCACAAACTCAGTGCTAGTATGTGCATCATAGTGACTGTCGTTCTGTTCTGGTTCATTGTGGGGAGACTCATCACTGTTGTCAGAGTCAAATTCATCAGTATCAAAGCCATCATCATCATCACTGGCGTTATTTCTCTCCATAATGTTTGAATACCTAACATTGCAGAAGAAAAAGTAAGAATCACTCATTATGTTTTTATTGAAGAATTGTTCACCAAGGGTAGGTCACTGTGTGTAAGCAATAATTGTAATTATTTCAACCTGTTGCTGTTGTTGTTGCTAGCTGCAACACTTGATGCAATTGAAAATGAAGATTGACTTCGTGATCTTAGCTGTGATTCTGTTGAAGTAGGTGCTGACGACAGGGCTGAGGTTGACTTCCAACGATCTAAAAAATACAAAAAAAACAGTCTTTGATGAAAATAAAGATTCAGCTAAATGAAACCATCAGACATGATTGATCAGTCATTTAAGATTTATCCACATCTTTGCTATGACACACTCACCATGAATTGTTGATTGTTCTGAAAAGAAAACAAAATGATAGAAAAATTATCACTGGTTAACTAGAGTTAATCGTACACTGTAAATGCTAATGACTTTTTTAACCCCAACCCACATTATGTTTGAAAACGTGTGTTTAATGTTTTGATTCCCTCAGTATGAAAGGTTGATCTGGTGGATATCATTAATATCTTTTTGAACCAATCATTAAGTTTCCCCTGAAGCGACACTATAGGAAATCTAATTATCATCCAAGCTTCCACTGTGCTGTAACCACAGGACACTGTAATGATCAAAGAACAGAAAAAAGAAATGCTTCTCCCCTGATTTTTAACTGTAAGTGTACTTCCAAAAAAAAAACCTTGTACAACACAAGGTAAATTTAAGACTAAAATAAGTTCAATATTCTTAATTCTTACAGCACACCTTTTACTTGGTCAAACTGAGACTGAAGAAGGTTTCTTATTTCTTTCACCCAACGGGTTTTAACTTCCAGAGACACAGGCTGAAATATGAACAAAGAGAGGTGGCATTCAACAGTGAGCCAGTAAATAGCAGCTGTGATATCAGTGTTTTTCATGTAACAAGTTACCATCAATGTTTTATTGGGTTTGGACTTAATAAAAGGAATATGAGCTGTACCCACAAGTTCTATAACACTCTTTCAAAATTTATCAGGACTATACCACTCTTGAAAAAGTGGCCCCTCTCCCCTTCCCCCTACCAGGGCAAAATGCAACACCAGCTTGGCATTCCTTGAACCTGCACACCTCTCAATGACACTCGGAGTAACTAATCTTCAGTCTAAATTGAAGCATTTTAGCCAGCTTGCCTCTCCCTTCTCTGACTGCAAGCAAGACCTTCTACTCCTCACAGAAATACCAAAACAATTTTGTTCTGACAAGCATTATTAGCGTACATCAAGATCAAGTGCAGTGAAAGTTACTCACTTGCAAAAGAAAGACTTCTGATCTTCCATTTCGCCAAAGCTCAAACTTTTCTGGGGCATCTGGCACTGTTTCAGTGAATCCCACATCACATGTCTACAAGTATGCAAGCAAACAAATAAAAATTCTGTACATTATGACAATGTTGTAACAATGTTTAAGGTAACAGTGTTTAAGTCCAAACCTATATTTAATTTCACTGTGTTTAATCATTCAATTCAATAATAATACACCAGAAAATAATTTGTTGCATGAGGGAAATAATTCATACTTAGTAGTGACTGCTGGTGTTGGGTAATTATCAAGGACTAAATAGAATGAAAGCATGTAGCTTTTTTGAAGCAAAATTTCCACCTTGCATGGAACTTTGACAGGTCAGTGAAATATAATTTGAAGATTTCATAAAGAGAGAGACAACTCAAATCTTCATTTAATGGACCCATGTGAACTATTAAGAATTAACCAAATCATAACCTACCTTTATATCTTTCCTGTACTTGTACAGGACTGCTTCTTTACTTGTTTCTTGAACATCCTTTTTGCTAAAGATAATCGACTTTTCATACATAAATACTTGCCGTTGCCTTCCTCCTTTAAGGGGCAACACTTTCAGACTTTTATTTGTTTCCCAAACCATAAAAGAGTCCTGAAGGAGCAACTTTCCTTGCTCAGCAAGGTTACCAGGAAATCCTCTTATGCAGCATGAGTGCATGACATCATTGACATGTCTTAACACTCCTTCCATGGTGTCAAGAGCTTTCTCTAAGTCATCATATGCAGTGCTGTTTCTAAGTGTAAGTTTCATCATTTTACTCAGCAGCTGCTGATATTTTGTAATTCTCTGGACTGGTTTGAGGAGGTACGCACTCAATGGCAGTCGATGAGCAAGTCTTTCTTGACATTCCTGTGAAAAAAGTAAGTACTGCATCAGTCAAGAGCCTGAGTGAAGTGCACTTGAAGAGTTGAGTGGTCATGAAAAACTAAGATGGTCTTGGTAATTTGTTTTATCAACTACATGAGCTGATAAATAAATGAGAACTGTCCAACATAGAATACTCTTTAGCTGAAGGTTCAAGGTTTAGTGCTTTGTCAAAAGCTGATTATGTTGATATCTTGGGCAAGTGCCTCTCTCCACTTAGCAGCTTAAAAGGGTTCCAGCCAACATAGACACTTAGCAGCTTAAAAGGGTTCCAGCCAACATAGACACTTGCTGAAATGGCACAGGTGGCTTGATTCATTTTATTCAATGAGAAAAACAGTGCTCCAATAACAGTTTGCACTCTGGAATAGCCTTTGACAAGAATGAGCAAGCACAAAACCTTTCTTTTTTGTGGCATTTACAGTAGCTAACAGTGTGGACAACGAAAGTAGCTCTTAGAACAAGATAATGTGGTCATATTGGCTACCACATATTTGGCTTTGAAACTCTTAATGGTGGCCAATTTACGTTATCAACTCAGTTGATAATACCAAATTACCTTGCTATACTCTCCCACTGACACAACACCACATTTTCTATAGAAACTAACCCCCTTTATTCATTTAGCTCTTAGACAGCCAGTCAAAGAAATTTCTTAATGCTTGACAGAACATAGGAACCCAAATAGAGATATTGAAGTAAAACTAGAATGTTACTCAAGAAAGTTTTATTATGGTTTGCATTTCAGTAAACAGAAATCTTACCTTGAAGAAAGGCAGATTAATGTAATCCAGTTCCAATGCCTCAGAACTTCGTTTGTTCTTGCAATACCTTGCATACATTTCAAATTCATTACTCTTCTTGATAAATGTAGCACCCACCAAAGATGGCTGATCTTGGCAAGACTCCAACTCACGTAAAAAGTCATTCTTGTGAAATTCATAAATCTGTTCAATATTTCCAAATATTATATTCCTTTTTCCCCGTAGATCTGCAGGAATCTTTTTTCCAGCACGTGCAAATTCCTTCAGGTATCCTTTGACAATGTGCTCTAAGTCATAGACATAATCTTTTTCTGTTTGGATCAGTTCTTTCATCGCTTGTGACCACTTCTTTGCAGCCTCTGAACTGTCAGTGCCATCTACAATATCTCTCTTTTACCAAAGAAAACAAAGGGAAATTAAAGAAATGAATGACTGGAAGACTGCAAATATTTCAGCAATTATGAACATCATTTCTTCAAGTACAAATAAATTATAAGTTAAGGAACAGAAGAGTTTTAACCAATGAGTAAGAGGCAATTCTTCCCAAAAACTCTTTGCCTGTTCTCCAGAGCACAGAAGAGGGAGGGTTTTCTAATGAATCAGTCTAAAGACTGAGTTTATCACTTTTATCAAATTAAAAAATTCCAACTTTTTCTGACTAGTTTTGGGTAGATTACTTGCATTTTACAAAAATTCAACAAAGGGAGAAAGAAGGGAATTTTTTATTTCATGTAAGTAAACATACCTGTATACTTGGCTCAGAGAGGGATGAATGCATGCCATCTTGCACCTGAAGACTTTCTAACACAATGGACACTGGTTGCTTGGGTGATTCAGGTGCATTGGACTTCTTAAACTCAATCATGCGCCTCTGAACTATAGGCAAAGAAATCATTTAAATGTTGATAAATTGATCATTCAATGAAATAAAACTTCTAGTTTGCAAGTTGGGTAAATGTAAGTCATGTAGTACAGAATACCAGGCTGAAAGCCTCTTGCATTACACAAATTGTGGAACTTTTTTAACACCGACCTGGACTTTTTAAATTTAGTTGTTGACTAAATTTGCACTTATAATCTTTTTGCTCACCAGGAATAGAAGCTTGGCTGCCAGGAAAGGCTGAGACAGGCTGCACTGGTTGCTTCACAACAAGTTTCTTTAACCTGATAAAAAAAGAGTAACACATTCAAATAATCAATGGTATATATAAGTTTTAAAATAACTGCAAAAAAAGAAAAAAAGGATGCTAAGATTTTAAATACATATCAATTTGGTACTACATCTGACATGCCAAGTGATATATCTATTGATGTCTGAGTCAATGTCTTCTTCATAACGCAAATTGCACTGCTACTTTTCCTAGCCAGGATGCTAATCGATGGTTGGTAGCCTTCTAGCAAGTATCAAGTTTCCTTGACATCTTGCTTATACTAATTTGTATCCCAAAATGGAGAAAGTAATGTATCTTCCCAAAGAACATCAATCAAAATTCTGAATTTCAGAAGGTCCCAGAGAAAAGGGACAATTATTGACAAGTTTGATAAATCAAGGGTTAAATCACCGGAATTAACAACAAATTCAAGCCACATGTGACTCTCCAGGCCAGGGAATCTAACCCGGGCCAGGGAATCAAACCCAGGCCAGGGAATCAAACCCAAGCCAGGTGGTGGAGGCAACCTTATTACCACTGCACACACAAAATATATTTACCTTTTTTCATGTTTGGCCTTCATATCAATGACTTCACTGATTCTCTTCGAGCTATCTTTGACTTTACTTATCAGTGTCTTGTTTCCAAGAGCAGTGCTGATGAGAGTCATATTCCTTGTGACCTTTGCAATGTTCATTCCTTGTGGACTCTTCAAGAAATTATCTACTTCTTCCAAAGCTTTCTCAGCTCCTTCTGAAGACTTTGATCTACCTATTAGCTGCAAAAGGTCTTCACCAGTGTTACACCATTTATTGACCTGATATGGGAAAGATATTGCCGAGGCAAAATTACCAAAAGCTCCAAGTCAATGAGTACAAAGTTGAAACCTTATTTCAGGCTGAGATTGAGGGAGTGCCTTGGGCATTAAGAACTAGAGAATTCTCTGGCTTTAACTGAAATTCGTCTGTCTAAATTTCAAAGCCCTGAGCTGCTTTTATTCAGGCATGGAGCAATTATCTTGTTTACTCTCCTTTTACCTTACACTTAATTTTCCTAATACCTCTATATGTCCAGGTTTTGCATGACAGTCTATATGTTCATAAGACACAATTACAAGGTTTCTAATGGAAACTTTTTGTCTTAAACCAGCTCTTATTGACCAATATAACTAATAGTATGAAACAACTGCAGTTACCATTTCAACACATTCATGTATATATATAGCTTTCTTCAAGTCATCTTCCCTCTTTAGTACGGCCTTATCAAACTTGTCACAGAGCTCTTTGATCTTATCACACTTCATCTTGATTGATTCCTTAGATTGTTCATGTGATTCTATCATTTTGAGTCCCTTGGCCATCAGGCCTTTGGCTTTGTCAAGAAGCTCCTGCTGAATGTAACAAGGCAAAAAAGCTTTTTTTTTGGCTGCACAAAGAAAGATCATTCATTTAATAGTCAGTTTGATGTGATAAAAAAATGGCCTAGATAAAATGAACTGAATGCCATGTGGTACTTAATTGTAATCAGACAAGTTGTAACTTATTGCTGCTCATTCAGTGTGATTATTGCAATCATTATAATCACAACAAAACTTAAAATCAATACTGAATCAATAAATAAAAAGTTGTACTTCATTAATTAACAACCACTCACTGTGCTCTTATCTGCAAATTCTGCTAGTTCATTCAGCATTGATTGGGCATCATCTCTTGAATCACCAAGATCAGTCATAGCTGATAGGTTGCTGAGTGATGAGAGAAGTAAGCCTGTTGTCTAAAAATGCAAATTTGAAAGAAAACTCATGTTTTGTTTTATTGTTAATACCGTATTTACCCGTGTATAATATGTGTCCATGTATAATACACATGCCAATTTTTGACCAAATTTTTCATAAAAAAAAGTTTTCACAGCAAAAAAAACGTTATTCTTCCTACAACTGACGTTTCCTAGTGGTAAGTTTCGTTACCATTTCGAATTTCTTATCACTTGTGATTACAGTAATACAGTACAATTGTAATGTTTATCTCGTTAGCTGTTTCTTAAATACTCCACTAAATTTAATTATGGATTGAAATTGAAAATGTTTCATTGGTAGATTATTTAACTCAGGCTAATAAAGAACAATTACTATGAGGCTTTCGTTACTTTCTTTGTTGTGTTTGTGGATCGCAATTGAAAATTTTTCATCTGTAGATTATTTAACTCAAGCTAATAAAGACTAATTACTACTAGGCTTTTGTCACTTTCTTTGTGTTTTTAACGTATGTAAATTAGGAAGTGCTTGAAAAACAATAGAGACTGTATAATATGCTCCGCAATTTTGATGGCTATTTTTATAGGAAAAAAGTGCATATTATACATGGGTAAATACGGTAAGTCATACTGCCACTGCATAGAGTCTGTTTACACCTCAATACAACACACTGTGCTGATAATTTGGTGTTAACAACTGAGTTTATAAATAAATATAAATTGACCCCTATTAAGAGTTTCTAAAACTGACAGTTTGAGTGGTAGCACTTTTTCTACTAGTGTGACATTTGTGGTCCTCTTATCTAAACATTTGCAAGGGAAGGGGGAGAAGTGAACACAAAATTAACCAAATAAACAAACCTGGTTTATTTCTCTCTCAAAAAGACACACTTTGAATCCATACCGATTCATCACCTTCTGCTCTTTCCCACGTTTTTCAACATCATTTTCAGTTGCCTTAAATTTCACTTTAAAGAATTCTGTTTGGATCAGTTCTTTCATCACTTGTGACCGCTTCTTTGCAGCCTCTGGACTGTCAGTGCCATCTAAAATATCTCTCTTTTACCAAAGAAAACAAAAGGAAATTAAAGAAATGAATGACTGGAAGACTGCAAATATTTCAGCAATTATGAACATCATTTCTTCAAGTACAAATAAATTATAAGGTAAGGAACAGAAGAGTTTTAACCAATGAGTCAAAGGTAATTCTTCCCAAAAACTCTTTGCCTGTTCTCCAGAGCACAGAAGAGGGAGGGTTTTCTAATGAATCGGTCTAAAGACTGAGTTTATCACTTTTATCAAATTAAAAAATTCCAACTTTTTCTGACTAGTTTTGGGTAGATTACTTGCATTTTACAAAAATTCAACAAAGGGAGAAAGAAGGGAATTTTTTATTTCATGTAAGTAAACATACCTGTATACTTGGCCCAGAGAGGGATGAATGCATGCCATCTTGCACCTGAAGACTGTCTGACACAATGGACACTGGTTGCTTGGGTGATTCAGGTGCATTGGACTTCTTAAGCTCAATCATGCGCCTCTGAACTATAGGCAAAGAAATCATTTAAATGTTGATAAATTGATTATTCAATGAAATAAAACTTCTAGTTTGCAAGTTGGGTAAATGTAAGTCATGTAGTACAGAATACCAGGCTGAAAGCCTCTTGCATTACACAAATTGTGGAACTTTTTTAACACCAACCTGGACTTTTTAAATTTAGTTGTTGACTAAATTTGCACTTAGAATCTTTTTGCTCACCAGGAATAGAAGCTTGGCTGGCAAGAAAGGCTGAGACAGGCTGCACTGGTCGCTTCACAACAGGTTTCATAAACCTGATAAAAAAAAGAGTAACACAAATAATCAATGGTATGTATAAGTTTTAAAATAACTGCAAAAAAAAGAAAAAAAAGGATGCTAAGATTTTAAATACAGATGAAGTGGTACCACATCTGACACACCAAGTGATCTAATAATGCCTGAGTCAATGTCTTCTTCATGATGCAAATTGCACTGTCTCTTTTCCTAGCCAGGATGCTAATCCATGGTTGGTAGCCTTCTAGCAAGTATCAAGTTTTCTTGACATCTTGCTGATACTAATTTAAATTGTATCCCAAAATGAAGAAAAGAATGTATCTTCTCAAAGAACATCAATCAAAATTCTGAATTTCAGACGGTCCCAGAGAAAAGGGACAAATTGATTCAATTATTGACAAGTTTGATAAATCAAGGGCTAAATCATCAGAATTAACAACAAATTCAAGTCACATGTGACCCTCCAGGCCAGGGAATCAAACCCAGGCCAGGCAGTGGAGGCACTCCTTACCACTGCACACACAAAATATAGTTACCTTGTTTTGCATTTGGCCATCACATCATTGACTTCACTGATTCTCTTTGAGCTATCTTTGACTTTACTTATTAGTGTCTTGTTTCCAAGAGCAGTGCTCATGAGAGTCATATTCTTTCTGACCTTTACTGTGTACCTTCCTTGTGGACTCTTTAAGAAATTATCTATTTCTTGCAAAGCTTCCTCAGCCTCTCCTGACGACTGTGATCTACCTATTGGCTCTGACATCCAAAGGTCTTCACCAGTCTTACACCATTTATTGACCTGATATGGGAAAGATATTGCCGATGCAAAATTACTAAAAGCTCCAAGTCAGTGAGTTAAAAGTTGACATCTTATTTCAGGCTGAGATTGAGAGAGTGCCTTGGGCATTAAGAACTAGAGAATTCTCTGGCTTTAACTGAAAATTGCCTTCTTAAATTTCAAAGCCTTGAGCTACTTCTATTCAGGCATGGAGCAATTATCTTGTTTACTCTCCTTTTACCTTACACTTAATTTTCTTAATATACTTCTATATGTCCAAGTTTTGCATGACAGTCTATATGTTCATAGGATACAATTACAAGGTTTCTATTGGAAACTTTTTGTCTTAAACCAGCTCTTATTGACCAATATAACTAATAGTATGAAACAACTGCAGTTACCCTTTCAACACATCCATGTATATATATAGCTTTCTTCAAGTCATCTTCCCTCTTTAGTACGGCCTTATCAAACTTGTCACAGAGCTCTTTGATCTTATCACACTTCATCTTGATTGATTCCTTAGATTGTTCATGTGATTCTATCATTTTGAGTCCCTTGGCCACCAGGCCTTTGGCTTTGTCAAGAAGCTCCTGCAGAATGTAACAAGATTAAAATGCTTTTTTTTTGGCTGCACAAAAAAGATCATTTATTTAATAGTCAGTTTGATGTGATAAAAAAATGGCCTAGATAAAATGAACTGAATGTCATGTGGTACTTAATTGTAATCAGACAAGTTGTAAATTATTGCTGCTCATTCAGTGTGATTATTGCAATCATTATAATCACAACAAAACTTAAAATCAATACTGAATCAATAAATAAAAAGTTGTACTTCACTTATTAACAACCACTCACTGTGCTCTTATCTGCAAATTCTGTTAGCTCAATCAGCATTGATTGGGCATCATCTCTTGAATCTCCAAGATCAGTCATTGCTGATAAGTTGCTGAGTGATGAGAGAAGTAAGCCTGTTGTCTAAAAATGCAAATTTGAGAGAAAACTTATGATTTGTTTTACTGTTAATAAGTCATACTGCCACCGCATAGTCTGTTTACACCTCAATAAAACCCATTGTGCTGATAATTTGATGTCATTAACTCAGTTTATAAATAAATATAAATTGGCCCCTGTTAAGAGTTTCTATAACTGACAGTTTGAGTGCACTTTTTCTACTAGTACAACATTTGTGGCTATCTTATCTCAACATTTGTAAGGGAAGGGGGAGAAGTGAACACAAAATATAACCAAATAAACAAACCTGGTTTATTTCTCTCTCAAAAAGACACTCTTTCAATCCATACTGAATCATCGCCTTCTGCTCTTTCCAAAGTTTTTCAATATCATTTTCCATTGCCTCAAGTTTCACTAAGAATTCTTTCAATTCAGCTGCATTAGCTATGATGTCAGGAGTATACCACTCATCATCTCCATCTCTCTGCTTGGGATGGATACAATCCAAAAGCGTGACTCCTACTTGAAATGCACTTTCCATGTTTTCCTTGATATTCTGCCACATTCTTTTGAATCTTTCAATTGCCTGGAAAAAGAAGAATATGTGATATTTAGTTCTTTGTTTATACCTGTTATAACAGGTTCATCAAAATACAACTTATTTACTAAGCAGAGTACAAACAAGTTAGCAAATCAAGGTACTTACTGTTCTGTATTGAACCCATTGTTCATGTCTGTATTGTAGGCTACCACCAAGCTCTTCAGTTAGTTGTGATTTGTCAATGTATTCCTCCAACTCAGCAGCACAATTTAGAGAAACAACCTTGTAAGCAACAATGATATAATGGTTAATGCAATAAAATATTATTACCAGTAATCTTTGATCCTTTCGGTAGTCAGGGTATGTGGGGGAAGGTAATTCCTGCCTTGTTAGTTCCCACTTCATATTCCTGCTCCATCTCCCACACTCCTACCACAACCTCCCTCCCCCCCCCCCTTCCCATTCTCTTGGACCCCACCCATGCTCCCCTCTTCTTTCAAACTTTTTTGGGACAATGAAAAATCACCTGTGACTTGGCTTTGGCTTGGCTTGGCTAGTCAGTGTTTGTTCATTAGGCATCAAATATTGCAAAAAATCTTTTTACTAGCTAAACTCTGTTAATTATTAAGAGAAATCAGTCAGTTTTCAGTGATTTCATGAACCATCAACTAATATTTTTTTGGTCTCATTAGCCCTCTTTGATCTCACCCTCATTTTTGAGTCACGAAGTGAGCCACCTGCTACAAAGCTGAGTTTGGAATACTTCTGGATGAATCCTTGTGGTTTTAATACATACACTACATTAATACAGGCTTTAGGTGGAAAACATTTCTGAAAACAAAAGAAAAAAAAATTAAAAATAAACAGACAAGTAGAATAAACAAATCAGATGTTCATCAGTTTATTTGTCACTGTAGTATACACAACAAATTTACACAAGCTCATGATGACAAGCATTTGTGGTATATCAACAATTGGTTTGTGAATAGGATATTCAAATAACAGATAAACATACCATTCAATATCTATTTAATCTGTTTATTCTGACTCATACTCTGACTCAAGTTTGACTAAAATGAAAACAATCTAATTTGAATAAAGGAAACTAAACAAAATGAAATACTTCTCACAAGATTTGTAAGCCTAAGGGAAAACATGATCTGCAAAAGGCAAAATTTTACTCCCTCATGAGCACACAGTCCAGACCATAACATGCATATCTAACCTAGGGTACTCATACACAGTGAGGATTTACTGGTTAGTTGAATGTTACCACACTGTAAACACTTGACAAATAACAAGTCCTCATTTGACTCGGCCTTTCACTAACTTTCACTCAGGTTGTTGAAATATTGAGACAGAGCAGAGCTACTCTTGCCCGGATAATCAGACAACCAGATCATTTCACAATTATACTCAACAATTACCAGTTTTCTGCACACAATTAAGGAAGGAAACATTTTCATTGCTAACCTGCAATTTTTGAAGACAAGATTCAACAGCTTCCCATTTGTCTTTCCTCCTGTCCAGCACCAAAATGAATCCCTTCTGCACCAACTCATCACTGAAACGTTTCAAACATTAAAATCCATTTTCATATATCAAATTTGATCATGTTCAAAAAGTTATTGAGCAAAAATTGATGTATCCTATTTCATTGACAATGCAAGTTCGTACCTGGCCAGTTCAACAAGATATTTCAAAATTCTTTCTGTATCTTGATCACTCAGGTTTCCAAACTTGGGATGTTCGGGTATAGTGACAAAAAGACAGCCATTTTTAGCTTGTGCACCTGTAAATAATAGTACATGCAATCTGAGGCCAAACAAAACAGCTCTGTACAACACCCAAGGGATTTAAAGTCCTTAATTTTCCTCCCCTTTATACAATAACACCCAATAGAAACTGATGATAAAACAAAGCTATCACCTTGCTAGAGAATGTTAAGCAAGTACGGCTGGTACTTAACCTACATATAAGTTGAAGTGTGGGGAACAGAAGGAACTGCTAATCAAAGATCTTGAGTATCACTACAAAAAATTCGGCGATTTGCTCTCACCTGTCAAGAAGGCATACTTTTCTTGCAATAAAGCAGCTATTTCCATGGCTTTAATCTTTGGTTCTTCATAATTTTTATCCGTTATTTGGGAGAACAATATAAAAATATGTTTAAGATTAAATTGAAATGAACAAATCTCGTAGAGTACAAAAAATTAATCAAACGCTCTCGATTGCATGTTATCAACTCCCGTGCTGAGTTGTGGACAATCAAAAAGTGCAGCAAGTGCCGTGTAATATCTTCGAATCGAATTTAATCAGAAGAACTGTGTCAAGCACAGGGTACTACAAAAGCATGTGCTCCTACAAGATCACGTGATATATAAAAATGATTGCGTCATTACATCCCTTTCTTCCTTAGAAATATAAACAAAGAGTAAAACTACAAACGGTCACAAAGGAAATCGTTCATAGAGTCCTTGGTACAAAATAAACAAACATTATGTCCATGTGAATAGTTCTTGAAGTGTTCAATGTCTCTATAAGTTCAATCTGTCTGGTGGTTTGTGAATCCTCTGCAGATAACGCCTTGGTGAACCTTCCTGGAAATCAGTACTTCCTGATTCGGCTGCTGTGTCCATCTCAACTGAAGTGGTAGTGGTGTTTTTCTCCTGATCAGCCTTTGTATCACTGAGCTGATCATCAGTAGGGTGGTACTGCTTGACTTCAATTGTGTTTTGGTGCAAAACCCTCACGGGATTGTTGCTATCAGACACAACAACCTGATTTCCTTTCTTCTCTTTCACTTTGTACAGCTGAGGTTCAAATGTGGTGGACAGTTTGTTCTTCTTATCCTGTTTCATGAGTACAAGGTCACCTTCTTTCACCTCACTCATGTTAGCACTTCTTGAAGCATCTGCATACTGTTTGCTCTTGAATTTCTTCAGTTGATCTCTGTCTCTGGTTTCCTCATCACTGTGGGTTGGTTGTGACAATTCAGGTAATTTTGTTCTTGGATGTCGGCCCATCAGAAGAAATGCTGGTGTCTGTCCAGTTGTCTGGTGAGGAGTTGTTCTGTAAACAGCCATATACCTGACCAGTTCTCTTCTCCAGTCCTTTCCTTCTGCATGTGCCAACTGTAATCTTTTGAGTATGGATCTATTCTGTCTCTCTACCTCGCCATTTGCTTGAGCCCACCCAGTTGTTACACGTCGATGCTTAATACCATTCTCCTTTAGGAACGCTTCAAATTTCTCTGAGACAAGGTTTGGCCCGTTGTCACTTACAAGCACTTCAGGCAGTCCATGTCTGGCAAATATGGCTTCTAAACACTCTATGGTCTTCTCTGATGTAATTGTCCTTACAACAGCCACCACGTAATATCTGCTATAGTAGTCAACAACTACAAGTGTGCGTTCACCTGAGGGTAACGGTCCCAGGTAATCAATTACGACAGCACACCAGGGTCCTTGAAACCTTTCCACATCCTTTTCTAGCTTTGGCCACCATACTTTCATGCAAAGACGCTGTTTCATGCTGACTACACCTAAATGTCCTTCATGTCCAATGGTTAATACTGTTGTTCTAAGACCTTTGAGGATCACTATGCGGGTTCCTCTCATAATTATACCACCCACGACACACAGTTCATTGGCTACATGTAGGTATTCTGAACATTCAGTTCCTTCCCACCTCCCAGTTTGGATAGCTTGCCTTAAACACTCCATTTCTTTGTTATTCAATGCCACTTCTTCAATTTCTTTCACACTCATTGCTTTTGGAACAGCTTTCACGGTTATAAAATTCACATAATTCTCAGTGTCAACAAAGTTCTTTCCCACATCTGTGTGTGGCAATCTTGACAGGGTGTCAGCGATGTTCTCTTTACCAGGTTTATAGATGACATGAAAATGATATGGTTGTAACCGAAGAACCCATCTCTCAATATGCGCACTAGGCTTTGATTTAGGTGAATAGATAATTTCCAAGGGCTTGTGGTCGGTGACAAGTTCAAACTCTCTACTCAAGAGGTAGACATGAAACCTTTCAACAGACCAGACTAAGGCCAATGCTTCTTTTTCGGTTTGCGAGTACCTTCGTTCAACACTAGACAGGGTTTTGTTTGCATAGCAGACAGTTCTCCAGACTTTGTTGTGTTCCTGCAACAACACTGCACCAAGCCCTACTTGGCTGGCGTCAGCAACAACTCTAGTTTTCAAAGCAGGGTTAAAGTAGGCCAGTGTATCCACATCCATCAGGCTATTCTTCAATTCTTCAAAGGCTTTCCTTTAATCCTTTCCCCACACAAAGGGTGTATTCTTCTGTGTGAGTCTTCTCAATGGCTCTGCTTTCATTGCCAGGCCACTGATAAATCGTGCGCTGAAATTCACCAAGCCATTCACTGAGCTGTCTGTTGGTTCCCTTGCTTCTTGGAGTGCTTTTACTCGGGACTCTGTAGGGCCTATGCCTTTCGCCGACAACAAATGTCCCATGAATTCAATCTCATTCATCCTGAAGACACACTTCTTCTTGTTGAGTGTCAAACCTCTCTCTTTCAACATGTGTAGGACCTTTTTCAGCCTTTCGTCATGTTCAGCTACATCCGTGCCGTACGCCACAATATCATCAGATATTTTTTGATATCCAGTACATCCAGCGCTATGAAGAACTTGGTTGATTACATGTTGGTACAACTCTGGTGCTGAGCAAATGCCAAACATTAGACGCTCATATCTAAAAAGGCCTGCATGAGTCGTGAAGGTTGACTTCTCTTGAGATACCTTCTTTCAACTCCAGTTGATGGAATCCCATGGTAAGATCGAGTTTAGTAAACACAGCATTGCTGCTGAGTTCGCTCAGCACATCATCGATTGTTGGTATAGGGTGTCTTGAACACTCTATAGCTGTATTGGCCATTGTCATATCCACACATATCCTGATGTCCCTGTTTTGTTTAGGAACGACGACAATCGGGCTGACACACAGCATTGGACCTTCCACTCTCTCAATGAAGTCCATATCCTCCAATTCCGTCAGCTTTTCCTCTACTTTGCTGCGAAGACTGTATGGAACACGTCTGCACGGTTGTGCTACAAACTTTGCATCATCTTTGTTTTCTGACTGGCTTCTACATTTGATTCTATTCGATTGGAGTTGCTCCCATAGTTGATGGTCAATTACATTGCAAGAAGCTCCAGAGTCTATTAACATGTCAACTTCTTGACCTCCAATGGTAAGCTTCACTTCTGGCTCGTCTTCAGGGGAGAGCTCAATTGCAAAGATTTCATCATCCAGGCTTTCATTATCTTCCACAGTGAAGACTTTTGTCTGGTAGTTGTTCTTGCTCCTGCAAACTTTAGCAAAGTGTCAGACATGACCACACTTCCTACACCTCCCTTTCTTTGCTGGGCAGCATTCATCTTTAGATATGTGTCCCTCATTTCCGCATTTCCAACATTTTCTCTCTTTTTCCGTTTTGATGGGTTGCCTGGTGTGAGCAGTGTCACGTGATCGGCCGGCCATCTTTGAATTACGAGTAGCAGATTTCGCATCAATTTTGTTGACATTATCGGCTTGCATTTCACTTGCTTCTTGAGTAACAGCTTCATAACAACTAGCCATTTGTAGAGCAACATCTAAAGACAACTCGTTACCTCTTTCCAAAAGCTTTAGTCGCAGTCTCGACTATAAACAACCTTCGATGAGTTGATCTTATGGGAGGCCATATCAGTCAAAAGTGGTATGAGTTCACGATTGATGATCAAGAAATCGATCGCTATGGTTAAGTTTATCGATCGGTGATTGAAAATGTCGATCGCTGTAATTGAGATTATCGATTGGTGATTGAGATTGTCGATCGCTATGATTGAGATTATCGATTGCTGATTGAGAATGATGGTCGCTATGGTCCAAAAAGCGATTGAATACCAAGACTGACGACTGCTATAGTCGAAAAAAAGATTGGTGTCTGAAAACGATCGTCCAGAGATTGACGATCCAAAATATCAACCGCTGTGGTCGAGTGAGAAGAGTGGTTAGCCAGCAGATAATTCATTAAATCTTACATGATGTATAAACTTTACTTTCCCGCCATGTGGGCGTGACGTATGAAAATATGGCGGCCAGCTGAAACACGTCTTCGAAGGCAGGAAAAAGATTACTTGAAGAGCTGCGGTAAGAGGCATCTGAACTGTTGACGATCCTCGCCAGTGAAGTGGCAGTTGCTCAAGTAACTGCTCCACCTAATCAAGCTGGGCCTGGCAGCTACTCCAGCCGTCACATGCCAAGTTTCAGAAATCAAGATTTTAGATATATGAAAATTCACATATTTGCACTGCGGTGGAAAGATGAAATTAGGAGATCCTCGCAGCTAAGAACACTACTGAAACGAGTAGTTGTAAATAGGACCTGAAAAAAATTTCAGGCCCGTACGGGAATAGAACCCATGACCCCTGCGATACCGGTGCAGCGCTCTACCAATTGAGCTAACAAGCCAACTGGGAGCTGGTCAATGAATTGGGTCCAAATAAACATCCTTGTTAGCTTGTTAGCTCAATTGGTAGAGCGCTGCACCGGTATCGCAGAGGTCATGGGTTCAAATCCCGTACGGGCCTGAAATTTTTTTCAGGTCCTATTTACAACTACGCGTTTCAGTAGTGTTCTTAGCTGCGAGGATCTCCTAATTTCATTTCAGAAATCAGTTTATGTCAAGCTCCAACCCTTTTCGTGGTAAAGAAAACGAAAAGGAAAGTAGCGATCCAGCTTTGCAATCGCAATATCATAAACAGTTGGATCATCCGGTGATTGATTTTCTGGCGGTTCTGGAAGAGTTTCGTAGACCTTTTGAAGTTTCCTTCCAGCTGTATGTAAGAATGTCGCTTCTTTTTGCTCTGGGTCTGTGATTCCTTTAGCCTTTATCATATAACTAGCGTACGATTTCCATTCGAGCCATCTTGCCGCTAAACTTGACTTCTCTGTGTCCATGTCGAAATGCTCAATTTCGCAATTGTAGCCATAATTCCTTCCTGATTTGACAGAGTAAACGGTGGAGAATCCTTAATACTTCGTCGCCAATGTAACATCTTGGAATCGAATTTAATCAGAAGAACTGTGTCGAGCACACGGTACTACAAAAGCATTTGCTCCTACAAGGTCACGTGATATATAAAAATGACTGCGTCATTACATGCCGTCTATGTAAAATCTTAACCCTTACCAAACAAAGTAAATCCGTTTGATTTTTCAGACATTCTTGACTAACAGTGGATGTTCAATTCTGACCAAAAGCCACACTGCCAACCAAATTCAATAAATATAGCGGAACGCGATTCGATAGCAGAATAATTATCCTAAGAGGTTCCGAGTATGATACCCGAGGAAACCTGATAGTATTATCACAGATCAGCTGGTTGAAAATTAAAAAGACAAACTTTCTCGAGGAAAAGGCAAACCATTCCACTAAACCATGATAGGGATCCAAGACTGAAGTCGACAGTACTGAGGAAGAGTAAATTCCCACATCCAGTTTAGTTGCATTAATAATCAGAAAACGTAGATCATGTGTCCAGCCCATTCTAGACGTAACCAATCAGCGGGTAATCTTTCCCTATGTTTACACTAAACGAGGAAAATTTAACGGATGACGGCCTATACATTATGAATGTTTTGTTCTTACACTCAGGCAACATGCACAATCTTATTCCAGACACGTGCTAATCAGCTAATTTGTAGCAGTGTCTTCTCACGCCTATCGTTAGTTGGAACTAAGGGAAGTTACGTTTTTTCTTGGGGGGGGGAGGGCTGGGGAATTTTGGTATTTTTTCCAAAAGGAAGTGTTGGCTCTCCCTCCCTCAAGTACGTCACGATACGGACGGAAAAGGACACGAGTACTCCGAGAAAATTATGTGCCATGGAATAATAAACATGTAGACACCCAGTAACCTTGTAAAACTAGTACCTTCACCGAATTAAAAGAAACAAGTTGAAAAGAAAAAACTTAGTCTGTTAAAGAAAAATGGAAAATAACATCACAAAAATCCTCATTAAAAATTCTGGAAAAGGTGTGACCCTCCCCTTGAATAGCTGAAAAAGAGGGTATGGCCCTCCCCCTTTGGTGCTCACTTTCACTGATGACCCTCCCCTCTGAGGCCCCAGCCCTCCCCCCCCCCCAAAAAAACGTACCTTCCCTAAGAGAAAATGCAAACACGAACACTTTAAATTAAGAAACGTACCTCTACCACAGCTCTTACAAAAGTTTGCATCTTCATCTACTACCGAACCACACGCGGAGCAAAGCATCGTGAGCTCGAAAATGGCGGTTTTTCGAGCGAGCAGTGTGTTAATGTTACACGACGAATGGCCTCTGTACTATTGAGGTAATCACCATTAACCTCCTATAATTAATATTTCAACCCTTGGGATCTATCCATGGGCAACTAAAGACCAATGAAATCCACTGATCAGTGTAACTCATTGCAAGAAGGGATTCAATAATCAGCATGCTTAGAAAGAATGAATAATTTTATATTAATTTACATCTGTATTTTAGCTCGTTAAGTACCTCATAGCGGTCTTTCTGCAGACTCTTTTCGCGAGAAACTCTTCAACTGGAGTAAGTGCATCTTTTAACTTGTCCTTTTCCCTTCCTGATACAGACAGGATTGTAACAGAAGTGACAAGAGAAACGGAAAATATAACACTTCACAACATAGATTATACCGGACTTGTTTAATAATCTTTGTTACGCGCTTATAGTCTCGGAGAAAATAAATTTAAGTATGAACTACCAAACATTCAAGACAACTGGTTAACTTATGGTAGATGTGGGTTAACGTGGTAGGACATAGTGAACTATGGACATAGTTAACTTGGGGTAGAAGTGGGTTAACGTGGTAGAACATGCTTAACTTGGGGTAGAAGTGGGTTAACGTGGTAGAACATGGTTAACTTAGAGTAGATGTGGGTTAACGTAGTACAACATGGTTAACTAAGGATAGATGTGGGTTAACGTGTTACAACATGGTTAAGGCGACTCTCCTCTCTGTCTTTCTGATCAACCTAGTATTTCTATTGATGAGCGATGTATTCAGTATCACACTCTTCTAACCTCGATCTTGGAAAAACATGCGCCACTCAAAACAAAGGCCATCATTATACGTCCCCACGCTCCATAGTACACGGATGATATTCGGGTACAGAAATCACGACGCCGCCGACTTGAAAGACGCTAGCTCTTTCGAAGCTTTCCGTCGACCGTCAAGCCTTTGTTGACCAATGCAAACTCGTGAAGAATCTCGTTTTCAATGCAAAAATGAACTTTTACTCCACTTTAATTTCTAACGCCGGTTCGAACTCTAGAGTCCTTTTTAAAACGATTGACCGCTTCCTCCACAGGAAGCCTGTGAAACGTCTTCCGTATTGCGTCTCGCCGGCTGGGTTGGTGATCATTTCCTTTATTCTCACGATCTTAGCAAATTGATCAGCAGTATCACTCTAAGCAGAAATAACATTCTGGTCACTCTTAGGGTCAAAAGGGTTAATATCAAGCCTTGCTTTCATGTGATGAAAATCCCCCACATTTTAAATTTATTTATTGTTACATTTGTTTCTGTTTCTGGGCTTTCAAAGATCATAAATATTTGGAAACTTTTGATAATGATAACTTTTTGTCAGACAAGTCCATGGTAGCTAGAAAAGGAAACACCAATTTTTTGGATATTCTTTTATAATTAAACATGTAAAGGGATGAAAAAAAAATTAATCTCTGAGTGGAAGCTTCTTGCTGCAGCTGTGTTATTCTTCCACTTTTCTCATAGGCTTATCATGTTAAGTTAGTTTTGATGCAATTTTTTTGCTAGTCAAAATGTGCATAGTTATTGCTGATCAGTCTGATAAATAAAAAAGAAAGGGAAAGGACAAAACCTTAAAAGACAACTGAAATATCCTTGATTTAATTAACCTTATTTCATAAATTAATTCGTTGCAATGATAATTGTGAAGAAAGATGAGGTAACCAGTGATCATGACTTGCACTGCAATGCATTTAATGAAGTTTTACTCATTAAAGTTCATTAAATTAATGCAATAAATAAACTGAAGAATAATTAAGTTACAACAAACAAAGCTTATAAATATTGATTCTATGTTGATTGTTGTTTTAATTAGTTCATTTTTACACAAAGCTACGCAATGTAATTTCCAGAAAATAATCTTAAAAATAAAGTTTCCTTTAGATTCTATTCACATATTTACACCAAATGAGTTTTACCCATCTTAAGCTCCTATAACACCTATGCTCAATAGCTGCAAGGTTGGATAATACTATGCCTTTCCACACATAAAAATTTTCAGCCCTTGAATATAACAGGCTGGGTATATTATGTACAGTGCATCTACTAAAACCCACCACCTCCCACAGATCATTCATATCTATTGAAACAATAAATTCCAGCATGGTCTGATCATGTCAATTAAATATCAAATACAAAACAATGAAATCTCTAGTTTGTTAGCAGGTGAGGTTTGTGTAACTACAGTGTTCAATAATTATGTGCAGGGCTTAGATCTCCTTTACATGCAAAAAAAGCCATTCAAATGGTTGGGGTTCAGTAGATGGAAATACACTTTTTGACATAAAAAAGCTTGTATAACTTTGATTTAAAGTAATACTTGTGACAGACATTCAAGGATACAGTAATTTGTAAGGACTGTCAGCCTTAACACACTATTTACTTCATACATCCCAGCCTATCAACACAAGCTCTTTAAACATAACCCCATTGCCAAGTTAACCCTTTCACTCCCAAAAGTAATACACATGCAACTTCTTACAATTCCATTCAGTTATATCGTAAATAGGGTTTGAGAACAGGTAAGCTCATCAGCTGGAGGGTGATATTGAAACCACATTCTGCAGTCCATTGTACAAGGAAAAGTTTGACACTTAGTAGGGAGAATTAGAATTTGGATCTTGGGAGTTAAATGGTTAAGATGTTGCAGATAATTAAAAACTTTGTATGTTAGTGGATTACCATTGAGATTTTGGCCGAATGAGTGATCTCTAATAAATATTTACCCTTTAAATTTTTCCCACATTGCATTTATATTCAACTCTACAATTATAATTGAAGATAATAAACAGTTAATGATTTAATTCATAGTACAGACCAGCTATACCTTGATTAAATTTACACAAGCTATATTTACCTATTTGAAACCTAACTACAAACCTCTGCAAGGGTCTCGGTCAGGAGACAAAAAGTTAAAAAGCAGACAGTGAAAAAACAGTGATAACATTTTTCTCTTCCTGCCCCTTTTTGCTCCTTCCCACAAACTTGGATCAGTAACACTATTCTCTATATTTACTACTGGCATATTGATTTTATTGATAACAAAAATAATAATTAAAATACAAATAATAGCCTTCCTGAGTGGAACAGCACTTGTAGGTATATCATATGCTCATCAATCAGCCATCATATCCAAGTAACTTGCTGGAACCCATCCTTCCTCAACAGTTCTTTGGTGTCGTGCAAACCACCACCCTTCCTGTCCAACTCTCAACAGTTCCAGAGTGTCTCCTTCTTGGAAAGATATCTCAGTGCTTTCCACAGCATCATAGCCAGCTACAGCTACATACTTAGTCCCACTGGATGGAAGATCTTTATTGTCATTATCTGTCAAATTCTGTAAAGATTTATTGGAAAAAAATCATCAGCTACAAAAACCACCAGAAATAAAGCATTGCCAATATAGTGTTCATTATGCTCCATCTCTCCAACACTTTGCCACATTGTTTTGGACGCGAGATTTAATTCAGAGGGCAGGAAGTTTATGTTTAAAAACTCTTGTTTTCAATTACAACAATTTCTAGTAATGGTAAATGCAATTCCATATGTTCTTCCCATTAGTCATAATACAGAGTAGTTATAAAAACTTGAGATGGTAATTGGGCAATGAGATGTAAGATAATTAGTGTATTTACCACAAACTCAGTGCTAGTATGTACATCATAGTGACTGTCGTTCTGTTCTGGTTCATTGTGGGGAGACTCATCACTGTTGTCAGAGTCAAATTCATCAGTATCAAAGCCATCATCATCATCACTGGCATTATTTCTCTCCATAATGTTTGAATACCTAACATTGCAGAAGAAAAAGTAAGAATCACTCATTATGTTTTTATTGAAGAATTGTTCACCAAGGATAGGTCACTGTGTGTAAGCAATAATTGTAATTATTTTAACCTGTTGCTGTTGTTGTTGCTAGCTGCAACACTTGATGCAATTGAAAATGAAGATTGACTTCGTGATCTTAGCTGTGATTCTGTTGAAGTAGGTGCTGACGACAGGGCTGAGGTTGACTTCCAACGATCTAAAAAATACAAAAAAAACAGTCTTTGATGAAAATAAAGATTCAGCTAAATGAAACCATCAGACATGATTGATCAGTCATTTAAGATTTATCCACATCTTTGCTATGACACACTCACCATGAATTGTTGATTGTTCTGAAAAGAAAACAAAATGATAGAAAAATTATCACTGGTTAACTAGAAATAATCGTACACTGTAAATGCTAATGACTTTTTTAACCCCAACCCACATTATGTTTGAAAACGTGTGTTTAATGTTTTGATTCCCTCAATATGAAAGGTTGATCTGGTGGATATCATTAATAGCTTTTTGAACCAATCATTAAGTTTCCCCTGAAGCGACACTATAGGAAATCTAATTATCATCCAAGCTTCCACTGTGCTGTAACCACAGGACACTGTAATGATCAAAGAACAGAAAAAAGAAATGCTTCTCCCCTGATTTTTAACTGTAAGTGTACTTCCAAAAAAAAAAACCTTGTACAACACAAGGTAAATTTAAGACTAAAATATGGTCAATATTCTTAATTCTTACAGCACACCTTTTACTTGGTCAAACTGAGACTGAAGAAGGTTTCTTATTTCTTTCACCCAACGGGTTTTAACTTCCAGAGACACAGGCTGAAATATGAACAAAAAGAGGTGACATTCAACAGTGAGCCAGTAAATAGCAGCTGTGATATCAGTGTTTTTCATGTAACAAGTTACCATCAATGTTTCATTGGGTTTGGACTTAATAAAAGGAATATGAGCGGTACCCACAAGTTCAATAACACTCTTTCAAAATTTATCAGGACTATACCACTCTTCTTGAAAAAGTGGCCCCTCTCCCCTTCCCCCTACCAGGGCAAAATGCAACACCAGCTTGGCATTCCTTGAACCTGCACACCTCTCAATGACACTCGGAGTAACTAATCTTCAGTCTAAATTGAAGCATTTTAGCCAGCTTGCCTCTCCCTTCTCTGACTGCAAGCAAGACCTTCTACTCCTCACAGAAATACCAAAACAATTTTGTTCTGACAAGCATTATTAGCGTACATCAAGATCAAGTGCAGTGAAAGTTACTCACTTGCAAAAGAAAGACTTCTGATCTTCCATTTCGCCAAAGCTCAAACTTTTCTGGGGCATCTGGCACTGTTTCAGTGAATCCCACATCACATGTCTACAAGTATGCAAGCAAACAAATAAAAATTCTGTACATTATGACAATGTTGAAACAATGTTTAAGGTAACAATGTTTAAGTCCAAACCTATATTTAATTTCCCTGTGTTTAATCATTCAATTCAATAATAATACAGCAGAAAATAATTTGTTGCATGAGGGAAATAATTCATACTTAGTAGTGACTGCTGGTGTTGGGTAATTATCAAGGACTAAATAGAATGAAAGCATGTAACTTTTTTGAAGCAAAATTTCCACCTTGCATGGAACTTTGACAGGTCAGTGAAATATAATTTGAAGATTTCATTAAGAGAGAACCAACTCAAATCTTCATTTAATGGACCCATGTGAACTATTAAGAATTAACCAAATCATAACCAACCTTTATATCTTTCCTGTACTTGTACAGGACTGCTTCTTTACTTGTTTCTTGAACATCCTTTTTGCTAAAGATAATCAACTTTTCGTACATAAATACTTGCCGTTGCCTTCCTCCTTTAAGGGGCAACACTTTCAGAGTTTTATTTGTTTCCCAAACCATAAAGGAGTCCTGAAGGAGCAACTTTCCTTGCTCAGCAAGGTTACCAGGAAATCCTCTTATGCAGCATGAGTGCATAACATCATTCACATGCCTTAACACTCCTTCCATGGTGTCAAGAGCTTTTTCTAAGTCATCATATGCAGTGCTGTTTCTAAGTGTAAGTTTCATCATTTCCCTCAGCAGCAGTTGATATTTTGTAATTCTCTGGACTGGTTTGAGGAGGTATGCACTCAATGGCAGTAGATGACCAAGTCTTTCTTGACATTCCTGTGAAAAAAAGTAAGTACTGCATCAGTCAAGAGCCTGAGTGAAGTGCACTTGAAGAGTTGAGTGGTCATAAAAAACTAAGATGGTCTTTCTCCACTTAGAAGATTCCATGGCCAAATGGTAAGTGGTAATTTGGTTTTATCAACTACATGAGCTGACAAATAAATGTGAACTGTCCAACATAGAATACTCTTTAGCTGAAGGTCCAAGGTTTAGTGCTTTGTCAAAAGCTGATTACGTTGATATCTTGGGCAAGTGCCTCTCTCCACTTAGCAGCTTAAAAGGGTTCCAGCCAACATAGACACTTGCTGAAATGGCACTGGTGGCTTGATTCATTTTATTCAATGAGAAGAACAGTGCTCCAATAACAGTTTGCACACTGAAATAGCCTTTGACAAGAATGAGCCCACAAAACCTTTCTTTGTTGTGGCATTTACAGTAGCTAATAGAGTGGAAAACAAAAGTAGCTCTTAGAACAAGATAATGCTGTCATATTGGCCACCGTTAAGAGCTTTGAAATTCTTAATGGTGGCCAATTTACGTTATCAACTCAGTTGATAATACCAAATTACCTTGCTGTACCCTCCCACTGACATAACACCACAGTTTCTATAGAAACTAACCCCCTTAATTCAATTAGATCTTAGAACCTCAAGCACCTTGATCATGCTATTTTAGGCAACCTAACCATGAAACAGCCAGTCAAAGAAATTTCTTAATGCTTGACAGAATATAGGAACCCAAATAGAGATATTGATGTAAAAACTAGAAAGTTACTCAAGAAATTTTTATTATGGTTTGCATTTCGGTAAACAGAAATCTTACCTTGAAGAAAGGCAGATTAATGTAATCCAGTCGCAATGCCTCAGAACTTGGTTTGTTCTTGCAATATGCTGCATACATTTCAAATTCATTACTCTTCATGATAAATGTAGCACCCACCAAAGATGGCTGATCTTGGCAAGACTCCAACTCAAGCAAAAAGTCATTCTTGTGAAATTCATAAATCTGTTCAATATTTCCAAATATAATATTCTTTTTTCCCCGTAGATCTGCAGGAATCTTTTTTCCAGCACGTGCAAATTCCTTCAGGTATCCTTTAACAATGTGCTCTAAGTCATAGACATAATCTTTTTCTGTTTGGATCAGTTCTTTCATCACTTGTGACCGCTTCTTTGCAGCCTCTGGACTGTCAGTGCCATCTACAATAGCTCTCTTTTACCAAAGAAAACAAAGGAAAATTAAAGAAATAAATGACTGGAAGACTGCAAATATTTCAGCCATTACAAACATCATTTCTTCAAGTACAATAAATTATAAGGTAAGGAACAGAAGAGTTTTAACCAATGAGTCAAAGGCAATTCTTCCCAAAAGCTCTTTGCCTGTTCTCCAGAGCACAGAAAAGGGAGGGTTTTCTAATGAATTGGTATAAAGAACAGTTTATCACTTTTATCAAATAAAAAATTCCAACTTTTTCTGACTAGTTTTGGGTAGGTTACTTGCATTTTACAAAAATAGAACAAAGGGAGAAAGAAGGGAATTTTTTATTTCATGTAAGTAAACATACCTGTATACTTGGCTCAGAGAGGGATGAATGCATGCCATCTTGCACCTGAAGACTTTCTAACACAATGGACACTGGTCGCTTGGGTGATTCAGGTGCATTGGACTTCTTAAACTCAATCTTGCGCACCTGAACTATAGGCAAAGAAATCATTTAAATGTTGATAAATTGATCACTAAATGAAATAAAACTTCTAGTTTGCAAGTTGGGTAAATGTAAGTCATGTAGTATAGAATACCAGGCTGAGAGCCTCTTGCATTACACAAATCATGGAACTTTTTTAACACCAACCTGGACTTTTTAAATTTAGTTGTTGACTAAATCTGCGCTTAGAATCTTTTTGCTCATCAGGAATAGAAGCTTGGCTGGCAGGAAAGGCTGAGACAGGCTGCACTGGTCGCTTCACAACAAGTTTTTTCAAGCTGATAAAAACAAAAGTAACAATCAATGGTATGTATAAGTTTTAAAATAATTGCAAAAAAAGAAAAAAAAAGGATGCTAAGATTTTAAATACAGATGAAGTGGTACCACATCTGACATGCCAAGTGATCCATTAATGCCTGAGTCAATGTCTTCTTCATGACCCAAATTGCACTGCAACTTTTCCTAACCAGGATGCTAATCCATGGTTGGTAGCCTTCTAGCAATCATTAAGTTTTTTTGACATCTTGCTGATACTAATTTGTATCAAAAATGGAAAAAGTAATGTATGTTCTCAAAGAACATCAATCAAAATATTCTGAATTTCAGAAGATCCTAGAGAAAAGGGACAAATTAATCCAATTATTGACAAGTTTGATAAATCAAGGGTTAAATCATCAGAATTAACAACAAATTCAAGCCACATGTGACCCTCCAGGCCAAGAAATCAAACCCAGGCCAGGTGGTGGAGGCACTCCTTACCACTGCACATACAAAATATAGTTACCCTGTTTCGCGTTTGGCCATCATATCATTGACTTCACTGATCCTCTTCAAGCTATCTTTGACTTTACTTATCAGTGTCTTGTTTCCAAGAGCAGTGCTCATGGGAGTCATCTTTCTGACCTTTACCATGTTCATTCCTTGTGGACTCTTCAGGAAATTATCTATTTCTTCCAAAGCTTTCTCAGCTCCTTCTGAAGACTGAAATCTATCTATTGGCTGCAACGCCAAAAGGTCTCCACCAGTCTTACACCATTTATTGACCTGATATGGGAAAGACATTGTCGAGGCAAAATTACCAAAAGCTCCAAGTCAATGAGTAAAAAGTTGAAACCTTATTTCAGGCTGAGATTGAGGGAGTGCCTTGGGCATTAAGAACTAGAGAATTCTCTGGCTTTAACTGAAAATTGTCTTCCTAAATTTCAAAGCCCTGAGCTGCTTTTATTCAGGCATGGAGCCATTACCTTGTTTACTCTCCTTTTACCTTACACTAAATTTTCTTAATACTTCTACATGTCCAAGTTTTATATGACAGTCTATATGTTCATCAGATACAATTACAGGGTTTCTATTGGAAACTTTTTGGCTTAAACCAGCTCTTATTGACCTATATAATTAATATTATGAAACAACTGCAGTTACCATTTCAAGACATTCATGTATATCTATAGCTTTCTTCAAGTCATCTTCCCTCTTTAGTACGGCCTTATCAAACTTGTCACAGAGCTCTTTGATCTCATCACACTTCATCTTGATCGATTCCTTAGATTGTTCATGTGATTCTATCATTTTGAGTCCCTTGGCCACCAGGCCTTTGGCTTTATCAAGAAGCTCCTGCTAAATGTAACAAGACAAAGAACTTTTTTTTGGCTTCACAAAAAAATCATTTATTTAATAGTCAGTTTGATCTGATAAAAAAATGGCCTAGATAAAATGAACTGAATGTCATGTGGTACTAGTAATCAGACAAGTTGTGACTCATTGCTGCTCATTCAGTGTGATTATTGAAATCATTACAATCACAACAAAACTTAAAAATCAATACTGAATCAATAAATTAAAAGTTGTAGTTCATTTATTAACAACCACTCACTTTGCTCTTATCTGCAAATTCTGTTAGCTCATTCAGCATTGATTGGGCATCATCTCTTGAATCACCAAGATCAGTCATTGCTGATAAGTTGCCGAGTGATGAGAGGAGTAAGCCTGTTGTCTAAAAATGCAAATTTGAGACAAAACTTATGATTAGGACCTCAATACAACCCATTGTGCTGATAATTTGGTGTTATCAATTGAGTTTATAGATAAATATAAATTGGCCCCTGTTTAGAGTTTCTAAAACTGACAGTTTGAGTGGTAGCACTTTTCCTACTAATGTGACATTTGTGGTCCTCTTATCTCAACATTTGCAAGGAAAGGGGGAGAAGTGAACACAAAATTAACCAAACAAACAAACCTGGTTTATTTCTCTCTCAAAAAGACACACTTTCAATCCATACTGAATCATTGCCTTCTGCTCTTTCCAAAGTTTTTCAATATCATTTTCCATTTCCTTAAGTTTCACTAAGAATTCTTTCAATTCAGCTGCATTAGCTTTGATGTCAGGAGTATACCACTCATCAGCTCCATCCCTCTGCTTGGGATGGATACAATCCAAAAGCGTGACTCCTGCTTGATGTGCACTTTCCATGTCTTCCCTGATATCCTGCCACATTTCTTCTTGAGTTTCTATGATCTGTTCCATATCTGGTACGCTTGAGGACAGCTTTGTTTTGGAAAAGACCTGCTTTAAGTCAGCAGTTCTCTCATTGAAGGAAGTTAAGTTTCTTTCGAATCGTTCAATTGCCTGGAAAAAGAAGAATATGTGATATTTAGTTCTTTGTTCATACCTTCTATGACAGGTTCATCAAAATACACCTAATATACTAAGCAGAGTACAAACAAGTTAGCAAATCAAGGTACTTACTGTTCTGTATTGAACCCATTGTACATGTCTGTATTGTAGGCTACCACCAAGCTCTTCAGTCAGTTGTGATTTGTCAATGTATTCCTCCAACTCAGCAGCACAATTTAGAGAAACAACCTTGTAAGCAACAATGATATAATGGTAAATGCAATAAAATATTATTACCAGTAATCTTTGATCCCTTTGGTAGTCAAGGTACGTGGGGGAAGTTTCCACTTCCTGATCTCATTTTCCTGCTCCATCTCTCATACACCTACCACAACCTCCCCTCCCCCATTCTCTTGGATCCCAATCATGCCCCCCTCCTGTTTCAAACTATTTTGGGATGATGAAAAATCACCTGTGACTTAAGTTAAGTGTGTTTGTTCATTAGGCATCAAAGATTGCAAAAAATATTTTGCAAGCTACACTCAGTTTGTTAATTATTAATAGAAATCAGTCATTTTTCAGTGATTTCATGAACCATCAACTAATATTTTTTTGGTCTCATTAGCCCTCTTTGATCTCACCTTTGTTTTTGAGTCACGAAGTGAACCATCTGCTACAAAACTGGGTTTGGAATACTTCTGGAAGAATCCTTGTGGTTTTAATACATACACTACATTAATACTGGCTTTAGATGGAAAACATTTCTGAAAACAAAATAAAAAAAAAAATTAAAAACAAACAGAAAAATAGAATAAACAAATCAGATGTTCATCAGTTTATTTGTCACTGTAGTATACACAACAAATTTACACAAGCTCATGATGACAAGCATTTGTGGTATATCAACAATTAGTCTGTGAATAGGATATTCAAATAATAAATCAACATTCCACTCAATATCTATTTAATCTGTTTATTCTGACTCATACTCTGACTTGGGTTTGACTTAAATGAAAACAGTCTAATTTGAATGAAGGAAACTAAACAAAATAAAACAAAACAAAATGAAATACTTCTCACAAGATTTGTAATCCTAAGGGAAAATGTGATCTACAAAAGGCAAAACTTTACTCCCTTGTGAGCACACAGTCCAGACCATAACATGCATATCTAACCTAGGGTACTCATACACGTTGAGGATTTACTGGTTAGTCGAATGTTACCACACTGTAAACACTTGGCAAATAACAAGTGCTCATTTGACTCTGACTTTCACTAGTTTTCACTCAGGTTGTTGAAACATTGAGACATCAGAATCATCATTAGAGCTACTCTTGCCCAGATAATCGGGCAACCAGATCATTTCACAATTATACTCAACAATTACCAATTTTCTGCAAACAATTATGGAAAGAAACATTTTCATTGCTAACCTGCAATTTTTGAAGACAAGATTTAACAGCTCCCCATTTGTCTTTCCTCCTGTCCAGGACCAAAATGAATCCCTTCTGCACCAACTCATCACTGAAAAGTTTCAAACATTAAAATCCATTTTTATAAATCAAATTTGATCATGTTCAAAAAGTTATTGAGCGAAAATTGATGTATCCTATTTCGTTAACAACGCAAGTTCTTACCTGGCCAGTTCAACAAGATACTTCAAAATTCTTTCTGTATCTCGATCACTCAGGTTTCCAAACTTGGGATGTTCGGGTATTGTCACAAAAAGACAGCCATTTTTAGCTTGTGCACCTGTAAATAAAAGTACGTGCAATCTGAGGTCAAACAAAACAGCTCTGTAAGCCATCAAAATGTCAAAGCAGTAAAAAGCACAACACCCAAGGGATTTAAAGTTTTTAATTTTCCTCACCTTTATACAATAACACCCAATAGAAACTGATGATAAAACAAAGCTATCACCTTGCTAGAGAATGTTAAGCAAGTACAGCTGGTACTTAACTTACATATAAGATGAAGTGTGGGGAACATAAGGAACAACTGCTAATCAAAGATCTTGAGTATCACTACAAAAAATTCGGCGATTTGCTCTCACCTGTCAAGAAGGCATACTTTTCTTGCAATAAAGCAGCTATTTCGATGGCTTTAATCTTTGGTTCCTCATAATTTCTAACTGTTATTTCGGAGAACAATGTAAAAATATGTTTAAGATTAAATTAAAATGAACAAATCTCGTAGAGTACAAAAAATTAATCAAACGCTCTTGATTGCATGTTTTCAGCTCCCGCGCTGAGTTGTGAACGATCAGAAAATGCGGCGAGTGAACTTGATTAAATATTGTTTCACGCACATATAAAATAATAAAAATAAAAATTTTCAGGGCATATGTGTTCAAAACATTGATACTCTATACGCATTCAACGACATCGAAGCTGAGCGATTTCAGAGCGGCTCGCTGCAGTTATGGTAAGGTTTCCTGCTTTTTCTTTATTTCTAAAAAAAAATAATCATGCCGTCTATATAAAATCTTAACCCTTACCGAACAAAGTAAATCTGTTTGATTTTTTAGACATTCTTGACTACCAGTGGATGTTCAATTCTGACCACAAGCCACACGGCAAACCAAACTCAATAAACATGGCGGAACGCGATTCGATAGCAGAATAATTATTCCTTATAGGTTTCGAGCATGATACCCGAGGAAACCTGATAGTTCTAACAAATCAGCTGGTTGAAAATTAGAAAGGCAAACTTTTTCGAGGAAAAGGCAAACCATTCCACGAAACCATAATAGGGATCCAAGACTAACCCAACAGTAGTGAGGTGGAATAAATTCCCAAGTCCAGCTGAGTTGAATTCAGAAATCGTGGATCATGTTTCTAGCCCATTCTAATCGTAACCAATCAGCGGGGAATCTTTCCCTTTGTTTACACTAAACGAGGAAAATTTAACGAGTGACGGTGAACTCGCGGGAAAAATTACCTCTAAAATAGCATATATCAATAAAACTGAAACTGAACGCTGGAAATTCCTGTATGTCGTTATATTAAAATTAAAGAAGTAAAAATTTGCTTTGTAAACGCGTTCCTTCTCTGCCGCAAGAACGACAACAAAACAAATCGTTCGTCGACCCGTTTCAGGACGTGCGTGACCACAATTCCACACGTAAACGCAAAGCGTTAAAAAAGACCCGTCTTCTTCTCAAGAACTTATGTCTTACAAAACTTTTCCCTGAAGTGTCTTACAAAATTTGGATGATAATTTGTGGCTTTTTTATTATATTACCATTGTGATACACATCTCAGAAAAATGCCACTAACACTCATTGCAAGTTTGCTATATTTGCAGTAAATTCGATTCAACCCCCTATCTACCAGCAATTATAAACAAGTAATTTCTCCTTCTAATCCCAATTTGTTTCTTGCTTATGAAAATAGACAAGCTTGTCAGCAAAAGGGTGTTCTCCAAATAAAACACACTATTCTTGTGTCTAATTAAGGTGGAAATTTATAGCAAGCAGTAGGGAGAACTCGTGACTGGATCTTACGAGTTTAAGGGTTAAAATGACAGTAAACGACAATCATATATTTTTTTGACAGTTGGTTCTATATTGATGCTATTGGAAATTTTCCCAAAAATTTATTTCATTCTGATCACCTGTCTTTTTTTCAACACACTTTTGAAATCATTAAAAGAAAAAAGCTACGTGCTGTCGCAGTCACGTTGCTGATAAGACAAAAACAATTAAAATAAAGCCAATGTGAAACGCAGAAGATCACAGGGACTCTAGGGAATCACATTGAACCTATAAGCAAAAGTCTGCATGTGCCACAAGTCCAAAAGGACTCCATACATCAAATAAACATTACTTTGCAGCAACTTTAGAACAATTTTAATGTTTCAATGTCGCATGGTACAAACACTCACAACTCCATGACAGTAATTAAGTTCAACTTCATTTAATTTATATCCCGCTTTCTTAAAACCAAATGGTTTGAAGCCTTCCTAATAAACTCATTATAGAAGACATTATTTAAGATACAGTAAAGAATTTGATCACAAATTCAACCTTTTTTTTTTGTTAGTATAAATACATTACCTCAGTATTAAATCCCAAAGCAACTTCAAAAACATCTTATTCAATACAGCTCTTTGTTGTTTGTCAAAAAAGCTGATCAATAACTCAAATTTCTTTTCTTGCCAAAAATTTAATTAAGATTCTGTATTGCAGTTCTTCTCATTTTCCAAGTTCAATATAATTTGTATGCATTTCAAAATCTCTTCTTAATTGACTTCAGCCCACTATCTGATCCTAATTGTGTGCTTAGTATCCAAATTTATCAAGAAAGGGACTCAAAATGTTATCTGTATTATGCTATCTACACCACATTGGTGCCCTAATCAAATATTGATCAAACTTGGCACATTTCTGGTGAAAAATAATCAAGTGATAACAGTAAAGACTCCCAGCCAGATCTGCCCCTAATCCTACCCAGTCAAATAAAAATGTTTATAAAACATCCAAGGGTCTAGACAAAGATTTAATTAAATTGGATTAACTAAAACAAACTAGCACACAGCAGGACAAATGGATACCAACTCTGCAGGTCATTTTAAAAGCAATCAACAGTTTTTAGCAAATAGATCAAGCCTGTAAAAATTTGAAAAATGTGTGAATCACACAAATGTAATTTGCTACTGCACTTAATACACAATAAAGTCTACTAATAATAAGAGTCTTAAAACACTCCCTTTATACTAGCAGATTATTTGTAAAATGAAATTTAACAAGGCATCTCTACCATAGGGCCTGACAAGGACTCTTTTTTAATCACTTTGGGAAATAATTTAGCATGTCCTCACAAAAGCCTGGAAAAATAGAGTTGGTTTGTCAAAGATGGGTTTGAGACTGTTAGCCAAATTCAGTTGCCACTTTAGACCTGATCACTCCAAATCTTAGAGGCTCCAAAATTAGAAAATATATTACACTAATAATACTCATTTCATGTTTGCTCCACCAGCTCAAGTAATCTTGGAGGGTCCTGACAACAGGAAAATGTTTCCGTTGCTATTTATTTTGCACAGATACAATAAAGTGTTCTGTATGAAATCACTTGTAAAAAAAATATAATTATTTTGTGTGACTGATTTAAGATTTAGGTCTTCATTTAAACATTATTTCATACATTTACATGACAAGCAATAACAAATAATAATTATCTAAGGTTCCCGTGGCTTTTGGTGATATGAAAAATTGTCATTTAGAATTTGCCTCTTTCTTTAAGCCTGTTAAATGTTCACGTCAGAAATGATAAATTGCTTTTATATAATCAGTATGCTCTCTATCTTGGTAAATTCAAGGTATCCAATTCATACAAGCCACAATACATGAATCTAAATTCTATTTTGAGCTATGAAACTACCAAAGTGACTGCTCGGTTATATTTAAAATACTCTATCTTTGACGAATGGGAAATATTCCAAAAATATGAAAGCGCGTCATAAATTTTTAATTACCCCCCGATACTATACATTTGAATGATCATACCCTATTTTCTAGCCTCTACAAATTCCCGACCGTAAAATTTTTATTTCATATCATTTCGCTTCTTTGAATGAGATTTTAGCCTATATTAGCGAAGTTGAACAAGGAATACGAAAAAAGTGAGTCGAGAATATTTAAATTCTAAATGCCTGTCGATTTACACTTCAAATTGAACGGACGGTCTGCGGAATAAAAAACCACCAAGATCAAAGTTTTTTTGACCGGCGTAATGGTTAAAACACAAAGGATATTGTGACTCTGAATATTCTTTGTCAAGCTTGTTTGAGTCTAGAGTGTAATATAAATTATATATGTGAATAAATTAAACTCTGTTTATCAAGAGATTATTTAATACTTCAAGGCTTCAACGCGAGTGAAATTGCTGTGTATCACACTATTTCCTTGTTATTTATGAAAATTAAAAAAAAGAAAGTAGGCCTCTTAGTCCTTCTGAATTACAACACTTCTACACGGAAATGGACAACGTTACGTTTACCGCTGAAGATAGCCCATAAATAAATTATTCTTGTTTCATGTCGATTCATGAAAAACAAAAATAAACATTTTGGCACTTTCTCGATATACCTCTTTTCCCTCACACCAAATGCTTGTTGTCAAGAATTACAGAACACAACAATACCTGCCTGAAAGAAACGGCGATTCTACCTTTCTTCTATCAATATTTTATTCTGAAATATATTAAAAATTCACTTAGTCATGACCTAAAATTTGCACTTGGAGGATTTTTCATTTCATTAAACTTTAACACAAAAATGAAGAGAAGCTGTGAGACTTACCGACATCAGGATGAAGTGCTGTTACTGCGGAATGATATTCTGTGTCTTGTGCCATAACGACGTGAACGGGAAATGAATGAAACCTCTCGATGCGTCAAATATTAGAAAGCGAAGTCGCATCGATAAGGATTCGTCGATATCATCCCGACATCTATTAGGTAGCTTAAAATTATTTATAGTCGCCTAGATCGTGGTCTATTCTACAAATCACATGTGGTTTTTCAGAAAAATTCAATGGTCCGTAACAGTTTGACAAATGCGTCACGATTTTAGAATCTATCATTCTTTTGTGAGAGTAAGACGACCACCCAATGACCCGGAACACTGTTGCTGCTCCTTTGAAAAAGCAAACAAGTCACTTTGGCTGGCGCGCGCGCGGTTTTAGACTGGGGAGAGTATCAGCAAGGGTTCACAAATAGACACCGGAAATGGACACTCGAAAGGGGTAACTCCTACAAAGGATGTTTGTTCTGTAAACACACAAATAAGCAAGAATATTTCTAGGGATTTTTTTAACTTGCTTTTGAAGGTATAATGTCTATAGGTCGAAGACAAGTCCTGGCGGGATAAACGTGATCTAACAGTAATCCATTCGGCAGATTTGTTATCGCATTCTTTTCAATTTCTCTACAAGTTTGGTAACTAAGAGAGTTTTCATGACCATGACGCAGATAGTTAGTGCACACTCCGCACACTCCTTCCCTGGGTTTAGCTTTTTATGGCTGTTACGAAAGTCGTCACTAAGGACAATTTTTCTTTGTTACAATACTGTCACGGAACCATCAGTTTCCGGAGTTAATTCGTCAAAATATCGTTAAGGAATCTTGTATTGTTCATCAATATAATCTCGACAACTCTTATATGAAATTTTGAGAAGGATATGCATCAAAAAAGGGGATAGAGGTGGAAAAAAGAATTATGTTTTCGTTCCTAGAACACTGACAGTACTTGCTTTCGATCTAGGTTGAAATCAGAATTGTCAGTAATACTTATTACCTTCTTTCTTAAGCTTTGATCAGATTCAAGCTCGGAAACTCAAAGCATGCCTAAAGAGGTCCAGAATGGTAAAACAGTATTTTACCACAATTGGCAGTAGTGTCGTGTCGCAGACTAATTGGCCAATTTGCCGTTGTTAATAAGAGTATAGACAGCGCTACTCGCGTCAACGTGTCTCGCAATGGTCATCCACTGAAAGATTTACTTTGTTTCACGTAGATTCTGTGGTAAAAACATCGACAGTGGTTTGGCGTGGTCTGTGCACTTATCGACAACAATGTTCGTCATCGAGTACAGACCACGCTAAACCACTGTTGATTTGTTAAATTTACAAAATATATTTCATAACAAAAGTCATGGTTTTGTGCATTAAAGTTTATTTAACTATAAATCAATAAGTAACTATTTCAGATCGGTTACACCATCGTAAAAAATCAGCTTTAATGTGTCGATTTAACATTTCATTGAACGAGAAAATCTTTCATCTAAGATAGCTATACTTTAAAGTCTAGGATTTCACCTTAAACGATCTAGACTCGTTATGCAAACGTCACGGTTCCTCATGTTGAAAGAGTACCACGGCCCGAGAAAAATTTCGCCTCTTGTTGAGGCAGCAAAAAACTTGGACTCCTAATTCGTAACACTGATGGGAATTTTAAATTCGCTAAGGTAAATAAATTACCTCCGTTTTATCTACTGCTTCACGGGATTAAGTCCACCTTACGTCCAGGTAATTATTTACTATACTGTCTTTAGATGTATGCTAAGCCAAAATTTGACTAGATATAATCTTGTTTCGCGTCGTTACACGCCAGGTAAAGACTCAACAATTCACAAGCACTAACTGTTTCCCAAGTATCTTTTTACCTATCTTTTTGCTGAATGTTTTATCTACTTTTTTTAATTATATTTTTTCGTTTTTTATAATATCAGCTCTAACTGATTAACTGTAGTTGTCTCCGGAACTTATAAAAAAGGAAATCAAGTAGCAACTGATTCAACTGAGCCTTAAGTGCAAACTTGAAACACTACATCAAATTACTTCAATACGTAATCAATGAACATTTGCCATGGTAACCTATGTGTATTGCTTTTTTTTTTTAGCTGAGAATCTACGTGACATCATCAAATATCTTACGACTAATATCATTACTTTTTTGGTATTGAATCTTGCTACAAAGGTTCCATTTGATGTTACGAACACTTCTCACAGAAGAAATAACGCATTCTGACACTAACTTTGACGAACCAGCTATTGTAGCTAGCGTGGCTCATTCTACGCAGTGTGATTTGTGTGATGAGCTTATTGAAGGCAACGTCGTTGTGACGTAAAAATCAGCCCTCCTTAGTGTTATCTCTAAATTACACAACCAAAAAAGGAGTTCTTAGTTCACATTGACATTATTACAAACGCGAGTTATCGCGAGTTTGACGCTAAAGCAACACGCCTACAGTGATCCGATAGCGGTGCACTGTAAACGCGCTCCTCTTTAGATCTAAGTTCATACACAGAGGGCTTCTTGTCTCAACATACACTCTGTGTTCTACCATAAAATGACTTGGGGTATATTGTAATCAATAGTAGGATTTTCTCCCTTCGGAATGTTAATACCCGATGAGATCTTTGTTCTTCCTCCAAAGGTTTCAAAACAAACTTTTCTCGCGCTTTGTTCACGATATTGAGCTGAAGGTGTATATTGAAGTGAAGGTGAGCCGGGTTGTAATTAGATTAGCTTGGACTGCTTGGATTCGATGCCGGCGTAAACGATGAAGAATTTGGGGAATAGTTTGGGGAGCTTGGGCTGTACTTCGGGGATGATGGTGAGTACTGCGGCGAGGATGGCGAGTACTGAGGAGAGGTTGGAGAATAGCGAGGAGAGGACGGAGAGTAAGTTGGAGAGGTAGGGGAATAAGTTGGAGAAGATGGGGTGTAAGAGAGGGAAGATGGAGAATACTTTGGGGACGAAGGAGAATAAGAAGGAGAAGAAGGCGAGTAAGTTGGTGATGTTGGGCTGTACTTTGGCGATGTAGGCGAGTAGCTGGGAGACGTTGGAGAATACTTGGGGGAAGATGGAGAATAAGACGGAGAAGATGGAGAGTAGGAGGGCGACTGAGGGGAGTAGCTGGGGGAAGTAGGCGAGTAGGATGGAGATGAAGGTGAATAGGAAGGAGAAGTGGGAGAGTAAGACGGCGAAGTAGGCGAATACGACGGTGAGGTCGGGCTGTAGCTGGGCGATGTCGGGGAGTAAGACGGGGAGGTTGGTGAGTAGGATGGTGACGTGGGGGAATACGAAGGTGACGTTGGAGAATATGAAGGAGAAGTTGGAGAATATGAAGGAGAGCTTGGAGAATACGATGGCGAGGTAGGCGAGTAAGATGGCGAAGAAGGGCTGTAAGAAGGAGATGTGGGAGAATAAGATGGAGATGTTGGACTGTAAGATGGAGATGTTGGAGAATACGAAGGAGAAGTTGGAGAATAGGATGGTGAAGTTGGCGAATAACTGGGACTTGCCGGTGAATATCCGGTTGATGGAGAACTGGGGGAATAACCAGGAGACGTCGGCGAATAAGACGGACTTGCCGGTGACATGGAAGGAGAGCTGGGCATAAATGCCGGACTCGCTGGAGAGTAGTTTGGACTTGCAGCCGCTGGACTAGGAATATACGGGCTACTGGGACCTGGTGACACCGGCGATTGTGGCTGCGGACTCCAAGCGGGGCTGTAACCTCCAGGGCTAAAGCCACTAGCTTCTGAAGCTGCCGGAGAGAATCCGGCAGCCCCTGGTGTCATACCGCTGCCTAGTCCTGGACTCCACGCCTCGGTATAAGCGGGTGTGGCTCCCATGTTCCAAGGAGTCATCTGCGGTGACTTAGCTGTTGGAGATCCAGCAGCACCAAAGAACATTCCAGTGCCTGAAGCGGAAGAAGACACACACGAGGTAAGCAACATCACAGCATGCCAGTATTCTACTTTAAACGTCAGAATGCAGAAATAAGGTTATAGAGGAAGTTGTTAGGCGAGTCAAGAATAGTTCATTTTAACTACGACAAACTCCATAATCTGTGTTGCAGTGGCTACTTCATTTTTTGTATCGTGCAGAAAAGACCTCGCAAACCTAGTTTCAAATTAGGTCTGCACAGGGAATTGTCCGAAGTGTGTTTAGAATTTTAGATATATTTAAAGTTTGTATATAGTTGTGTAGGTAGAAATTATTATATTTTAGTCCGTATTTTAAAATATAATTGGAATTCTAGATATGTATATATATATATATTGTAACAAGTGATAGCTAATTTTAACTTAACTTAATTTAACTTAATTTATTTGTAATTTTATTGGGAGTGTTCCCGATTAGTCGGCCTCCGGGCTGACTAGAAGTTTTAGACACTTAAACAAAGTTTATTGATCGATTGATTGATTGATTGATAATAGACGGTGCAATCTTAAATCGAAGGCGATTTCATTACTGAACTACGTTTTAAAAAGCTAAAAATATAAGACAATTTGTTTTTCTTACCTGTCATAGGTCCGCCCATCATCCCAGGTCCCATAATATTTGTGGGGATCTCCATACCAAACTTACACTTCTCAGCATCTAACATCAGATCAAAGCAGCCAGTTCCAATGCGGGGGAGTTTCCCAAGAATCAAACACTCGCTGACACCCCGTATATTATCGTGCTCTGCATGCTGTGCGGCTTCCATTATTACATCAACCTGATCAAAACAAAGATTATCATAAATGAAGAGGGCTCCTTCAACGACATGAAATTGGGGAGTTACACTATTATCGCCGAACGGCTTAGTGACTCACTAGGCAAGTTTTAACACTTGACACCCGATCATCAGTATGTACATTCCCCATACTGTTTCCTATAAATTTCCTAGGGTTCTGACAAGGAGAATTTGTTCAACAATCCAGCCATGAGGACTTTGAAGATAATTCTGTTACTTGTTGTAATACAAGTCAAAAGCTTAGAAGATAGAGTATTAAATATTGGCCCGAGTTCTCACCGTTTCCTCAAAAGAACATCTCATAAGCGCTCCGACCTCCTGGCGATTGATACCGTGCCTTGTAATGGCCATGAGATGTCCTCGACACGTCATTATGTCACACAACAAGGCCAAGTGACGGTAGTTTACGTAAGAACCGTCAAAAGAGATAACATGGTTCATTTCACGTTCAACAGCCTTTCGCACAGCCTCGACTCCAAGCACCTGAAGTAGGCATGACATACAAATAAATTATATTCTGTAAAGTATACATGAACCATATCATAACCTTGTGTCGTATACATGGAGAGACGAAGCTAAAAATTTCATCAGGCTTTTGGTTTGTCTTCAAATACGGAAAATACATCAGAAATAATGCTATAAACTTGCTTCAAAATCAAATTTAACCACAAAACATCTTTAAATGGCACATGATCTACGAGTTACGCGGTTGGTGCTAGCAAAGTAGACAGTTAACAAATCAAAATTCTTCAGGACTCACAGAAAATATTTCACAGATGTCATTGGATGTCGTACGCACGGGATCCACGTCTTTTTCACTGAGTACCTGAAGGTGATAGAATACATAAAATTATTTCAGAAACCACAACAACAAAAAAAAAGACAAAACAAAAAAACAGAAGAATAAGGAGTTAGCTTGAAAAGGACAAGGTGAAGTGTTTTTACTTACCCTCATAAGCGCAACACCGTCAGTTTCCAGGATCCATTCAGAGATATGTTTAAACTCTCCTTCCTCTGTGATGGTGACTCGTTTCTTGTTGTCCTCGTGAGGCAGGTTCATGTACACTTTAGAGATGGATTCGATCCCCTGCAGGGTCATATCAGTCAGCATGTTGGCTTCAATGCAGCGTAAGAACACATCGTCATCCATCTTGTCCAGCTGTTCTTCCTCCTGAAAGAACAGGAAAAATTTAACATGTAGAATATGCCAAATACTCCGTTACTCTGTATCACAGCCCGGGTTTTATTTCAGCTCATTTTTTCTACTGCACTAGCTCTATAAGATTCCTTGCTGTTGTTTCTCTTTCTTCAAGCATACTTCTCAGCCACATCAACCCAACAGCTTTTATTTGACAAGGGCAACTTGCCCGCTACAAACAAGCTCAAAAGATGACACCTGCCACAGAAAACTTACAGCAGTATAGTTTTCCTTTCCTCGGTCCTTGTCGAGTCACTATCCCTAAAACTCGTTCTCAAGGCACTCTCTCTTCCTCAGAAGACCCTGGAAACAAGGTTGCGCGGCACTGGCAAAGGGAAGCTCGTCAAGAAAAAAATTGTCAACGAAAGCTTGGTTTTGTAGATGTGAGCGTATCTTCGAGCATCGCACAAAATTCACTTTAAACATTGTAATGCGAGCTATTTTCAAATAACTTACGTCTTGGAACTTTCCATCGTCGTTGTTCATGATCCTAATACGCAAGACAAGTTTCTCTGCGTTGTCATCGTTAAAAATGCAGTTCAGATCATCACCAAAACCAAGATTTATCTTCTCAGAGATCTGTTCCATGGTGAGCTTCTTGTCCGTCATACGTTTACGATCGAGTTCAATACGCAAAAGCCATGGTGAGATCCGAGTCACGTCAAAGTCAGGCATTTCATAGTAAACATTCACAAAGTCCTGGTCTTCTGTTACTACTGTGTTCTGAGGGTCTGGGTCGTAATAAATTGCTGTGTTGGCTGTGACTTTACGTAACGTTGTGTGCTCCAAACGGCATAACACGTCCTGTGAAATACAAAGGAATACAAGTTAGTCCTGGTTCAAGGGTAGAAGTGTTAATTTTCCAAGTAAATACAAATAACTGTAATCAATTTTTCATGCCGTTGAAACTTGACTGAAAGAAAAGAACTCTTGATACCTTTGCCTTTTCAGCATCTCTGGCAGGTTGTCCCGTGAGGAACACCGTCAGGGATGGAGTTTTAGGTTTCTTGGACACGTTGATGATTTCTTTGAGCCGAGGAACACCAAGGGTTACGTTCTTGGCAGATACACCGGCATAGTGAAACGTGTTGAGGGTCATCTGCGTAGCAGGTTCACCGAGAGACTGAGCGGCCAAAGCACCAACCATTTCACCAGGTTTAACCTAAAAAAAAAGTACAAGGCAACACGCATTTTAGGAGCAATGACGAGTTGCATGACAACTGTGTTATACTAAGATCATAGAGGACAAGGCACTCTCAAAACGATACACAGCTATGACTTCTCCCAAAGACACACGTTTACATTTGTTTGTTTTCAAAGAGAACTGAAGTGGATATTGTATTAATCGGATATTGCATTAATCAACTGCTGTATTGTTTTACAAGAGCATAAGCCTCGCGGAAAATTATCAAATGGCAGCAAAGTCAAAACGAACGAATAGAACATGATTATCTCACCATGGACAGGTTGAAGCGAGTTTCAATTTCTCCCAATAGCCATTCAAAAGCCTCTGATGACAAGTGAAACTCCTCAGCCACTCGCTTGGTACACAGAGTGGAACGAAGGAGAATGTTGAATAACAGAGTGGCGTTAAACTGTGCTTGTTTACTGATGTGATCCTCGCCATGAACAATTATTAATTTCTTGGACAACTCACGCACACCTTATGAACCAAAATGAAGAACATCACTAAAAACTACAAGACAACTTCATTACTTGGTTGAGAAAAATGTCAAATGACACTTCTTGAATTTTTACCACCTTAGTACAGTTCCGTCAATAAACAGTAGTTATTAGTTAAAATCATGATAATTATCCCTATACCTTCAACGACTCTGAGAGGGTGCAAATCACTCGGATTTCTATTGGTAAGATGAAAGGTCTTCTGTGCATTCCAGATCAAACGACTGAGATTTACTGGTAAAGCCACCTAAAATAAAATAAAACAAAAAAATCAGCCCTATCAATTAAAGTTTTATCCTTTCAAAACATAATTCATAATAAAAGATTACAAGACATCAGTTGGATGCCTTCATGCACCTTGGAGTTTCCTGAGGGAATAATTCTACGAAGAATTTCTCGATCCTCTTGTAATTGATTGAACTCTGACTCAAGATCCTGAAGAGCTGTGTTACTGCTGCAAAGATCTCGCACTACATCTTCCTGTAGAAGACGGCGCAGACGCCTGATAAAGAAAATGAGAATACAATGAATCATTATGTAACTAAAATTCAACTGATTTCGACCCTTCCAAGTCATTTCTTAAGAAAGCTCTTAATAACATCTTCCTCACTCATGCACAGGTGATTCAATGCTACTAAAAAATTTGTGTTTGTTTCAGAGCCACTTTAATATGGCTCTTAATCTTACAGCATATATTGTAACCTTTCCAGGACTTAATCATTTCAGCACATGGTCAAAAAATATACGGGAGTGAGACTTCTCACAACTAAAAAGGTGACTGTGTTTTGTGCTTGGTACGTATTGTTTTAAGGGTGACTCAGTACTACTCACCTTTCATTGGAGCAATCAAAGTGAAACTTTTTCTCAAAAGCTGAATTAGTTGGTTTTATGGTTGGCATATTCTGGAATTCAATTGCTGCACCATCCATTCCATCCTCACCATACCTCAACTGGATCATCTGATTGTTAGAGTTTCTGATTGTTCCATCATACGCAACCATTAGCCCTTCCATGGCTTTGATCAAACGCCTCTGAATGTAACCTGAAAAAGGAATTCAAATACCATTCAAATCTATGATGAAAATCAACTGCTTAAATCAACAGATATTGTACATAATATATTATTACCAGTTTCACTAGTTTTCACAGCAGTATCAATCAATCCCTCACGGCCTCCCATGGCATGGAAGTAGAATTCTGTTGGAGTAAGGCCAGCAAGGTACGAATTTTCCACAAACCCTCTACTCTCTGGACCATAATCATCTTTAATGAAGTGTGGGAGTGTCCGATGGCGGAATCCAAATGGAATCCGTTTACCTTCAACGTTCTGCTGACCCACCACAGCAATAACCTAGACAAATTGTGAAAAGTTAAGTTATGGTTGTGGCTAAGATGTCATGGTGACCTCCTCAGCATTGAGGAAATTGCAGTCATCCTTTGTTACTACACCCTAACATCAGTATGCTTATTCTTCAAACTGTTCTCTACATATTTCCTCAGGTACTTACAAGGTGAATTCATCCAACAAACAAGACTTTCTTAAGTTTGCGAACATTTCTTTTATTCTCAGAACCTTAAAGTGTGATGTGGGGGTGATATTGTAAGCGGAAATCAGATGCTAGATACTATTAGTGGTTAAAGGGTTGTTCAAATTTACTGACCTGTGAAATGTTGATCTTGGAGCCTTTGGAACCAGACACCACCATAGCCTTGAAATTGTTGTATTCTGACAAGCTCTTCTGAGCACTTCCTCCAGTTTGGTCACGACAGTCATTGAGGATACGGTTCACTTGATTCTCAAAAGTCTGTCGCAGTGTGTTACCTGGCGTGGGCTCAAGATCATCATTGTGAGCTTTCTCAATCACCTCAATCACATCCGCCTGAAGAATTCCAACATATGTGAAAACTTTGTTATCCACAAGTCAAGGTAATTCTAAGAATTTGGATTTGAAGTGTCTTTAAACGCACCACATTCAAATGTTCATAGTTCAAACAATTTCATTTAAAATTTACCATAAAGCTCACAAAGAAATTTAACAGTTATTGACCATGGAAGCACATACTGATCCACATTTAGTTACCTTGGCTTTCTTTGTCAATCGCTGAATTTCATCATAAGTTTCATTATCAGCAATGCAATCACCAATACCAATACTGTGTCCTTCAATCAAAGTCCAGTTGTTCACAACAGTCTGGATGTTCCCATAAAACATGCGCGCCACCTCATGCCCCAATTCTACTGCCACAATGTGGACCAAACTTCCTGACGAAGTTCCAAGGGATTTTTTGCATAAGATGCCAGAGATAAGCTCACCATGCTCAATGAGAACCTACAAAGAGGATATATCAAACAATCTTAACCCTAGTAAATAGTAACCTCTTTTAACTCCCTCTTAACAACACCCAAAGAATCACAGTTCAAGCTAAATTTGCCTCAAACCACCTGGACTACAACAAACTTTATCTGTATACCAAATTCTTTAACTTTGCTACACACGTTTGAGCCCAAACAAAAAAAAATGGGCTGTACTTAGTTCACTTTTGAGCTCCATGTATTATTGCTAACTGTTGATCTGATGTAAAAATAACTGGAACAGTTGTTATCATACTGAGTAGAAATAAACAAGTGCATGATTTTTATATTTGATTTAAAATTATGAAAAAGAATCCTTATTTCACCAAATTTATTATAGATTCATATGTAACTGCAGGACACAGGACAGTGTAAATATTCCAAATGTTTGTGAAGATGAGTAACATACCTTAGTGTCTCCAGGTGAAATATGTTTATATGGTCCACTATCTTCATTATCTGGGTGGGTACTGTGTGTACGGATCATATTGACATTTCCTGGAATAATCATACTGAAGATCTGTTTCCCTGTCCATAATGGCTGAGGCTTGAGAATGGCAGGCTGTATCAGCTTACCATCCCAATCAGGGATCCACATCATGAGGTTCATCATGGCATCCTGAAAATAAAAAAATAAAAAAAAAAAGGTTCCTCAATTTCAGAAATGAAACAGGTTACAAATGTGAATTGAAGCTCTCTAAACTAGGTGCAAAGTTACATATTTCAGCTGAATCCCTAGCAACTCAAACTTTCCCAAAGCTGGAAGTGATTTTTTTTGTCTTTTACTGAACAATTTACCCTCACTAATTTGACCCTCTGATATTTGAAGCCTTTTCTTCCTCCCATCAAAGATCAGAGTTATAAGTAAGGTATGAAAGAATTATTAATTTTAGTAAATCCATCTCATCCAAATGTATACAATAAGTGAGTTGAAATTGAGGGCAACTTGCCTTTAATTGTTTCAATACTATGCCTCTTTACTGATAATAGACGAAAATGCTTAGGTAACATTGAAGAGGTAAGACTTAATTTTCTTCTAAATAAACTTGTGACGATAACAGAAAATCTTGTAGATGTGAGAAAATTGTCCCTTGCAATGCTATCCAACTGACATAAAGATCAAAGACTAGCTGCACTATGGCATCTAGGCTGACAATCAGAAGGCAAAGATGCACCACAGAGAGGTATATTGATCTCACACACTCATGACTCAAGCATTCCCAATCTGCAGCTTAGCGCTGTTGGGCAACTGCCAACACACTTAAGCAGTGTTACAGGGCAAGCCTGTAAACAATGCAAAAGAATGTCATTGTTTTGCCCCAGGAATGGATCTAAGGAAGTGTGTCACCATTTTTCATAAACTTACAAGGAGAACAATCTTCTAACTTACATAATATCTAGAGCCCAACAATGGCTCTACCATGATACCATGCATCAGTATATTTAAGAGACAAACCTTTTCCAGAAAAACATCTCTTTTGGTAAATCTTCTGACAGCCATCAAAGAATCCTGCACTATTCCCATGACAGGTTTATTGGACTGCGGTGTAACAATGTTTCTTGGCACCATCATGATCTCAGTGATTTCAGCACGTGCCTCGAGGGACTGAGGTACATGTAAGTTCATCTCATCACCATCAAAGTCAGCATTATATGGTGTAGTAACACTGATGTACAAGGGCAGAGAGATCTTATCAGCAACCACAAGCTATTTATATCATTCTCTTTTGTAACTTATGCTAGTATTTTTAACTGTGTTTAATCAAATACTATTGAGCAAACTCAGCAACAAAGGTTAGAGAAGTCAGGATTATGACTAGTAACACCTATCAACTGGCTGCACAAAATTAGGTTCTTTGGGGATGATAGACATTGAAATTACAATACATTTTTGCACAACAACGCAAAATTTTTCTTGACACTTAAAAACAAACACATAAACATTGCCCCATTGAGAGAGACTTATGATCAGCAATATTTCCTGAATACTAGTAATCACCTGAGATTAAGTCTGAATGTTGACCAAGGCAGGATTTTAACTCTGTGTCCCATCATAGACATTTTGTGAAGAGTGGGTTGTCGATTGAAAATGATCACATCATCATCTCTGATGTGTCTTTCCACCTTAAATTTCAAATAAAATAATAAGCTTCTATGTCTGGAGAAATTTATCTTCATTACAACAAGTCTTCGGCTGGCCATGTTGGATGTCAAAGTCTAACAACTGTCAGAGTTAAATTTCACTAATTAAAAAAGTACCTGAAATGAAACCCTGTCTAGAGGTAATCAAATAATTGTTGTATTTCACACACAAATATTGAAAGATATTGGTGTATAACAAAGACTGCTCAAACCTACCTTGTAACCAAACTGAAGATGGAGATCACTTGGTTTGGGGTGGAACCTGAGATCAATACGCTCTCCATTGTCTCTGATGATGTACTTAGCACCTGGATATTGGTTATTTCCTCGGCGCACAAGTTCTTGCATGCTACAGAAAAGACAACAAGTGTGAACTTGAAATACCAAAACATCTCCTTCATGAAAAATTAAATACTTTGAGGATGATACAGTACATGATGATACAGGAAAATACATGTTAGAAAAGGCTTACTGACTTTGGTCTGCATCACTCTTACCCTAATAGCGCTAAAATTTCATTGCCTGACATTCCCATGTTTATGATAGAATTCAGTCTCATTACACATAGAATGGGCTTGACTTATTTTAAATACTAACCTGTCAATGTTGAATGGTGTGACAATCTCAGGGAAACTAAGATTCTGAGCAATGGTACGTGGAACGCCAACCTGATCAATGGACAAGTTTGGGTCTGGAGTAATGACAGCACGAGCTGAAAAGTCAACTCTTTTTCCCATCAAATTTCCTCTGATACGGCCTTCTTTACTCTTCAGTCTCTGTTTCACTGATTTCAATGGGCGTCCAGACTTTTGCATGGCCTTCAATGAGACAGTGTAAAGTTCTGATTAGCACTATAGTTCCAACTATAGTGCTTTGTAATTCAATGTACCACACAAGAGGGAGGGCTTGTTGTGGCAAATACAAGCCAAACTATGATAAATTGAAAAATTTCCTTATCTACAAAAAATGTGCTATCTTACCCTAGGCAGACCAGGGATTTCATTGTCTATAAGTGTTGCCACATGATACTGGAGCATTTTAGTGTCTTCTGCAATGATGTGCGCTGCAGCACCATTAAGTTCATTTCTCCGAAGATTACCATTTGCCTTCACAACATCTGACAGTTTGTGGGTTAAATCATCCTGGAAGAAGGTAGACAACCAAAAACTTATCAATTAAATTAACAACACAAAATCAAAGAAGCCACAATGTAGGAAGCTAGGGAAAAGCAGCTGGTTATTGCAATAATATCAAAAACCTCAATATTATTAAACAATTGTAACTTTCTCTGCATTTTTTTTTTATTCTGCACAAAAGATCTTACAGGATCAAACTGAGGTTGACCTAATATCAAAACACATTACCTGACTACGAGCAGAACCACTCATAACAATGGAAGGTCTTACAGCCAAAGGTGGAACTGGAAGAACGGTCACAATCAACCAATCAGGACGTGCAAACTTGGGGTTCATTCCCAGAATCTCACATTCCTCATCAGAAATTCTTTTAAATATTTCATGCACACGCTCTGCTGTGAGTGGAATCTTTTTCTCCTGCGAGTCTTCATTCACCTCTTTCCATTCCGCAGTAAGATCAAGACCACTTCTTCTGATCTGTGGCTGGTTTCTACCACATCCACCATGACTCTAACAAAATGAAATTGGTAAAAGAATGTGACATGTTAATCTCTTACTCCCAAGAACTGACTTGAAATTCTCTTTTATATATGCAACTGCTTTATACTTCCTTATAACTCAAGCCAACCAAATTTTACTGATATCGTCCTCTGTATTAAATTTTTGCTGAATATGTATTAACGTGTATCATACTCTAACATGAGCTTACCTAATAAAAAAATTACAATCTGATACCTTGAAACATAGTTTAACACAAACTAGGTTAAAAATTCCAAAACAGTCAAGACAGTATATCAGAGCAAAAATTAAAGATAAACTTACCATCTTTTTCTCAGCCTCATCCAAGTCTACAGACTGTTGTTTATCATCAACAACATCACCACCTTCACAGATTTTTTTCCCTTTGCACAAGTCATAGATGTGTTGCAGACGCTTACTTGGTTGATCACGAGACTTTGATAAAATTTCTTTCACTTTAGGATTGTTCTAAGTAACAATAGCATTACCACCATCAGCAGATTTTCATGAATTTTCTTATAAAAATTTTCATTTACTTTCTTTCTACCATAAAAAGTCAGCCATTAATGAGAAATTGTAACAAAAACTTAAATTTTTCCTTTAATGCAACAGTCCTGATCTCAACCTGAAGTGTTTCCTGGATATATGAAAACAGATCTATTTTTCCTTTTCAACAAAAGTTAAATAATTTTAGATAATCAAATGGACACCTTTGAGTAAAAAGAATTAAATCAATCCCAGATTCAAGTAAAAAAAACTATTCTGAACAAGATAAATTAGAAAAAAGATTTATGAGAAAATCAATATTCCAGATATCGAGCTATTTCTAGCCACACTACCACGGCTGGGGAGATACCCTCGCCCCATTCCTTCAGCCGAGCGGCCGGCCATGAATGCAGACGAAGCAAGATTGCCTTTCTTACCCCGTCGACAAGGAGTTTTGAGCAATAGAAGCAAACGCATCTCAAACATTTGATTATCATCTTGTAGAAGCCGACGTGAAACACCGGTTTTGCCAGCTCTATGTGTCCGAAGTGACCGGGACATTCAGTCATGTTTCCGGCGCAAGTTTGGCAACGAGAGAAACGGTCGATTGTTCCCTGTCGAGGATCCATTAAACCACCTAGCTTCGGCTTTCCTCCCTCCATCGTTTCGGAGTATTTCACGCCGCCTTCGGTAGTAACTGACATTTGTTTCTGTTTAAATATAAAAAATAAGTAATCAGAACTACTACACGTAACAAAGTCGACATGAAACATCACTTTTCCTACGTAAAACACGCGCAAGAACCCTTGCATTTGACCTTTCGTGAGTATCGACGAAGAACGTGTCGGAACAAGAAAACTTTTAAATGCGGTTTTAACTTGATTGAAATTTATTGAATGTTTACTCACTATTTCATCTGGACTCAGTACACCAAACTGCACCAGTTTCACGTCCCGTAAGGGAGCTGGTGACCCAGACGCGAAAGCCATCTCTTTGCTTCAACAAGATGGCCGAAGTGATGAGGTAATTGCTGAAACGTTTTCACTTTCTTGCAAAAGATTCTCTCTCTTAGAACGACCTCAATTCCTCAGCGACGGTAGGAGTTCCGTAAACTCGTTAATTTCGTTTGTTTTGGCAATTTGTCACCTTCTCCCACGTTTTTCACGAAGGATTTAGGCGATAGAACTTTAGTTCCTTTGTCCTTCGCCGACTGAAGCGCCCCAGAAGCGCTTCTTCTACTTCACCAATAATCTCACCTTGTATTTATAGTCCATCTGAGATATGCGGGGTGCACCCAGATTCTTCAGGGCTAACTGTTGCATTGTGGGAGTGACGTACCCATCACAACCTTGCGCTGGGGGTAGGGGATAGCAATATTTTTGGCTTACTTACGCGTAACTTTACTATTTTTTAAATGAAGTCATTTTGCTTTTCGTTTGTGAGAATTTAAATTGATATAACAGCCATCAAATTTGTCAACTGAATGTTACTATTTCAATTTGATTCAGTAGTGAAGGACGTTTATTCTTCATAATTTCTTCCAGTTTTAAACAAACCATTGACATTGTCAGTAACGAGTTAAAATTTCTCCCAAAGTTTGTTCAGGGTTGGCTGGGTTTCAACACAGATGAGGAGAAACACAAACTTATGAACAACTTTAAAATAAAAGTGCTTTATTAACATTTTTCCTTATGCACAACTGTTAATGCAGCAGAGATTGATCTTTGACATAAAATTATTGTGTATCAGCAAGAGACAAAAGCAACATCATCGCCTCATCACAAGGAATTGAAGACATTTCAAATCAAGTCCTAAATAGATTAGTATATCCACCAAAAATCCGGACAATTCTGAATACTTTCAAAAATAGCGTTGTCACTTCAATTTATGGAACAAATGATGTGCCACCTGTAAAAAATAATATTAAAATCATTATAAATTATGTAAATATGCAACATTGAAACAAAGTGAGAAACAAGGAAATGTAAATGTAGTACGGAACAATATAGCCGATGAAGTGAATGTTATTTAGCTTGTAACTACATCTGATGGTCAAAGTTTAGTCTGAGTTTGATCTAGTACAATAGCTTATTTGCTTGAACTTCACTGCTAGAAGATTCAATACACCTATTCGAGGTAACAATTCATGGATACCAGAAGAATAGATTCACTGACACTTTTAAGAGGAATGAAGGAAAGGCAGATCAGCATTTCAACTACTTACAAGTTTCTGCTTTGAAAAAACACATTAAATTGCCTTTAAATTAAAAAATGCATGTCTTGTTCTCATTTGGTGCCTGTTTCATTTATATAGAGATCTTCAAAGAAAAAAGGTAAATTTTCATCATACAACTTCTGACTTAAACATTCCTGTGTTACCAGATTATATGTATGTTCCCTCCTAATTGTCTTAAGAAAGCTGGAGCAAGAGAAGTGACATAAGACACCCACAAGGATTAAACTCATAGATCTTTAACTTTGCTTTCTCTCTCATTCCAGACTTCTTAATGCAACTCAAAAGGAATAAAATCTGGTAGTTGTGGAAAGTTGAATCGAGAAATCCCTCTTAACCAAATCATACTTATTCTTAAAATTTAGGCACAAACATTTGCATGGAAGCAAAAAAAAAGTTGAAATTGAGAGAAATGAATAAAATTTCTTCATCACCGAGCACTACTGTCTAACTGGATATGTTCTGGTTCAAATTATCTGTTTTAGTCCGAAGTTTTAAAACTAGTTGAATTTATTTTGTATTTATCACAGATTTCCATAATAAATCTGGGACAAAGAAGAGTTGAAATGGAGGTGGTATGAAAATCTTTGAATAAGAAAATTTGAACCAGAACAAATACAAGTACATTTCATATTAGAGCTTGCAATCTGTAGGTGAGACAATAAAATTACACAAAATGAGCTACTGGACTTGAAAGCAACCTCAACAAGACTTTCAGAAATATCCAATTTTCCATCCCACTTACACAGTGATCTGCACACTCCATAAAATCAAAGAGTTCTTGTACACAGGTTTCCTCTGTACTTGATTTACTGCCAACACGCTGATTACAAGTATCCAGTTCTAGTTTAGCTTTGGCACATTTTGGACTCTCATTACACCCCTCCTGAATTTTTTCCCTGGGATCCTCTAGTTCCTCCTCATCTTCTTCATCATCATCATCTCCACCATCACCGGCAGGCTCTTCAGCCTCTTCGCCTTCATCTTCTGGGTCAGAATCCTCAACCTTCATGAAAAAAAACAATAACAAATAAGTTATAATGCCATAGTTACACTGATGAGATTGGTCTTGAAAAGGACTGCAGCAAGTGCCAGTCAGAGATGTTTTAACAACCAGGCCTGGGTTGTTCAAAGCTGGGTTAAGGTAACCCAGGGTTAGTGTGAAATTTGATTTCAGGTCTGAAAGCTTCAAGAGGAAATTCAGTTCAAATCTTTTTGCTTGCAATTTGATCATTGGATGTTCTAAAAAGAATAGTGAATAGTGTGAAATCTGATTTCAGATCTGATAGCTTTAAAAGAAAATTCAGTTGAATTCTTTTTGTCTGGAATATGATTATTTGATGCTCTAAAAATAAGACAGGAAATTATCCCAAAAAGGCTTTTGAATAAAGGAATAAAGAAACCCAGGTTAAAATTTAACATTGGATTAGCATTAAACGGCCTTCAAACAACTGGGCCCTGGACCCTGATTTAGATACCACTGTCAGAGTCAAGTGCAGAGTTGTTTTTCAATCAAATCTTACAGCCCTAGTTTATGAAAAGTAATAACAGATGGTCAGGTTTAGTGTTAGCTTTTGGCTGAAAACCCAATCAAAATTTGCTAGTTTTAATTGGTAAAGGTAATATATTTTTTTTGAACTGAAGTCTGAATACTTCTTATTATCATTCACCTGTCATAAAGTTTGTCAACAACAGAAATTAAATGTATCATTTGAAGGGTTTATTGTAGAGAACTCTCACTATCATCAGATTGGTCTAAGATGCCTACAAAACAACTACCCATGTCATGATTTACAACTGTTGTGTGTGATTTTCCCTAATACTATTTGAACTAAGGACTAAAGATGAAAGGCTGAAACCTCACTAAGTGTCTTAAGTCACATTTCACTAGAATAGAATACTAATGCAAATCGTGTTTGAGCAATAAATATCTTAAATGATGTTATGTACAACAGATACGACAAAATATAATCATCTCTTGTATGCACTGTAATCCTAGTTATGTTGTAATCAATAATCTGAACATACCCCAGTCTGAAGGCAAATTACATTCAACCATCGAATTATTGATGGAAAGATACACCCCTGTTTCTGTATAATTATGTAAGATCGTAATAAAGACCATCGATACTTTTAGCATTCCCGCTTTGTTGGCAACATCTGATTGTGAGAAATATTGTTCTCAAAGATAAATTTTTCAAGCGAGACGAGTTAACGGATTCGCAATTTCACGAAAGCGTCTCGATTTTACCTATTAAGAGCATAAGTTCATCATGAGTTTACAGCATTGCCTCATACCATTTTCTGACTACGTGAGGTAAGTCAAGCAAGTTGTAGCTATCTGTCCATGACCAATCTTTGATCACTTCTCTTCAAGCGACTGTCGTAGTCGGGTAACCACGTTTAAACATGCGCTGTATATCGCGTTTTGTGAGATATTTATCATTTTTAATAAAAGGAGAATATTTGGAAACTTTTATTACCTTTTCTAAGACGACTGTGCTTCCAAGAAGCGCTTTTTCTTCGTCTAAACCCATATTTTCACGCAATATTCATACACCGGTCCGCCAGGAAGCTACAATCGTGGACTCTCAAGCTTAGCAGTCGAGCCTCGTAACTTTGTAGCCACGCTGTGCCTGAAAAGAATCCTGGGAATAATCGTCAAGCGGTTTGCCTCTGAAAGGAAACAAAAACAAAATGCAAGTGGCAGTTCAGACACAAATTTAAAAGTAAATTGGCCGCTGTAGAGAGCCTCTGCGCCTGACGTTTCCAGCGTTAAACATTCGCAATAATGAATGACGCTCGAAACTTCAGCTTTAGATACTATACGGTGGCCAATTTAAATTATCAACTCAGTTTATAAACCAAATTATTATTTATAAAAACTGGATCATTGGATCTTACCATTCAAGAGTTTTGTTTTTATTGGCTTAGCCATCATGAGTTATGAGCCATTATATCATAGGCGTGCATGAAGACGAGTTAAACCAGAACTGTTTTTGTACATTGTAACATTCCGTTTGTTCTTACAAATTAAAGTTGGGAAGATCTATCAATATATTGGGGCGTTTCAATTATTCTACTCGTGCTTGTCGGATATGAAATGATTATAACCAACTCGGCCCTACGGCCCTCTTTATTTATTAGCTGAAGTAGGACAGTATGTACCCCTAAAACGAAAAAAAAAGAATGGTTTTTGAGCCGCTCTGGATTGAAAACGGTGAACATAATTTGATCATTATGACCACACTGCAATAAAGACTTAAAAAACTATCGTTCAGAGTAGCCTGTTGTTAAAAAAGTGAGATGTAGAGGTATAAATTGAGTTGATTGGGGGGGGGGGGGGAATTGTTAATTACTTGTGCGAAACGATTCAATCTTGAAAACTCGCCTCAGTGCCCTGTCAGATAAAGGAAATCTGACTGTATCCGCTTTTCAAATGAGCTAAAACAACACGACAAAAGATATTGTCCATGATAATACATGTTTGCTTAAAATAGACTATTTAATGTTTGAAATTTGAGAATTGTTGGCTTTAACGTAAAAAGAAATCATTAACACCAGAAAAAAATTCAGCCAACTTTTGAAAGTAAAGGATATCTGATTCAGTTTTGTCATACTAGAAAACTGAATGAGACTCAGTTGCACAAAGAAGCTTTTAGATCTCTATCTGACAACAAAAGAAATGTGATAAAATGTGATCTCACATAATGTGTACTATTCAAACATTCGGCCTTCTCTAGTATGCGATGGTCCAAAGATATTGAGCTTGTTTGATAAATTTCACACTTCTGGCTCTCCAAATTGTCAATTCGTGTGAATTACGAGAGAACTGCACACCTGAACAAACTTCACGCTCACATTATAGAACGGCTCGCTGCTAGAAAGATCCTGCTATTTTTATGAGTGTAAAAGACGTTTTGTCTAAATCAGAGAGTACAGAAAATAAGCTGTCACCAAGGGATGGTAAGATATGAAATTTAAACCACAAGAATTAATATTTGTCTTTTAAAAAATATGTTTAGTGGGCTGATATCTGTCCAAAATGACCACATCGACAATTTTCTGTCCGCAAAGAATAATCTTCACTACATTCGAACAGAGACGCTGGACTTAAATAAAAACCGTTACTTATTGAGCAAGATGACATGTTCTTGGTTAACGGATGAGGTAAATGTTGCGAATATGAAACTAAACGGCCGCATGAAAAAACGAAAAAACCGGTTTATTCGCTTACGCTTACCAAATGGTAGCGCGAAAAACCAAGTGTTTTCTCCTTAATACCTACAGCAGCTGACAGAGTTACAACGGCTCATGTCACAACTAGGCGCTGGAAGAATTATTGTTCCTAAAAGAGGTTGACAGAAATTGTCCATGATCTATTCACCGGCGAAAATTTATGTAATCATTGTGTTCAAGGTAGAACTTGTCTTTTGCTATAAGGTTCTCTTGCAGGTGCAAAAATTTGAGTTAGAAAGTTAGATATATTCTTTCCTTTACTGAGGGAAAGGGATTCGATAAGACGGAGAGCTCAATATATACATCACACATAACTTGACTTAACGGAGTCAGTTAACATGAATATCTAAAATTATCTCATTGCATTGCATGGACGAACCTGTCAAACGCACTACGTTACTATTGAGAATGAAGAGAGTAGCCATTATCTGTTTAAACCTGTATTTATTCACGGCTACTTGCACCTACCAGGACGCTCAAAAAAGTTGAAGCCATTTCATTTCAGAATATTCAATCGGTAACAACGGGAACTCAAGTTTTAGAGGAGGAGGGGAAGATAAATATACATGGTCGCTAATATCTGCACTTTAATTGAAGTCCATAACACAGAAGAGCTAACACGATATAATTAATGAAAACTTCCGTTTGTAATTAAACACCCCACTGGTTTATTTATACAGCTTTAGGTGCGTGCACTTAAAACTACGCCAACAAACAAGAGAGTTTTATTGGCTTTCGGATCGAAACCCTTAGAACCATCGGTCGAATCTACGCAACAGGTTATTGAGTCCATTTTGCTTAAGCTGAAAGAATACAACACTGTCAAACTCTGAGTCATCTTTTTGTTTTATATTTGTAGCTATGCAGATAACAATACTGTCCATATTACACACGGCAATCCATGTCTCGCTATGTATTATGGGAACGTCAGCTTCCCTTAAGTGCCGATCAGTCGCTTCATTTTCCGACCACGCCCTTACGGGATACACCTACAAGGCAACATCCGGGATACGCTTTGAATCTTGCGCCGCAACATGTGACGCTGACCCGCACTGTTACAGCTTTAACTACGTCATTCGCGACAAAACTTGCGAGCTCAGTAACTCTTCGCGCTCGGCCGATCCAGAGTACTTTGTGCGCAGGTCTGGGGTGGTTTACATGGACAAACTAACAGAACCCGTGGAGCACTGCAAAACACTTCCGTGCAGAAACAATGGAACTTGCCAGAAAATTCAGCGCCATCCTGGGTTTAAGTGTTTTTGTCAAGATGAGTACAGAGGGGAAAAATGCGAAAGTAAGGAACGAGCTTAATTTACTTATAAGGTCTTTGATCCGTAATCGACCGAATCCATCTACTCATGTGAGGGATACGTAGGTTGCTAACAGTAATTTACCATTATAGATTAAAAAAAGCAAAGAACTTGCTCTCCCATCAATCAGAAGAAATTTCTTGGTTTGTAAGGAAACTTTCGTTCAGCCTTTACCATTGAAATAAATTTTCACAACATTGAAAACAAGATCGTTCCGTCGATAAGCTGTTTTTCGATGGGTCCAGGATTGCTGTGAAATTCCGTACATATGAGTCTTAGACAAAAATAACAGGTATCCTCATCATTAGTTTGCAGTCCTACCGCATTGGGTCTCGGTGATAATAAACTGCCTGATCAGAATTTCAACGCCTCCTCCAGCTTACATCCATTCAGACCCAGCGACGCTCGCCTGCATGCAGCTAATTCGTCTTGGGTCAGCGATGGTGTCGAAAAGGACAAATTTCTGCAGATTAGTTTCCAGCCTCACCCCAGACTCATCACAAGCGTGGCCACCGAGGGTAGCCCTGGCCATGATTGGTGGGTTGTGCTTTATAATCTTCAGTACAGCTTGGACGGTGTCACGTGGTTCTACTACGAAAATGAGAACTCCCCTGGGTCACGAAAGGTGATGCAGAAATTCCTTTCCCCGCAACTAAATATTAGACTAACTTGCGCTACTGTTAGAGGTTATCCCATTTTCTGTTCTTTGAAGCAACGAAGAGTATTGCTAATCCCCCTGGATAGTATCAACCAGTTCACCGTGGAAAATTTATAATTCGAGGTGAAATATTCAGTTGTAATGTTGCAGATGGCTGTACTTGTAAATAACCTATTTTCTTTCTCAGGTTTTTAATGGTAACCAAGATAGAAATAGCGTCGTGACTAACCAGCTTCATTCCCCTATAAGAGCACTGTACCTTCGTATCTCACCCTTGTTCTGGACTGGAAAGATCGCGCTACGAGTGGAGATCTACGGATGTAACACCTACAGCTGATTACTTAGAAGCCAGGAGACATTTCAACAGTTGGCAGAGTAATTCAAACTCAGGTTATTACCACTCATCAATAACTGTTTCTTGGACTTACGCCAGGTGGAATATTTGTTCATCGACGAAAACAAACTCCTGTGATTGTAGAAGCGCAATTAGTTCACAAATAGTCTGGGTTGCGGCCACTCTTGAAACCATGAGCCGCCGAGCTACTTTTGAAGCAATGCGTGGAAATACCGGGCGGACTTATCGTTAGAGATTGGGAAAGAGCAAGCCTCCAACTCTACCTCGTCCAAACCAGTTAACATATAAATCCAATGTCAAAGATAGGATAGACAATGCGTCAAGCAGCCTGCAATATTTTTTGACAAAGAAACGGTCTGGACGGAAGAAGAGTGGACATAAACCGAGGAATCATGAGCCAGAGAAATTCACTCTTTATTACAAACTGTACCTTTACTCTCTAGAGTTGCTCACTATTTACATGCGTATTTACAAAACATTTTAAAGGTGACCTCAGTAATGATGATGAAAAGTATGAACAAAGAATTTTGAACGAAAAATAAATAAATAATTTAACGACGATCCGTGCTACGACGACTGGCCGCGCTGCTCACACGGGAGGAAGCCTTGGAACCAGTCGCTGAGCCAGGCCTTGAGCTCGTTTTCTTTCCCCGCGCACTGCTTGTAGGAGAGACACCTGGAAACGAGCGAGGAAAAAATTAAACAGTTATTCTAATGGAATGACTGGAGTTGGAATAATAGTAACAGAAGTGAACCTCTCATCCCTTTCTTGGTGCAGTCCTTTGATGTAAATGAATCAGCTCCATAAACTCAAAAATTGAGTTATGTTCTCTCATAATAAAATAGCAAGCAACAATTAAATGGTTTGAATTTTTTAATAAGTGGAAAATGAAAAAAAAAGAAAAAAACAAACAAACAAACAATAGAGAAGCCTTATCTGTTTTAATTTTACAAGAGATAATTCATGGGTTTGTCCTTCTGGACAAACAGTGCCCCAAGCTGCGACCCTTCAGGTCGACATGGCGACTAAGTTTGCAATCATAGTCGCAAATTCAAAGACACCTATTTGATATTTCTGGCGATCATATCATGATCTGAGGCCACCAAACGGCAAATTGAAAAGAGTTTAAGCTTGGAGCTACCTAATTTCTTAATGTTTCATTTTGTACGTAAGCTGTACTCAAGCTGTACTCAAGCAACTTGTCCCACGGCTCATGCTCTCACCTGGCTTCGGACTCCCTGCGCCAGTGGGGCTTGCAGCACCCGCAAGAGCCAGAGCTCCAACATCAACAGTACCAACACCTCGGCGGCTGCCAGTTGAGATATCAGATCTGTACAAGGGAGCATACAATTCAATTCAAAATTAACGAGTTGCTTCTCTACTCGAGAAAAGTTCATTCACTTTAAAACATCGAGAATAAGAAGTGTAAGTCGAATATAGGATCCGAGGTCCCTGCAGAAATATTATGTGACAAAAGCTATTTCCCGACTGCGCAGAGTATATTTTCGCTTAAACTGAACAACAAGGAGAAATGAGGAGGAAAATGATTTTAGAGCAACGGCCATTCATAGCGAATAAAACTATCACATAGAACACAAAAGTTATATAAGTGAAGGCTAACAGAGTTTTTGAAGCACCAACAAACGCAAATGACGAAGTCAAGAGCAGTTGACAGAGCAATGAAAAGGAAAGAAAGCTACTGCAATTCAGGATTACTTTAGATATTTATTTGAAAACTGCTCGGGAAATCGCAGTGTGATCAATTACTTTTTTACCAAGTGGTGATCATTTTTTTCATTCTGCTATTCTCCAATTTTGTATCGAAGATCCATTTACAAGCACACAAACCCTGTCTTACTCACCGAGCAGACGACAACGTCCCAGAACTCCGCGAGCTACGAGAAGATGTTGGCCGTGACATACCAGGACCTGGGGAAGGAGGCATTGGTAACCCTGCCTGGCTGAAATAGATCTGGACACTGGGTCCTAGATCCGGATGACTGTGTAACACCTCGCCCATTTGTTTCATGGTGCGCGTATTAAAGTCCCTCAACTCTCTCAAATCCATATCCTTTTCCTCGTGAAGTTCCCCTGAACTTTTCTTGGCACTCCTTACGGAGCGCGCAATCTTGCTAGCCTCCCGGGAAGCTCGGTCTTTCTTTGTCTTCTGATCATCCAATTCCCTCTGTAAATTTGTCGCCTTGGCCTGCTTCTCAGTGATGACCTCAACCAAGCCTTGCTCGTCCGCGGTCAAGTTTTCTAAGGTGCCCTCCATAGAGCCCAGGTCTTCCTGTAACTCACGGATTTGCCGTCGTTTGTATTTATATTTATCCATCACAGCTCGCATCTGATCCTCCAAACGCTGTTTCTCGTCATACTCTTCACTCATCTCGTCCACTTTGTTAAAACTTTTCCGGTAAGTCTCGTTCCGGCCGTTCATCAGCCGCAATGTGTTTTCCAAAGCTCTATAAATAATGAAAAAAAAAAGCATTTTTAGTCTGCCAAGAACCTATAATGTCAAATATATCGATATTATCTTCACCGCTAGATATTTATTGCCTTCTTATTTCGCTTAACCCTTACCGTATCTCTTTCTCAGCCTTTCTGATCTTAGCATCCAGTTCATCTCCCTCACGCTGCAGCTCCTCCTTCTCCTGAGCTGCCTTGATAACGTAATAGGCTTGAGACCTTTCCTCCTCCCCCTCGGGAGGCGCCATTGAGATCATCAGGATTTCATACCTGGCGCCAACAAATAGGAAATACACTATCAAAAAAGTAATGCACACAAAATTCCCTGTTACGTTTGCAATCCAATTCATTCAATTGTTGGCTCATTTAAGTTCAAGTTTATTCACCACCATAAAGTTCACAAAGAATAGTTCACAAAAATAAAATAAGTTGTAAGGAGACTTCAAGAAACCTACAGGGTTCGTTTGCTCATTCATTCACTAACACACTCAAATGATCAGCCACTGTACCTTTTCCGCAATTTGTCAATCTTGGATATCCGTTCATGTAACTCGGAGCTGCAAGAAAATGTAAAAGAACCAGTTATTTAATCTATCAAAAGAAGAAACGACATCCGTCGCGTATTTCAATTGAAATGCTTCAATACCTGACTGTCTGTCTCTCTTCTTCTGAAGATTTAATCTGTGCTTGGAGCATGTCTTTATGAATGTTTATTTCATGGCGCCGCTGTTTCATCGCCTGCAGTAGCAGTAAGACAAAGTATTGCAGCTTTAGTATGGTTCATTTTGAAAAAAAGGAATCACCTTAAGCTTGGTCACCTTACAGCAAACATTGTATAGGATACAGAACGAATTATTACGTCGTACGTTCTCTGACAGCATTATGACAGATTTGGAAAAATGCAACGTGAAACACGAACCGTTTCCAACTGCAGTTTCCTCTTTTCGAGGTTAAGCACATTGTCTGCTTTGTTGCTTAGAGTTTCTCTGAGGCGTTTGATTTCCAGCTTCAGAATATTCTCATCCACCATAAGATCCTACGAAAAATAGAGACAAAATAAAACGTTATTGAAAAATGATTGAATCAGTCAATCTATCAATTCATAGGTCTCTAGGGTAGTCAAATTCAACCTAAAAAATTTGGACGCAGAACAAACTCTTATCACGCGGTTTTGTCTCTTTGGCTTGCAAGGAAGTGGATAGTTCTGGCTAATCACTAGCGGGCTGGCCAATCAGTGCGCACAAAAAGCCCTTTTTTATCTGTGGGGTACATACCGATGTATTTTATGTAAAGAACATTTCCATGTGCGTAATAAACGGAGAAACAAAAGGAAGGCTGTAGTGCAAACCTGTTTTAATGTAACAACTTTCTTCCTCTCTCTCTCTGAGCTGTCATTATGTAGATTCAGTTCCTCTGCAAAAGAAGGAGGAAGAAGTTCGTTCACTTTGAAAACCAATGTTTAGACGAATGTTTTGTATCATGGAATCATCATGATGATAAATCACTCACCGATTTTGCTGGTGAGAGTCTTCATTTCTTCTTTTCCTTTGTTTAAGTCTCGGTTTGCACGTCTTAGATCATCCTATGGAAAATGAAAGTTCGAAAAAACAAAATAATAACTATGGCTTTTCAGAGTTACCTTTACATCTCTACACAATTTTTTTTAAACGACAGGTTGAGCCATTCATCAAACTTACGTTCAAGTTCTTCATTTGAGCACTGAGAAGTGCGTGAGTGGAGTTGTGTTCCTCCATCTGAGACATTAGATCCTGAGAAAAGTTAAGAAAAAAGGACAATCAATAAGAACTGTATTCATCTCCTCTAAGTCAAGTGCAATAGTCAAAGTGCCATAACGTGAAATTTTCACTTCTGAACACAATGCCCATAAAAGTACAATCAACACTTGTAAACTTTATACCTTTATTCTGGCCTCAAGTTGCAGTTTCTCTTCATTACTTCGCTCTCCCTGCATGCGGCTTATTCTTCGCTCCAACTGTTGCAGTTGAAAATCCTACAAAACCACAAACAAAGCAATTACATTACTTCAGTTAAAACAATATAATGTAAGACAATGCTCAAAAATCCCATACATGGACTATGAAGTCTAAATTGAATCTTCCTCTGGGTGTGATATTTAGAAGGAGATCCTAGTCTTCACATAGATATGACTCAGAATGAAAGGTTGACAACAATCAGCTCTCACAGTAATCCTAACCTGCATATAAATAATTTCCTGTTGTTTGAGTGATTCCTGATCAAGTTTGTGTAGTTTACTGCTCAAGTTCCTACTGGCAGCTCTTGCACCCTGAACAAAATAAGAAAATCACATAAAAAAAACAATTGAGGATTGAAATTGTTAAGACATGTACATCCTCCCATTGTCCCAGTCAAGAGAATTGGGATAACAGCAAACCCTAATTACCTGAATTTCAGCTGCAGTATTGTTTTCCAAAACTTTACATTCATGCAGTTCCTCTGTTTTTCTGAACTAAAAAAGGAAACATTTCATGGCAATTACTTCTCATTGTTTATTTATATTACATTTCATAGTCTTGTGTTAGTCTTGGTGAACAATTGTCTATTCTGTCCTCACCTCCCCCAAAGAAGAATAGGAGAGTCTCCACATGATTTTTTGGTAAGAAGGGGTGAGGAGAAACGAGTTACTATAAACAGGTCGCTGGTCTGTGAACATAATAAATGTATAAATTCTTAGCTTTGAATTCCAAAAATGGCTCATCAATAGTAATTACTGGTAATTAAAAAGTAAATCATGCTGCTGGTTGCTAGAATGACGATTTAATTTGACTAACAGAAAACAAAAAAAATTGCAAGTTACTAACCATAAAAATAGCTATGCTGACATTTAGAAAAGTGCATAGTAGTAAAAGTGAAAAACCCATCATGAATTGTTATTTTACTACGCTGACTATAGAAGGACCACCTTCATCCTTAAAAATGTTACCTGAGTTTCACGAAGTCTGGCAAGCTGTTTTTCCACATCATAAATACGAGATTCTTCTTCCTTTAACAGCATGTCCATTCTTTGAGCTTTTTCTTCAGCAGTAAGAGTCTCATCAGTAACAATTTTCAGCTGATGCCGCAGATCATCTCGCTCCTTCTGCACTCTATCAAGCCTAAGTGGTTCACATGACTCAGTCAGCTTAAATTTGCAATCACTGCGAGAAAGTAGCACAATGCATATACTGTGGAGACACTACTAATAAAACATACATGTTCATCAATTCACAAAGAACAGTCATATCAAGTTATTTTTTTGTAATAGGTGCATACTTAGATAAAATTAACTGAGTCCCAACAAAGAAGTTTAATCCTGGGTTCAACAACTGGTATGTTGGCATCACTTAGGTCATAGTGATGGGTATGTACAATATATATACCTTTCTGTTCTGTTGGTAACTTCTTTCTTGAGCAGATTATGTTTATGCCGGGCACTTTCAAGATCTCTTGCTGTCCTGTCCACAGTGTATTTCAGCGTGTCAAGCTGACAAATGCAAAGAAACACAAGAAGAATTGTTAATTAAAGAACACTTGAATAACCAAAAGCAAATTCTAGCCTAGCTTTAGTATTAGGTCTAGAAACTTAATTAACACCGGGAGAACTGAATGCCTCTTACTAAATAAGCCTTACATGCATCTCAGCTTCAGCACCTAAATAAGTTGAACTTCACAGTTCAAAGCTGAGTTACAATTATAAGAAACAAACAATTTTCAACATTTTAGAAGGCCACTCCTTTTAAAATTAAATCCACAACAAAATGCCTTCTCTATTTAACAATTTATACTCAATAAACATGCAGAGGTAAACAAGTGAAGATTTACCTCATCTTGAAACTGTATCCTAATTTGTTCTGCATCCTGGTACTCCAGACGCAATTTGGCCGCCTGTCTTTCAGCCACTCCAACTTTCTTCTCTTTTTCTTGGTTGTTAGCAAGCTCACTCTCCAGAAATTTCTGTTATAATCAGAGACCAGGAGGAGAAAGATTTTACTTAATATAATCTGTCACTCCCAAGTAATTTGGAGATTGAAAACTAATAAGACATGATAGATAAGTTAAAAAACATAGAAATTACTAGGTCTGCTCAATAACTTTAAAATCTTTAGGCCAAATAACATCAACCATTCAAAGTTTTCGTGGTGTATGTCCATGTCCTGTTAATGACTTTGTAAAATAGACTTGGAATTATTGTCAGTTCAAAGGATGTTTTAACCTGTTTTTCTTGGACCTGCTCTTCTCTGTCTCTGACTTCTAGTTTAACTTCAGCAAGTTTCTGAACAAAAAAAAAAACAGTTATCAAAAAGAGCATCTAAACACTACTCCTTACATGAAAAAAGTTTCATTGAATATTTTAAACTACACTTAAAAGCTAAAAGAAGATATACAGTACATTGTATCATCATGTTTGACCTGAATTTCCTTCATTAGTGGAACATTTGTTAAATGACTTGTAAATTTGTGTACACTGTAGAATTCATAAGAAGTTTCAAGTGAATGTTATGGACAAAGGTTACATTATGTAGTTAACACAACTTCCTCGATGATCACATGAAGTTGGAAAAATACTGACCACAGCCAGTTGATCCATCTCTCTGTCTCTTTTCTGCATCTGTTCAATAGTGTTCTCCCACTGACGCAGCAATTCTTGTCTCTCACTGTGTGCCTTGCGGAACTCTTCTGCTGTCTTGTCTAATTCAATCTTAACATTTAAGAAATTGCTCAGGTTAACAACAATGAACAGAATTTTGAAACTCCCTAAATGTTATTTTTCTCATATCATGCATTTATAGCTGGTGGTTGAAACAACATTTTAAGCAAAACAGTTACATGTTGTACACCACTTAACAAAATATACATGTATGATCTCAGATGTGACACAAGATTGATTTTTGTCTGCCTGGGTAAAAACTTAAAATGGGATTGTTACATATTCTACATATCTTTAAACTGTTTATGACTACACATGTACACATGGAAAATCATTTCAGCGTGTTACTGACCTGGGCTGTCATGGTAAGAGTTAATTCATGCTCCAGTTCCCTTTTCTTCTTAGTTGCATCATCTGTCATTCTTTCCATCCTTAATGTTAATTCCTAATAATTAGAAAGATTAAGGTGAGTTAAAATACCATCTTAAGTCATTAGATTAATCATTTTGACCCTAACATCAGTATGCATGTTTTTCATACTGTTCATTATACATTTCTTAAGATTCTGAAAAGGAGAATTTATTTGACAATCAGGAGCTTGTTTTAGTTGGTAATCATTTTCTTCAATCTAACAACCTTAAACTTATTTGGGAGTGATATTGTATGGAGAAATTACATGCTAGTCACTCTTAGGGGTTAAAAGGTTGAGTAGGCCTGGTTGGTTTCAAGGACAAGACAATTGTAGAGTGCAATTTCATGGTAATGTACAACATGAATCGAAAATTGTTTTATACTGTGAAATACCACTCCACAAACTTAATAAGTAAAATGGCTAGCTTGATCCATTTTTGTGTTAATTTTACCAAAGTCAGTACTGGAAAGGGTATGGATTTTATACACCAGGCTAGAAAAAGAGTGTGGAAAATGGCATGTCTTGGTCTAAAATAGGCTACGGATTGAGAAAATGGGGTAGTGTACCCTACTCTTAGAATTTTGTAGAGTTCCTCCACTTTACACAAATGGAGTTACAGGAATTTAATCATCTGCTCTATATAGCAGTAGTAGTAGATATGCTTAACGTGTAATGGTTCCTAACCTTCACTTTGCCTTCATCTGAACGAGTGTACTTTTGTAGTGTCAATGCATCCTCATCTTTCCTTGCAGATTCTTCCAGCCATGCTTCCAATGCTTTCTGGTCCCAGTTCATCTGACTTTTAAGATCTTCCAGCCTCTGTGTGTTCTTGAAAATATTGTTCTGGTGGACAAAAGTTCACAAATTGGACATGTGAAACAGCCACTGACAAGCAAAGCAAAAAAAAAAAAAATAGACAGTAAACAGTTTCCTTACTTCTATGATATTCCTTTTTTCTGTTAAATCTTTTATTTCATTGTTGATCCTCCTGATCTCATTGTTCAGTCTTCCTTCCTCTCTTTGAGCTAAAATCAATGGGTAACACTCAGCCATTGTTGTATTGAAGAAATGTAAAATGGTTTCCGTGTTTATGTAAACACGCGGGAGGTTGGGAGAACATGAGATAAGCGTAGGAAACCATGTGTTCTCCCAACCTCCCAAGTGTTTACATTAGGCTATGTAAACACAGAAACCATTTTACATTTCTTTTATAAAATAACTAATGAAAGAGCCTCTTCTTGCAACAAAGGAAAGCAACATGCTTGTTGTTGTTGTTCATTTGGCTTTTCAGCCATTTCTTGAATACTGGGAAAATTAATCTCCAAAGAAAAATTTGGAAAATCTCCTTCTTCCAAATCAAACTTAAAGAAACTGAGTTACTGCTAAATAAATAGCAGGGAGAACTCCACGAGAATATTCAGTATGAAACCCGTGTTTACATACACTCATGTAAAATGGTTTCATAGCCAATCAGAGCACATGTACTATTTGAATTATTCTATAAAAAATCATATAAAGTACAAGTGATTACCTTCAGTTATCAAAAGACAATTTTTTACTTTATCATACAGTTTGTAAGAGGAAAACTGTAATTACTTAGGTAGAAAATTTTGAAAAGCTTCAGAGAGTACATTTGGAGCTGAAGCTTGAAATGTCACCTTTTTAAAATTTGCCATTTTGATGATAGTCGCCAATAATTCACATGAGTTTTGTATCAACCTCTCAGTTTATCAACTGAAACTACCCTTCTTCATTAGCAATACCTGATATTTAACCCTTTATACCTTATCATCTGCATGCATTTTCCCTATACTATTCTCTATACATTTACTGAGGTGCTGACAAGGAGAATTTGTTTAACAATCAAGAGCTTCTTTGGTTGGTGATCATTTCCTTTATTCTCTTTACCTTAATGTTTGATTAAACAGCAATACTGTGAGAATAAATTAAATGCCAATCACTCTAAAGGGTTAAAGGGTTAGGCGTTTGAGTGGAAGGTATAGATAACATATTGCCCACAGATCAAAAAAGCAGAAGAAAGTTATCTTATATGACTAGTAACAACTTCCACATACCTATCTGCATCAAGTGATTTTCAGTCTCTATCTCTCTTTTCCTTGCATTAAGCAAATCCTGTTTGTGAAATTAAAAAACTTCATTAAGAACGTCAAGGCACTAAAAAATAAAATATAGTGGTGGAGAATCAAGGGCACAAACCTTCCTGGATTACACTCACCTGTGTGTGTTGTAGTTCCTGCTGTACATTTCTGAGATGTTCACTCATAGCATAGATTCTGTCAGCATGTTCATCGAGCTGCTCTTTGTAAGTTGTGATGTTCTTCTGGGTCTCAGTTACCTAAAGAAAATAAAAGTAATGTACATGCATAAATCAAATATAATGTGGAAATGGTCTGATACTAGATTTCAAAGTAAATTTCCCCTCAATTTTAGATTTAGTTTCACACTATTTCCTATTCAAAAGTTCAAGAGAGGAGGTAGCTTTACCACAGTTTGATTAATGAGAAAATTTGGCAAGGTGTACTAGGGATCTAGCTTTGTAATAATTTAAAAAATTAATATGCATTACTGGGATAAAATCATAAAAAATCTTCCACTCACTACTATCAAATGGACAAAAATTGATACAATCAGTGCATCAAGACTTCTCTTGGTAAGGTATGAGTTCATTTGATTTTAAACATTTGCAAACTAAGCTGAACGATGTTCATGGCGGTCAGGACCCGGTTGTTCAAAGGCTTGTTAGCACTAACCTACCCGTGTTGTGAAATTTTGATCCAGGTTTCTCTATTTCTCTGTTCAAAGGCCTTTTTGAGATATTTTTCCTTACTCTTTTTACAGCAGCCAATCATCAAATTGTAGACAAAAATGATTTATATGGATTTTCTTTCAAAGCTTTCAGACCTAAAATCAAATTTCACCCTAACCCTGGGTTATCTTAAACCAGCTTTGAACAATCCAGTCTGGGCTATCGAAGAAACTGTCACGTAAAACAAGTTAACAAGATCTTGAGGTCTATCTTATACCTGGCTATTAAGATTAACTAAATACGAAAACTTAACTTTCCCTAAAACTATTCATTTCTTGTATTAAGTATTTTACCTCACTTTCCAGCTGTTTATTCTCCAGATTTGCCACTGGCATCGCAATGCCTTCATCAAAGTTTAGTTCACTCACGATGTCCTCCATTTTGAACGAAAATGTGCTATCAAAATATCAACAACCAGCGCTAAAATTACTCTATTTCCTTTTTTACATACACCTACACTTGTTTAGGGAACTTCTTATACCGCTTTACTTTCCCACAATCTTCCTCCGAACTGAAAATCCACTGATTCTGCTCGAGGGAAGTTGTTGTGGAAACGGCACAAACAATCTGCGCCAACAATGCCAAGAATCTTTCTCAGCGGCATCCTTTATCTCAAGCTCCCGGATGAAATCACTCATACCCAGTCTTTCCCTGTTATAAATACCCTTATAGCTTCGCTTTGCTGATAAACACGTGAGGAAAACTAAGCGAAACCCCTCTTATCAAACCCAAAGTTAAGAGGAAAATGAAAAAGAAAAGCAAAGGAACAAAAGTTCAAGGAAAGGTAAGACAGATCAAGAAAACAGATACCGACCAGGAGGCTGAATCATTCGCAGCTGTTGATGAAAACTCGGAAGAAGTTCAAACGAGGAAGGAAAGCACTCAGATAATTGGAGAAAATGCCACCGAAACCGAGTTTAAGGACGATGACGATCGTCTTATTGCTGTAATAGACAAGAACCCAGTGAAACCTTCAAGCTGCGTGAATGATGATCAAGATGATGATGAAGATGCCCCCGTGGATGTATCTTGGAAAGCTGCCAAGGAGAGTGCGCTTCGCGAACGAACATTGGAGAGAGAGATCGTTCTCGATACTAAGCGAAAAGAAAAACAGATGAGAATTGAGAGAGATGAAAAGCTACGCGAACAAAAGGAAAGGAAGCGAGCAAGAGAATATTCAAGATTACCAATGGAAATTCTGCAGAAGGTTGCCCGGCAACAAGAGTCAGAGGAAACCCTTAAATCACAAACAATTGAGAGTAGAAGTCATGTGACCTTTGACAATTCAAGTGAAGATGAGCAGGATGAGAGAGAAGAACAAAAAGAGGAACAAGGAGTAGTACAGGAAGAAACACCTGGAATCAAAGTACTTGTCTTGCCAAGGGAGACAAAGAAACCAAAAAAAATCCAGCAATCTGCTAATTTATTTTTACAGGAACGTCTGTACGGTGACAGAGTTCAGCGCATTTCAGCTTCCAGAAGCTCAGATCTGATGAAAAAATCTCGCAACACCTTAGTTCCAGCACGGAATTTTTCAAAGAAATCTTGGTAGCACAGTAAATACATCACCATGTATGTTATCGTGAAAAATATATATGTGAAAAATCTGAGCATTTTCATTTTCCTTCACCAGGGCTCCTTATCCTCATAATAAAATTTTTTGTGGGTGTCTGAGTCATATGAACCATTCAGATTGGCTGAAAAAAATAGTTTGTTATAAACTGCAAGGTGGTTAAGGTAGGAAACTTGCTGTGGTGAATTCAGAGATGCTTCTGTTTTAAGCGTTAGCACCCCTGGTACATCTTAGTATTTTTTTTGCTGATGAAGCCCAAAAGTTTCTTCATAGTCCAATTTTGCTAAGTATTTTGTATTTGGTGAAAATAGGGGAAATTGAGAGAAGTTGTTAGGTACATTAAACCTCACCCCCGCTTAGTATATAGAAGCCATTATTGAATGTTTTCTCTGCCACTGTATTTCTATAAAGGAATATTTTTGGAGAATCTAGCTCTAAGGGAAACGTACAAAGATTATTGTTTGAAATACACAAGTACATGAATATAATGTGCCAATTTTTATTTGTGTAATTACTGCTATAAAAATTTTATCCCTTAAATTCAAGTTTCATAGTATGCACTGAAGAACTCATTGCCATCAGTAATGTGGAATATATATTTGTTACAACATGGCCATCTCTGAAATTATATAACAATTTTTCCCAAAAGTGATATTGTGCAGTAACATGCAGTGCAGTTTGGCATATGAAGGGTTAAATAGATTTTTCAATGACTGGCTTGCACCGCAACAGAAATTGAATGAGGATGATGACAATAACTATACTTCAGAAGAGGGACAGTTTTTTTTAGGAGCAAGCCAACATCTTCCATGTTTAGAGCACAAGCAGTACCTTCCAGTCCCTTCTGAGCAAAAAAATCAGCAGAAAAAAAAATAATGATTTTTACATACCATGTAGAACTCTTGATGGTTTAAGTCTCATAATTTACTTGCGCAAAATTCTTGGTAGCTGTTAGCTACCATATTCTGATGTTTGCCAACAACCTTGGTTGCAGATATCAATAATAATATTCATAATAATGTTTTTTCTTATGGTCAAATATGCAGCAGTGACATCAGCTGTGCAAGTTACAAATACTGCAGAGAGGAGTAGAGTATCTTGAAGAAACTAGAAATTAGATTCTACTTACTAAGACTCCTTGGCTGTAATCAACAGACTTGAACTGGAATTTGAACAATAAATTTTGCAGAAATTTAAGTAGTCTATGTAGGGATTTTGTGGAAGAATGGCCAAAAAAATATAAAAAGATCAGAAAGGCGGTCCTAATTGATTTAGAGTATCGTGAATTTTAACTGAGTTCTTACCAAAGGTCTTGGCGAAGATCAAACTACTGGGCAGAATTCCTCTTCATCGAAAAAAAGAATGAAGAGGATCTAACATCTCGTTAAAAATCATGTAAACAGCGATGAAAACATTGCGATCTGATCCTTAAAATGATTTACTTCTTACATTATTTCAATGAGTACCATGGAACGTTGCATTAGCCGAGCGTAAATCTTCGACTTCTCTCACTGAAGAATTTCCCATTATCGTTTACTCGAAGATAAATTTACCCGATCAAGACCACAATCACGCATATGCCAAATTTAATTATTGTTTGTGCCTAATGCATGCGATATGGATAAAAACCGTTGTCAATTGGATATCATAAATACAGGCGAAAATTTTGAGGCCGCCATTAAAGGAAGTGGTTACCTCGGGTATTTAGGAAAGTAGTTTAACTTTTGCCAGGTGTTATACCTGACTGAAACGTTTTTACCAATCAGGTGTTTTCATTGAGAATTTAGATTTCGCTTTTGCGGGAGACTTAATTGCTAAATGTATTTTTTTTTCTTAGAGAAAAAACTTGTGTGTAGTATCGTGGACGAACTGAGCCAGTTTTATTTTTGCCACGTATAACACATTATACGTTTTGTGACACATATCCTAAGACTCAGATCTTTTCGCTGAGAATTTCGATTTGACATTCGCGGGAGGTCACGGTAGATAATTATTTTTAATTTGAGATGAAACCGATGGATGAGCAGAAAACAGTTTCACTCTTTCCCAATACAACACTTAATTTATTGCGTGCCACCTATCCTATCAATCAGGTGTTTTCGTTGAATCTTTTCAGTTTGGCATATGTACGTGAGAAGCGTAAAGATCAATATTTATTTGAGAGGAAACCTGTGTGTCGTACTGTGAACGCTCTCCACAAATAATAGCTTCACGAAAGAACTTCACCTGGGACGAATGCGGGAAGAGCAGGCAAACATGTAGACACAAGTGACGGACGTTTCAAATGTTAGTGAAGTAGAAATTGAGGCAGAAATACAAATGTTGAGCGTTGGAGAACGACGACTTCATGCAGACTTCATCATGATGAGAAGCAAAGGTAACCTGTTATAGTCTTTTCACACCCGAGGATCTGCTTTGTTTCATTTTTATTGTCACGACTAATTCTACACTTTCATGTCATGTAACTTGAAGAGTATAACATCTCAGTAGCACCATCCATAAAAAACTGAGATTTAACATTTTGCCATACCGGGACACTGAGCCACCCAAGAGAATATTAGACTGATCTCAAATAGTTTTAAATTGATAATACAGGTTACTTTCTTAACCTTCCATTGCAGAAGTGGCAATTTCGGAAAACTCAAATTGAACCACTCCTTTCTTAATCGAGATATCAACTAGAGGAAATTAAAAAGAATATTTCATGCTGTGCATTATGTCAAGGATTAAAATTTTCAAAAATAATTTCCGATACTAAAATCGAGGTAGTTGTTAGTAGTATCGTTGATGTATATGTCAAACATTGTCATTTTAGAGAGATAAAAACACCACAATGTATTTTGCTTTTAAATGTCGACATCAAATTATATTTAAAGAGGTCAGTTTCATTTCCATGTTTGGCACGATAAGAGATTTCGTTGTCACTCGAAAGGATAAATGTTTAAACTGAATGTGCCTCCAGTCTTTTAAGATAAATATCAAAAGGGAAATACTTCCTTAGAAAAAAAATACTACCATGTTGTGCGAGTTGTAGTTAACATTAAACATCTATGTGTTGTAATTCAATATCGTTCTGGGCAATTTTTTAAATTCAAAAATCTTTTATTGGCGTAAAAAGACTATCGTGATCGTAATATTCGTTTTAGGCTATTATAGGGCACAAGTTCATGTTGATAAACAATACATTAGAATCATCGAATGGTACAACTTCCTTCAATAAACAAATTGAACCTGTTGATCAATAATTAATGCAAGCTCTTAAACTGTTCTCAATAATAACTCAAAGCGAGGAGAAGACATTAAGGTGTCAGTGTGTTTTGCGGCCTGAAAAAAATTAAGGAAGTGTATTTAAATTAAAAGAAGAAGATAACTTAACATTTATGCGAGAAAGCAGATCAAAAAACACTATAAGTCATGTTTGTTTTGCTCGATTCTTATATGTTTTTTTTTTATTAATTAAACCCCACCCCTTAGTATACAGGGCGACGTTGGTCAGTATTAGGAAGTTAGGTTATCAAGATATGGGCTACAGACCAGTGCGACATACAATTAATATTAATTTATTCAAAATTGGTATTGACCATGGAAATAGACTTGTATTTTGTTTCGGGTCTTTTTTTCAGTTGCAGATAATCTTGAATCACCATTTATGTCAATCCACAAAACTGTCGTCTTTTTGATTCTGAGTGTGTCTTCATTGGGAAAGACCGCTGGGCAACTTCCTTGTCGTACGACCAAGTCAGTACCAGACTATGCCCTAAAAGGTCACGTGATTTCATCACCGGAAGGAAAGCGGCTCGAGAGCTGTGTAGCTGTTTGTGACAGCATTAACAATTGTTTCAGTATTAACTATTACATCTCATCGAAGAAATGTGAGTTGAACAATAAAACGGCAAAGTGGTACGCCAACGATCTGAGAGTAACACCTGGAGCAGTCTACCTAGATATCTTGTCACGTGACTATACTCCGTGTGTCGATCGAAATCCGCCATGTTCTGCAGGAAAATGTGTCCCCATCCCTGGATCCTTAGCGACACGGTGTTTATGTGACGGAAATGCCGTTGCCTGTCATAATCAACGTAAGTCTTAGCCTAAAATGGAAGAAAATTGAGACGCAACCTTACATTAGACCTGATATTTAATGTGGATGATGTTGTTTATGAGTAAAATCCTAGAATTATTTGAAATTTTTGGTGTAAAATTTGGTCTTGAAAGAAAGTACTGGAACTCGTTTTATGTGATTGACATAACTTCTCAGAAATCTTCTCTAGAGATGGAAAGGAAATTATATCCCCTACTTGCAATCTCAATCATCTTTTTTTATAATGTTTTCGAGCAGCCTGTATTTCCAAGCCATTAGGAATGGAAGATGGTTCAATAGCGGACAATCAACTCACAGCATCATCAACACACCCCACAGTTCAGCTGGGCTGGGGTCGACTGCACGACACGCGAGGAAGCTGGTCTGCAAACACAGATTCTGGTACACAGTGGTTCCAAGTGAGCTTTTTACCAAACGTGAAACGCATAACAGACATCGCAACTCAAGGAAATGGAAAGAGCTGGTGGTGGGTTAAAACATATTACGTCATGTACAGGAAGGGGGGAGAGCCCCTTAGAAATTATGAGGAAAATAATCAACGCGTGGTGAGTAATGTTTTGAATTATTAACAACAAGCTATATTCCAGGTCGCCTCGTGTCACCGCATTACCGAACCCGTTATTTTCACGCACTTAATTTCAGGTTTTTCAAGGAAACACTGACAAGGATAGTGTGGTGAAGAAAAATATAAAAAATCCCTTCGAGGCGGATTCTGTCCGGCTAACATCCCTGGGCTATGTTGGAAAGGTTGCTCTGCGAATTGAACTGTATGGTTGTGATGTAATTTAGAATTACGTTTAACTCAAACAACTGAGCGAATGCAATGAAGAAAAATGTCTAAATAAATTTTAAGTGGCAACGCACGATCCAAAAGACTTGTATATCGACCATGGTGTCAAAGACATATAACAATTCGTTGTTTCAGAGCTAATATATCTAACAGTTCCAGAACTTTAGTGTTTTTGCGATTCCCAGATGGCTTCCACATCTTTAGAGGAGTGTTTTGTAAGTCTGGTCAGTGCAGTGGTAATCATCTTTTAAGATTGGACATATAGTAATAGACATGTTTATACTAAACTTAAATGCGTAGTATTCGAAGGAACACTTAGGAAAGTTTTAAGCATGTGCAAAGTAAAATTAGATTAAACTTGAAATTATATTCCTTTGGGACACCGCATCTCGTCAAATTGTCTTCAACTTCAACGCACTATTTAAGGTTAGGGGCTTTAAACTTCTAAAGAGGAATTATTTCTTCATATATAAGCTATGTCTAATAGCTCTAACTGAAAAAAAGTTCATCTTGGACAAAACTTTCCATTTTTCTTTACAACCAGTTATGTCTTCATTGCACTCTTCTCACCAAAAGTCTTCCTTTGCACGAGATTGTTTTCCTAAAAACTTAAATTAGATCTTCGTGGCGGCAGTTGTATCATCTTTACGATTTCTATTATCAGTTTGGCAGATGCCTTGTTCCTGTTCCATAAAATTTTAATATACACTAGGTCTAACTGTTTTCTTTGGCCTTAACCCTTGAAACTGGCAAATTGACGGATGTGCATGAAAATTGTGAGAGCTCGCAAATAAGTTTTAGGTTATCGATATAGTTCATTCTAGGCTTGCAGCGTTTTACAGTGGTTGGATAAATTTAAAAAAAAAAGACTGAACATACGCACAAAAAAAACGTTGACTAACAGTGTTACTGACACGAAAATGAGAGGGTGGCTAATGATGTATCGCAAGAGATTTTATTTCGCGATTTTCTTCCCTGAAGCCGGAACTGTGTTACTTCACAAGTGAAGCTGCTTGAGGTAAGATGAATGTCATGCACTCTTAAGTCATGTTATATAGGCGCACGCGGCTAGGTGTAACTGTAATGGAAACAAGCTTGTTGTAGTAATTTTTCTTTCAAAGAAAGGGAAACGGTAACATAAAATGAGCTATTTATTTGGAGAGAAATCTTTCACTCTCCATGGATTAGGTTAGTAAGGACATGAATATTTTACACGTTATCCTGATAATGCGAGAGCAAGAAAGACTATAGTGTCGATATGGTGTGAATATGTCGTTGCAGGGAAGTAGGATGTTGAGTGCGCAGTCGCAGTCATAACGACGTGTATCTATTTACTACACTTAAATCAATTGACGCACCAGTTACAAAATATTTCGATTTAATTATGCCTTTCAAAGAAAGCGCAGATATCGTTGTAAGAGTGTTTAGCAAGCCTCATAAATGTCGCGGCCAAATCATCACCTAAGTCATAATTATTATTACTGTTTTTAAATATGATTGTGATCCACATTTAACTGGACCCAAAGCTTTGTAAGGATGGTGATCGAAACTTCTTTATCAATGCTTTTTGCAGTGTTTCTCCAAACATAAGACTGCATGTTAAATTTTTCACCATTTTCGAAAACAAAGTATAAGTAATTTAAGGACGAAAATATTTTTGAATCTGACGCTACTTCTTCGGTGTTAAGAGACAGCAAAACAAATTTTCTTCATGATAATGAATCTATAGTCAAGAAATAATTAAGCAAATTCACTGTAACCGGTTTGCTCTGAGGGGGTACGAATCGTCAGTCCGTAGGACTCCAGACTCTAAGTGAAATCATTCTACCGTCGAGGCAAACAATAAAAACAAATATACTCGGGTAAAATTTTAACTATATGAATGAAACGTTTGCTGGAATATAAACAATTTTTTGGAAGTAAGCTGGTAAAGCATTCACTTCTATTCAGTCCTCCAAACATTTTCTTGTTTCAGTTCAACATAATAATAATTTTGACCCTCATCTAGAAATGTGTCAAAAAAAACTAATTTCAATCGTAAACAACTCTTGTTTAATTATTTTGCACCAAAGTCGATCATCACAACTGTAGGCAACAGTTTATTTTCAAACTAGTGATAGATCTTGAATTAAAGTTTGAAATTCTATCCACAAATGACTTAATCTTGCTCATTGGATGCAGATTTTTAATTTTGCCACTTTTTTTTTCTTTTTTTGCCGGAAGCAATTTTAATATGGAGACCGAGGGATAGCTATGTTTAATTTAAGTTTCATTTTATTAATTTGATTGTTTCGATATTTTTTCCGCGAACTTCTCGTCAATTTGCAAAACAGCATGCAGAGGTACCGGGTATTTAATATTTTGAAATTTTCACCATAAATGTCAGTTTGAATTGTTATTTTCTTATACAATACGAAACTCTCTCGTTACCTCAATCAAAACCCGTCAATCTTTCATAGTTTGAAGAAGTAACATTTAATAAAACCGCTCCACTTCTGTACACAAACGTATTGACAAGATACGAATTACGAACACTCACGCGGATAAATTTCTCTTGTTGTTGATAAGTAACAAGACTTCAACTCGCACGGCATCAAAACCACAAATGTCCTAAACATTATAAAATGAAGTTCACGAAAGGCTGAATATTGTCAGCTGAATTTTCACATTGCCGAGAAAAAAACATGCATACCAAGTCTTCGAAAACGGTGAGAGAGAACAAATATTGATTATTTTTCTGTTGCATGACTCTATCACTAACCCAGAATAAAAAGGCGATACATTGTTTGTAGCAAATCCTCGAATTTTTTTTTTATTTGAAGTCGCCAGCTGAAACGGATAATTGCACGGTTTCGATTGCAATTACTGACATGCAATGTTCACAGCACCAAGGTTAAATTCATCAAAAAGTGTTACAATCAGAAAAATTCAAATTAGTTTTTCGGAAAAGCTTCTCATGCCTGGAAATATCGTTAATGACATAGGTTCGACATGTGTGCTGAATGGCTTTCATCTGTGGAACTCATGGAGCACATTTTATTCTTTTATGGATGTTATTGTTTGTACCTATAATACATTTCGTCCAAAATTTATTAAAATAATAACGAACAGAATAATTGAAAACAGTCCGGGCTTCAAAAAATCGTGTACCACTGGCAAATCTTTGTATGTTGTTCTCGTGAGTACCGCAGAGTTGGATACAAAAAAAATTTATGAAGACTAAAAGTTTTCAACTTAAAACAGATTAAGATAGCAGAAACTGGTTCTCGAGGTATAATTTCAGTTTTTTTTCATTTCTTTGCGCGCATTATCTACTTTGAAGAGCTTTTTGTTCCAAAGGTCAACCTGTATGTCACCAGAATGGGAACTTCTCTGCTAACTGATCGAAATTTGTCCAAGGCATACCTAGATTTCCTTCAAAATTCTCTGAAAGCATCAGCACGTAAAAAAGACTGCTACAGACTGTTACTATGTTCAATGAAAATCAAAAATTTTTGAATAATTCCTGTCGTCCATAGCTCGCTGCATTAAGGGTAGCTCTTCAAAGCGGTGTCAAGGAAATTCTTGCGTCTTCTTCCCGGGTTTTCTAATCTTAAACTTTTAGGATCTTGTAAGTGACTTGCTAACAGCTGTGCTCAGTCCGCTAGAATATGAGTACCTACGCTCAGCCATTTAACAACTTTTATCCAGTGTATCAATAATGCTCCTATTCATGTACGGGAATATTTTGCATCTATTTAAAAGCCATTGCCTTTGAGCAAAAGAATCGTCTTAATACAAATTTTCCAATCTCCACGACCTTTCCCGATATGTACATATTTGATCGACCAGTAAATAAAGTGTTAGCTTTTTATCTAAAACTCTATTACTCTTCACAAAAAGCACTAAATTAATACATCGTATAAATATACAAAAAATATCGGTGAATGATGATAATAAACAATGAATGATATCATCTATCAATTAATGTCTCAAATAATTATATTCCCTTTAACCGATATAATCTATTACAGAAGATGTCAGCGTTAGTCACTCTCCTTGTCCTTCTTACCATCCATTCCGCTGAGACATGTGACACTTTCAAACCAATCAAAAACTACGTGCTGACTGGTCACGTGATTAAAACCATGCGAGACGCCAACTTCGAGAAATGTACATATCGCTGTGAGCTTGAAACCAAATGTTTCAGTATTAATCTTTACACAAAGACCAGCAAATGTGAATTGAACTATGGCAGTAAGGAAATGTTTCCAAGTGATTTCAAGGAGGAACCGGATGCTCTTTATATTCATAACATCAGAAAGGACACCGGTGATCCGTGTAATGCGCTGTACTGCTTGCACGGCGGCTCTTGCCATCCGTTTCCACAGCCAAACTGCAAGTGCCCCGTGGGATTCGTGGGATCGATCTGCCAAAACATTAGTAAGGACTGAATTATAATTTTTAATAACACTTCTATATTAAATTTTAAGCATCGGCAAAACTTGTCAGCTCGCTAATACATTTTCCTGTAGCTTTATCCCTAGAGGCCATTGGAATCCAAGACAATAATATTATCTTTGACGGTGAACTTACGTCCAGTACAGCCGCTGTTGGCCATGAAGCATGGCGGGGCAGGCTACATGGTAAGGGCAGCTGGAAACCAGTTTTAAGTGACTCGGACCCACGCTTCGAAATCGGCACTTTCGATCCAGCTGTGAAGATAAGTTACATTGCAACTCAAGGATCTCCTGATCAAGACTGCTGGCCGACTTCTTTCACGTTGCGATACGAAACCGCTGGCCAATCAAAAGAATACCCCCAGGTAAGTAAGACAATTTCGATTTAGGAATTTATCGCATGCAGTTATCCAAAAAAGAAAAATTGTATTAATTTCTTTTTCAATTGTATAGCAAATCAAAGGTTTTAATATTTCCCTTCCATCTTGGTTGAAAATATCCTAGAACATTGATCTACCTCGATATAAGCGGTTACAGTGATCGCTGGTGCTATTACGGTAAGCGTCCACCAAATTAAGCAATTTTGACGAAAACATCCCAAGTCGCCAATTTAAATAGAAACTTAAGCTGGGTTTGAGCGAGTCTGCAAAAAAACCTACCTTCCGTACTCAAAAGTTGGTTAGATTGTATCATTTTCACAAAACCGAGAAACGCATGCGTAGTGTTATTAAGTGAGAGCGTGAAAACCTGATATTTCTTGAGTTTCAGAAGCAAATTTAAGTCGCACAGACAAAAGTTTTGGGGTTCCAAATCGATCTCATATTTATTTTCATTGAAAACCTTTCTACTTTCAGATCTTTGCAGGCAACATTGACAGAAATACAGTGATATATAACCCCTTGAAACCGGCTCTTGGCAACGTGTCGAAATTAGTTATCAGACCAGTTTCCACGAATGGCTGCATAGGTCTTAGATTAGAGCTTTATAAATGATGCTGTGTTGGAGACGTATGATAAAAGAAACAAAGCCATCTAAACAGGAATTGAAAAACGGAGATGTCTGTCATCTGGAAATGGCGAGTTCAAAACCAAATTTAAACTTCTGGATCTTTCCTCATTAGGTTATGAAATGCTTGTAAGAGGTCAAGATTTGCGCTGAAATTTTATCTGTCCTTACGGCAAATACATGACACAAAGTTTATAGAAACTTCATCCAAACTATTAACCAGACATTTTTCGTAATTTAAGCTTCAATGAAACATTATATTAAATGGTACTTGATAAAACTGTTCCTGTCGAGCTGCTTTTCTAAAAGTGGTGACTTCACTGAGTTTACTCGGTATCATTTCGAGTAATCGGTAATTTATCTATATAACTTATTAAAGCTGTCAAGAAATTCAAATCCTAATGGTATTATTCCATCTCTGGTGCGAATGAAGCTGTTCACTTATCTATCAAGTACTGGAATAAACCAAATTTTATCCACGTCACGGCCCTTTTCACTAACGTACCTCTAGAAAAAAATGTGAAGATTTTAGCAAAGAAAGCATTAGTGGAAACTGGTTTAAAAACGAACACAACCTTAACATCTACGAGGGCGACCCTAATCAAGCTGTTTAAAATCGCAACTAAAGACCAACTCTTCCAGTTTAACGGTGATTTGTACAAGCAAGTAGACGGCGTTGCCATGGGCTCACCACTAGGACCACTAACGGCTCACACCTTTACGTGCTCCATTGAGGAGAAACTTGCAGGTGAAAACAAGCTTCCTGATTTCTATGAAAGATACGTCGACGACACCTTCGCTCTGGTACCCGACCTTGCCGCTGCTACTGATTTCCTTTCAGTTCTGAATGATGCCCACCCAGCAATCCAATTTACAATGGAAACAGCAGTCAACAGCAGCTTACCTTTCGCGGTAGGCATGGTAATCAACAAGATCGATTACCGTCTCAACACCTGTGTCTACAGAAAAAAAAGACCAACAAAGGGCTTCTACTCCATTATCAGAGCCATATTGACAATAGATATAAACGATCGCTAAGAAGGACTATACTTGATCGCGCCAACCGCTTGCCATCCTCACCGCATCCGTTTTCTGAAAATAATGTCAGGATCTGAAAACAATGTTTCTGAAACTGAAATATCCTGAGAAACGTATTGATTCTATTTTCAAGAGATTCTACGCTTCCCAAGACCAGACCCAAAACCGAATTGAGCTTGTCGACAGCCCCGTACGAACCATCTTGCCTTTCAAAGTTGGTTGTCTGGCTGACTGGCTAATTGGCTGACTGGCTAATTGGCTGACTGGCTGGCTGACTGACTGGCTGACTGATTGACTGACCGACTGACTGGCTGACTGTTTTCACAAGAACTTGAAGTTTTAGTTAGAATTATTTGCATTATATGTAAGAACACTTTTTAATTTTCCTCTGGCTTTGGCGTTAGAGGCCATAGGAATTCAAGACGATATAATATTATCTTCGACGATGAAGCATGGCAGGGCAGGGTGCATGGTCAAGGGAGCTGGACCCCACTGACTCGAATCCTTTTCACATGGTTATCTTTGATTTAGCTGTTAATATAAGTTACATTGAAACTCAAGAATCTCCTGATCAAGACTGCTGGCCAACTTCCTTCGCGTTGTACTATATGTAACCGCTAGGGAGCCAAAATATTACCCCCAAGTAAGTGAGACGATTAAGACCTAGGGAATTATAGCAGTTATCCAGATAGGTAAAAAACTTTCATTTTTGTCGAAATAATCTCAAACATCGATTTGCCTTGATCTTAAAGTGGTCACAGCGGGCGCTGTAGCTATTACGGTTAGCGTCCATGAAATTTAGCAATTCTGGCGCAAACATCCCAAGTGGCCAATTGAAATAAGTATAGGATAAAGCTGAGGTTGAGTGAAAGTGCATTACTGGTGAACCTGCCCTTCGTGCTCAGTGGTTGGTCAAGTTGTAGAATTAACTTCCTTTATGATAATCGAGAGACAGTGGTAAACTTGCGGTATTGTCATCAATTAAGGGGTGTAATAAGCTGGGATTTTTAAGGTTTCAGAAGCAACCTTAAAAGTCAAAGACAAAAGGAAATCAGGAAATCTATTGTCTGGTATAGAATCTAAAAGTTGAACAAAGTAGCTGTGTCTATAAATCTTTGCAGACAAAGTGTCGCGTCACTAGTAAGCCATTCATTAAAGAGAGCGCTGAAAACTTATTTATCTGTTTAATTGTTATCAAAAATTTTAACAATGATGTAGATTTCATGTACAAGTCATGAAGCTTCGGGGCTGAACTCTTCGTTGTAGTTAAGGCCTAATGGTAAAGGCTTTTAAAATTATTTGCTCTGATTTCATAAAACTGTAAAATTATTGGTTTCGCAATAAAAATTCTCAGTCACTCACTTTATCTATGAATCTGTAGAGGTTCAAGTATTTATTATAGCAGTCAATTAGATAGCAAAAAAAAAGGTTTGGAATTTATCAATGCCTTCCACTTCGACTGGCTGGACATGGATTACGAAGGTTTTGGGACCACGGAAGAACCAATCCTGACGGCACAAAGAAAAGATTTAAATTTGAAAATAATCTGGTGTGATTTGATCTTCCCTCATTGCCTCAGACTTTCTATTGTTCCTCTATCAAGATAAATCAACTTCATGTCTTTACTTATGATTCAATTCTATTACGTCTGCAGGTCTGAGATCACTTCGATGGTTAAATGTCAAACAAAGACTTATGGTCAATGATGTAGTTATGATGCATAAATGTCTTCAAGGACTGTCACTTAGCTACTTGTTGGACAAATTTTCAACTCGAGTTACTGTTCACAACAGGCAGACAAGATATAGAAACAGCCTCAATATTCCACAATGTAGAATCACTGCTGGCCAACGCGCCTTTTATTACCGTGGCGTGAAAATATGGAATAACTTAAGCAAAGACCTGAATACTAAAGCTTTTAAGAGACATTTAATCAAAGAACTGACTTGTGACATGAACTAGGTTAGATGATAATCATTGTATATAGTTATCATTTAGTTATCCTTGTAAATGGTTTTTACATATTTTTTTATCAATTAGAGATGTAATTAATTTATTCATTTAGTTATTCTTGTAGATAGTTTTTACATAGTTTCTTATCAATTAGTGATGTTATTAATTCATTCATTTATCTATTTAATTTTCTTTTTAATATTGATGCTGAAAAGCTCTTTTTAGGGATGCTCAATAAAGTGTATGTATGTATGTAAGTTTATTTAACATTCGGAACTTTCCATAGGAATAAGCCTTGTCTGCTGACGCATTTCGCCATTCCAATTTTACATTTTAATTATTTGTTCCAGTGTCTTCTAAGATTAGAGGGACGCACAATGACCAAGCAGAAATCCGCAGGATATTTTAGTTTTTTTTCACATATTTCATAAGTTACGCACGGGGAGCGCTAAATTCCATCTGTTTAAAAACATGATACTCAGTTTATCATTTCCATTCTGATATTTCGGTGGTTACGGAGTTCTACGTTTTAAACAATCTTGGCTGTGGGATAGCGACAATAATCTGAAAAATAAAGCTAATCTCTACTGAGTGTCCTAAAACCAAAACCAAAGCATTAACGGCGTTCCATCTGAGAAAATAAAAATATCAGATGGGGGCTATAGGTGAAGATAAGTAACAAACAGCCGGTGGCGTGGGAAATCGCAAGAGCTGAATCTTCGTAATTGGTTTTAATTTAAATTTTCTTTTTTAACTGGTTAACCACGTCAGAGCGACACAACACATCTCTAATGACACTCAGTTTAATGAAAACTGCAGCCTCTCTAAGCGCCGGTAGAGTGGCAAATAACCTGCCATTACTAACTTTCAATGCACTCGGCTAAACTGGCCTTTAATGTGAACCTTCTTTTTCGAAATGTTTATGATCAGTAACCGTACACCTCCAGCCTCAATGCCATATACTTGTGCCAAGTTTGTGGATGAATTCGGATCCACTCGACATTTTGGAGAGCTGGTGAGAACTTGTACATAACAACTGAAGTGTTGTTCTTGTTAGCTTGGCATTCCTGTGAACATACAATACATTGACAGTATAATATCATCATCATTTTAAAATGTTCGTGTTTCAACGTCACCGACAAAAAAGTCTTTTCAGGCCTACTCTAACGCATGGGATCGATGTTTGTCGATTTTACCTTATTAGGGTCCTTTAGAGAAGCATCAGCAAAGTACTGGTAGGTGAAGCTTTGAACCCAAAATTTATCGTCCGGGCTACCTTGTGTTGCTATGGCAATTACGGTTTTTTTGCTCGCGAACGTTACTGTAATGTATTCACCACCTATGTTTTGTGCAGGTCTCCGGCAAGATTTTCCATTTAAGCGTCCTTTCCATGCTTCATAATTGCTCAAGGACGAAGAGCCCTCTATATTCTTATTAGGTATGTCTCTGTTTTCCATTCCTAGCGCTTGTAGGTCTGTTGAAAAAGAAGACACTTGTTTTCGTCAACGTGGATTTCTAATCATCACACATCATGAAAAGTAAGAACCTATGCTAATCAAACGATTTTTGAAGAAAACACCGAGGAATATGGAACAAAATTTTAGGCTTGAGTCCTGGCAAGTGTCATTGCCGAGCATCGTCTTTATAGTTCGTCATAGAGATAAAGCAAGCTTTGGGAAGAAGATATAGGTATCAAATTTTTTACTAAGAAAATAACGTGTCTCATCGGTCAAAATATAACAGGAGACTTTTTTCTAAGTCAGCTGTGACGCGTAAGAGAAAATAAAGCAGACGCATAAAAACGTCAGCAAATAACGCGTTGTGTCCGTCTATTGCTGACCAATCACGATCGAGAATTTTGTACAATCTTCCTGGTTTTTATGCTATTTCATTCTCTACTATTGGTGCTAGCTTTCCAATTTCTTACTTTGACAGCGACGCCCAGTGTAACCATCAAGACAATTGCAATTCAAGGTCGGACCCATGACACATGTGCCTCCATTTTCACAGGGCATACTTTCACAAGTATCACGATCATGGTAATACTGGCGGATCACCATGTCCAAATAAACTGCTCTCTTCTGTTTCATAACATCTTTTGGGAAAGAATCCTTGGTTGCTCTGTTGAGTTGACAGGTTCCTCGCGATGACATGAAGTTGATACTGAAACACTTCGGCTCAATTTCGCAAGAAAATGTGCAGCTCTCAAAAGTCTTGTGGTTTAGAGTCCGTATCACGTGACCAGTGAGAACGTGATTGGTATCTGGGAAACTGGAGCGGCAGACGTTAGAGCCAGCGGTGATCTTTGAAAACAGGAGGGTATGGAGTAAAACGAACTCCAAATATGGAGACATCTCTTACGTGACCTGTAAAATAAATAAGGTATAAATTCATTTGCGTTTCCAATATCGGACCGAGGCTAGGGTGTGGTAAATTTGGTTAATTTAAGCAGTAACAAAGGGTACGTCATGAGTACCATGGTTTGATGCAGATAGAAGCACCTATCTCGAAAACCAAGCCGACTCGCATACTATATGTCATTTTTAGCCTTGGCCCCATGAAGGATCTCTTGTATACTCCATTTAAGCAGACTGATTACATAACTTCCTTTTAAAATAGGCCTTCGCTGTATAAGGTTTCATTAACTTGCAGCATACCAATTGCAAAATTTGCGGGGGAGATTTTTCAGCCCCCTAGAGTATATTTCATCTTTTTATATTTTTCCTTGAATAAGTGACAACGTTTTTATAGACGAGATTTGTTGCAAATGTTATTACTTAAATAAAACTGCTTAAGATATGAAAAAACTTCCATCTAATCAATGATACCCCCTCGCGCCGACAGGTAACTTAAATTACTCTAAAATGAAACCGTAAACATACTTTTACAGCGCTATTTTTCTAACTGAAATAAATCTGATTTGACTGGCTTCTCAGTGACAGCGGGGAACCGGGAAAGTATTTGATCAATCTGGTAAAATGGTGCGCCTCGCACTAAATTACAATTTTCCTAACAGACCTAACATAGTGTCTTTTTCGATTCTTTTGTACTATGACGGGTTTATCAAAGGTAAGACTCATTTAAACTAATCAACCATCCTGATCATTTCTATTTAACATAAAACGAAAACAGAATCGAGGTTTTACTCGATCAGTCGTTCACCACAAATATCTTCAGCTAATTAGAAATTGTGACGATAGGTTTTCGCGCCCAAACTGGAAGACTGAATCTTCGCGGACGGAACAATAACAACTGGGGGAAATAACTCGGTAGAGACCACTTGGCAGCGAGAACGGAAACTCGTCACGAATTCCTGGTACACGGAGATCTACTTCGAGCGAGCTTATACGGACGTCAAGGATAAGACAATCTTTGGTTCCACAGTACTTTTATTCTAGGTCAGGCCAACAGGCGACATGACCTCTAGCATACTCTAGTTTGTAATCATCGAAGCTGTACAAGGTACTTGCTTAGGAAGTAACTGGTGTGAAGTGCTATTGTTACACAAATCGCAATATTTGAATAAGGACACAAAGGAGCGGAAAAGATCTCTTTGGAGTTAAACGAAAACTACTTAAATATTCCATCTGTTTCTACGACGGTAAGAATCTCAAAATCAAAAAGACGGATGCAATAAACTCTAGGCCATTAAAGTAGGAAACCTAGGTGCGATTTTACAGCTCTGATATAGAAAACAATACCTATCTTAATTGCAGTAGCGCAGCTCAGGAAATAAAAACGGAAAAGCAATTAAAAGTTTCTGCTTATCTATGCAAGATTGGTTTGGAAACCATCGCACGAAAAGAAATTAAAGTTACGAGTATAAACTCAGCCGCTATCTACTATGAAAACCAATGTTTCCAGAAAGACCATTAACACTTATATTTACCTAAAAAAACCATGTAATAAATGACAAAAGTGTCGACAAGCAGGTGCATATGATGAAAGCGAGTAACAACAAAAATCTATTCAAAAGCTACTGTGGTTTTTATGCATTTTTTGATTTATTAAAATGAAAGGACTTGAAATGGTTAAATGTGAAAGTTTACGAATAAATATGTTCCGAATAACACACAGGGGAAAATCAATGAATTTTCCCGTAACAAAATGTGCCTCATTCAGGCTTGACATCCAGAGGTTTGAAGTACAAATATGCCGGGATCGTTTTCATTCTTGATATGGAAGTTGGAGTCAAAATGATCCTTTCTTTAAGTGCTAGCGGCCAATTCGTTATTCTTGTCATTAACTCCAATCCCCGATAAAATAAAAAAGCATGTTCAAAAAGCGGGTACGAAAAAGAAAATGACAATTTAAAACCTAAAACATAAAAAAAGAGAAACACTGGACACGTTACCTGTTTCGGTCCTTTCAAGTTCTTTGCGACATCAAAATCCTTGCCACTATTTTTTTCTGCTTTTTTTTAAATAAAAAAAATATCCTGAATTTTTCATAATTTGCTAAATTTGACAGAATGAACTCATACTTCAATGCAGAGATTGACTTTTTCAATAGCTGCTAACGTGAAAAGAAAACAAGCTGAATAACTCTCGTTATTAAGTTTTCACCGCGCTTGCGTTGGCAAATGTTATCATTTACTCATGGCACACTTTATTTAGCTACCGACAATATCGAGTCGTTCTTCGTAATTCAAATCAGCCTGTTCATGCCTGTGTCCATTTGAAAAGTTAACATTACATGGACAAACTTACCATCCCCATGCGACCATTTATTCCAACAATTCAAACATTACAACTAGTGTTCGAATTCCCCTCGTCGATTACACCGCAAGAAATAACCTGTGCCACCCAAGCTTCGACTCGAATGTGAAGTACGAATCAAGTAACACAACTGCTTCATCTTCGCGGCAATATCACGCTGGTATTTTGATTTTGCGATCGACAAGAACGGTGATCAGGAATCGATCGGTTTGTTTACCTCATAAACGTGACCGCTGACCAGCCGCGAAGTGAAAACAGCATAGTGCGGGGTGGGGTGGGTGGCGGGCTTATCGTCATAAGATATTCGAATACATGCTCAAAAAGCTCTAGGACTATCAGTCTAAACAGTGAAGGCATGCTTCGTGGTACATACAACTTTTACTTTATTCTCATAACTTTCTCCTTTAAATTAGAACTGGTATTAATTAATAGAGTTATCAATATATTTTTAACCGGGGTACCCGTATAACCTTTTTGCTTGTCATCAGTGGTATAAAATAAGGTGTCTTTTCCACCAGAACTTTTTATTTATGCCCCATTGCACGGAATGAACACTATACTTAGAATGTTTACTCTAAATAATTTTTTCTGTTCCCAAGAATGTATGCAAAGTGATAGAGATTTGATTCATTCCGCTGACACGTTCTTTTAAGTTATGGCGCGTGCAGGTTTTTTCTATCAAAAGTCGCGCATGCAACACACCGGAATTGAAAATTCGTCGTAAAATCGCACGAACCTTAGAATGAGTGTAGGCAACTTTGACTTCTGGCGAGATTAAGTGGATTGTTCAAAGGACCCCCTGAGATTTTTTTCAGGACTATAACTGAGATTTGTTAATAACTATGATAATCGTCATCATTAGCGGACGGTGCTTTTTGCCCATTGTTGTCATCATTATCGTTATCACGCCGGAAGAAGTATAAAGCCGGCATGTCGCCTTACCTAACGACACAGAAAATTGTTCTCTCTTTTGCTCCCCTTGGATCCTGGAACCTGTTACTATTAAGACGATCAACAAGAAAGCCTTTATAAATATTGAAATTTTTGATTAAAAGAATGTAAGAAAAAAATCGGTGGGGAGAGTTTTTCGCGTATCTTATAATCTGAACGATATTTTTAAATAAAACAATTAACACTTAATTCAATTTACCTTAGTTGTCTCGTGTTTAAAAGTGGCGTTTCTGGGGACCGTAGATTCTTTTCTGATTCTTCTTGTCTCAGCCAAGACTCACTATCATCAACTTTTTTCTTGTGCTTCTTATGGCATGGGACACAGAGAGCTGAGGTAAGCGATTGCAAATTTCTCAGTTAAAGTAAAGCCCAGTAGCATCCATCAGGAATTAAAAACCGACATGCACTGTTTACTTTTAATCAAATAAGGGGTGTTTTAGTCTGCAAATTTAATCATAGTGGTTAATGAGAATCATACAAACTGAGGAAAACTGACCGCAAATAATTGTGGACCGTACGCATGAGTAAGTATATTGCTTTGTCAGGTGATTTGATCTTCTACAAAAACATTATTGATTATCAACCGAGCAATATTGTACATATTTCCATCTGTAATTAAAAGCACTTACACATAGATCTATTTTTTTCAACGTGATTTGTACTTAAGTACCCTTCATCTAACAAAGAATTTCTTCTCTTTTCGAGCAGATATGTCACGTGACAAAAATAGATAACAGAAAATGTTACTGAAGACTACCTGATTCAACTGGAATAATAACTCCAAACAGCTTTTGAATGTCCTGAGACGTATGCAAGGTAATTATATCTCTGCCTTGGGTACGCTTCCTGACAACATCATGATCAGGATACTGACATGTTACCTTTGCACTTCTCCAAAACTTCCCCAAAACTTCCCCAGAGTGTGGCGATGCCTATAGCAAATCCACATTTCTTTGTTTATCCTCCTGAGCGAGGTGAAATAGGCCAATCTTTGCCAAGATTAGCTCATTTTCACTTAAAAACTCTTTAGACAGGTGGCAGCTTATCAAATGATGTTTTACTTCGTCATTGCATTCAGACAGTCGTACTCAAACCACTTAAGCCACACGATGAACCAAAGTTTTTTCCATCTTTGCTATTCAAAAAGGAGTCCTGAGACATAATGAACGTCCCGCTAATGAACGACTTCTTCCTGTACTTGTAATTGTTTCCAACGCGACACAAGTTCGGGAGATCTAAAGGAACTCACTATAACTTTGTATATTCGATACGATTTCAATTTCCGCGTCAAAGGAGAAACCTATTGTAATTCGTGAGTGGTCAGTGGTTACGCTCGTGAGGTAAAGAATGGATTTGTGACTTTTTCACTCAATTGAAAGACTCGCGTCACTCTTATGAAATGGTTGAACGGAATACAGACTTCGAGCAGTCTCTTATTTTTCTTAAAGATAGTGAGGTCACGCGTATCCTGTGAGCATGGAGAAGCCGCTCCACGCGAGACTCGTATCTCGCGTCTTTGCCGCTCCACGCTCTCAGAGTTGGGCAAAGACAAGACACGTTATTTCCGGTGCGATACAAGAGGTTCAATGGTTATCTCGATTATCTAAACACATTTATTTACGTGGTAAAGATTTGTTTTTAAATCTATGAACTGATGCTAGTCCTATTTGGAACGAAATGTATTTGAAATAAAAAAGAATACTAAGTAAAATAAAAGTTGTCTGCAACACGAAGCATGCCTTCGCATTAAGACTGAGAATCCTTATGTTTATCATGATACTTTAATGCATATGTTCGAATGTTCCCAAAAATCTTCTGATAATCTGCCCGCACCCACCCCTCACCCCGCCCCTCGCTACTGAACCGTACTGTTTTCACTCTGCAGCTGGTCAGCGGTCACGTTTATGAGGTAAACAAACCGATCGATTCTTGATCACCTTTCTTGTCGATCGGAAAATCAAAATACCAGCGTGATATTGCCGCGAAGATGAAGCACTTATGTTACTTGATTCGTACTTCACATTCGAGTCGAAGCTTGGGTGGCACAGGTTATTTCTTACGGTGGAATCGACGAGGGGAATTCGAACACTATTTGTAGTGTTTGAATTGTTGGAATAAATGGTTGCATGGGGATGGTAAGTTTAACGAACAATTTCAAATTTTGCGGCTTGAATTGAAAGTAAAGTTCATTTGAATTGCTTTCGTATGTATTTCTGACGGTTTTAGATCTACCTGCTTGATTTACATCGGTTACGCTTCATGTTGACAAGTCCCTCAAAATGGCGGCCAAACTTGGAGATTGCCGAAAATTAGGTAAGTTCACGGAGTTATAAAGTTCTCGTAAAGGTCGGGCCGCAAAGTTTTTTTCTGTAGTTATCTTTTCTATGGCACCTACTTCCTAGCTATGTTAGTTGGATCAGTTAAGAACGCCTCACTTTTTCAAAAATTTACCTTGAATTTGATCGGTTTTGGCGTGTGTGATTTAGGTGAACCGATAAGGTGTCATTCAAGTCTTCCTGTTTCCTTGATTGACACGTGATGTTTACGAAAGTCGCCTCGATAGATAAGATAGAGTTAATATACATGGCTGTGGTATTTGTTTTTTGCTGAGTTCCGTAGTTTTTTGTAAATTGTCCTCCAAAGTTGTATGAAATTAAAGTCTTGAAAAGTGTCACGACAAGCCTTCGCTCGAGTGAAATTTAATTTCCGTAAAACTCTGAAAAATAAAGAGATCCGATCAAACTGATTGCGGTTTTAGTATAGGTACATGAATGTCTTACAACACACGAGAAACAAGCGAAATCCGTGTCTCAAGCAAACCGACCGGACCGCTCTTACAGAGACACTCTCTTAAGACCTCAATGGAGATCAGTGACCGGCCTAGTCGTGAGTAAGGTATGTTTGGCATATGATGCTCGTGCGTCTACAAGTCCCCTCAAAGAGATTACTGACTGTCATTAAGTTTAAGCGATGAGATAAAACGCATGTAAAAAAGGTAATTAATTCAATGTCTATGTATTTAGCATCTCTGTCCAAATTGTCGCCTCTGAAAATGTATTAACAAAAAGAGTAAATAGATGGAAAATCGGGGAAAGTACAGCCCACTACTTGATTATTTGTTAAGAGTCACGCCGGATTTTAGCTAACTCATACTAGACTTGAACTTGGGAGACCAAGGTTAAGAATTAAAGCGCCTCAAGCCACTTGGCCCCAGGCACGTCGCCAACGCCTTTTACAAACGTGAACAAACCTGTTTGGATAAAATCTTATCCAGATCTGTTTCATAATCGTGTTCACAGCAGCATAACTTGCGAGATCCAGACTGCCAACATTTTAATTGATACATGCATGTTCCAGCCATTACATATATTCTAATCTAACAGGGCTAAATCATGCTTACACTCACTTACTCTTTTCGACCCTTCACTATTCTCAAAAAAAATCCAGCGGTCGTAAGGTAAATTCAAAAGTTGTAAAGTTATTCAGATACCGTTTTAGGGTTCGGAAACACTGGCAAAAAAATTCCTGCAACAGATCTCAGCAGCATACCCAAACCTGCTTCGTGTGTATTGTTTCCAAAACAAGTCGCTATGAAACAGTTTTTGAAGCGATTTTTGACAATTCTTTTTTCGCAGGCTCAAATATCTATGCGATCATTTCCCATGTCAAACAACATGACTTGTCCCCGTTTCATATTCCTTAGACTCATCCCGCAGATGAAGGCCAACCGTCCAATGTGTTTTCACCTTTCTTAGGTAAGAATGCAAGAATATTAACGTCATTGCTCATTAAACGCTATTGCGCGATGACACATGTGCGTTTTCTCATATGTAGAGCACGCTAGTTCTTTCACGAACTCATTTTTATAGTCTGGATGTTTGGTTACCGCCTGACATTCCTCTTTATTTGCCTATACAGTTCCAAATCTTGCAAGTCGATCGATGAAACGTTTTTTTGTCATTTGCTTTTTCTAGGCGCTAGGCGAAACAATCGTCATCGTTGACAAGAGAATTCAGTCAAATTCACGCACACTCTCCATGTTTAAGGATAAGATCATGTTCGTTATTGTCATTAGTGCCGCAATTGCGCTTTTCAAGTGCGCTTGATTCACTCTGGGCCTTTGTTAAAAAAGATTACTATATTATCACCTATCGTACATTTAAAGCCAAATAACCAACCAAAGTTGTTGAATACAGTTAATAAATACGAGAGACCAGTCATACTTACCATATCTGGAGGAAATTATCGAAAATTAGCGAATGTGAAATCGCTCGATTCTCTTATTTTGTTATTTTTATTGTTCTTTGTTGCGAATGTTACAATCGATTCGCCAAAATCCATGGGAAAACATCGGTCTTTTTGAGCCTCCGACAAAGTTTGAAACCCTTACAACTAACGAAGTTTATCAACAGCGTAGCTTCCATTTTGGAAACGTTCATCAAAAGTGTAAACATTAATCTGTTCCACTATTACAAACTTCCCGCCAAATTTTCCCACCACACAAGTTAATATATTACTATGGCGTGCAGTCGCACTTCCGCTACGTACCATATGTGGTAGTCAATTCGTAGTAACTTTCCATATTTGTCACATTTGTCAAAGTCCTTTAAACGGAAGTAAACCTGTTCAGGGGAAGGCGCGAAATGTTTTGCGGTGGCACTGTTTGGTAAATTAAATGGTAGAGTATTGGCGCTTGTTTCAGATTTTTCCCCTAATTTTTGGCAGTACAATGTGTATACTGCCTAGATTCAATATCCTGACAGACAACAGGTGAGTAGAATTATATACTTTGGTCGTTAAACTCGAAAAGCATCTAGTGTTTACACTACAAGAGCTCGATTTGAGAGTTCCGTTAGTTTCGAAACAATTTTACTCGTTGTTTGTATCCAAACCCACCACCTTAAAACTCTCGAAAAGAGGATTTTGACCCTTGACTCTATATTCTTTTCATTAAGTTCTCTTCTTCGTTTTCAAACAAGGTTTTTATTCCTAAACATTTCTTCTGTGGTATTATATTCGTTGCTGTTCAGCTGATTTTATTGTGGCCCATTGAACCATGTAACTAGCCAATTTCCCAAAACGTCTTGTACACAAAAGTAAAGTGAATCTAGTGGTAACTGTAGGATTTCATTTACATAATCTTTTGTGGTTTTTTTTGTTTCTCCGTTATAGCTGTTTACGAGCTCCTTAAGCTGTCCTTCAATTTTGATATAGATTAAATCTTTCACGATAAGCTTGAGTCAAATATATTTTAACCAAAATTTCGATAGTTTGAGGTCGTTTGCCAGCCCCGAAAATTGTTTAATCATCGTAGTTGTCGAAATGTGATGTTCACCTAAGCGTAATAAACCACCATAACTGACTTCTGGAAGAGAAATACATTATACAGTAAAAATTTATTCAGTTTACAGTCAATTCAGTCTGTCTCTAATTCACCAATGTATAAATAACGTAAAGGATTTTTACCATTTTTATGTCGCATGAGAGGTTGTTAACTATGTTACATATTTATCTCAGAAGTTACGCACAGGGAGCGCTAAATTCCATCTACTTAAAATCATGATACTCAGTTTATCATTTCCATTCTGATATTTCGTCAGGTGGTTATGGAGTTCTACATTATAAACAACCTTGGCTGTAGGATAGCGACAATAATCTGAAAAATAGAGCTAATCTCTGCTGAGTGTCCTAATACCAAAATTAAAGCAATAACGGCGTTCAATCTGAGAAAAGGAAAACATCAGATGAGGCCAATATGTGAAAATAAGCAACAAGCAGCCTGTGGCGTCGGAAATCGGAAGAACTGAATCATTCGCGATTGGTTTTTAAATTTAATTTTCTTTTTTTAACTGGTTAACCACGTCAGAGCGACACAACACATCTCTAATGACACTCAGTTAAATGAAAACTGCAGCTGCTCCAAGCGCCGGTAGAGTGGCAAATAACCTGCTATTACTAACTTTCAATGCACTCGGCTAAACTGGCCTTTAATGTGAACCTTCTTCTTTGAAATGTTCAGTATCCGTACACCTCCAGCCTCAATGCCATATACTTGTGCGAAGTTCGTGGATGAATTCGGATCCACTCGACATTTTGGAGAGCTGGTGAGAACTTGTGTATAAAAATTGAAGTGTTGTTCTTGTTAGCTTGGTATACCTGTGAACATACAATACATTGACAGTATCACTATTTAAACAAAATGAAAACTTAACTGCAGCGCAACGAATCATTGGCTGAGCTCCGCAAATTAAGGGAGGCCTGAAACATGGCCTGAAAGATTTTGATATCAGATACCTTATCATAGGAAATTTTTGCGACACGTTGATTTCGCAAATTTGACGTCTCCAAAAAAATCGTGAATCACACACACGCATGGAGAAGGTTCGAGAAAGGAGAAGGGACTGGAACTTTAATATCATCATCATTCTAAAATGTTTGTGTTTCATTGTTACCGACAAAAAAATCTTTTCAGGCCTACCCTGGCCCGTGCAATCGATGTTTGTAGATTTTACCTTATTAGGGTCATTTAGAGAAGCATCAGCAAAGTACTGGTAGGTGAAGCTTTGAACCCAAAGTTTATCGTCCGGGCTACCTTGTGTTGCTATGGCAATTACGGTTTTTTTGCTCGCGAACTTTACTGTAATGTATTCACCATCTGAGTTTTGTGCAGGTTTCCAGCAAGATTTTCCATTTAAGCGTCCTTTCCATGCTTCATAATCTCTCAAGGACGAAGAGCCATTTATATTCTCATTAGGTATGTCTCCGTTTTCCATTCCTAGCGCTTGTAGGTCTGTTGAAAAAGAAGACACTTGCTTTCGTCAACGTTGATTTCTAATCATCACACGTCATGGAAAGTAAGAACCTATGCTAATCAAACTATTGAAGAAAACACTGAGGAATATGGATCAAAGTTTTGGGCTTCAGTCCTTGCAAGTGTTAAGAAGATGTAGGTATCTAATTTTTTCTAAGAAAATAACGTGTCTCATCGGTCAAAACATAACAGTAGACCTTTTTCTAAGTCAGCTGTGACGCGTAAGAGAAATAAAGCAGACGCATAAAAACGCACGCAAATAACGCGTTGTGTCCGTCTATTGCTGACCAACCACGATCGAGAATTTTGTACAATCTTCCTGGTTTTTATGCTATTTCATTCTCTACTATTGGTGCTAGCTTTCCAATTTCTTACTTTGACAGCGAAGCCCAGTGTAACCATCAAGACAATTGCAATTCAAAGTCGGACTCATGACACACGTGCCTCCATTTTTACAGGGCATACTCTCACAAGTATCATGATCATGGTGATACTGGCGGATCACCATGTCGAAATAAACTGCTCCCTTCTGTTTCATAACATCTTTAGGGAAAGAATCCTTGGTTACTCTGTTGAGTTGACAGGTTCCTCGCGATGGCATGAAGTTGATACTGAAACACTTCGGCTCAATTTCGCAAGAAAATGTGCAGCTCTCAAAAGTCTTGTGGTTTAGAGTCCGTATCACGTGACCAGTGAGAACGTGATTGGTATCTGGGAAACTGGAGCGGCAGACGTTAGAGCCAGCGGTGATCTTTGAAAACAGGAGGGTATGGAGTAAAACGAACTCCAAATATGGAGACATCTCTTACGTGACCTGTAAAATAAATAAGGTATAAATTCATTTGCGTTTCCAATTTCGGACCGAGGCTAGGGTGTGGTAAATTTGGTTAATTTAAGCAGTAACAAAGGGTACGTCATGAGTACCATGGTTTGATGCAGATAGAAGCACCTATCTTGAAAACCAAGCCGACTCGCATACTATATGTCATTTTTAGCCTTAGCCCCATCAAGGATCTCTTGTATACTCCATTTAAGCAGACTGATTACATAACTTCCTTTTAAAATAGGCCTTCGCTGTATAAGGTTTCATTAACTTGCAGCATACCAATTGCAAAATTTGCGGGGGAGATTTTTCAGCCCCCTAGAGTATATTTCATCTTTTTATATTTTTCCTTGAATAAATGACAACGTTTTTATAGACGAGATTTGTTGCAAATGTTATTACTTAAATAAAACTGCTTAAGATATGAAAAAAACTTCCATTTAATCAATGATACCCCCTCGCGCCGACAGGTAACTTAAATTACTCTAAAATGAAACCGTAAACATACTTTTACAGCGCTATTTTTCTAACTGAAATAAATCTGATTTGACTGGCTTCTCAGTGACAGTGGGGAACCGGGAAAGTATTTGATCAATCTGGTAAAATGGTGCGCCTCGCACTAAATTACAATTTTCCTAACAGACCTAACATAGTGTCTTTCGATTCTTTTGTACTATGACGGGTTTATCAAAGGTAAGACTCATTTAAACTAATCAACCATCCTGATCATTTCTATTTAACATAAAACGAAAACAGAATCGAGGTTTTACTCGATCAGTCGTTCACCACAAATATCTTCAGCTAATTAGAAATGTGCCTCATTCAAGCTTGACATCCAGAGGTTTGAAGTACAAATACGCCGGGATCGTTTTCATTCTTGATATGGAAGTTAGAGTCAAAATGATCCTTTCTTTAAGTGCTAGCGGCCAATTCGTTATTCTTGTCATTAACTCCAATCCCCGATAAAATAAAAAAAACATGTTCAAAAAGCGGGTTTATACGAAAAAGAAAATGACAATTTAAAACCTAAAACATAAAAAAAGAGAAACACTGGACACTTTACCTGTTCCGGTCGTTTCAAGTTCTTTGCGACATCAAAATCCTTGCCACTATTTTTTCTGCTTTTTTTTTAATAAAAAAATATCCTGAATTTTTCATAATTTGCCAAATTTGACAGAATGAATTCATACTTCAATGCAGAGATTGACTTTTCAATAGCTGCTAACGTGAAAAGAAAACAAGCTGAATAACTCTCGTTATTAAGTTTTCACCGCGCTTGCGTTGGCAAATGTTACAATTTACTCATGGCACACTTTATTTAGCTACTGACAATATCGAGTCGTTCTTCGTAATTCAAATCAGCCTGTTCATGCCTGTGTCCATTTGAAAAGTTCACATTGGTTGATGGAAAAATTATTGATACACATTTGAGCCTGTCAGTATCATTCAATATTACTTTCGTTACGATTCAATAAATTGTCCAGGAGCTTTTTAAATAATGTAAATTTGGAAAAGCATGGGTAATTGAGAGGAGGTTTCTCAGTTGCCATCTGCATTCGCGGCAAAGATATACATTGAGGAAGTTCCTTAAATATTGAACTAACTGCACTACTGTTTGTTTAGATAATTGTGATGAAAGAATCAGAGGGTATACTGCTACTGAAACAATGCTTGTATGACAACGAATTAAGGACTTAATGTTTCTACACTTTGCAGTAATTCTACACTTTGTATCGGATCTCACCAATAAACGAACATAAAAACTATTTTAAAATGCGGGATTTTTAAAAAGCGACTTGTCTCACCCCCAACCAAGTCCAATGATGCAAATCAAGAGAATATCAGCCGTTGTTATTCCTTTGTACAAATCATATATCAAATTGCTACTTCCAGTTACCGCAAAATGTACCGTGGACCAATGGAATAACGCGCGTGATTAGTATCCAGTGTAGGCATAAATGGGCTTAGTTTAACCCATCATGTCTCTTAAACAAGAGCGGTGACCTATCTTTCTTATTGTATTTTTCGAAACAGACATTGGTAGGGAACATACCCATAGCATACTACGGGTTGAGGTTATTTTGAGAGAATACAAGCCCTATGCGTTACAATCCTTGCCAAGCAAATACATTAAATGGAAACCTCACAAAACCATATATATTCATAAACAGCATTAAATTCTTTTTCATATAAGGTGCAGATATTATAGGATATATGAGATCACATGACATCACGGCGTGTATAATTTGAATAATTATGGAAATTTTCTAAAGACAATGAAAAATTCCTTTCAAATCCGTAATGTTGCAACAATTGATTATTCGCAAGTTATAACTCAAAAGATAACATGCAGCAAAAGTGTCCTCCAGCTTAACAGTTTGCAAATTAGTGCCTAAATAAGCTACCTTTTTACATGTGAAAAAATAAAAATATATAAATCTGACAAGGGAAACAGTTTTTACCTTAACTTAATAAAATGTTTAAGACCTCAATGGAGATCAGTGACCGGCCTGGGCGCGAATAAGATATGTTTGGTATATGATGCTCATACTTCTAAAAGTCCCCTCGAAGAGGAGAACGAGTTCACCGCTCTTTGCTTATCAACTCCTGAGTTACTACAGTTTGCGCGATGAGATAAAACGTATGAAAAAAGATAATTACTGCAGAGTCTATGTATTTAGCATCTCTGTTCAAATTGTCGCCTCTGCAAATGTATCAACAAATAGGGTAAACAGATGGAAAATCAGGGAAAGTACCGCCCACTACTCTATTATTTGTTTACAGTCACGCAAGATTTTAGCTTCCTCATATCTGAACCTGAACTTGGGAGATCAAGGCTATGAATTATAGCGCCTCAAGCCACTTGGCCTCAGGCACGTCACCAACGCCTTTGAAAAACGTGAATAAACCTGTTTGGATAAAGTCTTATCCAGATCTGTTTCATAATCGTGTTCACAGCAGCATAACCTGCGAGATTCGGACTGCAAACATTTTAATTGATACATGCATGTTCTAGCCATTACTAGGAGAAGTAATTATAATGGATTCCTGACATTACATATATTCTAATCTAACAGGGCTAAATGCTTACCCTCTCCTACTCTCTTCGACTCTTCATTATTCTCTGAAAAAATTCCAGCGGTTGTAAGGTAGATTTAAAAGTTGTAAAGTTATTCAGATGCCGTTTTAGGGTTCAGACGCTTTGGCGAAATATTTGTGCAACAGATCTCTGCAGCATACCCAAACCTGCTTCGTGTATATTGTTTCAAAAACAATTAAGTCTCTATGAAACAGATTTAGACACGATTTTTGACAATTCTTTTTTCGCAGGATCAAATATCTATGCGATAATTTTCCACGTCAAACAACGTGATTTATCCCCGCTACATATTCCCTAGACTTATCCCGCGGTCCTAGCACCTTACGACACCTCAACAGGTCATAAATTTCCAATTTCGACATCCAGTATAAATCAATAATGGATGTCATTCATCACATTATGCATGTCATTTTACGGGGGCGGGTAAAACCGTTTCATTCCTGTCATTTAGCTTTAGAAACAACTGATCTTTCGCCTTTATTAAACTAAATGCCATTTGACTAAATTATTACAAAGAGCCATTACAGTGCGCGAAAATGCGTCGTTCTAGATTAGCATGATAAAGCGCCATACGTGAATCAAGTATGGCCAAACCGGGACATAATTATCATAAATTAAAATTATTTAATTACTCAAAGCAATCCAAAGAGAATGATTCAAACAAATTTTCAGCATATTTGTCGAGCTAATGTCACACAAAGGCGAGAAATATGTACTGCGAATGCAACAGATTACTATGGTTTGACAATGGTTTAGCACTTTCATGAAGAGTACTTCAAAACAGGGCGCGTTTCCAGTGGAGTTATCCCCTAGAGTGGTGAAAATGACAGATTCATGGTAAGTTACACGACTGCATGCAAGAGTAAAGTTACATAAGGGAAAACGGGAAGCCAAATTTTGGGACTCGAAAGTATTAATGTTCTAACCAACAATTTTTTTATGATAATATTGACAGTTCATTCCTGCTTAGAGTTTTCATTAGACTGAATGGTCGGTGCATTTGCATCTATTAGCCAGTTCCCTGTTGCACCGGATATAAATAATAACACAACTTCTCAAGTTCAGACAAATCTACTTCAGAAACTGTTCGATATTAATTCCAAAAGTTATCACGCATTTCTGCTGCATCGTCATATATTGTCTTTACATTCATCCAAAGAGTCAGCTATGTTTGATAATACTAGAATACCTCATGGGAAAGACACTTGCCTTCTTTCCACAAAGGTTAACCAGGTTCGTGCATTGTAAAGGACTCCCCATATACAGTAAATATGCGAAAAGTTTCTGATAATGTGATGTAGTTTAGCAGCGTAGTGTCTACTAGACGATATCTTGAGAGCAACTTTAATATTCACATTCGTCTCTCTTCATTCGAATCTAATTTTGCCCTCCTCTGATCTCTCTCTGATCCAGCAATAACCGTCAGCCCATTAAACCATAATTTGCCAGAAATATAATGAAAAATACCCGTGGATAAATTTTGGGAAGTTTAGGCAGTATTGAGGGAAATATTTATGGCTCAGCAAGAAATGAGGGTGAACGTCCGAATGAAACGGGACTTTTCTTGTTAAGGGAAAAGTGGAACCTCAATCTAGAGATACTCTCGCAACTTTCCCTACGGGTATTGCTGGCACCGTCCCCTTAATAAAGGTGTCCTCCTTACAGTCAGAACGAAAAATGTTCCATGCATATTTTTTGAGTAGATTTGTTTCGTTAGTATCAGAGAGAAAAGTTTTACACCTTTCATCTGGATCGATCTTGGCCCTTACCTAACTGGACAGAACTACAGCTTCTGATTATTTACAAAAGACTTTTGAACTTGAATCTCTTGTACTGATCAAGCCACATTTATTCCGAAAAGTTAGCACAGAGTTGGTCAGTTACGACTCTACTCGAATACGATATCTCCACTTCAGACTTCTAACGTCTGTTACCGCTGCATAACAGCATCGTGAACTATTACTTCATAATTGACTTATAGCATATTCTATTTCCAAGTTCAAATTTCTTTTCTCGTTTTGTTTTTGCCTGTGAAGTGAGTAAACATGTCAGTCATACCTCCAACGGTTGTCTCCAGGCCATGCATGTAATTATTCCAACATCAAAAGTTTTAGTTCCAGTCGTCTATCTCTCGCGGACGAGCGATCTTTTATGAAACTGAGAACGCTGATCTCATGATAAGAAATATCTATAAACAATATCTGATTGATTTTATGAGCTACGTTTCCACTCCATTACTTCAGACCGCCATTCATCTTTTGTGCTCAATCACCTCTTAATTATGAAAAGGGATCGAGTGGTAGTCATCACCGACTGCTGCGGCTACCGCCAAAGACCCATTCAGCGGCAGTCAAGCGGCAGAAAAATGAACCAACAATGGTGATTATCCGTAAATTTTATGCCAAAGCGCTGGATATGTACGTAAGACACTAATATATTCTGTGTTTAAGATCCTGTATGAAATAAATGAGCTTGATCGTCAGATCGACGGTACGCGAACAGTGACTCAGATGAAGGCCAACCGTCCAATGTGTTTTCACCTTTCTTAGGTAAGAATGCAAGAATATTAGCGCCATTGCTTAATAAACGCTCCTGCTCGATGACTCATGCGCGTTTTCTCATGTGTAGAGCACGCTAGTTCTTTCACGAACTCGTTTTTATAGTCTGGATGTTTGGTTACCGCCTGACATTTTTCTTCATTTGCCTATTCAGTTCCGAATCTCGCAAGTCGATCGATGAAACGTTTTTAGTCATTTGCTTTTTCTAGGCGCTAGGCGAAACAATCGTCATCATGGACAAGAGAATTCAGTTAAATTCATACACGTTCTGCATGTTTAAGGATAAGGTCACGTTCATTATTGTCATCAGTACCGCAATTGCGCTTTTCAAGTGCGCCTGATTCACTCTGGGCCTTTGTTAAAAAAGATCACTATATTATCACCTATCGTACACGCTTAGCAAATTAACCATCCAAAGTTGTTGGATACAGTTAAATACGAGAGACCAGTCATACTTATCATATCTGGAGGAAACTATCGAAAATTAGTGAGTGCGAAGTCGCGCGATTCTCTTATTTTATTATTTTTATTGTTTTTTGTTGCGAATGTTACACCAAAATCCATGAGAAAATATAGGTCTTTTTGAGTCTCCGACAAAGTTTGAAACCTTTAAAACTAACGAAGTTTATTAAGAGCTTGGAAACGTTCATCATAAGTGTAAACCTTAATCTGTTCCACAATTACAAACTTCCCGCCAAATTTTCCCGCCACACAAGTTAATATATTACCTAGTTTGCAGCTGCACTTCCGCTACGTACCATATTTGGTAGTCAATTCGTAGTAACTTTCCATATTTGTCACATTTGTCAAAGTCCTTTAAACGGAAGTAAACCTGCTCAGGTGAAGGCGCGAAATGTTTTGCGGTGGCACAGTATGGTAAATTAAATGCAAGAGTATTGGCGCTCGTTTCAGATTTTCCCCTAATTTTTGGCGGTACAATGTGTATACTGCCTAGATACAATATCCTGACAGACAACAGGTGGGTAGAATTATATACTTTGGTCGTTAAACTCGAAAGGCATCTGGTGTTTACACTACAAGAGCTCGAGTTGAGAGTTCTGTTAGTTCCGAAAGCAATTTTACTCGTTGTTTGTATCCAAACCCATCACCTTAAAACTCTCTTAGCGAGGATTTTTGACACTTGACTCTATATTATTTTAATTAAATTTTTCTCTTCGTTTCTAGACAAGGTTTTTATCTGTAAACATTTTCTCTGTGGTAATATATTCGTTGCAGTTCAGCTGGTTTTTTTGTGGCCCATTGAACCATGTAACTAGCCAATTTCCCAAAACGTCTTGTACACAAAAGCAAAGTGAATCTAGAGGTAACTCTGTGGTTTTTTGTTTCTCCGTTATAGCTGTATACGAGCTCCCTAAGCTGTCCTTCAATTTTATATAAATAAAATCTTTCACGATGAGCTCGAGTCAAATATATTTTAACCAAAATTTCGATAGTTTGAGGTCGTTTGCTAGCCCCGAAAATGATTTAATTAGCGTAGTTGTCGAAATGTGATGTTCACCTAAGCGTAATAAACCACCATAACTGTAACTTCTGGAAGAGAAATGCATTATACAGTAAAAATTTATTCAGTTTACAATAAATTCAGTCTGTCTCTAATTCACCAATGTATTATCAATTTTAAAGCATTTTTACCATTTTTATGTCGCATGATAGGTTGTTTAATTATGTTACATATTTATTTAGTTAGTTATCATTTATGTTTTATGATTTTAATTATTTTTTTTGTCATAACCATTACAATTTCTTCAAATATGATTGGTGCATTAGCTGCTTTATTTTTCACTAATCATTCTGTAGAACTACAACTAGACAGTTGGCTGTAATTGGAAAGTTGAAGTAGTCAATCATACTAAGTCTACTCAGCCAAATCCACCAATCACAGAATTAAACACAATAACCATAGCAAAAGCCACTTATCCTACAAAAAATTTAGGAATTTCCAAAATGGAGAAATTTTTTTTTAATTTAGACATTGTCTAAACCAAAGATATTAGACCTAAATGTATTAATTGTTTTCAGAAATTGAAATGGTTATGATTAATTGGTAATAGGACTTCTTGTTGTCCAATTCTGTCTGCAATCATGCTTGTGATTAACAAATTGGACTCCCACTTTGTGGTCATCTAATTTTGTTTGTCACTGGTATGATTACAGAGCAAATTGGACTCCACTCAGTCCTATTATGATTACTAATCAAAACTATAACAAAACTATCAAACGTAATTAATTATCACCAGCCCGATTTTAACACTAATAGGACAAGGTGGGCATCATGCCTGTGTGACTAGTCAGTAAGTGTCTATCGTGCATGCTGTAGTTGCACATTTCCCCAAGTTAACTGTATTTTTTTTTATGAAAACGGTTAACAGATGTCTAGTTTCTTTCTCAACTTTTGTTTTGGTTTAGATTAATTGGTAACAGGACAGTGTGTTCAATTCTGTCTGTAATAATACGCATAATTAACAAATCAGTCTCCCACTTTATGGTTGTTCTCTTTTGTTAATAACTTGTATGATTGCAGAGTGAATTGGACTCCACTCAGTCCTATTAATGTTATTAATCATGGTGAATGTCAAATAAACAACACTTTTGTTTTTTAGTCTGAAAACTGAAATTGGAAAAGAAAAAAGGAAATTAAAAGTAATGAAAAACTGCACATGTAGTCTTGAAAATGATGAAGTAAACACCAAATTTAAAGTTTAATTATTTGTAAATAATGCCTTTTTGAAAATTTATGTATTCACACAAAATTTCCACTCTTAATACATGTATGTTTACTCAATGACATGCAACATCAATGAGTAACATGACTTTATTTTGTTACAGATGACATTTCACTAAGCCAGAGATTCAAATCCTTGCAAATGGAGGCTAAGGAATGGTTTGATAAGTTTTGCCAACAAGTAGAATTGGAAGGAAAATGCAAAGAGAAGGCTTGGAACATTTGGGTGTCTGTTTCCTCAAAAATAAAAGAAAAATCTGAGGTATATGAAAATTCAGAGGCTCATTTGCTTTTTAGTTTATTCAAAGAAGCAAATTATAATTTGCATCAAGATTGTGGTATAAATAATGATTTCGGATTCTGTGTTTTCTTGCCATCTTCAATGTGGATGTTTCAAACTCTTCCCCCATTATGTGTTTGAAATAGGCATTTTCACATCAAGATAAATGGAAAAATTTTGACTATTTCTATGAAATCAGATTTGTTAATTCTGTTAAATATTATAAGACTACAATTTAAAAACCAGTCCTAGACTTATCAAAGCCTTAAAGTAATCTTTTAACTCTAGAATCAGTTTCAACTAGAATGCTGCAACTTCATGTTGAGCCTTAATTAAATGTGGCAATTAAATCATACTTTGTTTCCCTTGCAGAATACTTTAATTCCATGGTTTATATGTGCCATATATGTTACGAATTGTGACACAAGGTCAGTATGCAGTTGACATGTACAAGAGTAGCTGTGAAATGAAAATCACCCATAATGAAAAAGTTACCCATACAATCCTTTTTCTGATATTCAGATTTAATAGCGTTCAAGATTCAGGTGCCACTAAAATTACCTGTTCATTGAGCAAGCTATTGAAGGAAGCTAAAATAAGGTAAGGCAAAACTGTTAGAGACTGAGTTACATTAGTTTTATGAATTTTTTGTGTGGTTTTTCTTTGTTTTAAAATGATTTATCATTTATGGCTGTACTCTTTTGAGGTTACATCATCATACAGTTATAGACAAAAAGATATTTTATACTAGTGAGGTTCATACTGTATGTTAGTGCAATGATATTTTCTTTCTGGCAGCATTGTGGAATTCTTCCAGAAGATGAAAAAGTTCAGTTCAGTTTGGGAAGTTGGTGCTCCTGTTACAGATCACCTTACTGAAGTAAAGAAAACATTTTGTATATCTGCAGCTCTGTTCCACAAGTTTCAAAGGTACATAACTTATTTATAGTCTTAGTTAACAATTTTTCCTTGATCAAGAAGAATGATATCTGACACAAATTTAGTTCTTCTTTTTTGCATGATACCTATTATGCTAAGTGCAATGTATAACTTGCATCAGTAAAATTCTACCCCCATTTGTTCCATGGAATCATAAAAAGTCTTTATTGTCCTATATGATACTTGTGATCCCATGTGACATCCTAGAACTTAACTTACAATTATAGTGTTGCAAATATATTTCCTAATGACTGTAGTTATGGTGTCTGAGGCTGATGTTGATAATTAAACTTTATGTAATATTTTCATTGTTGCAGAGTAATGCCTGTGCTTTTTAAAGGTTGTCAAGACTTATGTGACAGGTATTAAAGAATTTTCCTTTTTAGTAAGTTTGTCATCATTTAAATTACAACTTTTGGCATAACATGTTATAGCTGCTATGGTGCTGCTCCCCATGACAGGCACCATAAAAGGTAACTGGTGTAGAGCTCTCTACCCAATGGCAAACATAATTCCTTTTCTTTTGTTTTCATGTTAATCAGCCTTCTTACCCCTGTCAATATCAGTAAAAATAATGGAATTTTTGCTGAAAAACAAGACCAAGAACTCTGAATTGTATGCAATTTAAAGAATGACAAAGAGGCCCAAAAGTTAAACAAGAAGTCTTTGCAGGTTTTACAGAACAGAGGAAGCTACAACAGAAATGAAATGATGTGGTGTATTTGAATGAATTTGAGTTGACTGATTTTATTTTGACAGTGAAGAGAGAACAGAAACATTAAAAAAAACATGCTGGCTTTTATATCTAGTCTACAAAGGTACAGTGTTTCATTTTTTGTCATAATCTACATCTGCTTTTATCATTAATAGTTTGATTGAATATAATCAAATTAGTTGGACTCGGTTTATTAATTTATATATGTACTCATTTGCTTTAAAACCCTCTCTTTGTATTGCATTCATCTATAAGTTGACTTTCTTTATAATTATTATCCATTGTGAAATACCATAAATGTCCATGTATAAGCTGCATCCAAAGGGGGAAGTGTAACTTTTTTAGCCTCTCGTTTATGTTTTGTGATCATTTTTTTACCAGCTTGCTTAATATTGTCTCTTACTGATTTTAGGTCACAGTAGTTTGCTGATTTTCTTTTCTCTGATAATCCATTTGCTGAAATTAATTTTGGGAATGCCCCCACCTGGAAAAAGAAAATAAAACAAAAAACAAACAAACAAACAAATGGTTAGCTCAAAGTGGGTTTCTGCATTCTCCTGTTTGCATTTTCTGTAGGCTGGAATTCTAACCAGGTGAAAGAATTAATGACGGCATTCAATCTCTTGTTGTGCTGTGTGGATCATGTACACAATAGATTTGGCCAACAGCTGCAGACAGGGGAAGGTAAAGTTTTCACTTAATTCAAAGTGGAGGACTCCAACTTCTGATTAATTTTAATCAGAAGTGATTTTGATATGCATACTTCATTTGTCAATTATCCACACCATTATATATCAATACTGACACTGTTCCTCATTGTTGACATGTTCAGTTCTCTCAGGGACAAATATCTGGGAAAGTGTGGTAAGTCAACAATTTTTACTTAAAGTGAAATTAGAATCATGTTTCTGCTGTGTAGGTCCTTGAAGTATTGTAAAAAAATCACTCACTCAAACTCTGTAACCTAAGCTTCCCACTGATGTGAACTGAAAGCTATTAGTTTAATTCATGACTCAGGCTTGGAGAGCATATGATCTGGTCTATCAGCTGGCTCAAACTCCCTGTGTCTTAAACTGATTTGTATTTTCCAGCAGGGTTGTCCTATACATTTTTCATACTTAAATCTTTAGAGTTAATATGTTTATACTTGTACTTTTCTGTGTGATAATCAAATTCTTGGATTCTCTTGAATTTAGCATGATGGAATCCTTCCCAATCTATGTGAGGAATTGAGTGTACCTCTTTCAAATGTATGTATAAAAGGATATAATTTGTAGTTGAAGGAAATGATACATTTCATCCTGTTTCTGGTTGTCAGAATAAAGCATTCAAATAAACCAGAATAAACCATCCAAAGCACAATTTAAGATGTAACAGGCGTTTCGAAATCCCCCGGTGGAGGACAAACCGTTTTAAAAACACCTTCATGATGGCCTCCACCATTAAATATAACAACAACAGTTAATTAACGATCGTTTCCTAGAAACCTATGTAGATAATGTAAATATAGCTTTTAAATGTAGATAGGTTTTAGCTCATAGATTTTTTTAATTGTTTATAATTTTGAATATTCTTATATACGTTATATAATATATTTATTTAATTACATTATTATAATATACGCAATTCAGCCGCAAGGCTGCTAGGTATATTTAAATAAACTATCTATCTATCTATCTCATTAAGAAATGAAAATGTCAGTGGTTTACATCATGGAATTTAATCAGCACAATTTACTGACTTCTGCTTCTGTTAGCAAGTAAAATCTCTTTTTGTGCTGTTTCTTTTTTAGGTTGCATTAATCTACTCACAACACTTTAAACCATTTTTGGAGAAGTTAATTGAGGTACAAGTAACTTTGTTGATTACATGTATCATTTATTAACAAAGTAATGTCGCAAAACTGTTATGATGGACAAACTTGCTGCACAAGTTCTTGTTGAGCAAGAGCTCAAACAACATTAATTCCCTGTACTGTACATCAACACTGAACAAACTTTACCTTAACTGTTTAATCACATTTTGTTCATATGAATGATTTTCTTCCCTTTCTGCTTTGTTACTTTCCACAGCAAAATGCAAGAAACTTGTTGAAAGTAAGTAATAGAGTCAAGAGAGCTTGGATTGGTCATGTTGGTGCTAATCCAATTTGTTAAATCATGACATGTTTATTAACAACTCTGGTATTGACCCCCTAAGAGTGACTAGCATCTAATTATCCTTACAATATCACCACTGAATCACACTTTGATGTCATGAGAATAGATGAAATAATCACCAACTAAAGAAACTCTTGATTGTTAGACAAATTTGCTGTAGTTAATTTACAGATAACAGTTAAGGGTTAAGATTGACTTATAAAGAGGTGCTAGACAGTGAGAGGCCACCTCAGCTTAAATTTACTGTGTTGTTCAAATAAACACACTCCAAAATATATTAAAAGTAATGATTTTATAATGATATGGATTTAAAAGTGATCACACTGGTGGTGTTAGGTATTGTTCTGTAAATTATCTAATTTTGACAATCTCTGTCTGCAGATTGGTGATTTAAATTCCATCTACGAAGAAGTCTGTGCTAGATCTGGAGATGTTGATGAGAGAGACTTCTTTGACAAAAATGGCTATTTGTGGATTCCTTTCAATGAAGAACCCAATGAAGTGGGACATGGCAGGTACAAAAGATCTCATATTTACCCAACTAGTAATTTTTTTACAAAATGTGAGACTAGCTGTATTTGATTTATTCAATTTAGTGCTGGAACTATTAGTGGTGGAACTACCAATACTGCAATCCATGATGAATTTCAACCTGTTTTGGTAACCCTAACAGCTGATTTAGAATCAAGGTACAGTACATATGTACATCTTCAGCTCTAATTCTTTTTCTTGTTCTTTCTCTGATTTGGGGTTATGTATGGATATTTCCTTCAGAGGAAACATAATCAGTGATCAAAATTATAACTGAGTCATAATACCTTCTTCTCTGCTTGGTTTCTTTTTCCATGTACAGTAGAAGGTCCTACCCACCAAGCTCATCATCATTTACTGATTTAAGAGCTACACTTGAAGAAAGAAGGTACTGTTTGTGCAAAGGGAATATGTAAATCAGTTATACAATTCACGGTGAGGTCTTTTAAAATTTTATGTTATGCAAATTAACAAGAATATGTACCCTTTTAAGATAACATAGCCTTTGTTCTTCACTCATATTGTCAATCATAATTCCATTGAGTGCCAAATACTGTATAGAGGGTAAAATAAGCAATTCACTTTTATACTTACTCATAACTCAGCAATACATATACATGTACATAACACAATCTTATTTTTGGAGAGGTGGAGTAACACAGTCCACTTGCACACTCAAGCTAGATCACAACAGCGAAGTATAAATATACTCAGTCTGGTTAGTCAACATTAAAAGTATCATTTGAAGTATGAAATGACATAATGCAGCTCTCGACACAAACTGATTGCAGGAAATCTTATTTGATAAATTATATATTTTGTGTTTAGCCATTTGCCAGGTCAAGAACTGATAAGGTTTTGGGAAGTAAGTATTTGTAAACAACATACCAGTATAATGTATTGCATTAAAAATGTATAATAGGAGCTTGAGGCTGAGGTAGAGAAATCCTGCTAACAGAATCATTGAAGATTCCATTCCAGATCCTTGTCACTCTTAAATGCCAGCCTTAAGCTTTTGTATGGGATAATTTTTGACTTATACACCACTTTGGCTTGAAATCCAAGGCCGGAGCCAAATTAATTTAAAACATATTGGCATCAATACTGAATTCTAAAAATTAAAAAGATGAAAATCATAGTCCTTATCTCAATATTTGTTCATTAGCCTGAGAAAAGTCTTACTTCAGTCAAACATGAGGTTACAAATATTGGTATCATAGGTCATAAGTTTATGTTTCAAGTCTCTTCACTCAGCAAGGAATTTTTTCATGTGGGATTTAATATATAAATGACTTATTTTCTCCTTTTAGTCTTGCGGAAGAAATCCTAGAAATCTCATACAATCCAAATTAACAGGTGAGAAGTGACTTTTTTTTACTTCGAATTATTTAGAATATACGTAAGAAATAAATAAACATTATAATTCTCTTTTACTATTGGATAGGATCTGACAAGTATTTGATGATTACATTTGTTGGTTGACTTAATTAAAATTTTTAGCCGTTCAGGACGGTTTCCTGAAAGGATTTGATGACACTGCAGTTTGTGAAGGGGACTATAATATTTCAATTCAGGTAATTTGCTTTTATATGGTTACTGACTATATCATTTTAACCATTTCACTCCCAAGATCTCATTTGGTAATTCTCTTTACTGTCTGCCGTACATTTCTAATAATGTTTGTTCTGAGAAGTTGGTATTAAATCACCATCTGAATCAACTGATGTTTTCTTTGTTCTCATCACTTGTCTGTATGATAGAAGAGATGAAGGAAGGTGATAAATTGTGATATCTTTTTTCTTTGATGACTGGACTCAAAATTAACCTTTTCTAAAATCTGTTTTAATGTAATATCTTTTGTGTTTGTTGCAGATTTTTGTCCTGGCAAAGAAACTTTATTATAGAGTTATGGAGGCTATGCTGTTGGCAGTGAGTTAATTTCTTTTTTGCACTTGTTAGCAGCAACAACGTCTGTTTAACTTGCAGTTAAATTTATTTTATCTTATTTCATACTGTATACTTCATACACAGGAAGGTCTTCCACATATTCCTTAATAGAAAGAAAGCTATGCTTACTGCAACTTAGAGAAAAAGTGAAGCAAGCCACAAATTATTCTTTAACAAGAATTATTTCTTTGTCTTTCAGGAAGAGAAAAGATTATCTTATAGTGATTTCAGGTAGTTACTGTCTCCAAGATTTGTCCTTTACAACTATAAAGATGTTTTTTAACACAAATTTTACATTTTTGGAAAAAGGTGGAATGCATTGTATTTTCTGAATCAATCACTAATTGTTTGTTTTCATGTTGTCAGTGCTCTACTGAATAGTGAAACATTCCATGTTTCTCTTTTGGCCTGTTCCCTTGAAGTTGTTATGGCTGACAAAGGATCGTCATGTACGTAATACTTTTATTGCATTGTTCCTTTATCATATGTTATGTAAGAACTTCAATCACCCAACATTTACTTCAAACCACCTGCATCCATTGGATAATGTTATCATCCAGGGTTAGATATCCCTTGGATGTCTGTCAGAGTAGTGCTCAGTACTTCTCATTTCTGATACAATAATTTCCAGGGCCAACTCTAGCATTTCCTTGGATTCTTGGCATTCTGAAGCTGGAGGTAATACACTGAAGTTAATGTTATTCAGCATGTACAGTTTGTGTCAACATTTTTGTCTCCTTAATCTGTTTTGGAAATAGTATCAACTGATTCAAAGTTGTGAATTAACCCTTTCACTTCCAAGAGTGATCAAAATCTAATTTTTGTCCTTAAAATATTTTCAAGACAGTGAGACAGGTGATGAGAAAACAAGAAAAACATCAACTGGATGATATTGTTAACACTAAATTTTCAGAGCTTAAATACTTTGCAATATGTGATAGACAAACTGATAAATTGATGCTTGAAACTTAGAAGTGAAAGGGTTTGATCTAAAATGGTATTTTGTTTTCTCTGCATCACCAATAACGATTGAAATGCAAAACTTAAGTAGCTGTATTTTGAACCTCAGAGTTTGCATGTTATTGATTGTGAAAGTTCTTTTGCATTTTAGGCATTTGATTTTTTCAAAGTCACTGAAAGTTTCATTCTTCATGAGCCACTTCTTAGTAGCAGTTTAATTAAGGTAAAGAATGTACCAATGACCTACATGGTGTTTGAAACTTTTGGCAGAAACTGGAAAATTATTTTGATCATCAGTAATTAAGCAATAATGCTAACTTGTTTTTTGTTTTGTTTTGTTTTACTTTCTTTTTGTCAGCATGTAAATCGAATAGAGGAACAAGTGTTGGAGAATTTGGCATGGAAAACGGTGAGTGCAGATCAGCAATTATTTAGAGGGCCTCCCCCTTAGCAAACCTTCAAGGGAGTTGAGATACCAAAAACTTCGTTACAAGGATAATACTGTTTATTGTCCTCTTGTTTATCGTATTTCACTGTTGTTTCTGACTCTCTTTTCCAGGGTTCACCTCTATTAAAAGCAATGGAAACCTATCATCCACAATCTGACCCAGCAACAGTGTAAGTATTTGTGAAAGGATGCTGCCACTTAGCTGTAAAAGCGCTTCAAAGGGATAACCGGAAACCTATATTTGGCAGACCAAATTTCTATTATTGACGAGGAAGAGCTCGAAACCACTATATCTGTAGTGATTTGTTTGTTGGACATAATTTTTCATTCTTATCAGTTAACTTTGTTTGTCTTAGAGGCTCTGTTCAGCAGCAAAAGAAGTCACAGTCTCTAAATTTGTTTTTGAGGAGAGGTTAGTGCTAAGATTTTTCTGGCCTTTCACTCCAAGTTGTGAGAGTTTTTACAATCTTGTCATACTTTTGATACTCAGTCAGGGGAAAAGGTAATGTTACAGTATATAACTCAAACGACAGTGTTTTCATGTAACACGTGTGTTAACAGGCCAACTTGCGAAGAACTTTTTCAAAATGTAACCTACGCTTTTTCTATTTTTTTTTAATGTCTGCAGTAAACCAGTTGTCCTACCATCGTTTAACAACGCTTTGTGATAAACTTGAAGTCAGTGACACGCTGGTAAGTATGACATGTGCAGTATTGTGGTCCTGACCATAATGGCCTCTCGAACCTAGAACTAAAACAGGCGCTAAATTGAGCGCGAAGGTTTCAATCAGGGTGTGTGCGTGGATCTCAATTTATGATATGAAAACCTTAAAGCCTAACCCATTTTGTTACCATGTTTTACAAGAATTTCAATTAATCTCACCAGACGTAAACGAACCACGTAGACGTAAACGTTAATTGTGTTATTCTTCTCCAAGATTGAAACAACATCATAAACACTTTACATCTTGACGGGTTCTACTATTGGAAACAATTTGAAAAATAAGATTAAGTTTCTCGAAATTAGTTTTAATTAAAAAAGAAAAAAAAAAAGCGAAAAAAAAAGTTGTCGTCAAGAATAGTTAACGCCACTGTGCCGGCTTTTCTACAACCCTCAGTTACACCTATATAATAAAAGCCGTTTCTCTCTCAAGAAAGGCCTCTAAACCAGTAGTATATCTTTGTTCAGACGTGCTTAAAATTCTCATGTCAGGTCAGTCACATGTGGACGTGCTTGGAACATTCACTGAGATTGCATTGGCAGTTGATGGTTGACCGTCACTTGGACCAGGTTCATGTACAAAGCGTTGCATTTATGTTGGCTTCATCCTTTCACTCTCAGGAGACACCCAAAAGAACATTCTCCTTAAATTTTCAACTAGAGTATATCGTTTGATGTAACATTAAGCGTAAATTATGGGAATTGTATGGCAGGCAACACGGAAAATTGATGTAAATATTGAATGAGAGAGAGTATTAAAGACACTTCGGTACTCCAGAGCTTTCACTTATCCTATCCCAGGCAGGCTGTCGAGTTAACGAGCCTATGTGATTCTGAGCAGCCTGCGCCAGCCAGCGGCCGCTCGTGCGAAGGACCTTTCTTGTCCGATTTCTCGCTTGCGTACTTCTAGAGCATGTCTTTCACAGAGCACCGGCTACACGGGCTATTTCACCTAAAAAATCCAAATTTAGCGGCAGTAATTTAATCTTTCACTTTCACGTTTCAAAAATTGAATCATACATACACAATCGGGGATTGAGATCATTTAAATCTTTTTCTTATGATTGTATTTTAAGACGATGAGAAATAATTACTTTATCTCCCCTACAGATGCTTTTGTGTGCAGTGTACGCCATTTCTAAGGTGGTCGGAAAAGAAATTCAATTTAAACAGATTGTCACCGTCTACAAAGGATTGCCATTTGCATCGGCACAGGTAAGTTTCTGAAAGGAATTTGTTTACTCAATTAACCCTCAAAGGAATTTGTTTACTCAGTTAACCCTTTAACTCCGGTGAGTGACCAAGACAGAATATTTCCTTACTATATCAATACATTATCGTGCAAACAAGTGATGAGAATGAAGAAAAATATCAACTATAGGATTACTAATTGTCCGATACCACATTCTCCCAACTAACATAACGAGAATCGTTTGGCAGACAGTAAGGAGAATTACTAATGAGATCTTGGGGGTTAAAGGGTTAAGCTCCCGCTCAGTTAAGCTCTCGCTCAGTCATCTATGCATGCGTTCGTTTATTCATTTATTTTTGTTGTCAATCTCTGACAGAAAGTGATAAAGAATGTAGAAAGTGCTGTCTTGGAAAGGAGAATTTTTCTTGAAATCAATTTTTTCCCAAGACGACCTTCAGTCGATAAGTCAAAACAATTAATAAAAGTTTCATGCTTAAAACTTTACCAGCGAGTTTTCTTTGGTCACAATACTCTGGGCTTCCTTGATAGATTAGGAGCCTCGAATCATTTTACCCCGTAGTAAGCTATGAATGTGGGTACATCGTTGTAGAATAATAAGGAATTGTTCCACGAGCGCGCGTGATGATAGATAGCCAACGAGGACCGTAGGGCGGAGTTGGCTATAATCATCTCATATCCAGCAAATGCGAGTAGAATAATTGTTTAACTAAAAACGCGCCAAAATATAGATCAATCTTCCTAACTTTTATTATGTAAGGACAAAAAACGCTTACCATATTTTTAGAGCAAGGTTTGATGGGTCATAACCCATGATGACTAAGCCAGTTAAAACTCTTGAATCGAATCATCCGATAATCCAGTTTTAATAATAGAGAATATTGACAATTACTTGAGAATTTTAGTTACGTTGTTGTATTAATTCCACCAGGTGTACAAGGGAACCTCCGGCAGAGAACAAGAATCAATCATTGGATTCTACAACAAGGTGTACATGGTTGCAATGAAGTCCACCATTCTTCAGTTTGCACCAAACAAGGTAAGTGAAACTTTTTTTTTTTTCATTGTTAATGGGAGTCTGTACACGAATCAAGTAGCCTTATCTTGGTGTCCACAGCATGAAGTGACTAGGAGTGTTCCTTTTTCTCATTGTTGGTTACTCAGCCCCCCTCCCCTTCCCAGCATCTTGTCAGTTTTTCCAGGGAGACGCATTGTGAGAGTTAAGTGTCTCTCCCTTGAACTCAACACATTGATTTGGCCAGGGTTCGAACGCGGACCTTTCGATCCGGAGTCCACATTCTTTCATCATCCTACTTATCATGGGTTGCACTCTTCCTTTCGCACGATCCAACAGATGTGATATTTGGTGAATTCCATGTCCGAAAAATACTCGCGGTTTTTACTCGAACATCGTTCTCTAACATAACGTAACTTAAATAATAAGATAAGATAAAGATAAGATAAGATAACTTTATTTATACACGGTATTTCCATCAGTTGTTAATTATCTATAAAGGTATATCTATCTTCCTAACTATAATAAAATCTAATAACAATTCAAATAAAAGAACAAATAAAAAATCTGCTTTTCATGGAGGCCGTGTCTAAAATTTATTTAAAATTAAGATATTACTTTAAAACTGTGGCGACTTAATTTAGATTTGAAATCGGTCAGTGAAGACGCTTGTCTTAGGTCTAAGGGTAAGTCGTTCCACAAGTGAGCTCCGCTGTACAAAAAACTTCTCTTAAGATAATCAGTTCGAGGTTGTGGAAGAACTAATTTGTTTTCCGTATTCCTTAGACGATAAGCACTTATATTGTCACGATATACAAATCTTGATCTTAGATAATCTGGTGTCATACCATGTAAAGTTTTATACATTAAGATAGATTTTTGTTCCAATCTTTGATAGTAGAGTCTTCGCCACCCTAGTGCCCGGAACAAATCATCTAAATTACTATCATAGCTCGCAGACATTAGCATGCGAGCTGCCCGATTTTGAAGCCTTTGCAGTTTTTCAGAAAGGCCCTTGTTACAGTTTCCCCACACTACATTACAATAATCAAAATGTGGTTGAACAAGGCTATTATAAACTTTAATTAGAACATTAAATGGAGTGAAGTGCCGAATTCGTTTAATTGCACCAATGGCACAAGCTATCTTCTTAGAGATGTTTTCAATATGACACTCCCAGTTGATATTTTGATCGACATAAACTCCAAGGGACTTAGCGGAGGTTACTTGTTCTATTGCGATTTCGTTTATAGTAAGAGAAGGACTTTCCGTAAATTGTGATAACTTCTGCCTTGATGCAATAAGCATAAACTCCGTTTTTGTCATATTTAGGGTAAGCTTGTTAGCACTCAGCCATTCGTACACATTACTCAGGTCGTAATTAAGGCAATAATTTATATGATCAAAGTCAGTACTGGCAAGCGTCAGACTGGTATCATCTGCATACATTCTGGGTTCCGAATATGTCAGACAATGTGGTAAGTCATTAATATATATTAAAAACAGAAGGGGTCCTAAAATTGTTCCCTGGGGAACACCACATCTTAGATATTTCGGAGTTGACTTACAAGAATTTACATGGCAAATCTGTGTTCGATTATCTAAATAAGAAACAAACCATTGATGACTGGTCCAACAAATCCCATAGTATTGCAATTTTCGTAGCAAAATATCGTGATCTACTGTATCAAATGCCTTTTTGAGGTCTAAAAACCCTACGGCATTAACAAGACCACGGTCTATATCCATGGCCCAACTATCTGTAGCTTCGATAAGTGCTGTGAGCGTGGAATGCAAAGACCGAAAACCAGATTGATGGCATGAGAGAAAGTTGTTGTTAGTTAAATAACGATAAAGCTGATCGTAAATTATCCGTTCAAAGACTTTGGCCACAACTGGAATTATTGATATTGGTCGATAATTAGTCGGATCAGAGCGCTTCCCAGTATTTTTATACAATGGAGTGACTCTGGCAGATTTCCACTCATCGGGAAAGATGCCAGTCATTATGGATTGATTGAATAGATGAGTAAGAGATTCCGCTAGAACATCAGGACATTCCCTTAGAAGTTTTGCTGAGATATTATCTAATCCAGTTGCCTTTGACTTGCAGAGCTTTGATAGTAGTGCAAAGACATGTGTTGGTGTTGTTTTTTCAAAAACAAAATTTTTGTCAGTTTCAATAAGAAATTCTTCGAAGGATTTATCAACTTCTGGCACGTCTCTACTAAGGCCTAGCCCAATTTCTGTGAAAAATCATGGCTTCAAGCTGATATGTAATGTGCAGTTTAACTTTAGTTTGTTGAAGGGTTCATGTATTTTTTCCCGCACAGAACGTTCCTGTTTCACCTGCTCCCAAAAGCGCAGTGAGGTACATTGTCATTTTGTTCCATGTAGTCGTGCGTGTGTTCTAAGACTAATCGTTTGATACGATTTGTTAATGACACTTATGTGTTAAGATCCCCGATAAACATTCTCGGCCATTTGGTGTGCCCTTTCACCATGTATATCTTCATGTTTTTTGGCTTAAAATACTATTGTCGGTTTGTAGGGTTCCAGGGAAGAATAATTTTTATCTATCTCCTCTACGAAGCTCTCCAAGCGAAACTTTAACTCCAAAACCAAGGTAAGTAACAAGTGAAAGAAATAACAAAGGAACATGACTTTATTCACTCAAGACCTTTCATTTTAGTAACAAGCGATGGGGAACTAGAAAAGCTTTCTCTCGTCTTCAATGTTGAAAATATATTTCATAGTACTTGGTTTTTCTAATTAGTTACTCGTTTACTTCGTAGGTCATCGTTCAGCTTCGGGGAATCCCCAGGGGTAAGTTTGTATGAAATTCCCACACAGTCTCCGCTCCCAATCACCCCAGATGTTATTTTGGTATTTTAACGAGGCGACTCCGGAAGTGAAAGGGAATGACAAGTCCAAAGACTTGCGTGTATACGTCACCCCGGGAGTTGGGAGGTTGCGGAAGGGGGTAGGGTGGATTGTCAATGTTTCATGCCCTCTTAGGAATCGCGTTTTTTTTTCCATAATGTAGTTGTTCTATTTGTAAGACTTCTTTGTATTACTATTTACCTTTAGTCCGCTGACCGTGAAAGCCTGTCAAGAATAAATGCCTCCGTACGAGCAGCGGTGCACAGTCAACTCAAGGTACCACAGAAGAGATTGCGCTTTGACGACTGTGACCAAACTGAACCAGGCCCTGTCCTCACGAACGGCCACTCGACAGAAAAGGAGACTGGGCCACATTTGCATGGAAGGAATGCTTCGAAAGAAGAGGAAGAGAAAGGGGATAAAAGTTAATAAAAAATGGGAATATCGCCCAGGGAGGTGTAAGGGGTACACCCAGGAATTCTTGTTGAGGCTGTGCCTCTTGGTTTTCCTCTTGGCCCTTTAAAGGACATAACCATGAAATTCCCGCAGCCTTTTTCTGACCTTGCCAAGTGAAGTGAACACAATGCTTAAGAATTTCAATTATTTATTTGCTGTAAAAGTACTTTGAGATAATGAAAAGTTTTTAACGCGCGAACTTATAGACCAGAGCGAGTTGCCTCGTTCAGGCGTCATGGCTATAGCATCCACGTATATATGTACTTCTTAACCCTTTAAATTCTCTTCGACTTTAGTGGTCAATACCGGATTTCAGGTGGGGTGGGGTGGGTTGTGGTAGCACATACCTACACGGCTATAAAGGGGAGTATCCCTTATTTATAAGGGAGGAGGGAAGGGGGGAAAGAAGTTCGTAACAAAGTATTGCCATGTATGAAATATCGTGTCCTAATTTACGCAGGTTTAAACGTATTTGTCGTTAAATTAAGTTTCGTCGTGGTTTTTTTGCTTCTTTTTTCGCTCCCAGAGTACTATGTATAGGTATTTGAAAGAAAATCTCTAGTCACTTAAGCATGTGTCTTCTCCGATGACAAGAAAATTTATGTCTATATTAGGGCGGTTTAATGCCGGAAATTCTTTTGTTGGCAAAGACAGAAAACAGGCCATGTTAGCCGGGGATGAATCCTTCATTAAGTTTTATTGTTGATTGTTCACTGGCGTGAAAACTAAACGAGGCGTTCCGTTATGTCAACAATTTCATTTCTTCGGTCTTCGGGATTCTGCTGCCAAATTAGGATATTGAAAGATTTAGCCCTGAAACATCCAGAAATTACGGTGTATTTTTTCTTGGTATTTAATCTGAGTGGATTTTAATGAATTGAACTTTATAAGGATGGACTATTCTGCAAGTAGAACGTATGATGTGAAAGGCTACTGCTGCATACGTTTATCAGTGCGTTGAAAATACGATCATGGACTACAGATCGCTTAATGTTCCAATTCTATTCTAATTTTGGCCCGGAATTTTTGGCAAGATCTCAAGTCACGTTTTATTTTGAGCGAGGTGAATTCACAAATTATCCAGAAAACATTTTAATTAACCCACATCTTACTTGAGTAGATTACACGTTGATTAATGTAAAAAAGGTGAGCTTCATTATGGAATATCCAATGTATTTATGCATCATGGCCATTAGTCTTTTCCTGAGACTAAATTGGTCATATTCCTGTAAAAATCCTCCAATTATATATATTATTTATTATCACATCCTGTTGCAATCATATGTATCCTGTCTTGCTCATAAATAGCTTGTCCGTTAGTACGGTTGAACATGCATGAAATCTACTTTGGCGAGGTTTAGCAACTGTCCGTCACGTAACATGTACAATCGACTTTCAGGGTTAGCCCCTTAACTCTCAGATATAACATGTAATTTCTCCCTTTGATATCTTTACGTTTTCTAGCGAACAGGTAACAAGAATACTCAAACTTACCAGGAAGAAGTTTTTAACTTGATCTTACACCAAATTCTTTGAACTAATTTACAAGGAATTGTGTAGCAGGAAGTGGAGAGAATTAACAATCAGATCTTGAAAGTTAGAGGATTGATATCAGCGTGCTAAGTTCATCGCTCAAAGGATTCACTTGCGCGTAATCGATGGGTTAAAGCTTTGGCATTAGAACAAAAACAAGAGGTAAGACAAACGCAGGGACGTGAGGTGAGCAGGCCGTCAAATACCTTTTTCTGAATATTTGTTACACTTACAATCGTTATTGTTTTTGTTTTTTTTCGTCTGGTTTGAGTCCGGCCCACAACTCTCCTGAAGGAACCTTTCCCCCCTTAATGAATTTAGTGCTAATATCTTCATCTTATCTCGCAATTTAAAACAAACGGAGAAAGATTAAAAAAAACAAACAAACAAAAGTAAATTGAAAAAATGAAAAAAAGCCGGCTGCAACACTGATCCCAAGCAAGACTCGTTTAACCTCCCGCAATGTGTTATCGATTCGTTTGCACATGTTTTCTTTTGTCCTTTTCAAGGTGCTTGTTTCTAAAAAGTGTCGTTGACGACCCACGGGGGAAATCCAAAGGCACATGTTTCAGAGGGAGAAAGTTATAGATAACACGAGTTCTGTGACAGGCGGCCGTGTAGGTTAAAGCTCTTAAATTTATTAAGTTCGAGTAACTGCCCTGTGCTTAGAGAATGTTCGGTAAGTCAATTACTTGCTTTCCCCAAATGACCTCGCAGCATCCCATTTTAGCCTATGATTTTACGAACCCATCAATCTGAAGAAGCGGAATCAAACCTTAATTTTCCACATAAGGTACGGGTTGTTAGGAAAGTTGATCTTAAAATTAGTTTTTGCCAATTTAACTGTAATTAAAAACCGTCTGATGAACGTAGTTCTAAAGATAGAGAGCGTTGATAAGCGCCAAATCCCTCTCATCCTTCGCGTAATGGAGACGAGCCTTCCGTTTTGAATTGCAATGTAATCCCCTGTTGAAGGTTGCTCTTATTTTGTTATTTAAAGATGGATTATTTTTCTCAGCAGTTCCTGTCCAGAATTAGATTGATGGATCATTTTGTCACTAAGGTTATGCCTTGATTTTAAGGTTATTGGTTAAAATCAGGAGAGATAGACTTGTTCCTACAAATTATGTTATTTTTAAAGAATTGAGCCACATGCCCTGTTAGATTTGCCTTGTATTTCTGACAACATGTCATCAAAATAACGCATTCAAATTGGCAACCTCCAAATGTTGATTAAGCATTAAACATCAGCCACTATTAGTTTACCAGCGAGATAAGCCATGCAGGAGGTTTATGGAACACGAGAAAAGTTTGTAAACCACCAGCCAAGAACCTTTTATGAAGCAACGTCACAGCATTTCAGTTTCTGAAGAGAACCTTATAATACGATGTGTTTTTGATCAATCAGGACGCGCGTACTACAATATACCTTGTGTTTCGGACCAATCGGGACGCTCGTAGTATCTTCTTTTTTTAAAACATAAACAACACATGTTTAGCTCTATTATGCAATGTTGAAACTTTTAAGGTCTTACTTTGTGGGAATTTGCCTATCGACAAAAACAAGCTCACGAAGAAAAAATTCCTGCCAAATTAAACGCCGCAAAATATGATTTACGTCAAAAATCTGAGAAAGAAAACTCCTGCTTTCCATATCAGACGCTTTAAAAGTTAAACCAAATACGTCAATGAACAGTCGGGGCTGATTGGGACAAATAGTATGACAATTTATCTGTAATTGCATTAACGATCGAGGCGATTGTACAGTTTAGTTTGCGGTCGTGGAGTATTTCGGAAAAAGATTAATTAGGGTTACGGCATGTGTTGTCAGCGTCCTCTATGCTTTTAGAAATATTTTAAGTGTGTGGCAACGGGCTCTTGAAGTCTTGACAGTTTTTCTCTCCTAGTCCTTAAACATAGAACGTCGTCTACTAAAAGGATTACGTAAGGAAGTTTAAAAAACTTTCAAGAAGGAAGGACTCTTGGGTTCGAACCACTGTAGAATATCGCAGGCATTTTTTTAACCTAAATTTAATTTACTTAACTCATTGCCAATCTTGATTTTTGCAACGAACGATCTCATGCGCTTTTTGACGTGGCCTGATGTTGTTGAACTAAGTGGCTTTGTAGAAACGCATTAGTTAAGGGGGTCACATAGTTTCAATTAAAACTGTGAAATGTCACGGAAATGTCTCCTCATAGTTATTTAGACAAAGCCGTATGCACTTTTAGATCAGGCGGGCCATTTTACCCAACTAGCGAACGCCCACGCCAAGAGCACATTCGCTGTTCTAAAGGGGGCTGCGACGTGTTTCAAGGAGCAGAGGGCTAAAAATGAAATTTCTCGTGTTCGTTTGGTTTGGAATTTTTCTCGCTATCTGCAGAGCCAGAAAAGGTGAGGTGAACAGAAAATTAGTTTCCAATTGTCTTTAACCAGCCACATTTAATTTGCCGTAACAGAGGTCTCCGTAACTCCGTGAAGGTGGATCAGTTTCCTTAGGATGTTTTACTGAAAGTTTTCATGCAGGACTGTCGAAAGCACTTTTCCTCAAGGTTAATATATCTAACAGAGAAAACGCCACCGTGTAAGGAATTTTATTTTCTTAAATTGAAATGATCGCGACCGAACAAACCAAGTTTGATTAAGCCAAGTTTTTTCTGAAGACACCTTTTCGGGAACGATAGGTTTGCCCTAGCATGCCGACACATAAAGCTTACACAATATGTAAAGTTTATTAGGTATTTCATGTGACACCCAGCTTACGTGAAAATGGAACAAAGTTTGTCACGCTCTCAACGCGTGTATTTATTTAAAGACAAAATAAATCGTATTTCAGTCAAAATCCTGATAAGAAGACAAACGTGTCTACGGTTAAAAGCAAATGTGTCAAATACTTGTCATCATTTACAGGTAACTCAATCTCATTGTCTTTAGAGTGAAAATAAATGCCAAATATTTGCCTTCAAGGTCAGTTTCTCTATTAAAAATTGTTGCAATCACTTCCAATGATTTCCCAATCTTATAAAGTTGTCTGAAAAATTGCCTCCGGAATGCTGTTACCAGACTTTGCATTTTCGTGCAACAATTTACGACGAGCCAATGTAAACAAACGTTACATAATTTGTTTTACCTTTTATACCCTAAATTTAGTATACATCTTCTCCAAACTGTATACATTTATACATTATACATACACTCTATACATTTCCTAGGGTACTGACAACGAGATTTTGTTGAACAAACGAGAGCTTTTTTTAATTTGTGATAATTTCCTCTATTCTCTTGATCAAAATGTGTGATTCAGGGGTGGTGTCGAGAAATTACATGCTGGTCACTCTCATGGGCCAAAGGTTTGAAGCCAATCACGGCCCAAATTTTTGACTGGTATGCTTGTTTTGAAGTAAGTGCTTGTTGTTTGGTAAACATGAGCTAATTCTGCTTTGCAAAAGATCTGACTGCTCTCAATTGGCTTTTGGATGGAAAGATAACATGGTGCAAAGCTAATACAAACCTGCTATTTGCAAAGCCGTAAAGAGGCTTTTTTCTTTGTTTAATCTTCCAAAGAAAAAGCCTGTCTTATACATTGTTAAATTTTTTAATAACAACGTGCATTTGAATTGGCAACTTAGTTTCTTTTGCTAGCTGTGACTTAAGAATCACGTAAAAAAAAAAAATTTTTTTAACTTACTAAATCACTGCTCAAAGTACAAGGCGTACAACATCTCCCGCAAAGAATTGACATAGGATCTCATGAATAGTTCTAGCGCACACCCAAGTTAAATTTTGATCAATCAATACTTTTTTTATCTGTCCAGGGGGTATTATGGTAAGGGTAGATATTTTCGGGATTGCAGTATTTCTTTTCTTTTTACCACAATTCTCTTCGTTTGGGGCATCCACAAAGATCGGTACTCTGTCGGTATCGTAAACCAACGTTGATTAATTTCAACGTAAAACGAGATTATATAATACCATTGCTTTGTACATCCGTTTTAAAGAAAGTGTACAATGAGACATTCACAAAAGATACCCCTTGCTCCGCTTGACAATCGATTGAGCTGTGAACGTCTTATGACATGGGATTTAGATGGAAAACTGTGATTGTTTCACTTGTTGACGTTCACTTTCATACATTCTGTTGTTTTTTAAAATTCTGTAGGGACAAGAAGCACCCCTATAAAGCTTAGAGTAGACGCTTCATCTCCTACTTCTCTGAGACTATCATGGGACCTGCCCATGGTTGGGCCGGATTCTCTGGCGGGGTACAGCCTTGTCTTCGTCCCAGTTCAAGCTCAACACAAGAGAAGAATCCACGTTGAACTTTTTGTAAGTTACTTTTTACTTTGCTGACACACAACAATTTTTAGAACTTCAGTTTTAATTAATGGTGTTACTCTGTATCAGTTGATAATATACATACCGATCGGGTAATATGTACATGATTACCATCACGAAAATAGAACACGTTCAATACAAAGTAAGTGCAGAGTATGTTGCTCAACTAGCACAGTCTTTGGGATCAGTGTGGTCAGTGTGATCAGTGTGATCAGTGTGGTCAGTGTGGTCAGTGTGGTCAGTGTGATCACTGTGTGGTCTCGCTATATAGTGAGTGTAGTCACATCAGTCCTGGCGTTCGCTTCAGTTGACGTGGTTCTGCGCAGTTCAGTTGGTTTCGTTTGGCGTTGTTGCTGTAGTTCGTTGCATTTCAGTGGGTGAAGTTTGGTGTGGTTGGTGTAGTTCAGTGTAGTTTGTGTAGCTTGGTATTTGGCGTAGCTATAGTTTGCTGTAGTTACTGAGGTTCGGTATAATTTGCCTCGGTTGTTGTAGTTTGCTGTTATTGGTGTAATTTTTCTGTAGCTAGTGTAATTGATATAGTTTGGTGTAAACGAAGTGGTCGGTGACGTTTGGCGAAATTGAGGTAGTTTGAAGTGGTGGATGCTTTTTTTTGGTAGTTGGTAAAATTTTGAGAAGTTTGGCGAGGCTGGTGTAGTTGCTGTAGTTCGTTATAGTTTGCTGAAGTTGTCCTAGTTTCATGTAGTTGATGTTTATGGTATGTGTATCAAGTAAATCAGTTACACCAACTTCACGAGATGCACCGATCTAACCTGAGTGCACCCAACGGAACGAACTACACCAATAGCGCCGAGCTATACCTACAGGAAATACAGGGATTACACTCACTACAAAGACCACACGAGCTACAAAACTGTACTAAATGAACAACGTACTCTGCTTTTACTTTGCATACGGTTTATAAATTGTGTAAACCTGTTTTTGAACCACAGATGAACCAGTATAACCTGACCAACCTTAGGCCAGGGACACGATACAGGGTAAAAATTGCGCCATTAATGAACGATGGAAAATTAAGAGGAGTTTACTCCAGCTGGGTAAAAGTAAGGACTCTGCCAGGTAAGTGTCTAATAAGCAAGTATCGTGCTCTACTCGACCCGACCCTGTCTCCCTCGTTTTTCACTCCTCTGCTACAATAGCGCAGTTTACTATCGCGCTTCGTTCTATTAACTGAAAATTTGGGGCAGGTTAGGTTTTCAGGGGAGACCGGAGGGGAGATTAGTCGTCGCCAACAGAGTATAAAGGGACTACAAAAATTACTTCCACTTAGGGGGGAATCATCAGAATATTAAAGAGCATTATGGGGTTATCGGGTGATTTTTTTTTCATGACACAACCAAAATCCTCCACACCCCCTCCCCCAGGTGATAAATAATGATCGGTCAACATGCTTATTGTCCATCTGTGCTTTTGTAGACATCAAGAACGCTTCAAGCCAAAACAATGATTTGACAGCTCAGTCACCGAACTTGTCTCAAGTCCCCGGTCACTGCACACGCATCCCCAACGTGTGTGAAAATGTCGGTTACAACTACACACAGCTGCCGAACAATTTCAATCAGAGGAACCACGAAGATGCTGGGCACGAGTTTTCGCAGTTCACTCGTATGATCCAATCAAACTGCTCAACAGTGCTTCACGTGTTTTTGTGTTCATTGTATTTCACACCATGCGCCTATGACGCTAACGCTGTCACGCCCCCATGCCGCTCGGTATGTCGTGCGGCTCAACGTGACTGTGAGCCTTGGCTGAAGAAGACTGGGTTTGGTTGGCCTTACAAATTCAAATGCAGTTCATTTCCTGATCCCAGCGATAAGACCTGTGTTAGCGAAGATGGCACCATAAACCACGGTAACAAGTCATTTGCTTAACACGCACGAATCTGTTCAATTTGACTTGTACATAGATTCTGATGAAAAAAGTGAATTGGGAGGCATTCTTCCAGGAAGGATGTAAACGTTCAAATAGTTGGTGGGGTATCAGCTAGGACCTTTTTATCTTACTTCTAGCATAAATTTTCCCTCCGAAAGCTTTCGCTAAAAATGCACCTCTCTGTCTCTGATACTTCATTAAGCGCCAGGGAGGATCCTGACTCTCAGCGCGTGAACTTTTATAGGGTAATGGCTCTTAAAGAGTTTTTTCCCTTTTCTTCATAGTAGTAGAACCAACTGTGGTACCAAAGCAGTGTTATGCACTCAACACCGATATGTGTAAAGACCTGGGCTACGCCCTTGTTCAGATGCCAAACATCTTCAAACACAAAACACAGAACTTGGCCAAGGAACGGATTAGGGAATTTTACCCTCTGGTGCTAACAAAGTGTTCCCCGGTGCTTCGCTTTTTTCTGTGTACGCTTTATATACCTCCTTGTGTCCGCAACGTGAACGAGTTGATCCTTCCATGTCGAGAAGTCTGTGAGGAAGCAAGGCGGGGCTGCGAACCTATTATGTTGCGAGCTGGATTTAATTGGCCAGATGCTATGAAATGTACGCCAAAGTTTCCTTTGAATCGCTCAGGTTTCTGTTTTAAACCAAAGCCTAACAATACAAAAGGTGAGCTGCATGTTATTTACTTTTAAGGTTATGTCCGTGTTGCTATCAAAACTTGCTGGAAAGGAAAGGAAATGCTACTTGCGTATTAATGCGGTAAAATTTTCATTTTACAAGTTATTCCATCGAAGAAAAAATACAGCCATTAACGCTACTGCTTGACTTAGTGTTATTCTATAATATCATGCTATATTCCGTCACAACCTACTTTTACCGAGCGTTTTCGAAACTTGTGTGTCACAGCCATTAAAAATGGCAACTAAAAATAGTAGCAGGTGTTATTAAATTCCCTCTGAAAATTATGAGAGAAAATCTTACCAGTTAGCACCCTCACCCCATTTTCTTCTCCGTATGCCGGTAAGAAGACCTAAAGTTACCTCCTAATCAAAGAAAGAAACCCATAACTTAACTACTCTTATTTTTCTTCCTATCCAGACCCAGCAGTTTCTCGGACACAGTCACACTGTCAGCCCCTCAAGATTCCATTCTGCAGGAGTCTTAATTACAGCAACATTATTTTACCAAACCTATTGAACCACACAAGCCAAACAGAGGTGAATACCACCCTTAACTCGAAAGGGATGAGTTCACTTATGAGGTCAAAGTGTTCTCAGCATCTGAAAAGGTTCGTCTGTTTTCTTCTTGCTCCATACTGCACGTCTGATGGAAAACCTCTACCTCCCTGCCAATCATTTTGCGAGAAGGTGAAGAGAGATTGTGCAAATGAGTCTGATCACTGGTTGGCTAATTTGAACTGTGCAAAATTTCCAATCTTGTCGCGCAAAAGACTCTGCTTTGGAGATCCACAGACCACTATGGACTGTGTTGGTCCGCATAGCAGACCTTGCACGGGTAAGAAATACCATTTGTCAACAACATTGTTTGTTTGTTTGATCGTTTGTTTACTTGACTACTTGTTTACTTTTACGCTGCTCGCGTATTTCAGTTACTTTCTCTGCGTTCTTGACTACTTATTTTTTCTCCTTATCAACTTGTTTACTTGTTTACTTTTTTACATGTTTAGTTGCTTATCTGTTTACATGTTTACAATTTTTTTTTAAACTCTGCAGTGATTTCATCCACGTTTCCGATCATCTTAAAATGTTCACCGCCCGCCACACGATTCGTAATTGACGAAGTAACCATCAACCTCTACAACGGAACACGTATACTTGTGTCTCCAACATCGGACGTTCTTCGTGAATGCAACGGAAACAGCCGAAGAGTTAATGGTAGATACGAATGTCAATTTAGCGTCCAATGTAGCAAGTATGGAATCGGCATGCAAGCTTTGAACACAGTCACTGTGAAATATCACTGTCGTAAGACCTGAGTGACGGACAGGAGAAGTTATAACAATTTCGCGTTTTTTTTTTTTAACTGCTAGCATTAGCCATGTTGGGATTCGAGTCAGGAAACACTGGAAAGAGTGCATAATTTTTTTCATGTGTTTTTATTCTTTTGTAGTTTCTTACTCGAAAACATTAGCTGTTCGATGAGTATCCTGTTAAAAAGAAGTTCAAACAGACGAGTTTGTGTTTTTAGGTTATATTTTTTCCAAGACTTTGATGACGTATATTATTGTCGCCTCCTATTGAGGTCAGTTACAGGACAAATTAGACTGCGTGGAGTAGATCTGACATAGAACATATTCATGGTACAGACAGTGACGACGATCACGGGTGGAAACGGATTTGGAACGCATTGGATGTTGACGCAGCGAAAGTCTGAGTGTTCAGGACCCTCCATGTTTGCATGGTCCAACGTTCAATGGCTAGGACAAATTTTGCGAGAGTTGGGTTTGACTGACAAATGAGGAATATGTGGGAGGGGTAGGGCGCCAGTTCTTCAAGTCAACCCCCCCTCCCCCCCCCCCCCTCCCACCTCATGCGCGCGCTCCACTCTTGTCCTCTATTACGCGATTAAATTAACGAAGAGGTTGGGAAATATTTCTACAAATATCACTCAGTTTCATAAATTAACATGATCGTTTTTATCTGTAGATCAGTACTTTGCACTTTTTTTTCGACGAAATCTACAATAAAAGTATTTTAAAAGCCACCGAAATAATTCAGTGAAATCGAAGAAAAATACCAGCCGATGATTATTTCTTCCGGCCTAATCAACAAAATTGCGTCGGTGCCAGCTATAGAATCGGTACACCTTCTTGTTTATAGCCTGCAAAGCTGTCACAATAGCTCGACACACAAATAGTTGGATCAAAATATTTTTCCGATTATCTGTCACAAGATTGCATGGTCAGTTTTCGTGGTTACAGCGTCTGTTGTAGCCACCAAAACTGATCGAATCAATTTTACCTCAAATGGTTTGATGAGGCTTAATGTTTTGGCGAGTAGCACGCTGTTTTGTTTCTCATGACCTATGTTGTGTTTGAATGTTTTGTTACATTTATCAGTTTGCCGAAATTTAAATCGGTCGAGTTAAACATGCAATTGATGCCGAACTGAAAATGAAATTAAAAATTAGTTGAGTATTCTTTAATAAAATTCATGATTGTTTCAAAAGAAAAATTTCGGCGTATTTTTGCCATTATAATCTTGATCACTTGAACAGTCCCAGAAGAGATATTCTCACAGCGTAGGAAACCCACGGTCGATTTGATTCCTAACTCATTATAATAGAATCATTTTCCCGTTTTATCGCGCGACCAACAACCTGCAGCTTACCACATCTCACAATTTTTAAAATCTACAGGGGAGCTTTCTTAATTTCTGAAGCTGAAATACTGAAACAGCTGCTTGTTTCTTGAATTAACTTTTGTTTTAATTTTATCATTATTTTTGTTGTCTCATGCTTCAACTTTTCAACCATTTTCCCAGTTTGCTTTTGATGGTTTAATCCAAAATGTAATTAAAGTCTGGCCAATTAACGCCACATTTTAAACAAATTTTGTTTCAAATTCTGTATCTGCTGGTCAAGTATCCACAAGTTACAAAGCTTATAACAAAGAGGGAAAAATTACTAAATGCTGATTGGCTGAGATAAGGCTATTTTCATTGGTTTCGGTAATTGTCTCGGGCACAATTACTTGAAATAAAAAAAAATTTAAAAAGGCTTAACTTTTCCTTAAAATAATAATTTCTTTATTGGGAATGTGACTTTAGATAGCGTTGTGGTGGCAAAGAAAACATAATTCAGCTGTTTTTAGCTTTCATAGACGCTAACTGACCACTAAATAGCTCACTACGAAATCGCGCAACAGCGTGAAATTTTGACCTACCCGAAAATTTTGTCCTTTATGCTGTAAAAAGTCCCAGTTATCGGGTTTTTTCTCGTAATATCACTTTCGTTTTCAGAAATGCTCAGAATTTCGTGACTCAGGAAATTTCTACAACTTTGAATCATAATTCTCCATAATTTTACTCGGCTCCTTGCGAGTGCCTACGTGATGAACTTATCGAAAGAGAGTCACGTTATACTTTAATTTGGATCGTGACATTAACTTCGAAAGTTCGTAATTTCCGGTGGGTGTCAATGTTGGCAATCCTTAGTCATAACTGTTATTTTCTGGGTTTATTATTGGCTATTTCCGTCGTCCGTCTGTTCCATCAACGATTTGTTTCAAGGTTTTATTATATTTTAAGGTATTTCCATATGACGGTCACAACGAGTCGAAATTCCTTCACAGAAAAAATCGCCGAGTACCTTCTGTTTACTTTAGTTTTGATTAGATACGTGCCTGCTGCGAACATCAACTACTTCGCCACGGCGACTGAAGGAATTTCTTCTAGAAGACATTGGCTTTCCCAAGTTCAAGGTTCTAACTATAGCCTTACGAATATTTCTCAATCGATAACTATATATAAAAGGATTTATGGATGAGTTGACAAAAGATAATGTCTCTATGCAAATGTAAGTGAACTTGACCGGTCCGGTAAATCCAAGCATGGCATAAGCCACAAGATAACAAATGAATGGGATATAAAACAAAACAACCAGTCCTACTATATACACTGCTGTTACTGTAAACGTTTTATACCGTTTCATGTCCGCTTCGGCCATTTTGCCGTGAAAATGGCTTCTCAAGCTCTCCTCGTGGTCGATTCTTCGCTGGTGGAGCTTGATGACTTGAAATATCCTAACGTAGCTCACAGCGATGACAGTCAAATTTGCGAAAACGAGGATCGAGGCTATAATAAAGAATGTCTTGTTGGAAAGACCGAAAAATCTCGGCAGGTAAATTATGGCGCACACTACCCAAAAGCTGAACACCAAGCGCAGGATACGTCGATGAGTAACAAGCCTGGTGTGCTGAAAAGGTTTTAAGAGGGCAACAAGTCTCTCTGCACTAATAATTGTCAAAATAAAAAATGATACACTCGATATTATCCAAGCTAAGGAGTTCTTGGCTAGACGGATTCTGCAGTAGATCTCGATGTTTTTTGTTTCCTCCATGATTCTTTGAACAACGTCTAAAGGCTGAATAACAGCGCCAACAAGCAAATCAGAAAAGGCCACCGAACAGAGGAGAGTATTCTGAGAGGTATGAAGACTTGGTGATTTCCACACTGATATCAAAACGATAGCGTTCGATGACGCGGCAATGAACGCAAAAATCGCATTCACAACGCACGCTATTATATTTGCCACACTGATGTAAGGCAAAGGCTGAAGATTTGTGTCCAAAAATAAGCAGTTTGAGGGTGAAGTGTACGATATGTTATTCGCCATCACAGTCGTCGATCTCCTCTTTCAACCAATTTAAGGCTTGAACTTTTAACGTGACCCCAGTAAATGCTTTATAGTTGCTCCTTACATCACGTATGTAGGATTAAAATTCGGCAAACGCGTAGATAATTGTTTATCTACTAGATAGAAAGCAATATTTGTTCTATAACTTGCTGTCTCTCTGACAAGAGCTTAGTAATTTAAATTTAGATTTACATCGACATTGTTTATATCTGGCCCCGCCTTTCCGCTTCCAGCGCGTCTAAGTGGGATATTTTGCGGGTTTTCCGTGAATAATAGTTCAGTATGTTTAACTAATCAAACAAATAACGCCCTCTTAAGTCGTTTTCCGCCTTCCGAGAACAAATAAAAAGGAAATGGTATTTAAGTAGCTCAGCATTGACTTCATCTCTGACGTTGAGATAAAATTACAAATTCAATTTTATTTTCATATTTTAATTTGAAAAATTTCAATGATGATTGAAATCAAACGCCCACTTCCTAGGGAACAAGTTCCTGCAGTGTTGCATGTTGTTTCACAATTATCCTTTGTGCATGACTGGAATTTAATTACAAATTAACATAGGATGCCTGAAAAGATTGAAATACAATTTTTTTCAAAATTTAAATTCGAGAAATGAATCATTTTCCAATGTGGATAAAATTGTTTAAAAAAAACCTCAAAAACTAAAACAGAATCGAATTGTTTCAGCAAAGTTTCTTTAAAAAAAAAAACTGAAGAGAAACTGTCCTGTATCTTGCTTGGTCTGTTCTGCCGATGTCTATTTTTCGATACACGCCTGCGCATTACAGCCTCTTTTTTTCACGGGCATTTTCTGAGTGCCACAAGCGGTGAAGCTGGCCGGCGTTTTGTCATCAGATCGCACACACCATATGTCTCGTGTTTGTAAACCTGATAATCAGATCAAATCTTTTCTAAAAGTTCATATGGATAGAAACAAAGTAGGAACTTAAGAGAACCTTATGGAAGGGGCTTCTTTTTCTATGTGAAGATCTAAGCAGCGAGTAAATGGGTAAAAACTCGAGGTACACAGACATGAACTTGAACGCAACTGAATATAAGTCAACTCGGAAAGGGAACGAAAATACGACGCAATGACTCTTGGGTAGAACAGAAAAAGTAGGTGCCAATTTCAATCACTGATTAGCGTGGATTAAGATTATCTTGATTAGATCAAAATACCGATTGAAACATCTTTTGCATTCCCAGCGTGATGCACTCGAATTAAACCTCACTTACCGGTCGAACAAGATACTGAGCAAGGAGACCAATCGCTGGTTTTCCACTCAAATGTGGTACTTGATTCACCTGTGGTTTCATATGCAAACAGCGGTCTACAATAATGGTATCGCACTCCTTTTGTTCCCCGCCGACCATTCCTTATCAACTGAGAAAAAAAAATGGTCCGGTGAGACCCACTGGTGTGTTCGAATCCACACCGGGGAGAAGATAATATGTACAGATATAAGAAAATCTCTGTGCATCATCCTCTGAAGTCATATTAGGCACTCAGTAGACATGAATCTCAATCGAGGGCGTAGCAAGGGGGGTCCTAGCCTCGTTGTAATAATAATAATATTTAATATTTATACAGCGCAAATTAACATACAGGAGGATGTGATCAAATGCGCTTTACATGTAAAGTTACAAGCTTCTTTTTTTAAAGAAAACAACCTACAATATTCAGGTGGCGAAAACTGGTGAGTACCCTCTTTTTGACACAGTTTGACCCCCCTTTGAAAAATACTAGCTACACCCCTGTCAATCATTTTAATGTTCGCACATGCGCAGGCGTTTGACCGCTCTGTTGCACCAGCCATACCAGCACCAAGACAATAGCTGCCTGATACTTTGATTAACTTACCACAACCCTCAGAGAAGCAGTGGTGGGTCCTTCTATGGCCAGCTCGTCTGCAGATGAAGTTGTCGGTTGAGAGAGAGATATCCGAGCTCCCGCTGCGTGAAATATCTTCCCTTTTCGAGGTGTGCGACTGTTTCCCTTTGATAAGTACTGACCAGCAGAATTTTGAACACCTGTAAAAGACAAAACGTTATTCAGTGATAATAATTCAAATTACTGTCTACGATAGAACATTCTCCGGCTAAGAATATTCTCCAATATATGTAACAAACTAATGGACGGATTTTTGCCAATAATAAGTGATTAATTTGAGAAAACTCGACTTGATCACTTACTAAGCACGTTTACTATGAGGTAGCCTTGAAGCAAGCCATCATTATCAGCGCTTAGGCACGAACGTTTCTTCGAACTCAGGAAATATAAGCTTCCCGGAACGCGAACCGCTGATAAGTTTGAAAGGGGTCTAACACTGATAATGAGGAATGCCATGCAAGCAGAATCCCGGAAAGCCTCTCTCCGACTCGTCTAAAATCTTACCGCGGGCGGAGAAACACACGTCCTGCAGCGCTAATAATGATGAGGGCTTGCACGTAGGTTAACTACTAGGGAATAAAATTAAAATGAAATGTCTATTTTGCCGAGACTTACTGACCAATTGCATCGGGTGTCCTTTCCATTTCCTTGAACTTTGCATTTAGGGTTCCTACCGGTAGTTCCACAATAACACGCGCGTTTCTTGGTCCTGGAAAAAAAAGCTGAACTCGAGCTTTGACTATTGCTAGTGTGTAGTTTAAAAAAATATAAACTTTGACGCAAGAAAAACAGAAATTTCTACCGTACTTTTATCATTACTCTTTTTTGGCATTCATTTTTCTGATTACAAATTTGTAACAGAAGTCTTTTTGTCTTACTATCTCCCATGATACTTTAAGTAAGACTCACCAAGTTTATTCCATTGTTCAGTAAAGTTTCCTGTCACATGTACGCATGATGTACCATTTCCGTCACAAACTCTGCATCTGTCAAACCTCACACTAGACCCCAGCTCATGGTCGCAACCTACCGACTGAAATGGGTTAAGCATGGTCAGTATCGAATAAAACTCGTTTACACGAGTTAAAAATGTTTCCTAACGATTCTTAAACTGCTACTACTAAATACGAATGGTTTATGGGCATGGCTGGAGGGGAAATGTGTCCACAGTTGCGCCTTTATCGTCTATCAGGACTCAAGGATGAATTATCATATCTGAGTAGTCGTCACAATACGGAAAATGAAAGGATATAATTGGACAATGCGGCAAATTTCCAATAAGTTTTTCGCCTGGTGGTAAAGCGACTGGTTTTTCGTTCAGTTGGGGAAGATGAAAGCCACCACGCATGACGCGTTCTACCTGGCAACGACCTTGAATACAGACATCTAAACCGTATCTTGAACAGCGCGTTCCATCATCAACGTTACCAGCTTTACGCCATCTTCGTCCTGATCCACAATACAGGCCACAAGGATCTTGACAGGATAAAAGTGATGGAAAAACATCAGTTAGTGACAAAGCCACATAAAGCGGGTCGGAGCAAGACGTCGGACAAAAAGTTAAAATAAAACTGGAAACAGAAAAGCGCCTCTATCTAGTATCTTGTAAGTTGATTACAGCCCTAGAAATGACTCCCCGCTATTAACTCTTCAACGGAAGTCAGTTTCGACGACATAATCGAAAATTATCAGCTGATAATGTAAATTGACCACCCTAAAGAGTTTCAAAGCTGACGTTTCGAGCGTTTGCCCTTCGTCAGAGCGTATTTTTGATCCTCCTCGATCATCTGAAAAAGGATTAGTCTAACCTGATTGAAAGATCATTCCCTTGTGCCCGGCGTTCCTCTGTCGACACTGTAAGTCTCTGTAACTCGTGTGGCTTCTCCTCAGACACGGCTGTGGTTATTTTAAAGTAATATGTTGTTTTTTTGTTGCGAACAGAAAATTACCTCCGTTAAAGCAATTATCCTTCTATGGAAAAAGTAGCAAGTTAACAACCTCTGCGCCGATTGAAATTTCGGTTGCATGCAAATAAAAAAGTATCCCAAGGGAGTCATTTTTATTCCTCATGTTGCTGAACAACACCCATTTTTTTTTTATCAGATGATGACCACGTACACACTTAATGTCGCCGCACGCTTGATCTTTCGGTTTCGGTAAACTTATTTTGTATATTTGTTTCCATGCGTGAAAACATAACTTCTTCATCACCAACTATCCATAGCTAAAAAATAATTTCTCACTTACTTGGCGAGAGCAGATTCTCCATTCCCGAACAGTTCCTTTACATGAGTGTTGTGCGTTCCCATCAGTGCTGTGAATGATACACAAAAAGTAGCTGGCAAGTTCACAACAACCAATCAGAAGAAGGAAAATAAAGCATCATAGGGAGCCAGTGAGGACTCAAAATAGAAACAAGAAAACTGATTGAGGCGCAAGAAAACGCGGAAGGCCAATTTGCGATTGGTTTTCGTTTTGAATCTGATTGGTCGAGGAAGAGGCGTGGGTTTTCTGGACCAATCACAGAGATGAGCAAAGCAAAACCAAAACAATCCCGCTTTGTTTCGACACTCAATTCCCAAAATGAAAATCAAGCCACGGCTCGAACCCAATTCTCGTTTCGATGGTCAGCGGTTTAACCACCAAGCAACTCTGTTCCTCTTACTTTGCACTTTGAAAATAATCAAAGACCAAAATATTTATTATAATATACCTGACAGATGAACAGGTTTTTTCTTTAAACTGCACTCCACCCCCACAACTCCTGGAACAAGGAGACCATTTTCCAAGCTTCTTTGCCTCGTCACGTAGCACACAGGATCCAATCATACACCACTGGAGAAATTTCAGAAACAATTATCAAAAAAGGGGAAAAAAATTCCTGTTATGACTGGTTATATTGAGTTTGTTTATCATATATGTGTCTTTTTATCATAACATGCTGACTTCATTAACTTTTTCCATTATTTCTATTTTCTCTTTTTTCACTTGTTACATTTGAACGTAAAATTTCTCAAAAGGTATCAGTCAATCGATAAGCTGAACGAGAGTTCACGAGCTATATGTTATTCATCACAAACCACAAAGCTGTAGCATCTCTTTCTTTCCCATTTATCTTGTTCTCTTGCTGTTGCCTGGTTATATAAAATAACACGGTCTTTACCTTATTGACTCCACAATCTGTGCCATCAGCGACTCTTGAATCAGCAGAGAGAACAGTTCCCTTACCATTGTCACACCACAGTGTTCCGCAGTCTTGCTGTTTTAATTAGAGAACAAACATGACATTAAAAGTTATGCCGACCACAGTTGATTCAAAGTCTACATGCGATACTCAACGACTTAGCTGCCGCACCTTCTCCTTTATTTTTTGTTACTCCTTCTGCAAAAGGATGCTAGTCAATGGCAGTTTACCCAACCCCACCCTCCCTTCAAAATTTCGTGAGGTTCCCACGACATGCAAATTCCCTCTACAAATTTATACTCCCGAATGGAAAAAGGTACTGCCAAGGTGACGGAGTGTCCTGTGCAGGAAATATTACAAAGAGACCCAAGGGGGCTATATTCACGACCGTTTTCAATCCAGCGTAAAGGACGCTGAACCACGAATTCTTCTATAGAGAGCTTTATATTTCGATATAGATTGTAACTGTAGAGTGAAGTGGAGATCGCTCCTTCTCTCTCAAGGATGGTGGGCATTTTTACGTCAGATGTGAGGAATTAAGATGAACAGGAAATTGCGGAACGATAACTCGAAAAAAAGGAAATATTCAGACTTGTTAACTTTTATCTGTTTCTTAGACACTTCAGGGAAAAGAAGACTCGCAGGTTTCATTGGAACTAAGAGCCGTCATTCACACTCATTATCATTATACGTACCCTAAGTTTCTCCCTTGAAGCATGCTTAAAATCCTCACTAAAAGCTTCTCTGCACTGTTGGTCTCCATTAATGATCTCGCCTGGTAGCTTGCCTCTATTCCGTGGGGGTAGGGTTGGGGCATGTGCTAAAACTGGTGGGTCGTTAAGACACCATGAACGGTTACTGAAAGAGGAAGTTACACGCTAAGAGTAGCTCAAGAAACTTCTACTTAATCGAATGATGTGACACCTATATGACGGAAAGAAGAGAACCAGAGCGCGAGTTAGCGAAGAAAGAATTCCAGAACAGCGTTCCGCACGATCGTTTTGAAATGGCCATTTTTTTTCTTAAATTGAAAAATAAGAACCGAGAGGACGATATTAATCTTTCCTTGAACACTTAGTCAAGGTACACGTGAAATTCGTTACTTACCCTGAGTTCAAAAATGTTTGAATTCTTGTCCTGCTGCAAGGTGACCACATATAACTCGTAGGAGCTGTGTTTTTCTCTGATGACATGATATACTTGTAATTCGGACAATCAGCACCATCAGCACTATCAGCACTATCATCGTCGTGATCCAATCCCATACTGTACATGAATTGTAAAAGAAAGAAAACTCAAGAATGAGTATGTGTAAATTCATGTCCAGGTTCCCTATTTTGCCACCCGGCCTCACCTCATAGACAACAAAGAAGATTTTCCGAACAAAGCTCTTCTGTTGCCATGCAAATAAATAGTTGTTCCCTTAAAATGAGACCTTCATGGTAAGCCTCATAAAGTACACGAACTAAAGTATATCACATTTTCAGATGCGTTAAAACGTTAGCACATTCGTACCGCATTTCCTGTGTTCCCTGTCTCATTCGCTGCTGTTGTAGGGGTAGGGGGTGGGGAGAGAGGATTGCCTGACAAGACCAAACAACGGTTGCTAAGGAAACTCGGGGTGTTGCATATTAAGCCTGATATCTTCCATGTTGTCAGCAAGCAAATTTGCATACTGCATTTAGTCTTTCAACAAACATATTCCCAAAAAAATAAGCTGCGAATTTTCCTTTCTGATGGAAAGAAAAAAAGAAGAAGAAGCTGGCGCAATACTCACTTGTGTCCAATTCCATGCGCGATGTACCAAGCAGTTCCCAGTCCAATATCAGTGACAGCAGACGCAGTCACCTGACGACACATAGTGTTTGCACTACTCTTGACTGTAAGAAGACATTCAAAAAGTAAAAACTAAAGATAGATTTTTTCTAAATGCTATAAGATAAAACATTCAAATAAGGAATATTGTAACGTACCCGCTCTATCAGGTCCGCTAGTAAAAGCAAAAAAGATATACTGGTTAGAAGTATTAAAATTAAAACGGGAGAATTGCGTCTCTTGTGGTATTGGTTGTTAGGGCGTCACTCGACATTTTTTTAAGGTTTCCCTGACAATGACCTTGAACCCATTTATACTCCTGGGTGGGATTACAGCGCCTCGACCCTGGGTGGGATTACAGCGCCTCGACCCTGGGTGGGTAGAGGAATTGTGAGAGTAAAATGTCTTAACCAGAAACACAACACAGTTATCTGCCTTGAAAATAATCAGACCACTATCTTATACACATCCTCAAGTTACTGGGGCTTAAACCCCCCCTCTCATTAACTTTTCTAAAGCGTTCAGATAGTTATCAGGGCACTATAGTAGCGCAGCACGAAAAAGAAGAGAGAGGCTCAGGACCCATGCACGCTTCAACCCGCATCTTTTTATTCTCCGAGCATCTATTTCGTTCCGTTTACAGGTATTGATGGAACGCTACAGGCTACAGGCTACCTTCTTTTCATCAGGCCGGTCGAGTGGCACATGGCAATACATCCTTGAAAAAAATTAAAGGAAAGAATGACTAATTGTATTTACTTTGAAATGAAGGTGACCGCATCAAAAGGACGCTGTCTTCCATACTGCGTCCTCATCCATTTGATCACTCGCACCAGCTTCAATTGGTTAGAATCAGAACTCTGGATTCCCAGCTAAGAGAATAAAATCGTTATAATAAGTCAAAATGTAAACTTTTCCAAAATGAGAACTAATTTTGGTTCTTGTGGGGTTCTGAATGATCAAGTAATCCTGTACTAAAAGGGCAAGTTTATCCCTCAAGCCTTGAGCTGACTCGAACCAAACTGAATTTCACCTGGATATCCATCATGCAATAACTTGACGTGGGTAGTGAACAAAAAGAACGATCACCTCTGTCAATGAATCGTAAAAATCATTTGTTTTTCCTTTACCTCTTGGGGTCGCAAGACCAAAATCCTGTTGATGCTGTATCTTATTTTTGTGGATCCAATGGATTCATCCTGAAACAAACCTGCAACCTAAGGAACAACAAGATTTACCAAGATATTTGAAGTGGAAGCGCAATGCGGAACACGTACGTCACATGTGACTCGTACGTGAGTCGCACGTGTATCATAGCGGGCAGGCCCTCTCGGATACTTACAATATTAGCCATGACAAGGAGCCTTTGAACAGTCCCATTGTAACCGTATTTGTTCTCCATGTCGGTTAGAACAACCAATGCAGCTTCTAAATATTTTTTCACGCCACTGTCCAAGGATCGTCTCTGCCTGAGTCTAGGCATCACAGAAATCTTGATCACCAGATGCGGTAACGTTTTGAAATTGTCAGTCACGTGTCTGGCCAGTCGGGCGGGAAGAGGACAGACAAGAAGAGTATCACGTGATGTCCGTATGATACCAGTCTGGTGAGGAGGGTACAGATAATTATAGTTTAAGCTACCAATGTTCCTTGACTGGCTTATCAAAATCACAGTTTACACTTAAGACTTAACCAGGAGTTAACTTAAAGAAAGCAGAATTAGAACCTTTATAAGACGGAACTGAAAGATAGAAGAAGAGCATTTGAACCAACCTACTGCCTCTATTTTGTGTGTGAAAATTCACCTCTTTAACTGGGGTAGGGAGCTGCTTTTATGTGCGAGATGTATGCCGTTTCTCTCTGATAACCAAACCCTACTCAACCACTCCTTGTCAATGTAATCTTAAAAGAATTTTGCTTACCAGTCCTCCCAATTCGCTGACGGCCACCACAGAGCCCGGATCCGAAGAAACATGTCCTAGGTAAAACGTATTTTCTGGTACAGGACGTGAAGTCATCGTTCCATCGGCGTTTTGAGTCTTGACAGTGAGCCCATGATTCATCAGTATACTATTTCGTGTTAGTGTCACATGAAGCTCCTGGCCGAACGCGGCCAATTTGTAGTGCGTGACCTTGGATTCACCTACACTTCTTCGGTGTCGCGACTGGCCGAGGGACAAAGAGACGAATTTACCACTTTCTTTTGAATGATATGGAATAATTACGTCGTATTCTGGAACTAGAATGTTATGAAACATGAGAAAATGATAAAAAATAAACACTCAGTCTTAATTTTGCCGCATTTACGTTAGATTCATTTGCTGTATATTCTCCACTCACCTTCGTTGTGTTCTGATACGCCAAAATATTCCATTATTTCTTTCCTCGTCATAATGCGGTGTAAATTCTTTAAAGTGAAGATTGAAAATCATTTTCTGATGGTGTTTCTTTACACTTCAAACAATACATACATGATCCAAACGTTTGGGATACCTTCACCCCCTCCTCCCCCCACCTCCCACCCCCTCCCCCACGCCGCTTCTTTGGTGCTGTGGAGGCCCGGCCATTCACGAATAAGCTCTCCATTTGTGAGCTCCAGCGAAGAACTCTTACCGTCCTTTACAAGGATACAAGGAGAAGAAATTCAAGACACGAAACTTTCCCATTATGGTCGTATATTGTTCGTTTGATTGCCTGCGGCACTGCATATTGTTTTGTTTATTCTGTTCATCTGTTTTTTAGAGTTTATTCTTGTTTATTTGCTTGTTTTAGATAACCACATATGCACATACCTTTGTCGGCGGTCCATGAGCAGAACCTAGGGATAGATAACCAGTGTTGCTGCTAAACGATGAGGTTTTAGATATATGAAACATGAATTGTATCGAAGTCCAATGGCATCATATGATATCAAAGAATAGTTTGAACGGCGATTAGAACCGGCCCCACTTATATCCCAGCCTAGGTCTTATATTGCAAACTTTTGCCACCCTGCTTTAGATATATTGGTTATTCTGAAGCCTCGTTTGAAGCTGACCATACTGAACCGAGTCTTTCAACCCTTGCAGTTCGATTTTTCGTGACGCCAAAGGCAAACGCAAGCATATCCTTGCACGTTACGCTGACTACACTAACTACTGACCAACCAAGACATTCTGTTTCAAGGTGATATCGTTCAACATACCTCTAGTTGATAACAGAACAGCAAACCACAAACAGACCAACATGGCAATTTTCATGCTGCAAAACAGAAATGAGAGTGCCCACCTAGCAAGTATCTTACTTTGATACTCACGGAATCTTAGATTTCAGCCATTTTCTCTAGAGAGATAGTAAGTAACGTTTTGATATCAGCGTTTCATGATTATAAAGAATAAATCAGCTGCTCTCTTCTTGTGTCATATACGATCATGGTATTTGTGACTTTCATATTATAAATGGATTATCAAGATGGCCCATCACGGGCACGGTGCCTGAAACGGTGACGAATTGTCTTTGAGAGATAGAAAACGAGTAGGGAAAGCCACCGTTTCCCGTTTTTCTATGTCTGAGAATTCTGCACTAATCGTTCTTTCTATTTCCATTACTTGTCATAAACGGTGTCGAAGTGTTCATGACCTAAACAGCCACGTATCGTAATCAATCGCCGGGCCATTGTTCAACAGAAAACCTAAGATAGTCGACTGCTACATTATACCGCTGTGAACTTCTCATACAGCTGATGAATACATACCTCAGAAGAGCTACCAAGTGCAAGTAAAAATGTTATGGATCCTAAACGGATGGATAGGAGAGATTTAACGACACCACCGAGTTTTTGCTTATGAGCTTATTTTGATGCTAGTTTACTGAACACGTATTTACCTGTATTAGCCGGAGACAATCGATCAGTCAATCATTAGTACATTACGGTACAGTCCGGTAGCACAGGGAGCGAGCCTTTGAAACAGCGGGCGTTCTGGCAGCAATCATGGCAGAATTAAGACATTTTTATACTCAAATGAACTAAAAAACGGTTTTAATAAAAGTTAATTATCGTCGAACAGAGGCCAATTGCTTTGTTGTCTAAATTTAGTTACCGGCAGTCATCAAACTGATGATTACAGTTACTGTAGTAATGCATTTTCTTGACTGTATCATAAGTGACACGAAACAGATGCAGAGAAAGACATGCATTAGATATCGCACAGGAGGGTCAAGACGCTAAACACGCTCCTAAGGACGAAACAGGGAGAATGTGCTTAACAACCAAGGGCTTTTTCACTTGCTGATCATTTCCTTCATTCTCATGACCTTAATGTTGGAATTTGGGATAATATTGTAAGGAGAGACTGGATGCTAATCACTATTAGGGATTAAAGAGTTAAAAACGAGGTTAATTTACCTCCTTTGCAGTTACTTGGGGTGCGTTTGTCGCCCAAATAAGGGCTACATGCAGTACGGTTAAAGTAGCCGAAGATTCCTTAATGTGTAAAGCGCAGGGGTGATTATGCATCTCATTACTAACTCGTCACCCTTATGGGCAAATTACCGCTATTAAACAGTCTTTAAATATCAGGATAATTTCATTCTATATTTCTTTTCTAAAAAATCAAGAAATTTCAACGCAAAACCCTCGCCTGGATCAATCTATTATCAGTGGACAACTATCTACACAAAAAGAGAACACTGTTCCGGTGTAATAATGTGTGTACATAAATCGTGCCTTTTTTCATCTATTTAAGCACAATCTTAGTTAGAAGGAACCTTTAATACTCCATTTCCATTAATAAACACCAAAAACGCCGAATAACTCAAAAGAGAAGATTGACATAGATTGAAAGAGGCAAACTTGAAAATTTGGCACATTTTTTAAACTGTATTGGCCACGATGTAGCTCCTCGAACTAAAACTGATCAAGGTTTACAGCTCAGTCAAAGCCAAATTAACAAACGCGATATCAGCATCGCGTTGAAAATAGTCACAGATTCCAAATTTGATTATCTTAGACCAAGGCAAGAGCACGGTCTCAGCTGGTGTGAAGAGATAAAGAACAGACTAGTAAATGTCTAAACGATCTCAGCACCTCCTACAATAACTGTTAATAGCTGTAGAACTGTGTTCTAAAGAAAAGACGAGCTAGGATCTACCCCTTTGAACCATACATTTACTCATGAAATAACTCTCTGCGATTTACAAGAGGAAGATAGTGAAACACTTTTACCTCTACCTAGAGTGCCAACACAAGTTTAAGAATTAAGATCTGAAAGACACCCTTCATACAATGTATGAATACAGGTAATTTGTGGAACGACGAGAGGATCAAGCTCAGAGAAAGAACTGCAGGAAATACAAGCACCTCGCGTGTCACTTAATCGTTTTGGTGGAGAACAAGTAGGGGGCCTCAAGAAACCGCGACAAATAAATCCCCGAGGGATCTCCGAAAACAGGAGTAACCTACAAATAACAACACATGGAAGTGTTCACATTTGAAATGAGGAATTCAGTCTCTAAGCTTCACTCTCTCTTGTTGTATCCTTCAACTCTCAGAGATTATTGACATATAACTTTTCCTCACAATATTAATACGTTATCCTCTAAATATGTGTGAGAATAACAAACCGTATCACTTAATGGGTGTCATTTTCATAAAACACCAAACTGTCTTAACTGAAGCAGCAGGAGATGTCTAGCAACTAAACGCGAGAATTGAAAATTAATTTTTTTTTAAGTTACAAAGAAAAGCGCCATACTGTATACTGTATATTGGTATAAATCTACTAGCGTTCCATCAGGAAAACAAAAATCTGATTTGCTATGCTACTCGCTCATTATTCCGTTTATATTTAAACAGTTGGAAAAGTGAGTAGCCTCGCAGTGTATGGTTGTAAACAAAATCAAATAAAACATGAGCCTGTCCTGTTGTTTAGTTTTGAATAACTTGAAGATTTATGCTCAAACAATTATATCATTTTCTCTCGCTTTGTATGCGTGATCATTTATTCTTGCTTCGTCCTCAACAGCCATCACGCGATAGAAATCTCGAGCTCATAACATAACTGGGCTCCACTCATTAATGACAACTTTCTTTCTTACTTGTTTGTCTCAAAGAACTTTCCGCTCCCCTAGAAATATTCTCAGATCAATTATTTCTAAGCATGATACATATCCCCCCAAAATAAGCACTGTTTCCCTGGTCTACACTCCTAACGGTTTTGTCAAGAGCTGAATGATGTACTGTAGCTGTTTCATTCTAGACATCGTGAAGATCGCTGGTGTTAAAAACATACTTGATATTGGATACAAAATAAGATTTACACTAATTTCCACACTGGGGTGATTACAGTTCCTTGATCTGTTTGATTAGATAGATTTTTTCATCATTGAACTGCTCATCCTCTGCAAGAAACAAAAATCAAAACTCCATCAAGAAATGCATAGAGAAACGATCTAAGGTCTTAAATCTATCAGGTCATTTCAAGATAAAAGGCATTTTTACAGTAAAAAAAACCTGCCAAAGTACTAAAGCCTCTACAATTTTTCATTACAATTTATCTTTACAACGAGATCCTCATTTAAAAAATCAATGCTGAATTCAAGGTTCAAGATTCTGAGTTGCAAATGAGTCAAGGAAACTAGACTTTCTGACTAATCAGTAAGATTTTCAACATTTCATGATCCCATGACAGCTAATTACCACATTACCTGTTCTGTCATTGTGAAAACTAGTTAGGAACTCGACAAGTTTGTCTTTGTTCTTAACAAGAATTTCCTGGATTGGCGGGGTTTTATTAGGATTTGCAACAAATACCTGTAGAAAGAATACCATAACAACTGAAATCTATGGAATTGAAAAAATACTCCTTAGTCATTTAATACAAAAAACACAGTCATCTAAAGCCAAAAAAACAGAAACAAACAATGAAAAAAAAAACCAAAACAAAACAAGAAAAGCTGACTGTACAGTTTAATGGTTGATGCGCTGGGCTTGATGGAGAAGTTTGTGTTTTTAACCCTTTCCACCCTAACATCAGTATTCATATTCTCCATACTGCTCTCTGTACATTTACTAAGGTGCTGACAAGGAGAATTTATCTAACAATCAAGAGTTTCTTGAGTTGGTGATCGTTAAAGGGTTAAACCTAGTCAGGTTCATTGTGATGAATTCTTGGCAAAATATGCGACTCACACAACAAGGTTGTCGATAGGTTTGAAAATAGAAGGCAAATAAGGTTTCCAGATTATTGTGGTTGCTGATTACTTTCGTCAGATCAAACACAAGAGTGGGAACCATTCAATAGTGTTGTTAACTGTTCTGTCCCAGGCATACAAGTGAGTATGGAAACTCAGCCTACACAACTGAATCTGTTGCTGACAAATTATGCCGATCCAATTCCACCCAGAATAGGGAAATGGCTGCTATGTAAATTTCTATGATGGTATATTAATCAATGTACATTTTTCATCGGCACTTAGAGCAACAATGCCGAGAGAAGCCATCGAAAGATGACAGATTAACTGCAATTTTGGCTGGCTATCCTCTCTAAGTAACAGCTCTGCCAAGAGGGAAGCTGCTATGGAGTAACAACCCAAACAAGATCAGACCTTACCTTGAATACATGAAATGCTTCAAACTGAATGTTTCTGCTCTTGTCTCTCAGCATGTTCATCATCAGCTTCAGATTCTCAGGATTACTTATGTACTTTGTCATCACAGTAAAGTTATGCCGATCCAATAACAGCTCACCAAGAAGCTATTGTATGGAAAAAAATTCTGCTAACTGCAAATGTTGTTACTGTAAAACGGTCAGAAAACTGTGACCATAGGAAATATAATTATTTGTTTTCTTGACTTTTTTCACTGAGAAATATCTATAGAATGTCTTTGTGTTTCTAAGGAAAATTAAACCAAAAGCAACAGCATTAAGTACTCAGCATTATTTTTTGGTTTCATGCATGTCCTGGGCCTACTAGCAGCAGGTCAGTCCATAACTAACTTGTCACAACCAAAGCAAGGCCTGAATGGGTTTGTGAGTCTCTCAGTTACAAGAGCAGAATAATAAGTTACTCAAAGTAATATCTATCAATAAACTTACTACCCCAATACATGGTATTTGTCAAGTGAAGTCAAACTTTATATCTGGTAATATTTGAAATTGGATAAAACAAAAACAATCTAACAGAGTTTAAGTCAAAATTATAGCTGCAGTAAACATTACATAATTATTAGAGCTGCATACATCTATACTAAAAATAAATGTTAAAAACTCAGCTAAAATGAACTGAAATCTACTTAGTTACCTTTAGTGACTGTCTTTTTGTTACATAATTATCCGAGTTCAGTAACTTGGAATAATGTTCAAAAAACTTTGGGAAAGAAAAAACAAATGGCAAATTTATTGGACTGACAGGCACAACAATCACATAAAAAATGTATAGAAAAGCACACAAAAAGCATCAAACAGCAAAAGACAATTAGACAAACTCCTAGCTAACACCACAAAACTTACAAATCAAATCCCCGCCATTAATTACTTCTATAGTAAAAACTATGCCTAAAAATAACTTTAAAAAAAGAGTTTGCATGACATCAGAAGTAAAAGCAAGTCCTGGTCTTCATTTGCATGCAAATGCAAACCACAGACTGAAATGTAATGTATCACAGTTTCTTCTACATAGTTTAATAAGGTATGTATTGAATACTTTATAAGTATGTACTGCACTGTTAGTTAAGTAAAGAAGTAGGTGCACATGAAAATATTGTTAATGTAAGCTTTGTAAGAATGGTACTGTACGAAAAATGAAAGAAATGAAAAATTGAAATAAAACAGAGCAATATACATGAATTCTTGTTACCCTTTCGTAATTTCTTTCTAGAAACTCTGCACATGCAATCTTGTGCCTAGTAAGGAGATCCTACAGATGTGACAAGAGAGAGAGAGAGAAATTAAGGAACAAATTATCATAATTTTCATTTGACACTTAATTCCCATGAGGGGCCAAGACAGAATTCTCCTTACAATACAAATACATTATTAAGTAGAAAAGTGACGAGACTAAAGAAATATTAAATATGGGATTATGAGGAGATCCAGATTCTCCAAACTAACATTAAGAGAATTACATGGCAGACAGTAAGGAGAATTGTTAAGTAGATCTTGGGAGTGAGAGGTTCAAGTAGTCATCACAGAGAGACTGCAGTATTAAACATATTTTGACTTATCTTTCTACACCCTTTCCTGAGCTTTGATATGAAGCAACAAAAGGGGCAAACTTACAAGAAATGACATAAGATTAATTAAATTAAAAAGAACAATTAACAGCCATTTACTGTAATTTGACACATACCTTGAATGTTGAAAATGCATCAGAGGCAATGTCAAATGTTGACATTTCGACATATTCAAAGAACTTATAGAACCTTTGATCATCTAGCACAGCTCTGGCTAAGGGCTCATATTTGATGCATTCCCTGAGCATAATCCCATCGTTTAAAGCCACTTCCTGGCTTCTATAACTGAAACAGTAGAAAGAAAAAAATCAAGATTAGTGAAATCAGAATGGTGAAAAACAGACAGGCATTAACATAACTTATAAGTAAGAATTAATTATTAATTAAAGAGATCACTAAACATTTGATCTCAAACTTACCCTCCGATAAGGAGAAAAAGTATCTCTCTATTGTCAATAATGTACTCCACAGTTGGACTTCGAGTTCCAATTTGTCTTCTGAGAACACTGTTAAATATTTGAGCCACATCTTTCTTGCTCTAAATGGAAAGCAAGCTAATTACTAGACAGTATCACAATAAATAAACAGTTCTAACAATATGTTGGCAGTCAATTGATAGAGCACATAAGGGTAGTCTTGTAAAGGGGTTTTCAATTAAATGATGGCATAAGCAAATGTACCATCAGAGGCTGGGGGGAATTTTTTGTTTTTGTTTCAGTTTATGTACTCTAAAAATTTATTCGATAAGAAGCAGAAGAGGAATGGTGTTATAGCTTTTGGCATGATCTCATCGGCTGGTAAGTTTACCAAAATAAGTTTGTCAGTAGTAATTATTCAGAGAGTAGTTGGTATGATTCCCTGTTGCGATCATCAGAATCAGGGAAGCCCTTAACCTTTTGGTCCCTGAGAGTAACTAGTAGCTAATTTATCCTTGCAATATCATCTCTGAATCAAACTTTAAAGCCACGAAAATAAAGGAGTTGATCACCAACTAAAGAGGCAAATGCATAGAGAACAGTATGGAAAATATGCACACTTATATTAGGATTAAAGGCTTTAAAAAATTGATTGATGTCATTGACAGATGGATGAGCAATGCAATATCTCTCTGTTCCACTCTTCACTTGCATTGATGGTAGGTGCTGATAATGCATGCTAGATGCTCTTGTGTAAAGAAAGAGAAGAAGAAGGGCAAAATCAAGTTATTGTAGAATGATGATAAAGCTCCATGCAACCCTTAATAAATTTCCAAACACATTATATATTACACCATTAGATATGATTCACAAAACTACCACTTTTTTAATAAAAGAAGTCATGTCACTGTATTCTGAGAAGGGAATTGCCTTGAAGGAGACAACATTTTTCTTAAAAATTCTTCCCATTAATTCATTTGTAGCAATTCAAAAACCATGACATTACAAGCACAGAAACTCATAAAGTAGATAACACACAACAGGAAATTTAGTAAAAAATTTAATAATAATAAATAAAAAATACATCACCTCAAAATCTAGTTTGTGTAGGTGTTGTAGTAGGGTCTTGAAGAGACCACAATTGTATGTCTCTTGCGCAAGCTGGGCCACATGTTCAGTCACTGGACCTTGGTCTGAGAAAAGATTCCATATTTTCTTTGTTACTATTACTTTTATTAGAAGTATTTCCTTCTTTTTGCGAGTAGAAAGCAGAAAAAAAAGTATGGAAGTAGACAGCAGTTAAGACAACAAGCTCGGACAAAGATTACAGAGACTGCTGGCTTATTTTAAGGCTAATGCCAACCTATGAGGAACCATTGGCAAGAATTGCATTTGTTTGCTTTTTTTTTTTTTGGGAAATCCCACACAACTGTAGCACAGGAGAGCACAGGTAGGTGAGCACAAACATTCAACTTGATAGTCTTTCTAAAAAAGCTTGCCATGAGAGAATTTGGAGACTAGATAATGAGCTGTAATGATGTACTTGAAAGAAAAATGAAAATACCTCCAGACCCATACAAAATTGTCTTCATAGCACTTAACGTCTTAGCAAGTTCTTCAAGTGCCTGAAAATAATCATTAACATTTCAATTTTTATTTGGTGACATAAACAATTAAACATAGACACTTTAGTAAAAATAACAAGGATAAGCAAGGTTATGTTTCACATTCAAGTAAACCTGATTATAGGGTGGTACATGTTGGCAAAGTCAACAAAACTGTATGCTTCTTTTGTAAAAATGTCCCACAGTGAAAAGAAGTCATCAAGATATCTGTTCCAGACCAAAGGTTAGAGGGGCTAGCCATTAACAGTTGTTTTTCTAGGTCTGCCATTTCTCTCTCTTGTAGATAATCACCATGATAATATGCAAAAACATGGTGCCCATTTCAGGTTGAGTAAGGCAGATTTCTTTAAAACAAGATGTTGGTTCTAAAAGGTCGTGGAAGTAGAATGATAGAATGATAGGATGAAGAAAGTAGCAAATTCGGCACATAAGTAGTGAACATGAAGCAAACTTGAATGTAGCATACTTAATGAGTAGCAAAACTGGCTGTTACTGTTTGTTAAATTCCCAACCCCAGGGCAAAAATTTTGTTCAAATACCCCACCCAATTTATTTGTAAAAGGCAAATCAGTGACTGTGACTTGATACACATTGAACAAGCTCTAAAACCTAGACCTTAAAAACCTTGTAGACCAGCCAGGCAAGGTTCAGATTGCCCACCCAATGTTGAAGCTTTATATTGATCACCACATAAGAGATAAGATCCCTAAAATCAATATATTCACACAATTTAATTACAATAACCCATAATTTGTGCTTTTCTGCTTTTCCTTGACCTTGATGAATGGCTGTAATGTTGTTTGCCAGTAATATCTTGCAGCCAAGTTGTTTATATGTTATATCATAACATGCCTAATGACCAAGGCAATGGGGAGGGAATTTCTAAAGAAACTGTACTGCTGCATCAGCAAGGGGTATTTCAAGACAATTTGGTGTTATCAACTGAGTTCATACTGTAGATTGGCCACTGTAAAGAGTATCTAAAGTTAATGTTTCAAGCATTACTCCTTTGTCAGAGCACATGATGAAGGGATAATGCTAAACATCAGCTTTAGGAATTAATTATGGTGGCCAATTTACATTTAACCCTTTAACTCCCACATCAAAATTATAATTCTCCTTACTGTCAACCATATGATTCTTTTAATGTTAGTTCAGAGTATTTAGTATTGGATCAACTAATTATCCCCAAATTGATATTTTTCTTTATTCTCACCACTCATATGGTTGATATTGTATTGATATTGTAAGGAGAAATTCTGTCTTGGTCACTCATGGGAGTTAAAAGGTTAATTTATCAACTCAATTGATAAAACCAAATTATCTTGTAATGACTGAGTCAGATAATATTTGGCTCTCTTCCAGTCAATAAGTACATGTATCCTCTTATATCATAAGAAGACAACTCACCTTGTCATATTTTCTGCTTCCAGTGGACTCATTTTCGATAACTTGTAAGTCATCATTAGCAATCTTTACAAGTTCTGCAGGACTCTTTTTGGATGAGCCAAATAAAGGCATGATTCTACCAGAGTGTTGATCTCAGTCCCTGTATAAAGTTAACTTTTTCAAATCTACCTTTGCCTTTCAGGAGAATGTTGTAAAAGGTATCACAGATTATGCATGGGTTCATGTGCAACTGTAATCATCATTAAAACTTTTGAAAATTGCTATGATTTTTTTTCTTTGAATAGGCCACTGACATACAGGAGGATGACTTAGCATCAATAATAATTGGTATCTCTGATCAATTCACATACTGTAAATCATAGGCAAGACAGTTGTAGTCAAATGAAGCTTGGAATAAACAATTAATAAGGCTTCAAAAAATGCTATTTGCAAGATCAAATGCTCAGACTCTGAACCTCACAGTTTGTTTCATAGAAGGATGCCTGAAAAAAATTCCCTTCTTGTAAGAAATTGACTTTGAAGGTCTAAAAGGCCTGATGATACTTCAAAATGGAAATCAACTAAGGTTGTTCCTGAAGCCCTGATTTCTTGATGCCTCTTTAAAAAAATGTATTCTCTATAAAAAAAAGGCACAAATACTTTATAGAAGATATGCCTGACCACAATCATAGTATTTTTAGGTCAATTTTCATGTCGCTAGTGTTTGTGTTAGACAACCCCTCATTACAGATCTGCATATACTGCCTCACATGTTTATTTACTAAAGCCTTGAAAATATAGGAATCAAGAGCTGCATTAAAAAAAATTTATTTAAGGTTTTAAAACTAAGCTTGAAGATCAATTCATTTAACTACACAGTTTAAAAATCGGTCGGCAGAATATTCTCATTTTTACACGACATATTGAATGATAAGAATGATCTGAAAGGTATTCCAATAAGTAAGTAACCTGTGTATGGACAAACTCTACCCCTAATTGCAACCTGTAAGGTAGCGACGAGTAGATTTCAAAGCGCTGAAGAACTCGGTTGCATGGATTAAATAACTTTCACTTTTCTGGTGCTTTACGTGCGTACGTCACCCATGCATTTAATTTCAAGATACAGAATGATTCTTCAAACTTGTACAATTGCAGTAACTTGCAAGCCCAGAAACTGATCCAAACAGAGAAAATTAACGGCTTTTAAGCAACAGAAATTTCGTAATTGCAAATTGAAGGTGAAAGACTCAAGAATTTCATGAGCATTTAGTTTTGATATGATCAGGAAGAATGCGGATTTTTTAATGCAAGTAGCTAATTACATCAAAGATATTTCTCACCTAAATTGCTGGCAATTACTTCTGCTTTGTACGATCAACTTTCGATTCGATGAAAGGTAGAAAAAAAACACCAGAAAGGACTGTTTTCAATGTGCTCTCCTGCTCAAGTCAACGGAAGCGACTTACCAGCATCGATCGGTCCAGTTTTCACGGTCAAAATGGCGCTTGACACATATGTCATCTTCAGATGGTCGTACATGACATGCAAATTGACTCTGTATCATGGCATTTCTTTGGACACCTCTGGAGACAAATGCGACCTCTGTCCTTAGTCTTTCCTTCACTTTTTTGCAACTCTTTTTAGCGATAATTTTAGCTTTTACTGCTGGTCGTAAGCTGCCATCGTTGGAGAAGTGGATAATTACGTGGTTATTGTATGATGCGATGACACATTTTACACTGGTGGGTGTAAATTTTGGCACTATATATGACTTTGTTCAAATCATGGACGGAAGGGAATAAAAAGTTTAAAAGGAGATAATTGGAAACCAGTAGAAACAAGCAGCAAAAGGAAGGTCAAGTCAGATAAGAAAAAATAAATGTTTTTACGTTCTTCCCAAGAAAAAGTACTCATAGCCAATGCATGAATTTCTTTGTAGGGATGGACCAATTGGAAAATTATTCTAGAATGTGGCATTCCCAAGCCACATGAATGTGCCATATTTTTTCCAAAAATTTTCCTTAAACTCTCTGTGGAGGAAATGTTTTTCAAGGCAGTGCACTATTAAATTTGTTAGAAATTGTTCATGACATTAACTTTCTGTACCCCCCCCTCCCTCGTTTTTTATGGTCCATCCCAAATAAAATAAGAATCAAAAAGCAATTTTCACCGAATAGCATAAGTTCATGTGAGGAAAAGGCAAGGAACCTTTTCCCTATGAAAACATTAGCTCGTGTTTGTATTAAATCTACGAAAAAAACCTTTTTACATTTTCTTTTTCCAAAGGAAGGACCATTTGTGTACTTCTCTCTAACTGGAAGTGTTAATAACTCCAGCCACATTCTGGCTGAATTGTGTGAGTACCGGTAACTACACTATCAGTGTTGGTGAATGATACTTTTTATTAACTTCAATGTCTGTCATTGGTTCCAGTTGCTGTCAAACCAAACAGCTTCCTCATGTTAGATATGATTACAAATTAATTCTGATTTTAGGGAAGGAATATGGCAAAGCTGATTCAAGGTGGCTACACTCTGATCCAACAATTGTTTCACTAGAGATTCTGACAGTCTTTCTCACAGGACCATTAGCTTTGTTGTTGATTCATGCCATTTCTTACAACAAACATTACAGGTCTGTCTTGATATTTAACCCTTTACACCCTAAGATTGGTATTCATATTCTCCACACTGCTCTCTTTGCAGATCCTATGCAACTGATTAGGAGAATTTGTTAGACTATCAGAAGCTTCTTAAATTGCTGATCATTTCCTTTATACTCATGACCCTGACATTTTATTCAAGGGTGATATTGTATGGAGAAATTAGATGCCAGTCACTGTTTGGGAAATTAGAAGGAAATAGAGATCAAAACCAACATGAAATCGGTATACCCAAAGATGTCAAAAGTGGCCCCTATTTGAAAGCTGTAACATATCAAGATGAAGTTTGAGATTGTGCCATTGAAAGAATCACTAAAGAAACATTTTCTTTTCTTATCACAATTGTTCTGAGGTTGAATCCAATACTTGCAGGTAGAGGTTTTCTGGACAAATAGTTATGCAGTTCCATTGATTTTTTTGTTGTAATATACAAGGATTTAAGCTAAATAACAAAAAAATTTGCAAAATTTTGCAAACATACACAAGGTGAAAGGTAGGGTTGTTACAGACACCAACACTTTCAGAATAGAGACCATAAAAATGAATGAATGAGTTATTGCAGTAGAAAATATATGCACATAATCAAAATGTTTGGCATCATTGAAGTTGATTTGTTTCACATCATTTCAACAGACATTTTGTACAGATCACTCTCTGTGTTTGTGAGCTGTATGGAGGTATAGTAATTGTCATTTCTTGTCTATCTGCTTATGATGTACAATTTTATTCTCCTTCTACATTGATAAATGATAAATGTTGCAACAATTATTTCCGTTAATAGGGATCATTATTTTTTCCAGGTTGGATGACATTTTGTCCTGAATGGTTGGTAGGCAGCCCTAGTTTAGACACAAGCTCTGCTTTGTACCTGTGGTGCTATTTAGTATTTTTTAATGGTTTGTGGGTCATTATTCCTTTTCTCCTTTTATGGCATTCTTGGAAGGAAATGGAAGAGCTGCTCACTGGTAAAACATCAGCAACAACCCAAAAGAAAAAGACATGAAAGCCTATAATTCGGCAGTCACACCATAGGTCAGCATTATTGAGCATTGGCTAGCTACAAGCATAACTCATTATATGCAATATTTCCTATCTCTGCTAGCTTCTATTGTGCACCTGAAATGCTTTCCAATAGCCGGTCAGTTCTTCTCAATAGGCAGCTAATCTGTTATTTTTAAGTCTTAAGTTTGTAATCATAGTCTACGGAAAAGATTTTGTTGAGTTTCTGTGTGCACAGGACCACAAAACGTTTTTTTGAAAAAATGTCTGCTGCTGAAGAAATGAGAGTAAGTTGTAAGTACAGTAACTTTTGAAATGGAAATCAGCCATACATGTACATCATTATCAGATTTTTTAAAGAAAAAATTCATTAATTTAGGCACCAAAATTGATTCTTAATCTTGGAGAGGAGGCATTTTCTTTAAGATGAACATTTTAATGTAGTTAGCAGACCATCAATTTCACATATGGCCTCACTTGTCTGTTCCAGAACTCTCCTGATCATAGTTTCCCTGTCACCTTGGCCTGAGCCTGGCTCAGTGCTGTCATTCTCAGTAGCATCCTGGTTAGAATCAACAGAAAACTGAACATTAGATACCCTGAACTGTACATTGTTAACAATAAGAGTCACTAGGAAACTAGATTTAATCAGTCCTTGGTCTGGAACCTTTCTGATTAAATGATTTTTTTTTTAATCATTGTCTTCACCTGAATATCCTGAAACTTTTTTCCCACCAAATGTTCCACATGATTTTGATTATGAACATCTGAAGTACAGTTCAATCACTAAGTTAAGGATTGTAAGTAAAAATAATTACAAACTCCAATAAATCATATCAAAACATACCTGTGAATGAAGTGTCCTCACTGGTTACTGAACATGAAATAAATTTACTAGATAATAGTGGTGATCATTTTTATTAAGATGGTGAATTATTGTCTTGAGTTATCAACTATTGCAGGGTTCAGTTATTTTCAAGAGAGATGACACCAAGGATACAATTGAATGTCTTAATTTTTACCATTTCAATGTCAACGGCCCTGTGGAAAATAACAAAATGTTACACTTTTTCAAAGCTTGCTAGTGCCATAGAGACATGTAATATTTCCCAAATCTGCTTCTTGATCTGGGTGTGTAAATTGTGATGCTCAGTGCTTTTTATGGTCAAAGTTTCAGGAGTCTTATTCACCTTCTTCTCTCAGGGTCCCATATTGTGTCTTTGTAAAAGGTTCTCCTTTGTGAGGGTGTGGCAGCTACCCACTCTGCCCAATGCAGAGCCATATCTGTATACCTGGACAAGAACAACATCAACTTAAGCAAATGAACAGGTCATGGCTAACACAAATTCAACTTGTTTCAGCATCCTCACAAAAAGTCTTAGCACAGAACAGCATTTTCTCAACCTTTTCACTCCCAAAAGTGATGAACATGCCATTTCTCCCTATAATATCCATTACATTAACCAGCAAACAGGTAATGAGAATACTCTAACTTACCAGGTAGAGGTTTTTATTTTGATCTTTGTCTAAATTCTTGTAACTAATTTACAAGGAAATTTTTAGTAGCTAGAAGGGAGAATTAACAATCTGACACTGGGAATTTAAAGGTTAAGGGTGGATTAATGCTATGTAGATTAAACTTTGTGCCGTACAAATCTCAAGCAATTTACAATTCTTTACCAAGGTCCTAAAATTTGGAACTCTCTTCCTGTTTCAGTCACTCATTCGTCAAACCTTCTTAGTTTTAAGACGAAAATGCAAGAGTTTTTGCTTAAATAATCCTTGAATTGGCCTAGCTGCACATTCGTGGCACTTTTTTTTACTTTATTTATTAATGTAAGTGAGGTGGCTCTCCCATAAGCCCGGTGGCTTCCTGGGTCTCCTCACCTTCTAGCTATAAATAAAAATATGATGATGATGATGATAATTTTAGATCTACATGTAACATGGCCAAGTGTGCATATATTATACTTAGTTTGGGTTGGCTTTATTGCCCCACAGGGAATTTTGGGCATTTACAACCTCACCATGAACTCTCTAATCTCAAAGAGTGACTAGCATCTAATTTCTCCTTACAATATCACCCCCAAATCACACATTCAGGTTGTGAGAATAAAGGGAAAGGTCACCAACTAAAGAAGCTCTGGATTATCAAACAAATTCTCCTCCTCAGCAACTTAGGGAATGTATAGAAAACCAGTATGGAGTATATGTATATTGATGAAAGGGTGGAAAGGGTTAATGTCAGATTATTTCATTTTCATTTCTTTTGAGGTTCTCAATAAAACAAGAAGCAGGCAACTGTAACAAATGGAAAGATAAGGGTAAAGCAAGGAAAGCATAAAATATTGGGGCTCTAGGTTTCAAAGTATGTATTGATTAATCAAGTGCTCTCTTCTACTGAGACCACTTTGCACTACATTGGATATCCTAACATCGTTACATTACCCATGGATAATATAACTTTGTCCAGAAATAAGCTACATTTTTGAATTGGTTTCCCTTTTACAACACTGTACCTTTTGTAAAAACCACACTGCTCCACATCATTCAGTTTAAACTGCTGAACATTCCCATTTGAAAGAACTAGCTGACACCAATGGTTCTGCAGATCATTTTTCTTGTGGTCACTTGAATTCCTTACATCCAGGATTGTCCTGTCATTAAACACAACACTGATGTGTCCATTTGAGTAAGCCTTGAATCTCCCTGTTCCCGGAACATCTGCAGCATCCACAAGATGTACTGGACAAGATGGCTTGGATAAAACAGTTGTGGATTTGGATGTCTGCCATGGATTAAAAGTCATGTGGTGTATCAATAGTTGTTACAATTAATTAACATTTATGAGTAGGTTGAATAGTGGATCAGAATTTCATGCATTGAATTTTGCATCAATTCCTCAAAAGCCCACTAATGGCTTATGTATGAAGTATATTGTACTTAAATTACACATCAGATAGCTCTTACTACTGAAACCTCAGAGGTTTCTCTCATTACCTTGTTAAATTTGTGAATGGTACATCCAGGTTAGCCTAATTTTACTGCAGCTGTGGTTTCTCTCATTGCCGTGTTAAATTTGTGAATGGTACATCTGAGTTAGCTTTTTTTCACTCTCATAGTAAGTTACAAGATGAAAGGGGTTGTGCCAAATAATGAATAGAAACCCACATCAAGATTAAAGATGTTCAAATTTAAGTGATATGTAATACATACAAGTATATAAATGTTATTACTGAAGTATTTAATATCAAAATAAAATTAATTGATTAATTAATTAATTAATTCAAGATTCATTATAAAATATTAATCCTAATTTATGAAGTAAACCACACCTCTTTCCAGCAGCAGCGTTCTTCTCCTTGATACCCAGCATTCTTGAGGAATTCTATATATCTGACAAAACATAACATGGCTAGTTTTTGCACTGTACAAACAACACTGTAGTTCACTAGACAGAACAAATAAGACAGACAATACAGACAATAGACTGTGATGATGCAGAAAAATTACATTCAAGTCATGTTTGAGTGCTTTTAAAAAAGCTGCACCTTGTGGCCTGTTTCAAAAGACGACCAATGGAATATTCTGTCCTTTGCAGTAATCTGTGTGGAAGAGGTTTATCAGCAGAGTAAACTCGTTCTTGAATCTCAACTTCCTGTAAGCCAGTTTGTTCATTATTATGAACAAACCAGTGATCAAAATATCTTCCATTGGGTCGTTGTGACCTCATAACAGAGCCATCCTCTGGGTGAATCTCCATGGTGAACAAGCCAGGTGACTGACAAAAAACTCTGCAACCACGATTACAACCAATTTCATTAAAGAGTAAATTGTACATTTTAACAATGAAAGACTAGCAAGCTAACAAACGTTAGAATACGTAGTATTTATCATTGGAAGAGCTGGCAGCTGGAAAACTTTAGAACTGAAACACACCTATAAGTAACTCCATCTTTCCAAATAACTTTTGGCTTCCAGAAGAACTCCCAGTTCAGGCAGCTATCATCATGTGGCATCTGGTGAGAGTTTAAAGTAAAAACTTATTCATCATGGGGAATGTAGATGAATAATAATCAAGAAAAAGGAATTTCTAACACCACTTTAATACTTGTGACATTGGCAAAGTGAAGAAGTGTCAGGAAAATAAGGGAATGCAGTTGAGAGGTAAAACATCAGTACTAACTGATACTGTGTCTGTGGATTACAGTTTGTTAACTAAATGAAGCAAAATGAATTAAGTTTAGATGACCAATGAGGTAACACCTGAATGTTCCATGTGTGAAGATGAGGAGCACTACATGTGACAGGCAGAGACACTGGCAAAGTTGTTTCTTTGTGCAGGGAGCAGGAAGGATCTTTGGCTTTGTTGTTGACTGCATCAAGAACAAGTTGGAGAGGATATTTCCATGCCTCAGGATAGGAAAATACTGAGTGAATTTTTTCGTGCAAAGCAAAATAATGCTTCTGACATTGCATCTCTGAGACTTTGTTTCCCATCATCTATCAAGTAAGAGAAGAAAAATGAAGCATGGAAACAGTGACTCTAGAAAGAGTAACATCAATCAATGGCAAATTTCCTCTCGCATAACACTGTCACATTGTATTGACAGCTCACTGGTACCCATTGAACCTGAGGAAGGGAGGCAGACAGGAAGATTGAAGAAACTAAACAGTATGGAGATGGTCTATTCTGCCTAGCAATGAAAAGTAAGCAGTGAACTTTAGTGCCGGCTCCCATTACAGCTATAGAGGACCTTGTGTGAACTGGCCACTATACCCTCCTATTATCCATAATCTCTACAAATGTACATACCGTAAATCTCTTTGCTGTCCGTTGTACATTTCATATACTGCTAGCTTTGAGAATTTGATTTTAATTCAAATATTGTTCCCTAGTTAGTTTTTAATTCAAATATTGTTCCCTAGTTAGTTTTTTCTATATTCTCGTCTCCTGTCTCTTTGAAATCTTTGAGAATGTACTTATATTGTAACGTGAAATAACTTGTTGATCACTGCTAGTAGTGAAAGGGTCAGTGAACTATCGAGGAATACTGTACACATTACCTTGGTTGAATCGTATCTAACTTCTGCAAGGAACTTAACAATAAACGTTTGTCTGTGAGGCATAAGAGTTAAGCTTGCCAGACCATCGACAGACATGACACACGCTGAACCATCTGACATTGTTGTAATAAAACACGGGGAAGGTTCGTCAGGCCAACAACACTGCGTGACATCTTTATAGCCGATCTAGAGAATTTCAATTTTGGTAAATGAATAACACGTATGAGCAATATATAGTCAAGCAAACTACTACAGTACTAAGTAAACCTCCATCATCTCGAATACTCGAAGATGAGGTACAAGAGCTGTAAATGAAACGGAGAAGTCACAAAAATTGCCAAAATATGGGACATGGCTAAACGAATTCACTGCGATCGTGGAGCAACATACCTTAAGGTCCTGTGGATCTGTTAGTTCCTTACACAGGTATGGTCTAGCCGCAAACAAGTTACGAATCCTGATAGCCTCTTTTATTTTCGATCGAAACGAGCTCACGGCAAATCTCGTCAGTTGACGAAACTGAGCAGAGCTACTCAAGGCTTTTTGACGATGAACAAACGCCGATCCACAAGGAGACAGTTCAATAGATGAGCCATCACTATACTTGATAAATAAACGATCGTTTTCGTACAGAACAATCAAATCAATTGAGCACATTTCACCACATCTTTTCAAATCTGCCGCCATTTTTTTGTTTTCTCAAAAAGCTAAGGCTCGGTTCCTCAGTCGGTGACGTCGTTTCGAGAAAGTACCGGCTACGCAAGCGCAGATTGCATTCAAAATTTCTACGTGGCTTCGATTGGAGATAAATATAGTGTAATATTCGGTACAAAAATATCACTTTGCGGTTCTGTAGAGCACTGTTGATTCTATACCTCACGCAGACATGTCTTCCGACTTTGGGAATCCTCTTAGAAAATTCAAGTTGGTGTTTTTAGGCGAACAGAGCGGTGAGTTTTCTGTGACAGCTTGGTGATGTTCGAAAAGTCAGTTGATCACTGTAATAAATGGTGGGTTGGACCCGGTCATTCTGGGTTTTAGTAAATGGTTGTGTTGTCTACTTTTAGTGGGAAAGACGTCTCTTATAACAAGATTCATGTACGATAGCTTTGACAATACTTACCAGGTAGGTTATAGAGATTACTAGTTTTCAGCTGTTTAACAACTTTTTCCAAGTAAGATTCGTTTTTCCCGTCGAGTTTTCATGTATTTTACCCGCGAAATATGCTTGAAGGTTCAGTATTTACCCATATACGAGCTGATGATAATACTGCTTTTTGCATACTTAGCAATCCTTTCCTGAGTGTCAATATTATTTTCGCTTTACTGTTCAGCGCAGTTGTGGTGGGAAATAACATAGCGGATCCCTTAAAGGAATCAAACGATTTAATCTTGTAAAATTTGTAAACTGAGGGTGACTTATTTTCCTTCCTGACTAAATGTCGGTAAAGCGAAATACCGTCAAGGGAGTTTTATTGATTACTAACCACTGAGAATAAAGCAGACAGAAAAAAGCTAAAGATCAGTTTTCAATACGGTTTATTTTACTAGAAAGTAGGACAGTGAAGGAGATTTTGAATTCAGGAAATGCTACTGCACATCATTTATATGTACATTGGTATTGAAACCATTACAGGAAATCCTTTACTGTCGATCTTGCCTTAGTGTAAAGAAATTATATTCCTGACTTAGGGAAATTCAGATAAACATCAAAGCAATAAAGAAAACATTTACCTATGGAAATTTGGATGAATGTCAATGTATTCTTGAAAAGAAAACCTGAAACCTTGCACTTTATGTGGTGATGATATGATTACTCCATATCAATTAAGCTTTTACACCCTAACATCAGTATTCATATTCTCCATAATGTTCTCCATAAATTTCTTAAGGTGCTGAAAAGGAGAATTTGTTTAACAATTCACAGTTGGTGATCATTCCCTCAATTCTTGTGATGTTAATATGTTATTCAGGGGAGAAATTGTAAGGAGAAATTAGATGCTAGTCACTCTTAGGGTTTAAAGGGTTAATTTCCCTTTTCTACAGGCAACAATTGGGATAGACTTTCTGTCAAAAACCATGTATCTTGAAGACAGAACGGTAAGTATTTAAAATTATTTGTATGTTGTTTAGATGCGAGTTAAATACTTAACTGCTAGACTTGGTATACTCTGCACTGTGTTTCAAATTAAAATGATTGTGGACTGAATGTGCATGAAAGGCTAACAAAACAGCATAGTATGAGAATCTGAGTGCTGGAAGTAACCATGGAAACTGTTACAATAACATGTATATAAGATAAAGTTAGAATACTTGCTATTTACTCGACCGATGAGATTATTGATAAGCTGGTATGCACTGTAAACTAAATCTTTGTTATGAGTGGCACTGGTTAGAAACAAAAGCAAATTTTCTGTTTAAATTACGTAGCATCCATTTTTGATGCACTCTTTGGTATCAGGTAAATCCTTACCTCAATTTCCATTGTTATCTCAAATACAGGTGTAAAAATGAAAGAATTAAGGTTACTTTTTCTGAAAAGTTAATTTTCAAGAATAACAAGGCTTTTGTAGCTTTGTTTGAGAAGTATATCCAGACTGTATTTGATTTACATGTACAGGTTAATCATATAAATGCACTCAGACAGATGTTTGACATTGTCAATAAGTGGAATAAGAAGACAATTTGTTGATTTTTACCGCAGGTGAGACTACAACTTTGGGACACAGCAGGCCAGGAGAGATTTAGAAGCTTAATACCCAGCTATATCAGAGACTCAAGTGTGGCTGTAGTAGTTTATGACATAACAAGTAATGCAACATTTTGTTTTAACTGTACACATTCAACAATAACAACAATACTGCAATTTTACATTTGAGCCACTTTGCAAGTCTCCTGTATCATTAACACATTTGATTACTTTGTTTTTAGACTATAACTCTTTCCAACAAACAGCAAAATGGATTGATGATGTTAGAACAGAGAGAGGGAGTGATGTCATTATTATGTTGGTTGGAAACAAGACGGATCTCTCAGACAAAAGGTAACACCCAGGTGTCTCTTAGTTAACTGCATGAAAATATGAACATACAAATAAATGTGATTTTACTGATACATTTATTTTGACATCAACAAATGAATATTATAAATAAAGAGACCTTATTTTAAGCCTCACCCTTATGTTTATTTTGACTTTGTAACTTTTCCTTGATCATGATCACCTCCCCTGTTGTTGTTTTATTGGATGTCACTGTTTTCCTAAGCCTGCTTTCACAAGCAGAGCATTCCTTTGTTTAGCTACAATTGCACTTTAAAATGTCAAGAGAGGAAAGCTACCCCCATATACATACAGTTTTGGTAAAGAGGATTAAAACCACTTTCTTCCAAGTACATTCAGCACTGTGAGGCAATGATCATCAACAACTATTTTCAGGTTTTGTAGGTGATAAAATTATGTCAACTTCACTTGCAACGTCAGTGATTCTCTGTGTTTGTTTATTGTTTGCTTTTTTTTTTATATATATACAGACAAGTTACAACAGAAGATGGAGAAAGAAAAGCAAAGGAATTAAATGTGATGTTCATAGAAACAAGTGCAAAGGCTGGGTACAATGTGAAACAGGTATGTTTCAAATGCTTCATTTGAAGAGATAATTATAACAACGATTATCCTATAACCTAAACAACATGGAAATACTAAAAATGGAGCTGTGAGAGTCCAGTTCTTGATTCTGAAATCAGTCTGAAAATAGTTATTTCTGTCTCCAAAAAAAACTCTTTAAGTTAGTCTTTCCCCCTCTTTCTTTTCTCATGAAAAGAATTTATGATGTTTTCAGATACAAAGCATGTGGTCATAACAGGTGTATTGTTTTTCCAACAGCTATTCAGGAGAGTTGCTGCAGCATTACCAGGCATGGAAAGTACATCAGATAAACAGAACAAAGATGACCTTATAGAAGTTAGACTAAAGGACACACCACCAGAACCCCAACCGCAGAGTGGAGGCTGTGTCTGCTGATTATGTACCAAAAGCCAAGACTTTAGAGTGTCTTCTGTTGCAACTATTCTTCCTCCTTCTAAAGTTTGAGACAAACTAGACAGACTTTGCAGCTTCAATAATTTATTGTTGACTTCTAATAATGGGCTAATATTGCATGCTTTGCTGCAAAATTGTAGTTGCAAGGCTTCACTGTGTTTATTTTTGTTTTAATTAAAAAAGCCTTGGTTTGAATTCTGCTAGTCAACAAGTACTCCTTGCAGGAAATTGCATAGAATGGAAAATAAAGCAACGTTTGTTTTTAATCATGGAAAGCCATGAATTCAAATAGCAGAGGCAATGGCATTCTTATTTAGGAAAAACAATAATCATTTTTTATCACAAGAACTTTAAAAAAAGTTAATACACATGTATCAGTACAGATACATAAACACAAAACAAAGCTTTCACTTAGTTCAATTACCACTTTTCTCAGTGAGAAATTTATAAAAGTTTTACAACTCTGAAAAAGCAAGTGATAAGTTTAATCCAAAGGGAGTTTCAATTTGCAGAACTGTGTTTCCTCAACCAAGCTTGTTTATTTAATGCTTAATTAACAAGCCTGATAACTCATTTAAAACTGTTTTATGCACTTGGCATAATCAGTAATCAGTATTCAATGCTATTTGACTGTGAATCAGGGGTTTCAATTCAGTTTTTCTCAAGTTACCAACAGGGGTGGAATAGGTGACTGTTGCCACTAAACAAGACCATAGAAATCTAATAAATAAAATCTTAAGAGATAAAGTTAGGATCCTTAAACCCTTTCACTCCAAAGATCTTATTAGTTATTCTCCTTACTTTCTGCCATACAATTTTTATGATGAAAGTTCTGGGAATTTGGTATTTGATCAACCAAGTATTCCATAGCTGATATCTGTTTTTAATCTCATCACTTGACTCCTTGATATTGTTTCAATCTTATAGGGAGAAATTCCGTCTGGGTCACTCTTGGCAGTCAAAGAGTTAAGGTCATGTAAGAAGTAGTATAACTGTTTAAAACTGTCTTCATTGAAACCTTTCAGATAACAGTAACTTGTTACCTTAAGTCAGTATTTACGGTTATAAAGAAAAAGAAAATATAATAACATCAAGGTCCAAACTGGCATTACTGCATGTGATTGTATTATTTGAACTTTGTAGTATATAGTATTTCTTCTAGTTTGATCAAAAGATTACTGATGTCAACCCTCCAAAAAAAATTTTGTACCCTGATGACATAGGTAATTCTATTCTCAATATGTTTAGAAATGAGAAAAGACTCAAGGAAACCTTTGCTTGATTTGTTTGCCTAGTAGAATTGAGGAAAGGTGATGCATTTATGCTGATGGGTAGTTTTTAGATGAAAGTCGCACTGCATGTCTGGCCTTTGCAAACTTCTGTTTGTAATATGTAACAAGTAATATGCAAAATAACAAAGAAAAATCTCAAAGTAAGATATCAACCAGGTCATCTGTTGCCACCAATATTCCTAGATTATGTTCAGTGACTGACATATTTTTATGTTTTGAAATACTTCACCTGTGGTTCTTTTGTTGTTAATCTTTAGCCAGATAATTTTCATAATTATTATTGTTCAAACTTGTTTTATAGAATAAATTCTGTATAATTTTGTTCAAAAGAAATCACTCGTTTGTGATCTTCGCGGATATATGGCGCATTTTTAGTTTTATTTGTATTTGTTTGTTTTTTTTTCTCTCTCTGTTTCCTCCTATGCGTCATCAGGGCTTCTATAGAGAGGTACGCGGCATGCCTTGTTCACTTTTTTTCTTTGTAAGCTTCTAGGTTGATCAGTTAAGATGTACCTACACTCTAAGAGGCATTTCGCGTGGGAGGGGAAAAAGTGCCATTCCGGAACACTTCCCCACTCCCTTTTCAATAGTCCTAAGAGTCAGAATTCTTGACCACGTCAGAAATGATACGTGATCAAAGATGCCCAATTTTTGCCCAACAAGTCAGACAATAAAAACCTGACTGGGATTTCACGTTAGCTAACATGGAGGTGTCAATCAAACAGGTAGAGAGGTTATTAATTACATTATTTGGCGGGTAATTCAAGAAAAACTAAAACAGGTGGCGACCAGTCGTGAAAACGAATGCGTTGTGACTAGCTTCAATGGATCTTTTTGTTTAGTCGCTGCTCTCAGATAGACGTGGCAGATAAAAGTACTGCTTCTTAACAAATGCACCAACGATCTATGATCTAAGAATCTTTTGGTCCTCAAGGGAGAATACCAAGTTTATTTATAACTGGAGGACAATTTGAATGGCGATAATTGTGAAATGGCATCAAGCGCCTCCATCTTCTCCGATCTTTTCAAGGAAGCTTTTTGTGGCAACTGTCGTTCTTATCATCTTCATCGTTTACGTGTCCAACTTGGGAAAGATGATGAGCGTGACAGATGACGATGACAAAAAGTACATACAGTACATAACAGGAATGGGAAAAACAGAAAAATTCAGGTTTGTTGGTTTGAAGTGATGCAACAATAACCGGCGTGGCTGGGGTACAAAGGAAGGGGGGAGGGGAAAGGGCGGTTTTGGTGCAGATAATGAGGTAGGATTCTCGCAGCTCGCTGCACGAACGTTTCTTTGGGGACAGCAGAGAAGTGAACGAGAGTTTCGATAGCTTTAATCTCAAGGATGTATATATAGAAACTCAAACAAGTGTCGAATTTTTAATCCTAAAACAACTAATTGATAGAAAATGTTTTTGCTGGGGTTTTTAACTTAGAAATGCCGCACAAACGCAAAATGAACTCGAGGAGTAATACCTCGACAATTCAGAACAAGTCAATTAAAAATAAAAAAGTGTCATTGGTTTCAATTGATTGTTTATTAAGCTTACTTAATACAGCAAAAAAAGAAACCCTTACGTCTGAAAGGAAAGAGAGACCAATGATAGTTTATCTTTTATATTCTTTCCTTAATTGAGGATACTAATTTCTTGTTGTTTTTTCTTTCAATCGACAGTACCACGCCAAACACCTGTCAACCAAAAGAACACGTGCTTTTCTTGAAAACCCACAAGACAGGCAGCAGTACAATCACAAACATACTCAACAGATATGGAGACTTTCACAACTTGACTTTCGCTCTTCCCCAAGATGGTTTCTTTAATTTCTTCTGGCCTCTGTCGTTCGAAAGTACTTTTATAGCGGATCTTAAAGGTAAAAGACCGAATATTTTCTCCAATCACGCGAGATGGAACAGAAAATCGATGACTGAGCTGATGAGACCGAATGCAGTTTTTATTACCATCCTTCGAAATCCTGTCTCGCAGTTTGAATCAACGTTTTCTTACATGGAATTTGCTCAGTTGCTTAGAATCAAAGATTCAAAAAATTCCTTAGCGACTTTTTTTGTCGATCCTATCAATACCTTGGCAAAACTCTCAGATCTTTCAGAATCTGGATCTGTCTTTCCATATCTAAACTTGCTGAAAAATGGACAATTTTTTGACTTGGGATTGGAAAAAGAGCAATATTTTACCCATAAAAAGATAAAAGAGGCGTTAAATGAAATCGATGGAAGTTTTCACCTCGTCCTCCTGATGGAGTATTTTGACGAGTCACTCATTTTACTCGCCCGAGAGCTCTGTTGGGATATTCGAGATGTTGTGTATTTTAGGCTCAACCAACGGAAATCCTCCGACGCTAATACAAACCTTTCCGAAGAACTTGTGCAGAAGATTCGGCAGTGGAACAGAGCTGATGTATTACTTTATAATTATTTTAACAGAACGTTTTGGAACAAAATTGAAAAGCTCGGGAATATGTTTTGGATTGACGTTCATCGCTTGAGAAATTACAACAAGATGTTGGAGGAAGAGTGTTTACTCCCTGGGGAACATTTTGGAAAGGCGTACGCCAAGCAGTCGAAGTTTATCCAGGGGTACGCTTTGAAGGAGAATATCACTCCTCAATTGAGGCTTCTTTGTGGAAAAATGATAACCAATGAGATTGACTATATGGAATATTTAAGAAAAAAAGCCTTAAATTAGAACTTACTGCAGCTGATCACGATGCGTTCCCTATTTTTCTTATATCTGGGTAGCATTGAAAAAGAGTCCGGTAAAGAAAAGTACTGACATTTTATTATTTGAACATACGACTAAATTGGGTCGTTATTTCGTACCCACAGTCGTTTCTTGCCCAGTCGTATCTAACCCAGCTGGTTACGATTCGTATGCAGGTACGGTGGGGGAGTATAACAAGGTGATTTGGTTTTATCAACTGAGTTAATAATGTTAATCAGCCACCGTAAATAGCTTTAAGCTGATGTTTCGAGCGATTCATATCCAGTCAGTTGAATCGCTTGGTATCCATTAAGTATTTTACAGCAAGATTAGGTTAGACTAAATGAATAAACGAAAATAAATGAATTTATAATTTCATTTTACCATACAAGGGCAATGGATCACGTAAAATAAGTCACGGTATTACATTGTAGAGCAGGGCAAAAATACGTATAGAAACGGTCCGTGCGATCTAGACGTGACAGATTTTTAGACATGATTTTTTCAGCAAAAGCTTCAAGCACACAACAATATTTTGATTATCAAGAATTCTTTTTGGTTTCTTTTGTGGTTTTTTTTTTTCTCCCACATACTCCTTATGCGATCGGTATGATGATGATAGAGTGGAAATTGAAATTATATGTTTTAAGTCACAAAAATGCAATTTCATTTAATCAAAGAGGGGCGTTGAAGCTATATAACTCAGTTGTCCGCTTGAAAATTACATTCCGCGGTCTTCAAATTACTCGCTACCTGTTTCTTTTGGGATTCTGCGCAGTAGAGGTTTTCATTTCAAGTTTAGGATTCTCTTTTTGCGATTATGGAGGATATAATAGAGGAAAAAATGCATGGTTGTGCACTTTTTTGTAGAGGAGGCATTGTGAACATTGCATAAGCTATCTCTTACCCCTTTGGCTCGTGGCTCGGAATTCCTGACAACAGAACTTTCCTTCTAGTTAATTAAGAAAAATGATCCATTAGTTCAGAGCCCTCGCAAGTATTTTTGAACCTTTGATGGAGTTGTTACTGTTTGCGCAAACACGCTCAGTCGAGCAGCCTATGTTTACGTTGTGGCCTGTTCCTACCCAGACTTCCCACGGCTACGTAAATAATCTGTGATGAGGTCATGTGCTAGTACTATTTATAGGGTGTGTAAGTCACTTCTAAACATGTCGCTGCAACAAGGATATCAAACGCAACCTGTACAGCAACAACCAGGTATTTTAAAGCTTTTCTTAGATCTCCAAACAAAACGATCGTGATTGCGACTGTAGGTAATGTTTCATGTCTTGTAACTGAGAGAAACTTATTTAAAATATTCACTGACTTTCGCTCTCGGAGAAAGAGTAGGTACGTGATTGTTTTGCTTCCTAACGGTCTTAAAGTTTAAGTAGTGTTATTAACAAAACAGAATATGACAACAAACACGAGCAAACTAACGAGCGTTAGCTGAAACACAACTTTCTTCATGTGAAGCAAATGTGCGTGGTTTTTTCGGTGATCTTATGATTTGCATGCGATCAATTTGGTTTTGCCCCGTTTATTGTTTAACTGCTGCTTTTGCTGTCCATGAAATCAAAATGAAGTTGACATACAAGTTGTGCCCTACTCCTTTAGGTCCTTCTATCGATTGGTTATAAAACTGCTGACGTTTTTGAGTGTTAATGCATTATGATATTCACAAATGCCATTTCATTTTTTGTTAGCACAAGGTTTTTAACGACTTCACATCCGATTGTTTATAGTGTAGAACGGTTCTTTGCAGGTAGTACGTGCATAGGCTCAACATTTTCCAACAAATTTCCTTAGAACTAAAACGACAAAAACTGTACGCAAGGCGGCAATCAACTCTAGAAAATTGTTAGTTTACTTCACAACTGATGTTGAGATGGTTATTTTGGCGGTGACGACACGCTTTTTCAACTTTGAAAGGGGATCTATTTTAAGACCTGCAATTTGATGGCAGTCTAGGATTGCATGATATTCCCGTGTTAACCCCTCCACGATTAAGTGATACACTTTGCAAAACAAGCTTGAGACTGTGTGATATTTCTGAGAAAGGATAGAGAATTATGTGGTTGGAATGATATTCATTTGAGTAATTATTAAAAAAACAATTACACCCCTCAGGGTTATTGAACATTTTTGAATAATTGAAAGTTATTTCTTTGGAGGGTAAGCATGACTAACAACCCAAATTGCTTCATCCATAAGTCTTGTTTGTGGGAATAGCATATGTTTAAGATGAAGATGAAGTATATAAGATATGTGCAGAAAAACAGGCATAGAACTGGGAAATTAAGCAGCTTTCCATTTTTTATATAATTAGTTTCAGTAGCTCAGTACAGCAGTGACATTGTTTTGGAAATTAAGAGACATTGTTGTTAGTATGACTGTGAATATATGAAAATCCTATATGTGAACTGCAGTTTAAGAAATGAATATGAAAGTGATTTTTGCAGTAATGAACACTACTCAAGCAGTAGTGAAAACATAGCTTGAAAAAAATTGTTTTCTAACATAGAGTAAGAAGAAAAGTGACCTTGTATTTGTTTTGTAACATGGTTACATAAAGAGCTCTGAAATGATGTTTATGGTACCTTTTATACCAGCAAAACTACAGTGGAGCCTTTCTGACTCAGACTCACTGAATTCAGTCTTTATGTAACTCAAACTTCCTATTCTGTCAAACTGTTGGTTGTTGGACAGGTAATTCTGTGTCAACAACTTAGTTGAAAATGTAAATTGGCCACCATAAAGAGTTTAAAGGCTGACATTTCAAGCATTAGCCCTTCATCTATGGCTTTGATGAAGGACTAATGCTTGAAATGTCAGCCTGTTAAATCTTAATGGTGACAATCTTTGCAGGAGTTCCTGGACAGACAAATTGGATGCCTGTTCCTCAGGCACCAATAGGCTGCCCCCCAGGATTGGAATACCTGACTGCAGTTGATCAATTGCTCATTCAACAACAGGTTGAGCTTCTGGAAGGTAATTTGAAGAGAGTGAGAAATGTTCATTTCAGTCGCAACTTATTTTTCAATGTGCCATCATGAATTGAAATCAGCAGGCTCCATAAAAAAGCTGAAACAAAGAGGGCAACTTTGAATATTTTATCAGTAAGATTGTTTATTAAGGGTAAATATGAATGTTGTCCTTTCAACAAGCTTTTCCTCAAAATATTTGACAAACTCCTCTTACTGTTTGGTTAGCTGGAAAGGACATAATATTGTGATCCTTGGATAAAGATTGCTGAGATACAGAATTTGGAGTATTAGATGATCAAGCAAGGGGTGATGGGATGAGTTTGCAGAAATGTTATTACTCACATCTGTAATGGCATTGTCTGTTTTAGAAGGGATCTCCTAATCAGACTCAATCTTTTACATGTGATATGATTCTTGGTTCAGTCAAAATATTTCTTAAGTATCATAAGGGATTAAGGTGGCTTTAATCATATTTTATTTATCAAATGATTCGAAAAATTAACTTCAAAATGTGGACTGATCTTGAACATTAGTTGCAAACATTTTTCTGTTTGGATCAAGTTGATAGCTTTGTGCAAGTGACTTCCAGCTTAGCTCTGGTAGGATGGTTTCTATACCTTGATGGCCAAACCAGTCTTAATTTAAGCGTTATACCATAATACATGTTTTTCTTTTTCCTTATTTTCTCTTAGCTTTCACTGGATTTGAAACCAACAACAAATACAAGATATGTAATTCCATGGGTCAACAAGTATATTTTGCTGCTGAAGGTAATTTTGCTAGTGTTGTTTCTTTCAATTTACTATAATTTTAAATAAAATAAACTTTATACATTTTTAACACTAGTGGTATTTTTTCAGACACTGACTGCTGCACTCGACAGTGCTGTGGTCCTGGGCGTCCATTTGAAATGAAAGTTTTTGACAACATGCAAAGAGAAGTGATACATCTCTCCCGACCCCTCAGGTGCCAGTGCTGCTGTTGTCCTTGTTGTCTTCAGGAGATTGAAATACAGTCCCCACCAGGGACAGTTATTGGTTATGTGGAACAGAAGTAAGTGAATATGGTAAAACATCTTCATTTTCATTACTGAGCATAAAAGTTACAATCTTTCCTATTCTTTTTACCAACCAAAGGCTTTCGCAAATACAGATCCAAGCTGTTTCTGGAATGTGTGTCACCTATGAGCTCATCCAAGGCATGAGCTTGGACACTTTGATCAGAGTCCAGTGTGCAAGTAGTGAAATGAATATTAAAAATAAATATTAAGTGGGAAAAAATTCTCAAATGGTAAGAAGCAGACATTCAAACGGGCAGCATGGTGGAGGGTGTGAACAGGAACCACCAGATTATGAGCCTAGCCCCCTTATCCCCTCGCTACACCCAAACACTCGGCCATGCTGCAACTTAGCTTCACCCAAGCTACTCAGCCATTCTTCTTCTGCTACATTCAAAGTACTTCACCATTCTCCAGTTCAGCCATGCCCAAACAACATGGCCTGGTGCAGTTCAGCCATACCCAAACAACATGGCCTGATGCAGTTCAGCCATACCCAGACAACATGGCCTGATGCAGTGTAGTTGCATCCAAATGACCAGGCCATGTAGTAGTCTTCCTTACTCTAAACACTTTGCCACTCACCCTTTACTTGCAATTCATGATTTGATTCTGTGACCGTAGGTGGACATGGTGGAAAGCCAAATTGGAAATTCAAGATGCACAGCGGCAACCTATCATGGTAGTCAATGGGCCGTGCTGCCCTTGCAGTTGTGGATCGGATGTTGAATTCCCTGTGAGTCGAGTACTGCTTATTCTGCAGCCTAGTGTGATTAGATAACGAGAAAGGGAGGGGTGAGAGAGTGAATATGTCCATGCTTCATGTTTGTAATGGTTTCTGAATTGTGTTTAGTTATGTGTTCTTTTGAAGAGATATCTTGTTCCCACAGCTCAATTCTTTGGATGGAAGCAGTGAAATTGGAATGATCAGCAAGCAGTGGACTGGACTCGCAAGAGAGATGTTTACTGATGCTGAGAACTTTGGAGTGAAATGTAAGGACAGAACAGAGATATTTTCCTTTGAAAAGTCCATGCAATGAAGTACCAAGAGAATAAAAATATTTCCGTTATACACCCAGGGCTTCCTCGTCAGATCACGGTGAAATGGCTCGTTTCTGAGATTACACTTCACGGAATCTCCCCTAGGCAAAAATTTTGCAAGGTTCATATTAGAATGCGGGTAAACTTAGTTTCTTAGATCTTGGTTTTGCTTAGGTAGCCTACGTCGCCCCATCTCACTGTCGCCCCGTCACGTCGACCCCAAGCTGGTAACTTCGTCGCCTCGTGTTACACGGTTTGAAACAAAAAATATTGGAAATATTTATGGGTTATCTAAAAAACAGAATGAAGCGTGAACAAAATGAAATTCAGAAAAAATTATACCCAAGTGTTAAATGAAGAGGCTAGACCTTTTCTTTCCTATTTGCTGTGCCTCAGGTTTTTAATTCAGTTTTTTATTTCACTCTTTGTTTTTTGTCAGTCCCTTTGGATCTGGACGTCAAGTACAAAGCCATACTAATGGGAGCTACCTTTCTCATTGTAAGTACAGACAGAGCGCATGTTACATTTCTTACAACTGCAAAAGTTCCATGCCACGTCAGCGATTTTGTTAACGTCCATTGAAAGACTGAAATTTTTCTCACCTACTCAAATTTTTGAAGCTAGTCGATGACCAGAGCTACGTTTTGGCGTCTTCTTTGATCTGCTACTAAACAGACGCACGGAAAAAGGGATTATTTTTGTGTTATATTGTTGTTATAAAGAAGCAGAATTTTGTTAATGGTGATGTCATTTATGCTTTTTTCCCCCATTAGATCATTTGTAAGATCAAATAAAAATGTGTGTCATTCAGTATACTATTTAACCATTAAACTCCCATGAGTGATCAAGACAGAATTTCTCCTTACAATATCGCTACAACATCGACCAGATAAGTGATGACAATAAAGAAAAATATCAATTTGGGGATGATTAGTTGATCCAATACTAAATTCTCTGAACTAACATTTTAAGAATTGTATGGTTGACAGTGAGGAGAATGACAAATTTGATCTGGGAGTTAAAGGGTTAATTACCTCCATGTGATGAGAATATCAGTAACACACTCGGCGCCGCCTTATGTACCTTTTTTTTGTTCTCACTACGTTTTGTCGTCATCCGGGATCTATCACTGGAAAAACACGTCCTGCAACATTGCATCAATTTGATTCTAATGACTTGATTTATTTCTTAACTTTTAGGACTTCATGTTCTTTGAACACAGCAACAACTAAACGATCGCTGTGAGTTCACGTGCAGCCAGTTTAAAAAGAAGGAAGATTTTTAAGGGCACCTCTTATATGATCAACGCTACAGTCTTTAATATGTAATAAATGCACGTATATTCTGATATATGTTATCTGCTTGACACCTTTGTAAGCTTTAAACTCCGGCAATTCCAATTAGTAATCCTTCCTTCACTAGTCACGAACAGTACCTTGTTTATTAGTGAAGAGAATTTTGTGTTCAATCAAGGAACGCCTTGCAACTGATGAATTGCCTCTTCTCCCTACCTTTTCGCGGAACAAGGTATTGAAATTGGACGGGGAAGTTACATGTTAGCGATTTCTTAAAGTAGAAGGGTAAAATGCCGGTAGGATTTTTTTATGCAAGTTAAATAATGGAACAAAATGTTAACGTTGACACTTAAAATGTAAAAGGTATATTGTGCGGAAATAGCTCAAGGATTTTGATCAGAAGATTCGTAGATGATAGAGAACCTGTATTTCTTGATGAACTGCGTACACTTGTGTTTTCTCGCTATAGTTGTAAGTTCATACACGTTCGTGGGAGAATACCGCGCGAGTAAATTACTTTATACATAATTATTGCACCATGTATCAATAAAAATGTTGCAGAAAAACCTCAACGTTATCCAGCAGTTGGAATATACAGTTATTAAGGTGCGCTACCACATAGCTTCTACATGACTAAGACTGTTCATCTGACTCGTCCTGAGGCTTTTACCTTTTTGATAGAGGGCGTGGGAGGAGATTGTTTGGTCACTTTCAAACTTGAGAATCATTTTGCATTGAGATACGAAACACTGATCGACGGAAACTAGCGTTGTTTCCTCTTTTCTGGCGTTAAGCCGCGTCTTTTTCAAAAATTGTGTAATGTTTAGGACAGGATAGTCTACTAACGCAGAAAAACTACCTCATAAATCACACGACCTGTTCTTCCTGGTTTGCTTGTGATTTCCCATGCTAGAATACCTAACGTGTTCCGTCTCAGTTTCAGGCCCGTGGTAGGTGAAACGAGCGGAAAATACTGCCGCTTTTTTTTCCTTCTCACGAAGCGATGCTCAAGTTTGTTTCCACCTAACGAGAGCTCAGATGGCTTGAAAATTCTGATGTCCTTTGCAGCTGTACTCTACGATGTCACGCAATGCCTTAGTAGCGTTACGGAATAATTCTGTAATGATTTTAATCCTACTGTTCCACATAACAAAGTTTAAGGTTCTGCGAGACCCTAGGGACAAGCTTCTATATCCGGTAATTTTCTGGGAACTGATTGATCTAACCGGCTACCGGCTTTGGGGTTTATCATTTGTTTGTATCACGTGATCGCCATAGTTCTAGGAATTTCCTGCTAAAACAGTGATGCGTGTGATGTTCGGTATTCACTTCAGAAGCGAGGTATAAAGCTAGACAACAGAAATGGCCAGCAATAATTTAGAGAGCGAAATCCGTACTCTTAGAGAAAAACTCAAGAACTATAAAGTTGGAAGTATCGAGGGCTTGCATTCTTTCTCAGACGCTCTCGAAGGAGAAATGGAAGGATTGCACATACGGCTGGCCGTGTTTGGCATGACTGGTGCTGGGAAATCGTCGCTTGTTAACACGATTTGGAAGACTTTATACGGCCGAGAAAATGCCCCTGCAATCGAACAATCATCTGGAGCCGAAGGAACACAATTACTGGAGGATTTTCATTCGCAATCGGGGACAGAAGATGACCGTGGTGGCTTTGTATTCCATGACACAAGAGGTTTTAACTTCGATTTTAACAGAGCTGAAGAAAGTAGGTATTTAGTTTAACTGTTCTTTTTACCTGTGACATTTGATCAGTTAACAAACTGAAAGATATCCTCAAGCCTAGCGACATTTATTTTCTAATACTAGGAGAATTCGTCAAGCCGACAACAATAGTCGGCTTGACGAGGGGCTAGCCCAGAAAGTCGTCGGCCTTGAACCCTTTTACGATGGCCAATTTACATTATCAACTCAGTTGACAAAACCAAATTATCCCGTTAAAAAAACAGCGATCCGTAAGTAACGGCCCTGTTGGCTTAAATTTTTTCAGGGTAGTTGAATTTCATTTTACTTATAGGAAGCAAAATATATTCATTCAAAGTTATTATTCAATTTCAGCTTTCGGTTTCTACGCCAAAGGCGGAAGTAGTGTGTAATGCAAGATTTGACAGGGCTTGCGTGACATGGTCGATAATTAATGTTACAATAGGCATGCGCTTTAAAGTACCTTCAATTGCCAATTTTGTATTTAACCCTTTAAGAAATTACTAACAGAGAAGTATTGTATATGACTAAAGCAGCTACTCCAGGAGATTCTCAGAGTGAGAAAAATAGCAAAGAGCTGACAAACTCCTTTGACTCCAATCAGTAAAAAAAAGCTCCGAACTCTTAATCCTTTCAACACCCCCTTGGCCGTCGTTGTAATGCTCTCTCCAGTATATTTTTCACTGATTGTAGTTAGGGAATCTGGTGCTAACACTGGTGGAGATAATAAAATGGTACATAATGAGAAAAACCGTACGATATATTCCGTTGTATGATTTGCGTAGCTTCCAGTTATGTTTAAAAATAAAAATTAATGAAAACATTCTCTTTGCCTTTAGATGAACTCTTCAGAATATTATACGGCATCGTTCCTACAGGACAGCTTATAGAGCGAGGAGACTGGGCTGAAAAAATGGCCGAAGACGCTGGTCAAGCTGCTCACAGACTCGAAAAGCCTCCGGTTGCAGACCAAGTTCATGTGGCATTGTGGGTAATCAAGGCAAACGACATTCGTTTCGTGAATGGCCAGTATCTAGACAAGTTCAATTTTGTGAGGCAAAAATTAAACGCGGAAGGTGAGAGTTGGTAACTAAACATCTTTGCTTTTTATTTGTGCCAAAGTTTTGATTATAATCACTGTAAACCCCAAAGGAACTCAACCGGGAACTCAAAGGGGCCAAAGATCGCCTTCTCACGTTACCCATAATGGACACATACAATTTATTTTTTTTAATTGAAATTTTGATCTCATTCCCAACTAGTATTATTATTATTTCAAAAATTCGAGTTTTGTTATTCCGAAATAAACATTTCCAGGGAAATAGTCCGAGTTGTTTGATTTACACCCTTCCCCCACCCACGGTTTCATGGCATTTTATCCTTGGCCAAAGAGAGACATTCTAGAGACTCCATTTCCAAGCATTACCCCTGTTCGTCTTTGAGTTCTCTTTTTTTAATGTATTTTTGAAGGTGTTACCATAGTTACGGTTTTAACCCACGATGACAAATTGGACTCTGAAGAACGCAATGAAGCTAAAAAGAACGCCATGGAAGTGACCGGAAGTAAGAGGGCTCAAACATTTGTCTTTGCTAATTGGTTAGGAGAACAGGAAGAATACGACGTCAGGTACCAACGGAAGGTGTTGAAAATGTTGCACACTGCTCTTGGGTGCGGTGAGCGCTCTGTGCGGTCTCGGCAGATTCAACGGAAACTTAGTAAACAGTGAAAGACATTGACTGATAGCGAAACACTTCGCGTTTTAGGGTAGAGCTTCATTTTTTATTTGTGAATATAGCGATATTTTTTATGACATTGAAAGTCTTTTATTATTTCTTCTGGTCTGGATAATTGCTTTGAAGTGACCTCCCCCTAATCGTAAGTAGTGCAGTGAGCCGTAGCAGGACAGCGAACTTGCTTTTCTGTGAAATAAGTCTTTCGTTTGAAGAACGTACAAGGCTTTTCTGTGACTTCAATTTAAATTCAGTTACAAAATTGTAGCCAACTTTTTATTTGATGAAAGCTAATTCTCAATATGTATTCAGCTCTCGGCTTTTTAGGGGACAAGAATTAGTGATCTATTCAAACTGGTCTCACTTGCTTTCACACAATGAGAAAGGGGAGGCCTGGGGTGGGAACTCTCAACAGCACTGTAGAGAGAAAAGGTTGGGATGGGAGGAAGGGTAAGGGTAAAAACTGTCGAGAGAGACTGGGAGAGAGTAAATGAAAACAGATGATTGGACAAATATGAAGCCACTGTCAAAACGCTATTTCACGGACGTACGAGGCAAATCGGATTCTCCTTGTGGACAGTCGAGTGAGACCGCTGACAATATTACAGTAGACAACGTATAAGCGAGCACTATTTCAGTAACACATAGTTGTCCTTAGTTCATAACTAGGATAAACGTCAATGAAATGGTTTATAAAAGTCAGCTGAAACAACTTAAAAAGGGATTTTCATTTATTAGATATTATTATCATTAAATGCTCGTCCTTGGAAAAATTGTGATGGTAATCTTTTCATATTAACCTATTATGTCTTATCACAAATCATTTTCAACTATGTGAACCCAATGTTAATGATGCAGCTTGGATGGGAAGCTATGTTGGTCACAACTGGCCAATCACGACCGACTTACGCCACGTGAGTCTTATGGCCAATGGCACCTCGCGGAAAACTGACCTATCAGTTTTCACGGACCATACCAACAAAACTCGAAGTACAAAATAATCTCTCGGTGATTCTGATTACGACTTCCGCTGAGGAAGTCGAAACGTCAGTCACTTCTTACGGTGGTTTCTTGGACTTTTTCTCATGTCAAAATCACATTCCTTTTTTCCGAATAAAAAGCAATGACCGAAAGTAATGGCAACGAATTTTGATCACGAAAAATGGTCCGTTGCATCAACTATTTATAACACTGAATTTAAAAATTAACTCTGAGCTTGCCAAATTGTGCAAATACCTATGAATAATAAATAACAACACAAAATAACCAAAACAAAATTATTGTATTGTGCTGAAGTAGGACCTTCAGGATAAGGATCAGTCTCCTTTTGAAAAGGGAAAGGCTCCCGTTCAAATAATTTTTGAGAAAATTTACAAGCCAGTCATCATTCAGGTGTAATCATGGGCGTCAAGTGCAGTGAAAGATGTACATTTGCTAAGACACTAGTAATGACGATGATCGTCAAAACATCGTTTTTTCATAATACTTTGAAAAATTCGTTGTAGTCAGCGGTCTTAGTCGATCGATATGACCCAGCCCCTCTAACATGTCAGTGACCTGGTGTATCAGGGGGTGAATTCCCCCTTTTCGGCCATTTTTGGCTTTTATGCACTCAATTCGCTTTGAAAAAAACATTTTTTCCTTATTAGTTTAGTTTTAGCGGAGAGATATTCTTTAGCGTCTCTCACAGTTTATCCGGCCTTCAGTTGACGTTGTTTACCTTCTGGGCGAATACGACAGGTGTGAGGAGAATCAGTTTTGACCAATGAAACTTCTTAACTCGATCATTAATCGGGTATTTAATGAATAGTTTGAGTCAATGTCTATTCCCAGCAGGCAATAAAAATTGTTCCAGAAGAGTGTTATCCTATCCAAAGACTTCACTCAACGAAAGCCCCAGTGACGCACATAAAGATTCTGTCGACCTCGACCCGCTGAAGAAAACAAAAGTAAGTTGTCTTGGATTTGCAACAATTCTCACTCTCAACAGGGCTTATGTGCCTTCTCACCTTAGCACGGAACACGCATAATTCTCAAGGCTAATGTCGTGTTTTTAAGATGCAAAACAGGAAGCAAAATATTTTCGCTTCTATTTATCTAACACGAAATTTCCATGAAAGCTATTTATCAGCTTATCATTCTAGAAAAGATACTCGAATCTTCTTTGTTCTCTTTAAATGTTTTTTAATCTCATGGTCGAAACACAAATCCATTTTACAATATTTATTGACGAAAAGCGACTTAAAAATGATCGATTGAGCGATGAATTTCTAATTCAGCGGGATGGAAAAATCCTCAGCGAATTGTTCGATGAATCTACATAACAAAATCTGTCGGCGAGTATGCCTAATTATCAGCTTTATCCTTAATTTGAGTTGAAGAAGCTTAAGATAAAAATGTTGTGAGTACTACAGATTGTCGCTAAGTAAATATTCTGAGTTATTGAGGGTAAAAGCTAACGAATCAAAGGTGATAACATTCTAAAACGAAGGAGAGCTTTCATTGAAAGACAGTTACTTAGTAAAGAAGATACTTACGAGACAATTAAAACGCCACATAAACTTTGAAATTGAAAGTGATATTCAAAGAAAAGAGGAAAAACCGAGCGACAATTCCGCATGAAAAACTTCACCTGTTGGTGTCAAGCGCCCGTTTACCAAAAAGTCGCCACTGAAATATTAAGAGCTGCTGCAATTTGTCTTCTCGGTATTTTTTCGTTTGTGAGTGTGAATGACGCAAGGAAAAGAATGGACAGGTAAACAAAAACATTGCATAGGTCCATATGGACATCTCTAATGAAAGAGCCGCGAGAAAGAAATTTTAAATTCAAATCTATTAAATAATAAATAGTTCTTCACCTCGTTAGTTCCTTTGATAACATCCTTTACTTCACATATCTCGAATGACGCTTTACGGAAGAAACAGATCCTTAAGGTTGGTAACAATTTCATTTCGCTAAAGTAAAAACTTCACAGCACGAAACATCAGGGGAAATGGAGAAGACTAATGGTATCGCGCTTTCACAACCGATGATCAAAATTATTATGTTTGTCCCGGAAAAATAGTATGAGAAATTAGCCCTGCAGTCGAATGAACTAAATGTAATTCAGCTGGAGATAACAAAATATTTTTGCAATTAAAAAGATATGGGCAGCGTACGCGTTTAATTCCAGCCGGCCAATTTCGGTTTACCTAACATTTCCATTTCTTCATCATACACTGCTTTTCTCCGGAATCACAAAAAGGTTTAAAAGTTTCCCTGGTTCACCCAAGGAAAACATGTGTTGTCACCAAAACAGGGAAAGATTTTATGACAACCTCCCAGAAAGCGCGCTGTTTTTTGAAACTCTCTTCTGAAAGTGGTGCTATAACCACAGCAATTTGGTATGGTTCCCGATTAACGAGCAAACTTAAATTCACCTAAAATTCTGAATCCTTATATCGGATTTAATTGATAGCTTGTCAATTTTGAGAAATAAGTCGATGTTAAAACTTGTTAGGAAGTATACAGATGAGTTTCCTACAGCTCAGCAAATATTTCATAGATAAAGGGCGCAGCCGATTTACGATACAGGAAGGAAATATTAAAACTGAATTTGATGCAAAAAAAAATTAGCGGCGCGACGAAACACTATTAAAAATTCACAGCTGGTTCCGAATAAAATTCAACTTTTTGTCTCGTATCCTGCTGTTGGCACTGATTTTTAGTTGTGTTTGCCATTTCGATCACTTGAGAATAAGACAGATGAGAGAAATTTTAAGTCTGAAAATTTCATTTCTGCTTTGCTTATATTTACAATACAGATCCTTCTGAAGAAATGACGTTCGTCTACACTGTATTTTTTATTGAATGGGAAACATGTAAAGATTTCTTACGAGACATACGATTCCCTACGCGAAGTCAAATTGAGGTTCATGTGTTTCACCGTAAAGATACCGACCAAAATCAGCTTCGCAGCATGATTCCCGACAAAAGGCACCACGACGGCCGTCCAATCATCATGAAGCACTCTTCACTGACATCATTTCCGAATGCTGTCGAAGATTTGCTCGTCTACTACGCGAGTTCGTTCGATTTTTCAAGGCATAAGAAACCCGATGTTTACTTGGTCTCGGGCCAGGGTCGGCGCTACGAAGAGTTAGCGAAGATCTTACGAAAAGACAAAAGAGTATCGGCATGGGTTATCGACGGGAGAAGGACAACGCTTCTTGACTGGCTCGATGCCAACTGTGTTTGCAAAATGTGCAAGTTTATATTCGAATCTGCACACGAAGGAGTTCAGCATTACGATGAGTTTCATATGAAGTAAACGGACACGTGGAAAGGATTAAACCAGAAAACAAGAAAAAAAAACTCTCCGCTGACGATTTTCCCGTTGTGCGGGCTAAGATGAAAACGATTCAAACATGAGAATCATAGATACCCGCATAAACAAAATTGAAAGCTTGGTAAAGATGACTTCATAAACATGCCTGGCGTTTGTTATTAGACAGCCCATCACCGTTTTCCTTTTACTTTACGGTAAGGTACCTCGATGAGAAAAACCTGTTTTTCTGTTGTTGTTGTTGTTGTTGTTGTTTTTAATCAACCATCAAATATATAGCGCAGTGATAGGTGCGTCGCATTTTCACAGATAAGTGTTAAGATTTGCCAGGCAATCCATATAGACCCAACAATTCATATGAGAAGGTAGACAGCATAATTTTGTCAATAGCGCGTGTCTAGGATATGTTTGGACGTGGGCCAGGAATTCCATCTGTGGGATGACACACTTGCTGTGGAACTAACTGAACTAAACTCGCCCTCTAGACGCTATTAAGTAATTCTAAAATTCCCTAAAGCAGCTCGTGTCTGTCTTTCCAATAAAATTTATATATGCTAAATATTTTAATAACTTAGGTAACAACTACCTCAGCTGTATGAAACTTATCAACAAGCATGGCTTTTTGATCAGTTCAATAAATGAATGAAATGAAACTGCAGAGAGGGTGTTTTGCATGAAATAATTTTAAATGAGTTTCATTCTTAACACTCCAAGGATCAAAGTCGTTGAACTGGAGGCAATCACCCACAATTTTTTTTCTTCCTGGTCCTCTCCCATCTCTTGGTGCTATGCACCGTTCTTCAGTGGCCTTTATCCATGTGGTAAATCACTATTTTTTTTTTCATATTTTTCCCATTTTTCAGGTTGTCTTACACTCATTTTCCTTCTTCATTAGAAAACGGCTAAAATGTTTTTTCATCCACACTGTAGCTGATGAATCTTAAAATGCAGCAACACCTTTAGCTAAAACAGCATGCACACAATGTGGTTTTTAATCATCAAATGAAGACAATTGAAGGGCCGTTACCATAAAGATCATGAAAAGCTTTTCTTTTGGTCTGGATTTGTGTAGATGAGAGACCTAATTAAAGCTCCATTTAAAAAAAAATGGTTTTCATCCACACTGTGAAGGAAAGTCATCATTTTCAAATATCTTGTTTGAAGAACATTTTAGAAAAACTCTGAATACTTTATTTGCCTCATTAATTGATAAATTCATAGCATCAATGCATGTTCAACCTCATGAAATGTGTACAAAATTCAGATATATCATAGTATTAGATCTCAGATAAATATAATTTTCATTACCTCTGTAATTGTTTACCCCTGAAAAAATTCAGATATGATTCTTCATCTTTTATCAGATCTTCACAAAGCTCTTGGTTTCTTTTGCCAATGTTTGGATTTAGCACTAATTTTGAAACTGTTTGTGATTTTTTATCTCTGTGCTCCCCAGGGACAAGGCATTCTTCTTTCATCTCCAAAGACCTCTTTCTCAAGAGGTGTACTTCATGCCAGAAGTTTTCACCTTGAGAGTCAACTTTTTTCCAAAATGTTCTATTAAAGTGTTGGTAAAGAAAGACATCAGCTTTGTTCCATTGCAAAAATCTATCTCTAAACTGCTTGGGTATGTGGTGTTTCTTAAAGGAACGTACCCTCGCATTGTGTCTCAGATATAACACATCCTCTAAACTCCAACAAAAGTGGTGCTTCAGTAATACCAAAGACTCATCAAAATATTCTAGAAGTAACACCAGATCAAAATCTCTCTCAACTGAGGAGATGAAGTTTCTAATAACTTGAGTGTTTTCAAAGTCCTCAGGTTCAAGTCCAAGATCAAAACTCATGCCATTTCTTAGGGTGTACATAGTGTTTATATTGGACTTGTATCTATCAAGTCTGTGTAAAATTTGATAGAAAGGATTTGAAGAGCTAGAGAAACCAAGCAAGGCTGGGATATCTTCAAAAAGAAATGCTGATTCAAATCTTGAAATGGGATGTCGAAGGATAGTAAAGAACTTTGTGTCAGGGGGCATCAATAGCCTCATGGAGGTTTGGTTATATCTGAAAAGAAAATAGAAGAAAAAAGGTAATTTTTATTTGTAAGAACTGGGTGGTAAATCAAAACTAGAAATGGTCCCAACCTAAAAGGATGATTATTAACCCTTAATTCCTGAGAGTGACAAGCGGCTAATTTCTCCTTACAATATCACCACTGAATCAAACATTGAGGTCACAAGAATAAAGGAAGTGATCACCAGCTAAAGAACCTCTTGATTTTTCAACATTCTTCCTGTCAACACCTCAGGAATGTGTACAGAAAAGTGTGGAGAATATGCGTACTGATGTTAAGATGTAAATGGTTAAAACAGTAGTAAAACAAAAAACAGTATGGTAGAACTCCTCAAGATCTTGGGTACACCAAGCAATTTTTTAGATTTCTACACCTAAGCAATATGACTTGAGAAATAGAAATGGGCAAAGTTGCAGCACCCCTACTTAATCTTATCATACCCTGCGAACTGGCCCCCTATAAGATAAAAATTATTTCACTTGCCTTGCATGACTACACAATATATCTGGCTTCTCACTTGGTAAATTGTCTACAAAATTCACTTGAAAACTCCAGGGCCAATAAAAAGAGAAAATTTGACTCCTTGGTAAGGCCACTCTTAAATCCTCTCTTCTAGCAAATCTGAATAAGATGTTTGCTACAGAGCTTCCTCCTGTCTTGTGTGTTTTCAAAAACAAAATTCTTTTGACAGAGTGGCACTTATTGCTAGAAAAAATAAAATCAAGTATTGTTAGTAAGAGAAACCACCCGTATAAGGAGGACAAAGAAACCAGTCTATCCGAATCTTCAAGTTTTACCGATCCCTATTTCGAAAAAATAAGCCAAATGATTGCAAAAAAATAAGGGAAGTGGGAAAAAAAACTGGACAACAAAAAAGACAAAGCCATATTTTCAACGGCAATCTGTAGTTTTACCATTTTTTTAAGTCAAGAACTGCGTGCAAAATGAAGTATATAAGGAAATCTAGTAAAAAAAAGTTTGTACCCTACCAAATCTAATCAAAAGATTAGAGAAACAGATCCAATGGAAAAACATTCCGTTACTAGGAAATCAAAAACAGTTATAATCATTACATAACATACCTCCTGAGAGCTCTAAATATCGGTAGGGCAGCATATTTAGTGATCAAAATGATGACGAACAAAAGAAATGCTAATTTTCTCAAGCGAGACAGATCGAAAAGCCTCATTTCCTGTCGTCCGCTTTACAGATTCCTCAGCATCCAATCGTGTCCATTTCGTCCGCCATGTTTAATTCAATAAAAAAGCGGAGGACTGGGTCGAGTCCCTAACGTTTTACAACTCGACTCCAGTTTGCCTCGGTGGTGTCCAACAGGCATCAGACCGGAACCACCGAAAAAGGGAACAGAAACTTCACCAACACCCTTTCTCTCATTTCCTCCAGAGCTGACGAGATCGGAGGGCTTCGATATTTTCTATTTGTGGGACAGTTTCATTGAAATAACTGGTGTCATAACAGTTCCAACCATCTCAAGTACCACTTATAGTTAACCCACTTGTTAAAATTCTTTACTATGTAAATAATTAGCTCTAAAAAGCAGGAAGACATTTAAAGACTCATGTAGGTTGTGGAATCAAAACTATTAAATACAAAGGAACATGCCGGCTCTAGACGATTTCGATTTCCCCACCCCCCAAAAAAAAAAAAAAAAAAAGCCAAGATACAGATTTTAAACGCTACTTGAGTTTTATTCTGTGTTCTCAATGCCTTTCTGTTTACAATAAACTTCATACTAAAATGTTTGCTTTCAAAGCTGGTAACTAGGCTAAGGACATTTACAGAAAGAAACATTTCAAATAAAATAAAATGAACAAAAATAATTATTAAGTAATATCCGTTTGTTTCCTGATGTGGTCACTTCTGATGTACTAATTCACATCGCACTACGTTATGAGCTAAACAATTAATACTTTATAATTATTGTGAAAGACCATAAATTGTTTATATAGTATAGTACTTGACTTTTTCCCAAGTGGAGATATACTTTAAGTTAGCTATTTGCCGAACTCCAATTAAATATCTGCATTCTGCATCCTCGACTCAATGTATATAATTGATAGTTCTGTTAGTAGTAAATTTGATTGTAATATCATTCTGTAAGACTATATATTTTGTAACTTTAGCTTGTTTATCCAGATAGTTTATTTAGTTACTTTACAATTATTATATTATCTGTTATGACTGCTGTAACCTTTCCTCTCCGCCTGCCTCGTCTAGCTTTTGCTATTTGCGGGTGGAGATGGCAAAATGATTTGCATGAAATAAAGTATAGTGTGTGAGTACTTAAAAAAAATATCTCGTTTTCCTTGGTTGCTTTGTTTGTTTGTTTGTTTTTTGTTTTAAGTTTCTATTTTTCACGTATCTAGTCAGCTTTCTTTTTTTTTTTTCCACTCCAAGAAAAGAGAGCTTCATCTTGTCAATAACGCTTGTGACTCAAGTATCATTCTGCTGTAAGTTGATTCTCTCCATAATAATCCATCCATTGTTGTAGTTTGTAAATTTGTCCCTCAACAGAGCTCTTAGCAGTTCCTCCCTCAGCTGAATATTGTTCCACACTATGTTCATAGTCCCACACTTCATTAACATCTTCCTCAAACAGTGGGCTGGAAAGAGCACACAAGAAAAAAAAACTTAAAAAAATTATGGACTTTTTATTTCACCAAACTCTTTCTAAACCAGTAAATGCATATCCTGCAGCCTAAACATTTTCCCAGGCTCTTTCATCTCTCTCAATTCAGGTTTTTTTTTAAGGAGGGGGTGAAGGAAGGGGTTAGGGAGGGGGCAAAAGAGGGAAGGGGGGAAAGGGGCAAGGGGGGAAGGGGGGAAAAGAACAGAGATCTTGGATCAGAGTTGGATTTCATTAAGTAGAATATTAAGTATGCTTATAATTAGTGAGATAACGACAGTTAGCCCACATGCCCTTGTACGAGAATCTGTCAGGAGTAGAGAGAACATGCAGCAGTATTGCTGCAGATCTTTTAATTTTGAGTGAAAACAACATTGACTCCATTGAGATAGTAGCACTAAATGGAATTTATGATTTTGAGAAAAAACCTCTTGATTAACAAACAGCAATAAGGGTTTTCAAACCAGCAGCAGCCTTTGACTTTGGCTCACCTGATTTGCTTCAAGTCATTCAAAGTGAGTTCATTCAGAAGACAGCCTTTGGTTTCCGCAGCCTGAACTACCTCACCGGACAACCTGTGAGCCTCACGGAAGGGAACCTGAAAGCATACATACAATATATAACTGATGGTTGAATTGTGTTGGACTCTTGCAAGTCCATTAATTATATAAACTAATCCACTTGGGTAAAAGTTGAGAGTTCATTTCCTTGCCCATTTTATAGACTTCTTTTGAGATAAGCTTAGACTGTTTTGCATTTCTCTGTTGTCTTCAGACCTACCCCTTTCCGCACAAGGTAATAAGCCAGGTCTGTGGCCAGCATATCTGGACTCAGTGCAGCCAACATCTTGTCTTTGTGTATCTGATGATAACAAATAAGAATGAACAATAAGTTCAGAAAAAAGTAGGAACTTATATAGAGTCCAAAGCTCTATTATCTTGTAAGATTCATTGCTCACCTTGAGTGTGAGTAAGGTTCCAGTAGCTACTTGAAGTAAACCACGTAATGTGTCACACACATCAAACAATGGTTCCTTGTCTTCCTAGGAAGGAACAGGAAGAACTAATGTCAATTTGGGAGCAATGGAATTCTTTTAAAGTAGCTCACGACCTAATTTCTAATCTTCCTCAATCTTCCTCAATTACCAGATGACCTGAGATCACAGGTTTTTATGGAAAAAAGGGTGGTAAAGGGATTACAAATCTTTCTGTATTTCTCAGCCACAAATCTCACCTGTAAGTCTTTGTTGTAGGTACTTGGGATACCCTGCACAATAAGAATAAAACAAGGTGTATCTAATTTCTCATTTGAGAAACACTGACTGTAAATATATGAAAAAAAAAGTGAACTGCAGATAAAGAATTGAATATGGAGGCGATCTTTGCAGTAATGAACACTACTTGAGCAGTAGTGAAAATAAGGCCTGAAAAAATTCAGGCCTGTATGGGATTTGGACCCACGACCCTGTGCAATACCAGTACAAAGTATCACTGTCGAATAAAGCATTAGGCTTGTGAGAATTAAGGAAATGATCGCAAGCATAAAAAGTTGTTGATTTTTTAACAAAACTCTCCTTTCAGTGCCATGGGAAACTTGTATACATACTGATGTCAATATAAAGAATTTCCTGCAGTTGAAATTTCAAAAATGGTTTGTGTCAAAAGTCTACTAGTCAAAACTTATTGCAAGTTTGGATCCGTGAAAATCTTTTCCATCCTTTATTATCTTTATTTATTCCTTTTAGTTTCTTCCAACTTCTTAGAGTTTGCACATCCTGACAAAGCATCATTTTAAGATAAACCTCATGATGTTTAAAATTGTACAATACAATCTTAAGACAAATGTTAATAAAATATGTTACCTTCAAGGTCATCTGCATGCCTGCACACTGCAAAAAAAAAACAAAAATTAACAACCATTATTTACAAAGTAAACTAGATATCAAACCTCAAGGACTCTAAGTCAAAACTATTTACGTGAACTCAATGTTTTTGAATACTTACTCGGCCAAAGATTCGTCCTGACTTCCCTCGAATTAATTCTAAACTGTCTGCATTTTTCTTTTGAGGCATTAAACTGCTCCCAGTGCTGAAATATAATCAACACAGACCAGGTTACCATTGTTTAAGCTCGATGAGTTTTGTCATCAGTTAATGAATGATGTGCTACTCTATCATAAATGTGCTCTGCTTTTCCCAGTGAAATAAGAGAACACAATACCAAGACAGTGAGGGCCTTTTGATCAAGGCCATAAAACCAGAACCAAGGAAATCACTATCGCCAATTACAACCAAGGAAACTATCACAAGGAGCCAATAAGAACTTACAATAAAACACACCAATACAACCAATAAGAACTTAGAATAAAACACACCAATACAACCAATAAAAACTTAGAATAAAACAAACCAATACAACCAATAAGAACTTAGAATAAAACACACCAATACAACCAACAAGAACTTAGAATAAAACACACCAATAAAGCTATTAAGAACTTACAATAAAACACTCCAATACCCTCTGAAGGACAGAAAAATGCAAGTGTTAAAGACCAAGTTGCATCTTATTGGTGGAGAGGGTGTCACAGGGGAGTTTTTCAGACCAATCACAAAGCGAGGAAGAGAAAAACCAAAAAATTGCCCTATCCCCTTTGAATATGCATTCCCACAATCCCTGTTTCCTGAGCAGGAAAAGTTCTAGAAACGCGATTACAAAGGTATCATGGATCCCATCAGAGGAATAGATAAGTAAAAAATAAACAGAACTTGAAAAGAAAACCAGCCTGTAAGCATCAGATAATGACATAAACCCAAACTCTTTGGTTGAATATAGAATCATGTCCTCTGCCCAGCGACTGTGAAAGAAGATGAACAACAAGTATGATTTGAGGAGAAATATTTCACTTACTTATGAGGAAGAAGACATGAGCTTTAAAAACAAAAAATATGAACTGCTATAACATCTTAAAGATACTCATCACCTTGCCTCAGGATCAAGTTTTTATGGGGTAGGGAGGGGGAGGGGTGCTTGGTTTGAAATCATTTCAGAAGTTTGAGATAAAAATTTCATTCATTCCTACATGTAATTTGATGCCATGATCTGATTCCCCAAAGAATATCGTTCTAAATTTCTAGACAGGACATGATCTGCTACATCTGTGAAAATACTTAACTGTAGGTAACTGTAACCATAAAGTTGAAAGAGGTACAAATTATAAAAACAAAGAAATTTAAAAGGACTAAAAATTTGATATACAGCCAGAGAGAAACTACCAAGCTGACAAGTGACCTAGTGGGTCTTCCCTTCTTTAAGTTAAAAATTTTTATATAACACTTTTCCTTGATTCTGTTATATTCATTGTCAATTAAACCTGAGATGTGTTGACAAGAGCGAAGCCCAGAAGAGAAATTCTACAATATAGTCTCTGTCCCCTACTGCATCCATACTGTTCCCTGTCACGGCGGAGAAATTTAACTCTAAAAATAATTCAAAGAATAAAGTTTGATGGAAGAAGATTCATCAAAGCTCAGATATGCAGAACAGAAGAATTTAACCCTTCTATTCCCAAGATTTCATTAGAAATTCTTCTAACAGTCAGTCTGCCATATAATTCTTATGATGTTAGTTCGGATAAATTGGTATTAATCCCTAATAATTTAAAGTTAAATAAATATCTTTATTCTCACCACTTGTCTTCTTGATATTGTATTAATGTTGTAAGGAGAAATTCAGTCTTGGTCACTCATGGGAGTTTAGGTGTTAAGGAAGACCTTAATTTTCTTGTCAGGTAAGGTGATGATGGAGGCAGGTGCTGTGCAACATCAGTGAGAAAGTAGGTGTTTATCAAGATGTCCATGTTTATGTTTATCAATCTTTAATGTTGATAAAAATTAGTTGTTGATACCAGGAATAAGTTGAATGGAAAAACTATCTGAAAATATTTACCTTTGGAAAGAAACTGACGGTCAATATTGAAAGGATTCCCTGCAATGGCACCACTAAAAAGGCAATAAAGCAGCCAGACAGGCACTTATTCAGCCAATCAGTCAGGCAGTCATACAGGTAGTCAGTCGGTCAGTCAACCAATCAGTGGGTCACCCAAACAGTCTCTCAGACAGCAAGTCAGACTGTCAGTCAGACAGGCAGTGAATGAGTCAGTCAGGAAAACAGATAGTCATTTGCAAGTCAGTTACACAGCCATTAATATTCTGTCAATCAATCCATCAGTCTTTTGGCCACTTTCAGTGAGTCAGTTAGTCAATTGATTGGTCAGTTGTCTATTAATCATGTTATTCTTGATAAAAGCTCTCATCACTCAGAGGTAAGAATGTGTTTTGTGACAAGCCCATAGAATGTATTTGCCTGTGGAATAACTTTTGTGACACCAAGAAGAATTCAAACCAATACCTTTCAATTTATACTCCGATAAGAGTACGATAAAGTATGTGTCAGACCTTCCCCCTACACAGTTACCCCCCTCCAAACCACCTTCTTGCCAGTTTTCTCCTCCCCATGCCTCCTTGCACAGTCAGGTCAATACCAACCTTCCAAGAGGGTTGACGTCAACTCGTTTAGAGACCTCTTCCAAGCGATCATAATCTCTCTTCAGTGCCCAAGCATAACTAAAAAAAAGTAAAGCAAAAATGTCAAGCTTTTTACTTACCACAACAAGTTGAAGTTTCACAAAAAAAAAGGAAAAGTCTCAGAAAAAAATCAATCTTGAGATCAAATTTTTAACTATTTAAGTGAAATGATTCAAGCATGGCATAGCCTCTATTAGCAAACATATACCAGACTAAATGACTGTGAATGTATAAAAATCATATATGTGAACTGCGGATAAAGAAGTGAATAAGAACTTTTCTTTGGGCAGAAGTGAAAATAAGGCCTGGAAAAAAAAAAAAAGAAGAAAATTCAGGCCTGCACCACCTGAAATCCTGTACAGGTCTGAATTTTTTTCAAGCCTTATTTTCACTACTGCTCAACTAGTGTTCATTACTGCAAATTGCTTTCATATTAATATACCAGACTTAACAACTGACAATTTAAAATTGAGAACTGCTGGTATATATGTAATATTATGTACTGCTTTCATCATTCATTCATATGCAATCCATGCATAGTATAAATAGCCACATTCTTGCTTAAACCATTTTCTCAAGCTTTTGTTAGTTCAATTATTTCAGTCTTATATAAATCTTTATTAATAGTTACTCATACCTCAAAAGCCAGTGACTCCATCTTATTGGTTGAGCCCGCTAAGATAATCAAAAGTACAAATTTTTATGTGAACTGCTATGCAATTATCTCAATAAATAAGATTTTAATATAAACAAAGGTTTTATAGTTTATCAAACAAGCTTAGAATTAGCACCTGCAGATGAGTGTATCCCGGCATCAGAAAGTCGATTTCTCTATAAAAACAGAAAATTATTAATTTTATTTACCAAAAATACTTTAAAAAATAACTGACAGAAAAATATTTGAAAACCAGGCCTCAGTTGTTCAAAGGGTGAATAACACTATTCACTGGATAAACCTCCACCTGGTGCATAGAACAGTTTGTTTTGTTAACACTCATCTGCTAGATAGCAATTTATCTGTCAGATAAAATTATCCCCCCTTTGTACAACTGGGCCCAAGTCTGCACGTGCACATTTAAGATTCTTTGGCTACTTTCTTTACTGAGCTGTAAAGTTTAATCACTTGTTTGTTTGTTTGTCATTTTTCATCATTGAATTACTGGTTTTACAAACTGCAAACTGATGGAAACTTACACTTTAGCTCTTACTAGAAAGGCTTTAATCAGCTCAAACAACAGGGTTTGAAGAGTCTTGATCTCAGTTTTAAGCCACAATCTGTGAAAGATATTTGTAAAAAGACAAAATCTTGTGAAAATGAACCCAGATAGGTATCTCTGTATTGGTTTACTGTAGACAGTGTATCAAACACCTCCACACACCCCCCCCCTCTCTAGTGCATTCTACCTTTGGAGCTTCAAGTTCTCAAAAGCCTCTTCCTGTCCCAAAAACTCTAAAATAAAACACAAAGCATGTGGTGGTAATTCTAATGATTATACTGTAGACATTAATGTTTGGTAACCTTTTAGTTTAAAAAAACCTTGTATATGTATTTGAATAGTTGCCAACTAAATAAATGCACACTTTTACTCTCAAAAAGTCTCCACAGATGTGAAAGCCCTGGAAATCAGTTTGACATCATCAATTTCTGGTTCATAACAATGGTTTTATTTTGAGGTTTGATAAATAAAATACACTTATCATAGATAAATAAGTCATTCTAGCCCTGGTGTTGTACGTTTTTTTACCTTGCATCCACTTGAGCCTTTAAGAAGGGAAAAGTGAAACATTTTACAACAAAATTTTTAAAGCCATTTGATGCATTATTAAATAATCATAACAAAAAGAGCTATATGTCAAACATTACACTATGATGACTTAATTTATCATTTTTGGGGCAAAAATCATAAAAAAATATAAATGACTAAATAATAACCCTTAAACTCCCAAGATCTGAATGTTAATTCTCCCCACTAGTTGCTACAAATATCCATGTAAATTAGTTGTGAGAATTTGGTGTAAGATCAAGATAACAAATTCTACCTGATAAGTTTGAATATTCTCATTGCCTGTTTGTTGGATAATGTAAGGATATTATTGGGAGAAGTTTCATGTCGATCACTTCTGGAAGTAAAATGGATAATCAATAAAAAAGTAATAATACCTGGTCATTTCTGCTCCTGCCAGTATGAAGTTTACCACCAACACTTCCAACAATTTCCTGTAAATACAAAGTAACAAATTAATTCTTTTAGAGTACATCAAGGTATCATACACATGTGACAACAAATCAAGTTACCTTTAATCTTCTTTCATTTGCTGTATGAATGTCTTCATCTGATGGTTGAAGTTCAAAGCTTCCATTTGACCATTCATCTCTGACCTGATAAAGATCAAAACAACATGACAAAATTGTTTTACACCTGCTTTAAATTATATTTTATTGATTATTATAGTCCAAGAATGATTTAAATGCAGCAATGAAATGGATAAAATGTACATGCAGTACTAAAAAAATGGGTCTACAAATGTTGTTGATGTTGAGTACAATTGCAGTACAAATTAAAGTAAAAGGTAAATTTTAAGTTTCTCTAACTGTTGATGAAATTTATCTTGTTCATAGCAGGTATCTAAAAGTGATCCCATAAACAATATTCCATCAAAACACAAATGATTACAAATCCAATCACATATGAAGCTAATGAAACTAAAATTTTGAAGAACACACCAAAAAATACTTGCATTATCATGCCTGGATGTTAAATTCCTCTATGATTAGAATGAATACTTAAAAAAAGGACAGGTATTCATAATCCAAGTACTCAACTAACCTTGCCTAAGCCACTTAGGATTTCTTCCATTTCATTCTTGGTTACTAAGCCAATTTTCTCTATTGCTTTAACATATGCTTCACTTCCCTATCATCAGAAACATTTTCACAGTGTGAGAAATATTTAACATTAAAACTTACCACTCCAAGGTTAAGGCCAAAACAGATCATTATCCATAGCAGTTATAGAAATATTTTGACTGGTCAACTGTTTTTAACCCTCACAGACAATTACGAATCATTTGGTGATCTGTCTGTCTGACTGACAAAATAACATTTAATGCATCTAATGGGAAAATGGACAGACTGAAAACAGATGGACAGACTCACTGAATGACTCACTGGAGTACTGGCTGGGTGACTGATAGGGTGACTGAATGACTCTCAGTTTGAATGACTGACTGAATGAATGGCAGACTGACTAAACTCCCTAACTGGCTGGTTACATTTCCAACTAATTGACTGGCCCTAAAACTAATCAGCAAAGAATAATTTACAACCTAGCCACTGCAGCTAACCAATGAACTCCTGAATGACTGAAAAAAAAATTGACAAGACAAACTAACTGACCCGCTCACTAACTGACAGACTGAGACCCTCACTAACCTACTTACCAAAGGAAGAACTGATTAAAAATGTGACAGACTTTGAACCTCTCTTAGGATTAGAAAACAAGATTACCATAATGTCTTCTTTCCACATTCTTTTATCAAATCCAATGGAGGCGTTGAATTTATTCATCTCTGGATCAACATCACCAGAAAAACGTCCACCCCACAGCTTATTGCCCTGTGTAATAATTATGAAGCACTTGGTTACACGATGGAGGTACGTGTTTGCATAGACAATCTCGTGAGCGGATGAACAAGAGTAGTGTACATGTTACATAATACATGTTAGCTTGTTTTACCTCGCTTGCCATTTAACAATTTATCGTCCGTGGAATTGCTCAAATTGAATACTGTCTCTCTTTCCTTGGTAGTGAACAGGATAGTGCCGAAGAAAAGTAGAAATCTCCAATTTCTTCGAAAAGAGAACAATACAGCTGAGGATTGTTTATGAGCCTGCAGTACTGAAAGTAGATTAAAGAGAAGAGACTGGGATTAGTAAAGATGGCGGACAGAGGAGATGAAGAGTGGATGGAACATGCATTAAATTTGGTAAGCAATCTCGTATTTTTTGGCGTTCTTTTGTGTACTGTTGGATAACTAATAAGTTAGCATCCAAAAATAATAATATTCCTGATAAAAATAGTATGGTGAATTTTGGCTAGTGATGAGTTTACATAGAAGCCCTATCGCGAAGTCGAGCAAACTGTTTCCTTTTCATAATCGTCTGTGCTTTTGTTCTTTTTAATTCTCCCATACTACACGATAAAAGTGAAATACCATGATAATGGGATCTATGGCATTCTTACCGTTTGCTAAAAAAAACATTTCAGCGTATGATACTCTGTGTTGAGGTTATAAGGTATTGCGTTACAAAGCTACTTATAAGGTAATCACGTTTCGCACGGTGAACCAGCTGTCACGCAACAGTCTACTGCCACATACATCTAGCTACTGCTTTGCTTACTGTGTAGCGTCAGGAAAAAAGTGTGAATTGGTTCACCATAGCCTTCTGGTAACCTCAAATTACTAAAATACAAGAATGTTTGGAGAGTGTTACACGCGTGAATTTGTAGCTATTTGTGTCTTCATGGAAGGTGCTTCAACCTGCAAGGGAAGACGCGGAAAAAAAGGAGGCAGAAGAAGGAGAGTTAAACAGTAAACACAAAAAAGCGTTTCAGCGATCAATGCCTGAAGCGCAATGCAAAGTGAAATGAGGGACTGTATGTGAGATTTTTCGCGAACTGACGCGTACAGAAACTTCGATCGAAATAGACTCAGGCCACTGAATCTCTTAAGTCTAGTAAGAACCCCTATCGATGTCAGTCAACAATATTTCCGCTCCGATGCAGACTGCAAAAAAAAATTCCTTTTTCTGGTACGGCAAAATTGAAAATGATAACAGCTTGATAACAACCTTAGGATTACAAGAGCAACCTCTTTAGCTTTCGAAACTGTACAGTGTGTCACTGTAAATCAATAGTGGTTTTGAAATCTTTGAATAGATGACGAGAAGAAGTTGACGTGAAGTGTCATCAATCTCGCGCCTTCCGTTCTACTCTCAAATTGCTTTTTGTTTTATAATCTCCTGAAGTAAAAGGATACCAAAATAAAATTTCCAGGACTCGATAGATCTTTATTTTTTTCCAGTAGTTAAATTTCTGGACATTGAAAAAGACTTTTTCTCAGTGATACCTTAAAACCTCTAGACAAGAATAGATGGGTGATTATTATTTTTTGCTGACCCGCACAACACGAATCTCTTGTCAGGTGAATAGTCAACCTTTGAAAAATTATTTTCGATAAGCGATTTAACCCTTTACACCCTAATATCATTATGCATATTCTTCATGCTGTTCTGCATTCATTTCCTTCGGTGCTGACCAGGAGAATTTGGGCTGTAATCAAGAACTTCTTTGTTGGTGATCATTTCCTTTATTCTCATGACCTTAATGTGTGATTCAAGAGTTATATTGTAAGGAGAAATTAGATGTTAGTCACTATTCGGGGTTAAAAGATTAATACTATTCCCGTATGTTGAATAATGTTCCATTCTTTCATAGGCAAAAGAGGCCCTGAAAAAAGGCGAAGTGCCTGTGGGGTGTATTATGGTCTACAAGAACCAAGTTATAGGCACAGGAAGGAATGAGGTCAATGAGACAAAGAATGCGACAAGACACGCTGAACTAGTAGCCATTGATCGAGTTAAGCGATGGTCAGAGAACCAAGGTCTTTGTTTTGAGGATGTTGTGAGAAATTGCAGCCTCTTTGTTACAGTAGAGCCGTGTATCATGTGTGCTTCAGCACTGCGATACCTGAATGTCTCTAAAGTTGTCTTTGGCTGCGCAAACGAACGATTTGGAGGCTGTGGTTCTATTTTAAACATTCATACAGACGATTATACAACAGAAACATCTAAATGTGTTTCTCAGGACGCATCTTCAAATGGTGTTGAAAATACAATAGGGTGTGTTATGGAGAACAAATCTGTTGTCGCAGCTTCCTCGGACTTGTTGAAGAATCTCTCTGAGACGGACGATGAATTTCCATGTTGTACCTCGTGTCAGACATTAATTGGCACTTCATTTAATTCCGCTAAATCAACCGACTTTGATTCACAGAAAAGTCTGGAGATTTCTTCAGAGGCCTCCATCCGAAAAATTTCGCCAACTGTCGTAGGAAATTCAACAGGTTGTTCCAAAGGGCAGCAATGTTTATGCGCGCCTGTAAACTGTGAGGAATGCGGTCGAGCCCTATCGAATTCATGTGGCGAGAAATGCACCTACTCCAGCGCTGTAGGGAAACCTCTTGAGTGTGTATCTGGTGTTTTAGCAAGTACCGCCGTTGATTTGTTAAAAGAATTCTACAAAGGAGAAAATCCGAATGCACCATTTCCGAAAGTCAAAACAAAACGATAAAAGTGATAAGTGAGCTGAAGTTCCTGAATCATGGTTCTTTTGTGGAATGACTTATTTTTTTCACAACTGGTGAATAAAGTTTAAAAAATACAATGCATGGAGTTTTAGTCACCTGAAACACGTTTGTTTAGTTTTGAATCTTGGCTAACCCGTTAAACATCGTTTCTCTTCAACACACGTGTTAGTGTTTGTACAGTCGGATGATAGTTTCAGAAAGAGCTTTCAAATAAATGTCAACTCATTTATTTTGAGAAAAATCTCAAATTTAGATAATTATCGTCAACAGCTGAGCACTCGCGACATAAATATTTAATTCACCTTTTGTTCAAAGCAGTAGGAACAAAGATGGCTGTTAAGAGGATTAGTTCCAGTCGGAGGGTGTCGAGGGTGTCTTAACTACTTATAAAGCTGTTTGAAAAAAGGGGCATGTTTGACATGTTGGCTTTTGTTTCGTTTTGTTTTTATATCTATCTATATAGATATATCTATCTATCTATCTATATATATATATATATATATATATATATATATATATATTCGCTGATAAGAAAATACATTTTCTATTTTAGAAAGAGCTGGTTTCTCATTTTGAAGTAGTGAGTCAGCCAAAACATGGCGAGTTTCTTGAAGATGAAGAATCTACATGAAGACTAATGAATACTCGCGCTGATTTGGAAAAGTCGATGTTCAAATGGTTGCTAAATGTGTGAGGGGTTAAACGCCCCCGATGTTTTTTTTTTTTTTTTTTTGATTGCAGCTGGCGAAGATAAACGCCCGAAAGGCGAATGTTTTGGCGGCACCAGATTAAACTTTCGCGATCCCTTCCCAGTGACGTAGTTATACGAAACCTAAAAATTGTTGATTGAAAACTTTCCCTCAAGCCGAAAAATTAAACCTTTTAAGAGTTTCCAAGCTTTTCAATTAAGTACATTGTTTCTGGTTTGAATATCAGTGTTGTCTAGGTAAAGGTTGTCCGAAACCAACCGACACCAGCATATTATTTGGGGTTTAATAACAAGAAGCGACAAAATATTTCGAAAATAGGGCACTTTCTCTCTAATTATTCTGCTGGTAAGACAGCTGACTCTTTTGTCGGCGAGGAAAAAGTTTTTGTTTTGTAAATGAAGCGAAAAGTTGACAATTAAAGACGAGCTAGGTAGACAATCTCGTACCCTCAAAGCCGTGCGGCTCTCCCGTCAGAACTCTTTTAGTAGTGTCTCCGCACCGTAACCAACAATTGAGTAAGTCTCGACAGTTCGCAAATAAATGGTGGCCAATTTATACAAGCGGAACGTCATTCATGTGTTTCCAAGTGTAGCCCAATAATTATTGGGTAGATGACAGTAGACGCATTTATTTTTATTTCTCTTCCGACGCCAAGTTTAAATTCTATGAGGTTTGACTCGTGACTGGCGAATGGCGAATTGTTTAGGTAAGTGTTTTCACACAATTGTTAGATTTTTACCTACAAAAGATGGGCTGGCACTAATGCCAAGTCTTCAGTGTTTTTACAATGAGGGTTCATCCGTCGGTAAATACACGGTATGTAGTCTCTCATAAAGAGATCCCTAAACTTAACTCTGACTGTGGTGTATGAAACGAAATGGTTCTGTAATTGCACTTTCTTGTGGTATCAGCACAGTGTGTGTTAATCTAGTCACCAATTTTGTATGCATTTCTCAGTTCGGAAAAAGGCATTGCCAGCTTCTGTCGAGGAAAGTAAACATTACCTCACGGAAACTTCCGTGCCTTTTCAATGCTGTTGATTTTCCTGATATTTGAGCGAATCTTTGGAACACAATAATCCAACAAAACCAAGTAGTCGAAACATTTATTTTCCTAACTTAATAGTTATCTAAATTCGCTTTCAACCTCTACAATTTTAATTAGCACGTCTGTCCCATGTTTATTCAAATTGATTTTTATTGTTCTATGGGCATAGGGTTTGGAAATTCATTTTTCACGGCGTTTGTTCTGAGGTAGCTTTAACTCAAAGGTTTTTCCCCTCTCTTTATTTTCGTTTCTGCCGGATGTCAGCCAAGTTCAAGGCCAAAGCTTAAAAAATTTAAGTAATGCACGATCCGTTCGTCAAATTTTCATGTTGGTTAGACGTTCGAAATAGTACCTGGACACTGGTAACACTCCACAATAATTAAATCAATATTTTGGTTCCAAATGAAACAACGATTTTCAAACTTCCTACCTTGCACAGAAACTACCAGACTTCAAGGCTGAATATTCCAATAGATTTCTTTAGCGCAAAACAGTCATTCTAAACAAACACCGAAAACACGTGCTTATTATTTAAGAAAAAAATGGTTAGCACGATTAGATGGTAAAAACACACTACCACAGTGGGTGGAGACAAAAGTTTGGGGAGGGCAACATAACACTTAAAATTAAAACACGTCGATAAACAAATGTTGATCCACCTTTTTTCGCACCCACGTATCAATTACCTTTGTATTTTGCGAATGAATATCCTTAGAGATCTGGAGCTTTACAGAAGTTTCACGTTTTCACGAAATACGAGTAGAGCTTGAATGAATACACTGAGCCCAAGGTGTTAAATGTAAATCTGATGTCCCCTGTGGTAACACGCAGCTTAAACTGACACCCATTTCCAGACAAATTTCTGTAAGTAAATATGTGTTGGCTTCACTTTTAATAAAAAAAGGAAACCATTCAAAGAGTTGATTGACAGGGCCTCCAAAAGGCAATATTTCACTTGGTATCCGACACTTGTATTTTACTAGTTTCATTTCCCTCGCGAATAAACATTTTATTTCGCTGTTCGGCATTGAACGGAAAGGCTGCAGTAAACCCGCCGAAGACGACTCAAGTCAGGTCAGAGTTTACCCTCTTTATGATATTCATAAATAACCGCGAATTGTTTGAACCTAATTTAACATGAAAGACATGAGATTGAAATAAACATTTCACAGGTTGCTTTGGTCAAAAATTCACACTTTTTAGAAAAATCAGACACACTGAGTTTTGGATCGATAATTGTCCAGGTAGCTATTAGAATGCGAATACAAAATGGCAGAACGTACTCGGGGTTCTGAGAATTCAATACAACGGGGAGGTTTCTAAAGAAACTGTGGTGCTTCGTCAGTGGGAGAGTATAACAGGGTGATTTAGTATTATCAACGGAGTTGATAACATAAATTGGCCAAGGTAAAGAGTTTCAAAGCTGACGTTTCGAGCGTTAACCCTCCGTCAGAGCGAATGTACTATCTGAGAAATAAGTTTGAATAATATTCAGATCAATCGACTGATTTCACAAGTAGATCTAAATGTTTCCATTGAGAATCGTTCGGCGGAGCAAGCACAATAGTGCTTTGACAACGATGACAGCACAGAATCAACTGCCAGTTCTTAAATTAATAGCTATTTTATAGAACCGTGCCAAATGTGGTAGGCTGACACTTAGGTGTGAGAAAATAGCCTTGGGATTTGTGTCTTACTTGTTCCAGGAATGGTTAAAATATTACATATAGTGCAATTTCAGAAAAAAATAAACGCGAAGTTCCCAAACCAAATAAACATTCAGTCATATAGCTTTGAATGCAATTCACCATCATTTCGGTAAAACACATAAAACACTCTACACGTTCGAAAGCGTTTATCCCACCTTCCTTTACGATAATCAACAATTTCGTATATGAGGGGTAAATTACTAAAGGCTGTGGTGCTGCGTCGGCGAGGGAGCATGACAACATAATTTGGCTTTAGCGTTAGCCCTTCGTCTGGGCGAATTATCAGTTCGCTTTGAAACTCTTTACGGTGCCCAATTTACATTATCAACTCAGTTGACAAAACCAAATTTTGTATATGGCGCCACAAAGGAAATTTTCAAAGGTCGCAATCAGGTTGCATAAAATGGCTGTTTTTGCAGGACATTTAAAGTAAGGAAGATAAAGACTTCATAATCTCGATTTTTGGTAGGAATCTTCTCTGCAAATTTGAAAGGTGTATAACGGGTAAAGGCCAAGAAACTTCACCAAGTAAATCTTGCAAACACTTGTTAAACGAGGCAACGTGTGTTTTTGGGTGAGGGCAGTTTCATTTCATTTCGATGATTGGTTAGGCTTTTCATTATTTCTACGGTTCTTTGTCTCCTGTGTTTCAACTAGTATTGTCACGTTTCTTCTAAGCTGTGGAACATACACAATACGGTAGTTCACGGGCTTAGAACCGGCGGTTCATTCAACGGTGCGAAAATCGGGTATTATGACTCTTACAATGTTGGTCGCTGGAAAACACCAATTAAGAAGAATACAACTGCTTTGAGAAATAATTTTTCCTTGTAGGGTTCTTTGAAACAAACGGGCAATTAACTCATAATGTTCAAGCGCTCGGGTTGAGTCAATGCAAAATTCGGGTACTTTTTTTTTTACAATGTTGGTCGGTAAAAACTATCAGGTGAGAAATTACACCACTTTGTGGGAGGATTTGTCACTGCAGGTTACCGTGAACCAAACTGCCAATTAACTCATTTTAAAAGTACAAACCACCATAACAAAGTGTTTCTCAGTGTTCTTGTCTTCTACATTTGCATTGTAAGGCTAAGAGAAACAAAAAAAAAACTGTCGGATCACGCGGCTTATATTTCAGTTTTAAATTAAATGGTGACTGAAGTTGAGCTAAGTGTTCCTCAGATGTATGGATGAAAAAAAAACCAAAAAACGGAGATACACGAAAACGAAGAAAATAGCGTCTAATTTCTCTTTAGAGTCCTTTAATGAGGCATTTTTATACTTTTTTCGCGGTGCTTTTATGAGCACGTTGGGATTTTTATTGTTGTCAGAAGATATTACAATAATCGAGGAGCCCCGAAAATGCAAACAAAAGAAGATGTATGAAACAACACTTGAGAGGTAGCGTGCTCATCGCCTTGATTGTGTTGAGGACGGCTCAGAAAATACTTGTTTGGTAGGCACAGCTTTTTGGAGGAGCTACGATATTGTTATTAAAGATGTTGTTTGGATGTAACA